TAAGTGAGACCCCATCTCAAAAAACAAACAATAGGGGGCTGGGGATTTAGCTCAGCAGCATAAGTTGCCTGCCTTGCAAGCAGGTAGTCATAAGTAAGACCAAGAAACAAACAAACAAACAAACAAACAAACGTTTTTATTGCTGTGCATTGCAGTCCAGCCCTGTAATCCCTGTACTTTATAGAGGGCGAAGCAGGAGAATTACCATAAATTCAAGGCCAGGCTGGGCTACACAGTGAGCTCATGGCCAGCCTGAACTACATAGGGAGACTCTTGTCTCAAAAAGAAAAAAAAAGAAAAAAAAAAACAGGGTCAGAGATTTAGCTCAGTGGTGTAAGGGCTTGCCTGGCAGACACAAGGTCGTGAGTTTGATCTCCAGTACCAAAAAAAAAAAGCCACAAAACATAGCGCCTCCCAGGCAAGTGCAAGGTCCTGAGTTCAATTCCCAATTGGGGGGGCCTCCAATTACTGATGTCTTAAAACATTTTTTAAATATAATCAGGAGCCCACAGATCATTTTAGTCTTGAAAATAAAATCAGTTAATCACATAGTCTTTCTCTTATTACCATCTATTAGGGAGGACATGGCCATTAAAATACAAGAACACAGAAGGAGCTGGGTTATTTTGGTTCTAAATATATGCCTTCACTTGTATATTCATCAACAAACAAAACAGAAGTGAACAGGAGAACTTCAAGACTTTCTAAAAGATGATTTAAAATTGTCCCAAAACTGCAATACCTCATTTTGTAAAGTAAAATAGTGAGGGATGTGGGGGTACATGCAGCTTACATGATTTCACATTCAGTATAATTTCTACTACATCATACTGCCAAGAGGTTGAACATATTACCAAGTAGTTTAATTTTTCCAGTAAAATAATAGGTCATAAGTTGAGGATATAGTTCAGTGGCACCGCACTTGCCTGGCAAGCACAAAATCCTGAGTTCCAATTCCTGGTACCAAAAAATAAAATAAAATGTCAGAAAAAGAGATGAGATCTTCCATAGCTAGGTAACAGCTGCTGAGTCCAAGATTCCAGAAAATGATTTTATTATCTCAGTATTCATGATTCAAGGGGAAAAAAAAGATTAACAATTATTACTAGCCAAAAAAAAAAAAAAAAAAAAAGCACTGGAGAGGCTAAGGCAGAAGGATCACAGTAAATTCAAGGCCAGCCCGAACTATATAGTGGGATCCTATCTCAAAAACAGCAAAAAAAGAAACTTTTATCTTCAAAAGACACTGGTTTTTTGTTTTGTTTTGTTTTGTTTTTTGTGTGTGTGTGTACACTCAGGTGTCTGTCTTTTTTGAGACACGGTTTCACTGTGCACTTTAGGCTGGTCTTGAATTCATTTTGCAGCCCAGGCTGGCCTCAAACCCACAGCAACCCTCCTGCCTCAGCCTCTTGAGAGATGGGATTATAAGGATGTGCCACCACATCCAATTCAAAAGATACTGTTAATACAGAAATTTTCTTAATTTTTACAAAATGGCCAAAAATGAATGCATTTCCTTAGTTCAGAGACCATCTAGACCAACCAGCTAGCACTACTACATGACAGTTTAAGTGGTCCACTTTCCTAGAGCTTGATTTAGCATTGACAGTGTCACATAAGTGTTCTCTAGTACCTAGTAAACCTTTTAGAAACTGCAAAAATCCTTATTATTACCATGAATAGTGTGACTCAGTCCTGCTTTCCTCTGAAGTGCCAAACTGCTATATAAAACAACTTTAGAGCAATAAAAAAACAAACATTCTGATGTAGATTACTCAAGAGTATCTTAATTTTCCAGGCTGTTAAATTCAGTTCGTAATACTTTTCTCATTTCTATTTACATAAATTTGTAATCTAGGGCTGGGGATTTAGCTCAGTGGCATAAGCACCTGACTGGCAAGTGTAAGGTCATAAGTTGGATCCCTGGTACCAAAAATAAATAAATAAATAAATAAATAAATAAATAAATAAATAAATAAATTTGTAGTCTAAGCTGGGGAATTAGCTCAGTGGCATAAGAGCCTACCTTGCAAGTACATAGTTGTGAGTTCGATCCCAAGTACCAAAAAAAAAAAAAAAAAAAAATATATATATATATATATATATATATATATGTATATTTTCAATTTGTAGTCTAACAGGATTGCAGGATTGTCCTAGACAAAGAGAGCTAACATAAATCCCTGTCTCTGGATGTTATCTCATTACTGAAGTATTTCTTTGTATCTCAATTTCCTCATCCAGAAAATAAGGTAGTTGTACTAAACAACTTCTAGCTCTAACTTTCTACTCCAAGTTCTCCAATTCATCATAAAACAAGTTAAACAGATAAGATGATGCACACCAGCAATTCCAACTATTCCAGGAGACTAAGGCACCAGGATCCCAAATGTGATTACAGTCTGGGCACGCAGGAAAACTTAGTCTAAAAATTTAAAAATAACTATAAGGAGCTGGGGATTTAGCTCAGTGGCATAACGCCTGCCTTGCAAGCAGGCAGTTGTGAGCTCAATCCCCGGTACCGATAAAAAGGAAAAAGACAAATAAATAAATAAATAAATAAAACTATATATATAGTAAAAGGGCTAAAAGTGCAGCTCAGTGGTACAGTACTTGTCTAGCATGCATGAGAACCTGGGTTTTAAGCCAGGAGATAGGAAGATTAGGTAGATAGGGAGCAGATCCTGAATAGTTAAAGTAAAAGTTGGGCTCCAGTAAATTAAAACATAGAACAGACTATCAGGGCCTAATAAAATGCAAGAAACAAAGAAAGAATAGGTCTTTAACCAAATGGGAGAGACAGACCTTGGAGGAAATGAAATACAAATAAAGCACCTTGCTTTCCAGACATCAAAGGCCTACTAGCAACAAGGAGCACCCCTGCTTTCTGTCATGTACACCAGCCCCAAAAATTGTATAAAAAGCCAACAGAACTAAACATCTGTAGTGTCTGCCTTATGAACCTCTACACTTTCCAGACTAGCAGGAAGCTCCTCTTTTATTCTAACAAAGGCACACTTGCCTAATCCTCACCATTTGCTGTTTGCTGTTTTGTCAGTTTCAATCTTCCTTACCCCAAAACAAGGATCTAAGATCCAGTTATGGTACCACAAAAAGCAAACAAAAAATTGTCTTGTCAAAGCTTAAGATGTAGTTATTTTATTTTATTTTATTATTTTTTAAAGTGTAGTCATTTTAAATATATAAGAACTGCCAAGTGTGGTGGCATGTGCCTGTAATCCTAGCACCTGCAGAACTCAGGAAGCTGATGCAAGAGGGACTGACAGGAGTTCAAGGCCAGCCTGGACTATACGGTGAAACAAAACACTAAAATGCGTAGGTAAGTACTTAAGAATTGAGAAGTTAAGGGAACTTAAAGAAAAAAAAAGAGAGAGAGAGAGAGAGAGAGAGAACTTAAACAGACCTCCCCTCCTAAAATTTTCAAAACTCCAAAAGACAAGAACTATGGTTATCCCCATATTTGTTACCCCTGTTTATATAACAACCACTCAAAATGAATGAGAACTTTAAAGTAATTCCAATCAGGTATGGCAGCCCATTTCTATACAACCAGGATCTGAAAGACTAAGACAGAAAGACTGCCAAGTTCAAGACAAACCTGGACTACAGTATGAGATCCTGACTCAAAACACAGAAGACAACCAAAAAAAGGACATGCCTATAATTCTGGGATGCTGAGACAGAAAAGTTACAAACTGAAGCCCAGCCTAAGCAATTTAACAATTTAGCCAGACAGTCTCAGAATTAAAAAAAAAAAAAAAAAATTAAACCTTGATTTACCAGTTTGCATATAATGCAGGATTCTGATTAACTAATCAGGAAGGACTGAGGGCACTTGGGAGGCTGAGTCAAGTTCGAGTTCAAGGGCACCCTGAGCTACAAAGCGGAGACCCTAAATAAAAAAAAGGAAGCGCTGAGAGGATATAGCTTAGTGTCAGCACCCGCCTAGCATGCACAGGTTCCCCAACCTTCCCCTCAACAAATACCCAGGGTATTTGTGTCGCAAAAAATTTTTTTGGAATCATTAGATCACTTGTCCCTTAATTACGAGTTATACTTCATAGGTCATATCTCAACATTTAAAAACTACTCATAAATATATCAAATTCGTAATAAACTTTTTTCAGTACTGGAGGTTGAACTGTGAGAGCCTTTTAGAGTTAATCTCTAGCCCTTTTTATTTTACTCTGAGACAGGGTCTTGCTAAATTGTTACCATATTATACAGAATACACAATCCTCCTAACTCAGCCCCCCAGAGCACTGGAATTTTTATAGGCAGGCACCATACATCCAACTAATAATCAGTTTTTACGCTTAAGAAACACCTCAGAATATTTATTTACTTACTTACTTTTGTTGAGTTGGGGACCGAACTGAGGGCCTCACAATGCTACAAGAGCTATACCACCAAACTCAACTGTAGCCCTAATTTTACATTTAAAAAAAAAAAAAAAAGCCTATGCATAAGTTTGCCAGCTTTGCTCTGGAGTATGAGACGCACTACAAAGTACATAAACCCCAGGACACTGACCACAAGTATATATTCTGCTGTATCAGATGAACTAAAAAGTTTTTGTTTATTCAGTTCCAAATTAAATAAAATTATAGGTACTTTTTGATTCGCTTGTCTAAATGATTAGTCCTTGAAAAAGTGTCACCCAATATATACTTACATTCCCTCTTTTGACTTAATAATTTCAGCTAAGTGCTAAAATCAGTTCATAATAAAAGCAAAAGATTAGGGCTCAGTGGCATAAGCGCCTGCCTGGCAAGAACAAGGTCATGAGTTCGATCCCTGGTACCAAAAAAAAAAAAATTAGAAGCCTTGCTGGGCATCGTGAATCCAGCACTCAGGAGGCTGAGACAGGAGAAACGCCATGAGTTTTGAGGGCAGGTTGGGCTACATAGGGAGTTCAAGGATAGCATGAATTACATGAGACCCTGTCACAAGAAAGAAAAAAAAAAAACACATCTTACCTGGGGTATTTGCGATAGCTGCCAATGGCAGGCCTGGAAGCTGGTGCACCTGGATTCCTGGAGTACCCAATGCGCTGAGGTTAATGGTCTGGAGGCCTGGCATGGAGGAGAGCTGAGCAGCATTCACAGTGACTGTGCCGGCAGGGATGGAGGCAGCTGAGGCAATAGGTGTCAGGGTGGTGTTGCTGCTGCTGGTTTGACCCAAGGAAACACCTTGCATTGGAGCCAAGGTGATTGTCTGGGCTTGAGGGTTCTGAACCTGGAGGTTTTGCAGCTGTAGAGTCTGCCAGCTGACCTGTCCATTGGGCCCCACTGTTGGCGTCCGGATGATGATGGGGCCAGAGTTTGGAACAGCTTGAAGCTGGAGGTTCTGGAGAGTTTCCTGGGAGATAGCTTGAGTTGTAAAGCTCTGACCTGGCAATGGTGCTGTTTGAAGGGCCTGAAGGGCTTGTCCCCCTTGAACTAGCTGAGGCTGAATAAGAATTTGTTGCTGTGTCTGCTGGTTTTGCTCTCCCTCCTTCTGCTGATTTGCTTGCAGTGAGCCTCCGGATGTCTGGTTCTGTTGGATGTTCAGAGCATCAGACCCCTGCAACCCACTGACCCTCTGGGATGTCTGGCCTTGAGAGTTGGTCCCTGATGATCCGCTGGTGGTAAAGTTCATAATTCCCATGTTGCTGGTAGTAGTAGTTGTTGAGTAGCTATTGGCATTGGTGAAAAAGGAACTGGAACTGGCTTGGGATGATACCAAGCTGGCAGAACTGCCAGTCCCTGAAGTGACAGGCTGTGAGCCACTTTCCTGGGACCCAGAGCTGCTAATCGTGACTGCCTGAGAGCTGGGAGTCAAGGTAGCTGCAGAAACACTGTTGACAGGTAGCAAGGTGATGTTCCCATTCAGGGCCACTGGTACATTGGTCACATACTGAGTCTGTCCTGAGAGCACATTATTAGTCAGGCCTTGAAGAGGGACAGCCTGCTGAAGGAGGTTTGGCATAGCAGCAATGATGTTGCCGCCACTTCCTCGATTTGTAATGATCTGTTGGTTTGCACCTGGTATAATCTGTATTTGACCAGAACTATCCTGTTGCACTTGGGCTCCAGTAGTGGCAAACTGCAGCTGCTGTCCATCAACTGTCTGGAACTGTGGTATTACTTGATACTGAATGTTAGGCATCACTCCAGATAATCCTGTCAGAACTTGCTGGTTCTGTAAGTTGGGGGTAGCAGCCACAACATACTGGCCACCAGAGACTGTGCGGTTCTTGGAAGATTCACTGCCATTACTGCCATTGGTACTGTTGCCACTCTGTTCCTTTGAGGTAGGAGTAGCCCCAGAGGAGGAAGAGATGATTTGCCAGCCATTGGCACCCTGTGAAAGTTGCGTAGCTGTGAGGTCAAGCTCACCTGTGCCCCCTGACTGGCTTGGGCCCTGGGAGTTGTTGCTGTTCTCATTGGGTGACTCAATTCTGCTGCAGGTTGCTGCCAGCAGAGCCAAAGGGGATGGCTGGGATTCCTGGCCAGGAAATAGAGGAGAGGAAAGGAGTTAGTGACACCCATCTGCTAGCCTAGGGGGCAGTATACAACAAATAAACAGCAACACAATGCAAAAAAAGGAAAAAAATAAAAGAAAGACCAGAAACAAAAATCTGACCTGTCTGGGGCTGGGAGTATAACTGAAGGGTAAAACACTTGCCCACAGAGGCAAGAGGCTCTGGGTTCACCAAAAAACAAAAGCTGACCTTTGTGTATTGCTGAAACTCATCCCTGGGGAATTTCCAATTCATGTGTCTCTGGGCTTACTTCCCTATTTATTTGGTTATTTCCATCTTTTCCTAAAAAGTTTCTATTAAGACTCAGGCAATTTCTAAGAATATTTATATCCTCTCAACACCTTCCCTACTTTATGATGATCACTCACTCACCTGCCCTCCTCCTCCTCCTCCACTGCTGCTGGTACTGCCTGTGCTGCTGCTTCGAGTCTGAGAAAAGGCACCACCACCATTACCACTGCCCCCATTATTGCCACCAACTCCTTTCTCAATCTTCACCACTGGCGTCATTTCATCCATGGAGTGATCTTGATCTGAAAAAGAATTAAAACATGAACAATTTAAAGTGGGGGAAAGAAGAAGGATTAAGTCAGAAAAGATAAAAGGAGGCTACGATGTGTCAGTAATGATTAACAGGAAGAGGATCGGTGCAACTATAAAGAAAATGAATTGATGCAGGGCAAATCCTAGGGATACAAGACACAAATGGGTTCAATGGTGGCAAAACTGGGCCTTAATATTCCCACAAACAAAATAAGACTCAAAAACCATTGAACAAGTCCTTCAGGTATAGGAAATGCGATAAGTGATGGGCAGTGCTGAGTTTTAAAATGAGAAAACATATTCTTGGGAAAAGGATACATAAAGCAAAAATAAACATGTGAGTGGACAGAAAGTATGCTGAAATGAAGGCTGAAAGGGTGGAAAATACAACTGTAGAAAGTAACAAGAGGAAAAGAAGGGAAAGAGGAAAGAAAGAAACATTGCAAGGAGACATTTGTGAATACTGGTAAGGGGCTAAAATGTTCTAGAGGTTGGCAATCAGATTTCGGGGCCGAGGCAGGGCGGGCCCTAGTGAAAAAGGGCGGTTTCGGGGTGAGGGGCGTGGAAAGGGCGGGACGGTGGGGGGGAGGGGAATGCATTGGGTGGGGGGAGGAGGACCTTGGGGCAGGCTGCGACCAGAGGGCGGACTAGCGAGGCGGTTGGCCCGGGCGGGGCTTGCGCTGTTCGGGCCACCCCCGCGGCGCCAGCCCCCGTCGGGAGGAGCCTCAGGCGGGCGACCGGGTACTGGGGGGTAAGGCCCGTCCCCCGTGGCCGGGGCGGGTAGGGGGCGGGCGAGGCCACGCTGCCCCCTCCCCCGGGGCGGGCGGCCCATCCCCCTCCTCCTCGGAGGCCCCGCCACTGCCCCTTCTCCCTCCCTTCCCTCCGCCCCAGGCGGGACCAAGGCCGCCGCCGCCGCCTCCCGCCCGCCCCCCCTCACGGCGGGGACCGCCCGGTCGGCCCTCGCGCGCGCCCCCTCACTCCCCTTCCACCCCTCAGTTTCAAGTGGACTCATCCTTACCGCTCATGGTGGCAGCTGAGGGACGAGCTCAAAGGGGTCCTGTCCGGGGGGGGTGGGGGGGGCCAGGAAAAACGCGGACGCTGACGAGGCAAGCTAACCCGGACCGGACAGGGAGGGGGGGGTAAGGAGGAGGGAGCAGCGCGCCACAAGCCCGACCTAGGCTCCACCCCTCCACTGCTGCCCCGCCCAATGAGGGAGGGGGAAGGGAGGAACTTGCAGAAAAAAGGCAGGCAGCTTGCCCAATGGCAAAACTCATTCCTTCTCTAAGGCGTGTAAGACAAAATTGCGTACCTAGTGTACGCCCAAAAGGGCCGCCCTCTCAGTTTTAAAAACCAATGAAGTATATAGGAAGTAAGGAAGGGCGGGATCTGGAAGTGATAGGCTGGGCAAGAAACCAGTCAACCGCCAGGCGGGATCACCCAACGACAGGGATAGGAAGCGCTTTGATAGGAATGACAGAACAACGACCAACCAGAACTTTGGACATGCCTGGGCAAAATCCTGGTTGGGAGGCGAGTACGAGGAGAGCAGGAACAGCGTAGGATCAGGCTGATCTAAACCAATCCGAAATCAGGCGGGCAGCCAAAAAAGTTATGATTGGATTAACACTGAAAAGAGGCAGAACAAAATTCATATTGACGTGAGCTAAAAGCCAATTAAACGCCGAATGAACTCTGAGGGCGGGAACTTGGAATGTGTATAGAAGAAATGGCTTCTCCCTCAGGTACTTAGTCCAATGAAAGAGCGAAGTAAAACTGGTACCTCCTCCAAATTAACCAATGGGTGGTATTGGGGCCGCCTATCAGGAGGGAGGGATTAGGGCAGTGCCAAGAGAAGTCTGTCGCCATATTGGCCCTCCTCAGGGGATGGCTTAACAGCATTTAGATGATGTACTTCCGCAGAACCCTGAAGTTCAACAAGTGTCAGGGTCGAGGTACTTGGCGTGCAGTTCTGCGTCAGTCCCGTTTTCGCCTTCGCGTAATGGCTCTCAACAGAGTACTTTTCGAGCCTCGTCTCCAGCCCTGGTGGTTGTACAGCCGGGCGGATGCTTCTCAGTGTGGGCGTAAGCCTTGCGAATACGGATGGGACGAGATCTGGTGACAGCGCTCGCAAACTCAGTTCTGTGCCGGCCCTTTCTCAAGGTTTTTGTAAGACACAGTAAACGCCATTTTATTAAGCTGTTCCAGACAAAGGCGCTATCCATTAAACTTAAGCCAGTTAACTTTTCAGGGGTTCGTTGGAGAACGTACTGGAGTGGAAACACTTTCTTTTCCCCCCACATAATTGTAAATACTGCCTAAGCATAAAGCAAAATAGCCGAGTTGTGCGTTTTGCAATCACGAAGACTTTGACCTCCATTTTGCTCCTTTATCCTTGCTTTAGTGCAAGGCTTGTCGATGATATGTCATTCTCTTTAGCATCAGTACTGTACTTTATATGCTGTCTTTTCATTACCTACAATTCTGCTCTTCAATATATATTTACATGTTACAGAATCTGGAGTCTCCCAAGGGATCATAAGCCCTTAAATTAGGAATGAGGCCTGTGTTGCTTCAGGCAGGGCCTTAGAAAGGTGAAATGGTTACTTACTGGGCCATGTACCTAAATTAGAAGTTTGGCATTCTTTATGTCATCCTTATAAGGAAAATATTAAGTATTAGAGATATTCTGTATCATTATAATTGAGGTTTAGGAAAAGAAGTTACCAAGATCACAAAGGTAATGAATTGGATCCCACAAAGTATTGAATCTTAAGTGAATAAACAATATCTTGCATAATCATTTACTTAAATAGGCTTAATAAAAATTTTTATTTAAAAATTGTTTTTCCGGGGATTTAGCTCAGCTTGCCTGGCCTGTGCAGGGGTGTGAATTCAATCCCCAGTACAGAAAAAAATTACAGTGTTGGAAATAGAACCCATGGCATTATGCCTGTTTAGCATATCCTGTACCACTAAACTACATCTCTAAAACAAGTAAGATTAATATCTATTGATACCTTCTAGCTCCTGAAAGAAAATCCTGCCCGGACTCAGGACAGCTCAAAATTTTTTTTAAAACCTCCATATTTTTCTTTAAAATTTTACTGGTTTGTGCCAGGCGTGGTGGCCGGTGCCTGTAATCTCAGCACTCAGAACCTCAGGAGGCTGAGGCAAGAGGATCACTGAATGTTCAAGGACCAATCTGGGCTACAAAGGGAATTTAAGGCCCACTTGAACTACACAGTGAAACCCTGTCTCAAGATACATATATATTAGTTTGTGTTACAATAAATTACATCAAGGTTTTTCAAACTGCCATTCTATTCCCAGCATAACAAAAAAAAGTAATGAGGGAATTTTTTTTTTTAAATTAGTACCAGGGATCACAATCACGACCACATGCTTGCAAGGCCCGCCGCTTATGCGCTGAGCTAAATCCCCAGCCCCAGCTTTTTTTTTTTTTAAACTCTTTTAATAGGGTTTTTTTTTTTTTTTTTTTTTTCAGGCAGGTTCCAAGAATCACATCCCAGACATTATAATAAGTCAGAATCTCTGGAGTGGGACTTGAACCCAGGGCTTTGTTAAGTCTTTTGTTTTGTTTTGTTTTGGTACCGAAAACCAAACTCACTACTTCACGCTTGCAAGGCAGGTGCTTATGCCACTGAGCTAAATCCCCAGGCCCTTTTCTTTCTTTCTTTTGGAGCACAGTTTCCTTAATTCCTGAACTGCCCTTGCTGACCTCAAATTTGTATTGTTCCTGCTTCAACTTCCCCTATAAAGGACTGGGATTACAGGTGTGACCACCACACCCAGCTAGAACATCTATCTCTAAATAGCTTCCCCCTGTGATGCTGCTGGGCCTGTAGATCTATGCAAAGCTGCAGTATTGGGTCTCTAGTACCCATAAAGGTTTGTTAAAGTCAAAAATAAGGCCTACTTTAAGTGACACCAAGTTTAGAAAATAAGAGGGCAAAACTGATTACTATCTCCAAAACGCTAGGTGATCCAGGACAAAAATAAGTACAACACACTTAACATAATAGTTGGTGTAACTAAGGGAGGTATCACTTGTCAGATTGAGGATGATAGTCTATGCAGCATATACACACGAACTACGGAAATATAGAGTGTAAGCTGACCTAACAAATTATGCTGTAATATTTTGGTGGTACAGTGGTGAGCATAGCTGCCTTCCAAATTATGCTGCAACAGGCCTACAAGTTTCTCAGTAGGTTTGGCATGGATGAGCTACATGAAGACCAGGTGGAGGTGACTGGAGATGAATACTAAAAGGGTTTTGGCCCAGATGGGACACTGTAGCCAGAAAAGACCTCAGCCGGAATCAGGGAGCTCCTGTCTCTCCCACCCCTGGAGATTTACCTGTAACTCTATATCCCCCCAACCTTTGGAATCTGCCCCTGGCACCAAACGTGTGCCAATGAAATACCTGTGCATCTCTAATGGCCTTAGAGCACTGCCCTAAGCTTAGGCTGCTTATATCCCCCCCACGCCACGTGTCCACGAGAGAGATCACCAGACTTCAGCGGCTGGGGTGCCAGTCATCTCTCTCCGTGTTCTCAGAATAAAGGCCTCTTTTTGTTTTACACTTCTCATCTTTTGGAAATACTTTTCATCTTTTAAAATAATCAAATAATCAAATACAAAGTAGAAAGCATTGATGGTCAACTTAGTGCTTTCACCTGCAATTTGGATGCAGGCCTTTACCGAACTACAACTGATAATACATACAGCTTTGGGAGCCCTGAAGGCAGGCGCTTATGCGCTGAGCTAAATGCCCAGCCCCTATGGATGGAAGGTTGTTTATACCTCACAGTATCAAATGATTCCCTAGTTAGGTTCTGAAAGCAAGGAGTTCAGTTCAGCAGTACATCATAAGCACATCATGGGTCAGGGCATTACAGGTTATATGTATTACCTAATGGAAGACAATAAAGATGCTTACGGGGCTGGGGGTTTAGCTCAGCGGCATAAGCAACTGCCTTGCAAGCAGGCGGTCCTGAGTTTGATCCCTGGTACCGGTAAAAAAAATAAAAAATAAAGATGCTTACAAGAAACAGTTCTCTCAGTAATAAAAGAACAATGTAACTCCATATATAGAGGAGATGTATAAGAAAGCACATACTGCTATACAAGAGAATCCAATTTCTAAAAAGAACCTGGAGAAGTTAAAAAGTAGAACTGTACCAAAATGTTCCTTGTCTAGAAGAATGATCAGGTAGCTCAAAAGAAGGCAAGCTTCCTCAGACCTCAGGAGTAGACTGCTGAGAGTTAAACCAATTTGTTATTCCTTGAGCTAGGTTCTCATTATGTAATTTGGACTGGCCCAGAGCTCACTATATAGCCCCAATTTGTATCAATCCTCCTGCCTCATCCTCCAAAGTGTACACCCATCATAAACCAAATTTTCTATGAAGTTTTTCAGATAAAGATCATTAAACTTTTTTTTTTTTTTTTTGTCTTTTTCGTTTTTATCGGTACCAGGGATCGAACTCACGACTGCCTGCTTGCAAGGCAGGCGCTTATGCCTATCATTAAACTTTTTGTTTGTTTGTTTTGTTTTTTTGTCTTTTTCCTTTTTATCGGTACCGGGGATCGAACTCACGACTACCTGCTTGCAAGGCAGGCGCTTATGCGCTGAGCTAAATCCCCAGCCCCAAAGACCATTAAACTTTAAAAAAAAAAAAAAAAAAAAAAAAAGACCATTAAACGTGTACTACACAGGGGCCAAGGAAAGGAAAGGAAAGGAAAGAAAAGGAAAAAGTAAGGAAAGGAAAAAGGAAAGGGAAGGAAAGGAAAGAAAGAGGGGGCTGGGGATTTAGCTCAGCGGCATAAACACCTGCCTTGCAAGCAGGTAGTCGTGAGTTCAATCCCTGGTACCGATAAAAAGGAAAAAGACAAAAAAAAAAAAAAAAAAAAAAAAAGAGGAAAGGAAGAGAAAATAAAAAGAAAGGGATATGGGGATGTAGCTAAGCACCAAGGCCCTGGATTCAAATCCTAGTACCAGGGGAGAAACAGAGAAAAAGAAACATCGGTGAAGAAACTGGCAAGAAGCCTTCGGAAGGAAAGAAACTTCTGGGAAGATGCTGCTACATTACTTATCCTTGTAAACCAAACTCAGAGGATTCTAACAGCTGTTTAGTATATTAAGCAATAGGCTACACCAAACTCGCTAAGGAGTGATGGGGGAGAAAATAACTCTGGAGCTATACTCGAAAAGCTTCATGTTGACTGACTATTCTTTGGGCAGATTCAAGAGACTGAGCTGAGTGATATAGCTTAGTGCAGAGCAGTTGCCCAGCATATGCAAGGCCCAGTTTTTTTGTTCTTTTTTATAGGTTCTTTTTTTAAATCCGTACCAGGGATCCAACTCATGACTGCCTGCTTACAAGGCAGGCGCTTATGCTGCTGAGCTAAATCCCCAGCTCTTTTTGTTCTTTTTTAAAGCACGTTTACAGTATAATGATTATATTTATCATTGAGTTGATACATGTACACAACTTAATTTTTTTACAGTGCTTTCTTTTACCTTCCTCTCTCCATGACCCTAAATTTGATCCCAAACACCACCAAAAGAAAAGAGCACAACAGTCATCCTCAGAGAAGGAAACTGAGGGTCAGATGCCTAAGTTATGACTGCTCTGTATTTCCAACGCCTCTGTTTATCCATTTTTTTAGATTCCTCTATGCCCAAAATTGGAACTAGAGCTTTTTTTTTTTTTTTTTTCTTGAGACAGGGACTCACTATGTAGTGCAGACTGGCTTTGAACTCACTTATATACCCTAAATTGGCCTTGAATTCACTGCTGTCATCTGCCTCAGGCTCCCAAATGAGGGATTATAGGCATGTACCACCAGGCCCTGCTTAGAGTTTGCTATTATCCCAGATATTAAGAAAAATGCCTAGATTTAAAGTAAAATTTGTGGGGGCTGGGGATTTAGCTCAGCAGCATAAGCGCCTGCCTTGCAAGTATGTGGTTGTGAGTTCGATCCCTGGTACCAAGAAAAAGACAAAAAAAAAAAAAAAGTAAAATTTGTGGGACCGAGGATATAGCTCAGTGATACAGTGTGCCTACCTGGCAAGTATGAGATTGTGAATTGGTACCAAAAAAAAGTAAAATTTTCTGGGCATGCTGTGCGCCTGTGATCCCAGCACTCAGGAAGCTTGAGGCAGAAGGATCATGGTGAGTTTGAGGCCAGCCTGTGCTACACAGTGAGACGCTATCTTAAAAAAAAAAAAAAAAAAGCAAAATTCAGTAGCATTATCCTTTTCACAATCCTTTATCTTTACTATTCCAGGACAGAACTGTACCTGGCTATTAAGGTATGTGCTAGATGTATGCAGTTTACTGACAGTCCTTGAAAGTAAAGGGTTCTAGCCACAATCATCCAATTCCTCTGAAAACCTGAACAAATTTTCTTTAAACCAAAATAAAAATAAAGGATCAGATTTAGCTCAGTGGTGTAAGTGCCTGCTTGACAAGCATGAGGCTGTAAATTCAATCCCTGGTACTGAAAAAAAAAAAAAAAAGAAAAGAAAAGAAAAAAGAAAAAAGAAAGGACCAGTGTAACTCACCTGACCAGTAAGCACAAGGCCCTGAGTGTGACCTATAAGGAAAAAAATAATCTTTTTTTTTTTTTTTTTCTAAAAAAAGAAACCAAAATTGTTGTGGTGGTATATTCCTATAATCCCATGAGTTCCAGGCCAGCCTAGATTATACAAAGAGACTCAGTAGGGACAACAAACCAACAAAAAAAGAAACTAAACCAGGTATGGTGATGCATGCCTATAATTTAGGAGGCTGAGGCAGGAAGATCATCTAGAGTTCTAAAACAGCCTGAGATACAGAATGAGTTCAAGGCCACCCTGAAATATATAACAAGACCTTTCCTCAACATCCAAAATAAAATAAAAACTGGCTATTGTGAATACTCAAGATAACCAACCCTGTGCCTCCTGGGTATATATATATATTTTTTTTGAGACAGCATCTCAGTATTTAGTTCAGGCAGACTTAGACTATATTGCCCTGGCTGGCCTCAGACTGGAGCCAGTCTTTCTTTCTCAGCCTCCTGAGTGCTAGGATTACAGGTATGCATCTCTGAGGTGTACTTTTATCTTGATATTTCCTCTTTTACTAGGCCCAACTTTACTCTCTAGAGCCAGTTTCTCCCTCATGCTTCACATTTATTTTTTTTCAAATAAATCCTGTCACCGTTAAATAAATAAATTAGTAAATTAAAAAGAAAGAGCTGGGATGTAGTTCAATACTCCCTAGGTTAAAAAAAAAAAATACTCCCTAGGTCCAATCCCTGGTCCCACAAAACAAAAGCAAGACAAAGATAAAAACTTAGCAGTATGAATTGTGTCTGTCATTGATGTGGTATACCTCATTTGTGCTAAGTGGGAACAGTCTAGAAAGACAGTCAAGGGTCTTAATGATTTGCCTTAAACTTAACCAGGCTCATGGCCATTACTGTCCACTGTGCTTTGTTCAGCGTTGGAAGCCATGCTTTCTTGGGACTTCAAAATTTAAAACTATAACCCACTTCACTCGGCCTGTCTTCCTCCTGGACAACCCCAATCTTACTTTTTTCTTTCCTTTTTGTACTGGGGATCAAAACCAGAGCCTCACTCATTTTATTTTTATTTTATTTATTTATTTTTCTCTTTTTCATTTTTATCCGCACCAGGGATCGAACTCACGACCGCCTGCTTGTAAGGCAGGTGCTTATGCAGCTGAGCTAAATCCCCAGCCCCACTCATTTTAGGCAAATGCTCTACAACTGACCTACAGTTGTAGGTCTGCAGGCTTATCATTTTTTATTTTGAAATAGGATCTTTTTTTTTTTTTTAACCTCAACTTGTAAGAATGGAATTGAAATAGGATCTTGCTAAATTGCCCAAACTGACCTTGAACTTTTGATCCTCCTGTCTCATCCTCCCCAACAGCTGGGATTACAGCTGGGACAGTCATCCTGCCTTGCTAATCACACTCTCCCTCTTATCTTTGATAAGAATGAAGTTTTTCCAGTCCAGTGAGGCAGTCCATACCTATCTACAATCCCAGCATTCTGGGAAGCTTAGGCAGGCAGACTGCAACTTTCAGCCCAGCCTTGCCAATTTTTTTGAGAATTTGTCTCAAAAAATTAAAAAAGGGTTGGGAATAGAGCTTAGTGTAAAAGTGCTGGGTTCAATCCCAAATACTGATAAGAAGGGTGTAGGAAGGAACGAAGTCTTTCCAGTTTACCTCAAAGTATAGAATATTCTGACCACTGTGCTCCTGTCACATACAGGTGCTTACATCTGAAGTATCTAATGTCCAGTCCTACCCTCAACACCTTCCCTAGTGCCTTAGCTGCACTACACATTTTGAGGGTTGTGTCTATGTCTTTTTATTTTGCATTCTCAAAGATGGACATATATTACATATAGTACATACCTGTTAAGTGGAAGAAGAAGCCTAGTCCTAAATGTATTTCCAGATACTGTAGTAATGATGGCTGGTCTTTCAGCCTTCATTTGGTTGCCATTGATTATTGAGACAAAATCTCACTATGTAGTCCAGGCTGGCCTTGAACACACTGTGTAGCCTAGGCTAGCTTCCAACTCATGGCACTCCTCCTGCTTCAGCCTCCCAAGTGCTGGGATTACGACATTGTGCTACCCTGCTTGGTTGCCTTTTACAAATTAAATCTTTCCTCCTAACCTTGAAACCTCTTTTCAGCTTTCATAAATTTCCTAGTTAATCTGATGAAGAGTAACACTGTATACATTAATAGATTAGCTGCTCAGGTGGCTAAAACAGCAAGATCACTTGAGCTAAGTGTTCAAGGCCAGCTTGGTAATATAACAAGACCCTAAAGAAAACACACACCCTCACACACACACACACAAAATAAAGTAAAATAAAATAAAAACTAGCCAGGTAGGAGGTTGACGCAGTGTGATTACCTTGAGTTAAAGGCCGGCTGGATCTACATAGCAAGAGCCTGTCTCAAAAAGCCAAAAATAGGGCCGGGGATTTGCTTCAGTGGCATAAGTGCCTGCCTGGCAAGCGCAAGGTCATGAGTTCAATCTCCAGTACCGCAAAAAAAAAAAAAAAAAAAGCCAAAAATAATAACAATAATAATTGGGCAGGGAGTCCCATTCCTGTAATCCCAGCATTGGAGGAGGCTGAAGTAAGAGGGTCACAAGTGAGAACCTAAGTTTAGCAATTTAGGAAGGCCCTGTCTCAAACAGTAAAAGAGCTGGGGATGTATCTCACTCAGCACGAAGACCAAGGGTTCAATGCAAGGCAAAAAAAAGAAAGAAAGAATAAAATACATAGTTGAGCTAGGGGTGGTGGGGCATGCCTGTAATCCCAGCACTCAGGGAGGTTGAGGCAGGAGGATCACCATAAACTGCAGACCAGCCTGATCTTCAGAAGTGAATTCAAAGCCAGCCTGTACTACACTGCAAAACCCTGTCCCAAATATAAAATACACAGATGATTCCCCAATTTTTTCACATCATCATGAACTTCCTTCTCAGTAAACTGTGAAGTATTGTACAACTGTTAAGCAAAAAATAGATAAACTGAAATTTCTTTTATCTGTCCTACCTATTGCCTATAGGATAAAGACTAGCTAAGAAAAAATAAACTAGGTGCATATTTGTAACAGCAGTGTAGCAACGCATCATCATGCCTCTTTCACATATATAAAACCCCAGCAGGTGGGAGGCTAAGGCAAGAGTTGGAGGCTAGCCTCAACTACACAGTGAGACTATGTTTCAACAAAACAAAATATAGTAACCAAAAAAAGTGAAAAACCTTTGGACTTTTGTGAAACCAAGAATTTATGAGAAACCCAAGACCAGGTACAGACAGTCTTTGTAATTATTATCACGGCCCATTCTCCAGTCTGACTTTCGTCTTTTTTGCTTCCCTATCTGAGAAGCACTGTGACTCATAGCAGCTCACACGGTAACTGGTATTAGAAAAGGATTCAGTCCTTCAGATAGCCAAGGGCAGGTGGTCTTTTAGGCCCTGCAGAAGGATAAAGGCTGGGGCGTTGGATGTTGTGTCAGGGTTGGGGCTGAGTCAAAGAAAACAATTTAAGTTATTGCTGGAGCCAAACTCTGGCCCAACCTCCTCGAGAATGTTCTCTTCTGAAAAGGGCTGTAAGACAGCCCTGACACCAGGCTAATGGTCTCTGAAGCTTAAAGACCCTTTCCCTTATAAAAGCCAGAGTGCCTGTACGGTGGAAGCTGAGGCAGGAAGACAGCTGAGCCAGAGCCAGTGCCAGGCCAGCCTGGCTACATAGTTAGGCTCTTGGGGGTGGGGGTGGAGCAAAGAGGAAGAGAAACTGTTGAGAACCTCGCAAGTTCAGGATCCATCTGTATTTCTGAAAACTAAAGAAACCAGGAGAGACAGGGACGTAACTAGACCAAACAGCAAACGCAAAGGCTTTCTGAACATTTAAACCCCTGGGGATTCCAGTTGGGAAGGAACACCATCAAAACACTTCCCTTCCCCCAAAACCCCAAACCCCCTCTGGCTCCTCAGGGAGCCTAAGCTCACCGCGACAGCTGGCGTCGCTTCGCGTCATGTTACCCTCCCTGTCACGCGCCCACGCGCTCAGGCCCTGAGGGTGACCTGTGCCTTTGTTTTTTAAGTTCCTCCTCCTTTAACCAAAATTGAGCAGCTCTCCCGCCTCCTTCCTCCACTCCTTAGGCACCCCTGAGTCCTCCCCAGAGCCCAGAGTCCAGAGCGGGCGACTACAGCCCCGCGGTCCCGTTCCTGGCGCCCCGGGCCAGGCCGCGGGACAGCAGGGGGCGCAACGCCGGGCGCCCGGGGCAGCAAGGGCGAGGCCGCGGCCGCCGCAGTAAACAAGCCGGGCCGCCACGCGGCGCCCGGAGCAGCGGGGCGGAGCCGCCGTCTCTCGGCCTCCCCGCCCCCCGCTTCCGGCCCCGAGGCGGCGGCCGCCCGGATCGCGAGCGCCTGTTCCTGGAGTCCCCGGAGCAGCTGAGGCCTGAGCAGGCGGAGCTGGAGTCTCCACCGAGCTCTCGCTGCTGCCCGGGAGGAGAGCTCGAGTGGCCGCACGACCTGGGGCAGTGGCAGTGGACAAAGGTGGGCGAGGCCCGAGTTCCGCAAGCTTCGTACCTTCTCCTGGGGCTTCTGCGGGGGCGGCCCGCTGGTCATCAGCGCAGCTGGACAAAGGTCTCCGGCAATCTTCCAAGAACAATGGCTTCTCCAGCCCTGGCAAGACCTTAGGACTGTATCATCTCCCCATTTTTTAAATTTTATTTTCTTGGGGGCTGGGGATTTAGCTCAGCGGCTTAAGCGCCTGCCTTGCAAGTGTGCAGTTGTGAGTTCGATCCCTGGTACCGATAAAAATGAAAAAGACAAAAAATTTTTTAAAAAATTTTATTTTCTTGGGGCTGGGGATTTAGCTCAGCGGCATAAGTGCCTGCCTTGCAAGCAGGCAGTCGTGAGTTCCATCCCCAGTACTGATAAAAAGAAAAAAAAAAAATTTTTTTTTTTTTAATTTTCTTGAGACAGGATCTTGCTGCATAGTCCAGGCTGGCCTCAGCTTTCTTGAGGACCCTCCTACCTCAGCCTCCATGGTACTGGAATTACAAGGCGTGCTCCATCATGATAAAATGAGAAAATAAATCCGAACTTTGAAATGTATGCAATCAAAGTCTCAACACTCTAATTCCTCAAAAAATTAAAATTAGGGGTTCCCTTTGATCCAGTTACTCTGTCTTATCTTCCCAAGAGAATTTAAAAGCATCCACAGTGATGCACACACACTCATGTTTATGGGGACACAGTTTGTAATAGCTAAATCTTTTTTTTTTTTTTTTTTGTCTTTACTCAGGACTGCCTGCTTGCAAGGCAGGCGCTTATGCCGCTGAGCTAAATCCCCAGCCCTGTAATAGCTAAATCTTGGAAATAACCCAAATGCCTATCAATACCCGTGAATGAAGATGTGTTTTTCATATACAGTAGTGTATTACTCAGCCATAAAGAAGGATAAACGAGAGATGTTTCTAGCTAAATGAACCTTGAGACCATTCTCTTGGGTGATACAAATTGGACACATGTTTAAATACTGCCTTGTAAAAAAATACTGCCTGATATTTCGTGTGAGAAACTGAAAGTGTTAATAAAGGTCAAAATGCATAATGGATATTAAATGGAAAGAAAATGTTCAAATAAGAGGAAGAGGGAAGGGGGAGAGGGAAAGGAAAGGACAAGAAAAAAAGAAAAAAATAGAAACAAAGTTTTTGTAAATACAGAGGGAAAGAGTTTGAACCGAGGGGAGAGGAATACAAAAAAAGAAGCAAAATATATCATATGCAGGTACAAACTTCTTTTGGTGAATATTCTCTTTAGATTTTTTTTTTTTTTGGTACCGGGCATCGAACTCCTGACCTTGCACTTACCAGGCAGGTGCTTACGCTGCTGAGCTAAATCCTCAGCCCAGAATATTCTCTTTTATCTAAAATGTATCACTAAAATTTTCACACACACACACACACACACACACACACAGGCACAAAAAGACTCACTGGCTCTAGTTCCACTTTTACAGCATTTTCCAAAGTATGTGTCACTTAATACTGGTGGAATTGGATTATTTCTGTATCACAGTTGTGTATTTTTTTTTGGGGGGGGGGTCCCAGGGATCAAACTCACAACCTTGTACTTGCCAGGCAGGCACTTATGCAACTGAGCTAAATCCCCAGCCCAGTTGTGTATTTTTTGGTTGATATTTTTGTTTATGGCTTTTGTTTTGAGACAGAGTCTTGCTTTGCAGTTCAGACTGGCCTTGAACTCATTATGTAGCTCAGGCTGGTCTTAAATTCATGGCAATCCTCCTGCCTCAGCCTCCAGAGAGCTAGGATTTTAGGCATGAGCTACCAGGCCTGGCCTACAGTTCTGTATTGCTGTTCTGTTTTGTTCTGTTTTGAGACAGGATCTCACTATGTAGTTCAATCTGACCTTGAGCTCACTGTGTCACCTAAACTGGCCTCATGGGGCAATCCTCCTGCCTCAGCTTCTCAAGTGCTGGAATTGAAGGTATGTACCACCACACCCAATTTTGTGGATTTTTTTAAATTTAATTTTTTTTTTTTGTACTGGGGATCAAACTTATGACTTGCAAAGCAGCTAAATCCCCACCCCACCCTTTTTTTTTTTTTTTTTTTTTTTTTTTTTTTTGTCTTTTTGAGACAAGGTCTCAATGTGCAGTTCAGGATGGCCTTGGGCTCACTTTGTAGCCCAGGTTGGTCATGAGTTTGCAAGGATACTCCTGCCTCAGCCTCTGGTGTCTGGGATTACTGCAGTGCGCCACCACACCTGGTTTGTTTTTCTTTTCTTAAAACTGAGTCTTGTCGGGGCTGGGGATTTAGCTCAGCAGCATAAGCGCTTGCCTTGCAAGCAGGCAGTCGTGAGTTCGATCCCTGGTACCGATAAAAACAAAAAAGACAAAAAAAAAAAAAAACTGAGTCTTGTCAAGTTGGCCTCCAACTCGTGGCAATTCTCCTGCCTCAGCCTTCTGAGTGCTGGGATTACAGGTATGCACCACCATGCCTGGCACAGTTAGGTTTTTGTTTTGTTGTTATTTTTAATCTGTGCATTTTACCCCTGTGCTGAGACATAACCACTAGTCCCAAGGTGGTATGCAAGCGGTCTGCCACTAGAGGCTGACATCTCTAGCCCTGGTTTTTTTGTGTGTTTGGCCCTTTCCCCTGAATGCAATGTCACTATTTTACTCTGTTTGACCTCAGACTTCTGGACTCAGTCCTCTGCCTCAGCCTCCCAAGTTGCTGGGATTCCAAGAACATGTGTCACCGCCCCTGGTTTGTCATATGTTTTTCAGTGACTTTAGAAAGAAATTGAACTACACAGCAGAATACCATTTCACAGGGCTTCTAGTTAGGGTAAAGAAAAATAATAGTATATCATGGAACAAGCTGAGCCAGGCTAGGATAAAGTTACGAAGGTGGATTGTGACAGATTGAAGCCAGGGAAGGAGTTTCTCAGTGAAAGGCTAATCTTACGGTCGTCAAAGTTCCTTCCAGCACTTTTTTTGTGTACTAGTATTGACCGCAGGTCTTTTATGCTAAGCTACACTCCTACCCCCTTTTTTGATTCTTTATGTTAAAACAGGGCCTCCCTAAATCACTAAGCCTCAGGACAAATTTGCCATCCTCCTGCCTCAGCCTCTCAGTGTTGGAATGATAGGCCTGTGCCACCATGACCTGTTCAGTGCTGACAGTCTTTGTTTTTTTTTTTTTTTTTTTTTTTGAGACAAGCTCTCTCTATGTAGTTCAGGCTGGCCTTGAGCTCTCTTTGTAGCCCAGGCTGGTCTTGAACTCAGTGATCCTCCTGCCTCAGCCTCCCGAGTGCTAGGATTACAGGCGTGAGCCACCAAGCCTGGTTGGTCTTTTTTTTTTTTTTTTTTAAGACACAGTCTTGCAAAAAAAAAAAAAAAAGAAAAAAAGACAGGGTCTTGCTATGAGACTTAAACTCTCTGCATAGCAAAGGCTGGCCTCCAAAGCCCAGCAATCCTTCTGCCTTAGTCTCCCAAGTGTGCGCTACCACAGTTAGGTACAATGACTATTAAGTACCAAATTTAAATCAGCTAATATTTTAAAGTGGTGCCTATAATCTCAGCATATGAGAGGCTGAGGCAGTAGGATCACAAAGAGTTTAAACTGATGAGCTCCCCAGGGAGCTCATAGCCAGCCTAGACTACGTATCGAGATCTTATCTCAAAAAACTAGAAAAACTAATGAGTAATAATTAAAATGCCCACTGGCTCCTTTCTCATCCCAGGTCTGAAGCCTTTCCTTTCCGCAGTCCCTTCTCAGCTGCCTTCTCTTTCCTTCCCTGCCCTGTCTGCCCAGATTACTTGCGGAAGACAGGTCACCTCTTCTTGCCCATTTCAAGGACTGGAAGGTTTCAGTTTCTTACGGAGAGGGGGGAGGTTGGAGGTCTGTCCCACAGCAGGAGCCTTTGGAATCTATTTCTGGATAGCAGTAACAGAACTGGGACGAGACCCTTTTCCAAATCCTAGCTGTCAGCTGCACCCAACCCAGAGAATGAGAGGATTCAGGGAAAAGTGAGCAGTTTCCCTGAGGCAGCTTGTGACTCTGGGGCAGTCTGCAGAATTTATACTTTTCAACTTTTCAACTTTGTCTGTCCTCATCATTCTCCCCAAACCTGATGAAAGTCACCTTTCCCTGTCCACAGGGGGCTCTTTTTTTATTTTTATCTTTTTGGTTATAAAATGGTTTTAATCATTTCTTCCTTTTACAAAGCATTGGGGCCAAGGGTAGGGGCACACGCCTATAATCCCAGCATTTGGGAGGCTAAAGCAGGAGGATGGTTGAGAGTTCGAGGCCAGGCTGGGCTACATAGTGACACCTTATCTCAAAACAACAAAACAAAGCCCTCATTTTTCCGGATGAGAGGTGTACTAAACGGTCAGTTAAGTACTTGCCTGGCATGCGTAGGGCCCATCCAAAACCACAAAAACAAAAAACAAACAAGGCCTTGATTGATGACTTTAAAATTTTGTTATAGTGTTTTTTCTTCTTCTTCTTCTTTTTTTTTTATCCTACCAGGGATCAAACTCAAGACCGCCTACTTGCAAGGCAGGTGCTTATTCCACTGAGCTAAATCCTCAGCCCTTTATTTTTCTTTCTTTTTATCTGTGAATAAATTGGATTTTTTAAAAAAGGGGAAAATCATTTATTCTTCTAATCTTAGATCAAGTTTCAACTATGCAATCTTTTCCAGAAACATCTCTCTGTTCCCAGTTACAGAGACCAAAATTTTTTTTTTTTTTTTTTTACAGAGACCAAAATTATGAAATTATAAAAGGTATGTCTTCCCTGGATTTTTTTTTTCTTCCCTTTCCTTTCTTTTTTTTTTTGGGGGGGGTGTCTTTTCCCTTTTTATCCGTACCAGGGATTGAACTCACGGCTGCCTGCTTGCAAGGCAGGCATTTATGCCGCTGAGCTTTATCCTCAGCCTCCTCCCTTTCCTTTCTTTTCCTTTTCTTTTCACTTGTTCTCTCTCTTGCTCGCTCCCTCATCTTCTTTTTTGAAAGCAGGGCCTAAGCACTGAGCTATGTTCCCTACGCCCTTTTCTTTTTAATTTTGAGACCAAGTCTTACTATACTGCCCAGACTGAGCTAGAATTTTTATCCTCCTCTCTCAATTTCCCAAAGTGCTGGAATTATAGGTGCATCACTATGCCTAGCTCCTAGCTCTTTTTAATTTTAATTTTGACACAGGATCTCATTAATTGCCTAGGTTGGACAACAAGGTCTTTTTTTTTTTTTTTTTTTGTCTTTTTCGTTTTTATCGGTACCAGGGATCGAACTCACGACTGCCTGCTTGCAAGGCAGCCACTTCTGCCTGCTGAGCTAAATCCCCAGTCCCGGACAACAGGTCTTTTCCCTGCTCCTCCTCCTCCTCTTGCTTCTCTTTCTCCTCCTCCTTCTTCTTCTGGTTCTGCTTCTTTGTCTTTGTCTCTGCCTTCTTTTTTGACAGGTCTTGTTCTGCTGCTTTTGAATTTACCATGTAGCCCAGGTTAGCATTGAACTCACAGTGATCCTCCTGCCTTAGCCTCCCAAGTGCTGGGATTACAAGCATGAACCACCACATCAGGCTTTACAATTTGTTTGTATAGATTGGATTCATTCATCTTTTTTTCAAATCCTTTTATTCAAGGATAAAAAGAAAGAGAAAAAGAAGAGGAGGAGGAAGAAAAAGAAGAAACTACAACAAAATTTCAAAACGTGAATCAAGGGGCAACAATGGTACATACACTTCCTTTTGTATCTTGAGTTGCGTCTTTTTGTTTTTGTTATTGTTGTTGTTGAGTTGAGCTTTATTTATCATCATATCCCCACTATGTGGATGTTATGGGCACAAAAAAGCAACCCAATGAGTACTTAATAACTCCATAAATGTGAGAGTCCCACTGCTATTCTGATTACAACACCCTTCAGACAATGTCCCCCAATTTAACTTGGTCATCCAGTTTTCATCAAGTGTGACCCCTGCCTTCTCCTTTCTCTCCTCCATACATTTTTTTTTTTTTTTTTTTTGTCTTTTTCCTTTTTATCGGTACCAGGGATCGAACCCACAACTGCCTGCTTGCAAGGCAGGCACTTATGCCGCTGAGCTAAATCCCCAGCCCCCCCATTTACCTTTTATTTTACATTCTCTCTCTCTCCATATATATATGGATTAAAATATATATTTTATATTATATATTGGATTAAAATATATTTTATATATATAAAATTATATATAATATATTAAATATAATATATATATTATGGATTAAAAACTGGTGGTCAATTTAACATCAGCTGAATTAAATCAGCATGGTGCTGATTGTAGATGGCCCACCTGAGGATAGTTGCTGCCATAAAGACATGTGGAGAGGAAGAATGGCCATTGTAAGTTCTCCTAAGTGTTGTTGGTTGGAGCTGCTGGTTCTTCCCTGATGTGGATTCAGCCATTAGGAGTGTAGGAGCTCAGGACCTTGTCGATGAAGATGACTGCACTTTACTTTGGGGAGCTCTGGTCCTTACTTTGAGCATTTCTTCCTGGCTCCGGATGGGAAGATGTGTACTGCTTAGTCTCCAGAAGTTTGTCACGCTGGCTTCCTGATGTGAACCTGGCTGTTCTCATCGTTGGAGGAGTGCAGGACCTCACTGTCACTGAAGATAGCTGTGGAACTTTTCAGGGGATCCCTGGTCCTTGTTTTAGCATCACTTCTAGGCTCCCGTGTAGAACCCTAACCTACTGGCACAAATCCTTCGTTCAGCTGACACATTTTCAAGCTTCCACGGCTGACCTTTTGGGCCTTCCCAGCACAGATCTGTAAAACAGGACTTGCATGAGTCATTGTTGTGGGCTCTAGGTTTCCAGCTAGACTCCTGCAGGACATTGCTGTGGGATCCAGGCCCTCAATTAGATTTCCTTGGGTCTTTAGTATTGAGCATAGATTTCCTGCATTTTCTTGTATTTACCTCTGGGTGACCATCATAAAATAATGCTATAAATTCTTTTTTTTTTTTTAATTTTTATTTAAGGACAAAAGAAAAGAAAGAAAAAAAAAAAACAGTGAAGGGGTACAAGTTATACAGATTTACAGAAGAAAAAAATGCGCAGTAGGAAATCACTAGTTAATGGATTACATATTGCCATCTTAGAAATAATTGTTCCAGTCACAAAATTAAAGCTTGTAGAGTGAACATTCCAACAATGATACTGCAAACAGTTCTGTTCAATGATCCAATAAAACTCTGTGATATCATTTTCTATCTTATACATTTAAATATACATGCAGTTATATAGTTTAGAGCACTTTCTTTTCCTCTCTTTTGTACAGTGACTATTACACATTTTGGGTTTCATTGCTCCCACGGTTTGTATTGCTTTTTTGGAAGAGAGTAAAACCAAATGTGACATAACAGAACAGAATCGGTCAAGTCAAAAGGGTGGACATAATAGATATTATAAAAACATAATACAAGATGATCAACAATGGTTACCATAATGCCTCCCGCTATTTCTAATAGAATTGCCTATATCATTAGTTGTAATACAATTGAACAAAACCGTAAAGAATAAAACCGACAAAACCAGAACATTGGAGATATTGTAGGTCTTCAAAAGTAGATAAAAGTCAACGAGAATGGGCGTTATAATGAATCTCATTATCTTAATGCTATAAATTCTGTGTCCTGTATATAATTATTCCCCTTGCAATCTCTGACTACTATATATATATATATATATATGTATGTATATATATATATAACATATAGGTTTCTTATATAGAATTCATGTGATATTTATGCTTGTGTATCTGATTTATTTCACTTAACTTTATGTTCTCAAAATGCATCTCTTTGCCTACAAATTTGCCTTCCAGTTTATCTTCACGGAAGAGTGGTACTCCATTGTGTATATTCATTCTCTGTCTCTTTCTCCCTGGGGGAGACGGTTTTGTTTGTTTGTTTGTTTTATCGGTACCCGGGATCGAACTCATGACGGTCTGCTTGCAAGGGCAGGTGCTTATGCCACTGAGCTAAATCCCTAGCCCCGGAGAAGGGATTTTGCGACAGGATCTTCCTATGTAGTTGAGACTGGCGTTGAACTCCCAGCGATCCTACTTCCTCAGCATTGAAAGTGCTGGGATTACAGCTATGTGCTGCCATGCCTGGTTTGGACTGGTTTGGATTGCGTTCTTTTTTTTTGGTGTCCAGAATCAAACTCACGACCTCACGCTTGCCAGGCAGGCGCTTATACCGAGCTAAATCCCCAGCCCCCCCCCTTTTTTTCCTGTCCTTTTAAACTACTGTATTCTACATTTCTAGCACATTCATGGGACACAATAGACACCCAGGGAATTTCTTTAAAAGGCAGGCAGGTAGACAAGCATATCCATATCAGACAGGAGTAGAGGAGCACTGCTGAATTCTGGCCTAGGAGTTACAGGAGCTTTGTGTTTTTGTTGTTGTTGTTTTGTTTTTTTGAGACAGGGTCTCCCTATGCAGTTCAGGCTGGCCTTGAACTCACTTTATAGCCCCAGGCTGGTCTTGAATTTGCAAGACTTCTCCTGCTTCAGCCTCCCAAAAAATGGGATTACAGACTTGTGCTACCACACCGGGCTAGATCAGGGCATCTTTGGACCTTTGTTTTTGTTTTTGTTTTGTTTTGTTTTTAGTCTTTAGGGATCAAACTCACGACTGCCTGCTTGCAAGGCAGGCGCTTATGCCGCTGAGCTAAATCCCCAGCCCCCATCTTTGGACCTTTGACAAGCGCTTCACCTTCTCTGAGCCAAGGGTATGGGAGGTTAGAGCCAGTAACATAACACCTAGTCTTTTTTCCCATCCCATCCTTCGCCTTCACCCCAAAAACTCTGTCAGTGTTCCCTGCAAAGGTGCCAACGCTCTGCGGAAGTCCGGAGCGTCAAGGAGAGCACAAGGGAGTCGCCGAGCAGCTCACTGCTGCCACCTGCTGCTTCTGAACAATATCGCTCGGTCTTGTTTTCCAAGGGAGGGACTGGAGGAAGGTGTGTTCTGGAAAAGGGTGGGAACGTTTTTGTAAGTTTTTTCCCTCCCCTCTGAACTCTTGTCTTACACTTAGCTTACCTAGACTTTTCTACTATCCCATTCCCTGAGCAGAGACACGAACTTACGACCTTTTAAAGACTTGATTTTGGCCAGGAATATAGCTCAGTTAGACAGCTCCTGCCAGGCAAGCATGAGGTCTTGAGTTTGATTCTCCATAAATTACCCTCTTCCTGCAAAAGACCTCATCTCTCAAAAGACTGGGCTGCTCTCTTCTACCATGAAGGCTTCAAAACGGAAAGAAAACTAAAAGTGAAATAAACCTAAATAAGGATGAATCACAAAAATCTGTTATTTTCTGCCTGACTTTTTGTTTGTTTTATACCAGGAATCAAACTCACAATCTCACACCTGCCAGTTAGGCACTGTGCTGCTGAGCTGTATTCCCAACTTCATGACTATTTTAATGATTTTATTGTGAAAAATATTAACTATCAAACGATTTACTTAAAATTTCTGTTGTAAAAAAATTTTTTGTTGTTGTTGTCTGTTGTGTTTAGCAAGCAGCCTGGCTTCAGTGTCCTCTATTCTGAGCTCCTGGTGCTGGGTACCACTGAGTACCACAATGGGACCCCCACTTTGGAAAAAGTCTTCCAGGGCCAGGGATTTAGCTCAGTGGCATAAGTGCCTGCCTGGCAAGCACAAGGTTGTGAGTTTGATCCCTGGTACATCTAAAAGAAAAGAAAAAGTCTTCCTGATGTAAACCTGTACTTCCATAGCCAGGCTTGGTGGCTCACGCCTGTAATCTCAGCACTCAGGAGGCTGAGACAGGAGGATTGTTGAGAGTTCAAGATCAGTCTGGACTACAACTTGAGTTCAAGGCCAGCCAGAACTGCATAGAGACCCTGTCTCACAAAATAAATAAATAAATAAAAATAAACCTATAGTTTCCTGCTTAACTGCTGGGCTGTTATATATATAGTCTTTTTCCTTTTTATCGGTACCAGGGACTGAACCCACGACTGCCTGCTTGCAAGGCAGGTGCTTATGCCACTGAGCTAAATCCCCAGTCCCTTGGGCTGTTACATTTTATAGCTCTGTCCTACCTGGGATCTCACCCTACCTAGGAATTAATAGGAGACAATAATGTTTGGTTGCTACCTGAAATGAGGGGCTGGATGGCTTTGGGGTTAAGAGTTCATTTTTGCCTTGTCACAGCCTTGCCAACGGCCAGCTCCTATGTGTTTACCTCTCTATGTCTTTAGTTTTTTTTCTTTCAAAATCAGAACATGGCCCCCCTCCAAGAAAACTTATTTCGGCTCCAAGGAAGGGTCCCAATATAGTTATCCCTACCACTTGTTGAATATTGTTTTTCCTAGTGGGTTTATTAAGAACAGACATCAAGGCCAGGGGTTTAGCTCAGTGGCATAAGTGCCTGCCTGGCAAGTGTGAGGTTGTGAGTTCAATCCCCAGTACCAACAGACATTAGCCTATGATGACACACCAACAATCCCAGCACCATTGGAGGTTGAGACAGGAAGACTGATGTTGGAGCCCAACCCTAACAACTTAGTGATTTAGCAAAAATTTGTCTCAAAAAGCAGGGCATGGAAGCACATGCCTGTAATCCCAGGACTCAAGGAGGCTGAGGCAGGGTAGCAACAAGTTTGAGGCCAACCTTGGCTAGTGAATTCAAGGACAGTCTCAACTACATATTGAGACTATCTTTAAAAAAAAAAAAAAAAGAATTATTCTAGCATCCCTGAGATAAATCAGGAAAAAAAAAACTTAGAAATCACTGAGGTCAGTGGTTCTCAAGTGTACACAGTTTTGCAAGCTCCAACTGCACTGTGTCACTGGTGCCAGCTTAAATAAAGTGCTCCTTTTTCTTTTCAAAGACTTTTTGCCCTGTTTTTTTTGGACGACATCTCAGGGTCTTATTTTTGGGATACAACATCACTAAATTCTTTCATTTTCAGACAAAGAAATGGAAGCATTGAGGATAGACACAGTGGCACACATCTATAATCCCAGCATTTGGGAAGCTGAGGCAGGAGGATTGCCACAAGCCAGCCTGGATTACATAGTTAGTTCAAAGCCAGCCTGAACTGCATAGAGAGACCTTGTTTCAAAAAGAATAAAAGCAAAACAAAACAATGAAATGAAATGGTGGCATAGAGAAATGAAGAGTCATCTATGCTTTTAAACATGATCTGTGGTATTTTCATGTGTCTCTTCTCTACCCATACTAAAGAGCAAGGACTGGGGGTTGTATGTGTTATTTGCTCCCTAGTATTTCACTCATGGAGCTACTTCATGAATGCTATTGACTACTGAATTAAGTACCAAGCTTTTCAGGCTGGGGTTTTAGCTCAGTGGCATAAGTGCCTGCCTCACAAGCACATAGTTGTGAGTTTGATCCTGGGTACCACTAAAAAAAAAAGTACTAAGTTTCTTTTTTTTTTTTTTTGTACTAAGCTTTTCTACCGCAACTAGAGCAAAAAGTTACTGGCTAAAATAAAGAAGAAAGAAAGAAAAAAAAAAAAAAGAAGAAGAAGAAGAAAGATGACTGTTGTACCAGCCAATGGACTTCTGGATAGTTGGAGAGGTAAACCATTAACCAGGTCAGGAAAGACATCATCAGGTGTCAGCCAGGTGAACTTAAGAGCTGCAAGACTGAGGAGAGAACTCAGTGACTTTGAGGCAGCTCAGTAAGCTTTGGTTCTTCTTGTAATTTATGTACCTTCCTATCCCTCTAAGATGACCTTGAATCCCAGATTTTTGAAACTTTGGAACTTTTCAAATTCAAATGTTTCCTCTAAACCAATGAACGGTTTCAGAAAAAAGAAGACTATGTTCTTCTACCCTCAGCTTTTCTTTTTTCTTTCTTTCTTTTTTTTTTTTTTTTTTTTTTTTTTTGTCATTTTCCTTTTTATCCATACCAGGGATCGAACTCATGACTGCCTGCTTGCAAGGCAGGTCCTTATGCCGCTGAGCTAAATCCCCAGACCCAGCTAAATCCCCAGCCCCTACCCTCGGCTTTTCTGTAGTTCTATCCCATGCTGTATCCATGCACAAATTTTCCCAGCAAAGATAAACATGGGGAGCAAAAATGAGTCACCTTTCCTGGAGAGATAGGGAACAGAAAAGGGTGAGAGTGAAACACAAGCTGAGCTGGGGACACAACCCTTACCCTCTTCTCTATCACCAGGGCTTCCACAGAAGAGGTATGGCGAAGGGGCTGGGAATTTAGCTCAGCAGGCATAAGCACATGCCTTGCAAGCAGGCAGTTGTGAGTTCAATCCCTGGTACCGGTAAAAAAAAAAAAAGAAGAGGTATGGCGAGCAACAGAGAGGAGTGGACTGTCACTGGCGAGGCCACAGTACCTGGTCCTGGCTCCCTGCCTATCCCCAAGAGGTAGCCTCATGGTCATCTGAGTCTTCCAGGTCCCCAGTATTGCCTGCAACTACACATTCTTGTCCACTATGTCCCCCAGCCATCATGAGTGAACCTAGTGAATACCATACCATAGACTTTTATAAGAATCTGGAAGTAACCAGAAAGTACTCTTTCACCCAGAGAAGTGGCCCAGACTTCCTCTACTCTGCTTCCCAGATCCTGCGGAGAGGAGTCAGACCTGACCCAGAAGAGGAAGTGTGTGGTGGGCCACATTAGATATCACAATCCCCTGTTAATTAAGGCTTCCCTGCTGTCCTACTGTACTATATGTATTCTTAGATTCCTAAGGTCTCCTTATTTGGCAAGAAAGGGCCAGGCCTGAGGAGAGTTTAGAGGGTCAAAGGTTGAATGTAGGAAGTGTGATCATCTCTATCTCTGACTGTGCTGACTTTGTAGGTCTCTAAGATCTGGCCTCTATGTTCCCATGAATGCCCATGGGTCTGTGTGATACTGGCATGGGGTGAGTGCCTGTGTCAGCCCTTGTGTGACGGGGCTCCCAGTGGTGTGCACATGGGTTGGGAGGGGGTGATGGTGAGTGCCTGGTTCCTTCTTCCTCCCCCATCCCTGCTCCCATCTGGCCTTGATCAGCCTGTCCCTAGGGAGGGAGCCGCGGTTTCGGATACAGGAAAATGTTCCAGGAAGCGGCCACTGTGCTGAGCCCTACTCAGGCTCCCCTAGCGGAAATTGTTCCAAGAGGGAGGAGGGAAAGGAGTGTTGAGATAGGATTAAGGGAGGAGGAAGGATGCCTCTTGGCTACCCTCTTCACGGGATAAAGCTGGATAAGTTAATGGGAAGCCCAGGTCAGCAAGGAACCTGAATGCTACTACCTAAACAGAAGGAACTAAAGCCAGAAAGAGAGGGTCCCCTTTCTTCTCTGGCTCTCTCCGTAGTGAAGTTTTATTATCAAAATGTTGGTGGCCCTTGAAGGTCCCTTTTCTGGACCTACTATCTTATACATGAGCTGAGGACCAGGACACCTGGGTCTTGTCTGAAAGTGGTGTGGTCTGGGAGGGCATGGAGTCAGCCCTCTCTTCTCCCCACTGAGGGGGCTTTGAAGCTTGGATCCAAGACCGGGAGAGCTGCCTAATTGGTATAATGGAGGTTAATGGGGCGCCTGGAGGGGGTGGCCACGCTCCTAGATCAAAGCGGCCAGCTCCCCACCACCACCCGACCACCACAGCTGGAGGTCACAGCTGGAGGGGGAGGGGCAGGGCTCGCGGCCAGCCAGCAGGGGGTGCTCTGGGCCCGGAATGCTGGTCCTCTCCAGTCTCTGATCCCTTCTTTTGTAGCTGTAGAGAGTGATCCTGGAGGACGTGGACATAAAGGACGGGAGCTCTATGATCTAGACTCCTCTTTGGGGCTATGAGGAAGAGACTAAGCATGATAAGCTGGCTGCCTGGCATTAAAAGGATGTCAACGCCTTCGGGACCTCAAATTCTGCAGGGTCCAAAGGCAGAAGCCTTAGCAGAAGGCTCGGCCATACCAAGGCTGGGGAAGCACGATTTGGTCGGCCGCTGGGGGCGCCGGTCAGGGCGGAGGTTTCGAAAGGGGCACCGATCTCCCCTACCGCCGCCCCCACCCAGCCTGGCGCTCCTTCTCGGGCTCTAATCGGCGCGGCGGCCGCAGCGGGCAGAGTCAGCGCCGCCAGTCTCCGGGACGCGACTCCCAGCAATTGTGGTCGGGACCGCAGATATGCAGCTGCCTCCTGCCCGGGCGCCTGGCCCAGCCGGCCCCGCCCGCCCCTCGGCCTGCCCGCGCGGGGACAGGGAGGCTCTAGCAGGAGCTCGAGTCCCGCGTGGCTCCGAGCCCTGCTTTGGAGCCTGAGGACCCACCGGTCTGAGGGTATCTATCTCCACGGCGGCTGTCACCGGGGCTGAGACCTCCGATCTTGCCTTTGCTTTAATAGTGCACCCTGACTCAAACCTCTAAGCCAAGCCGTGTTAGAGATTCAGATCCAGAGGGGTGTGCGAGGGTTTGTGGGGAGGAGGGATTAATGGTGGGGACCGCGTCCTAGGGTCGTTCATTAACCCAGGTAGTAGGAAAAGGAAGGCTAGCGAGGGGGAACCAGGTAGGCTCCAAACAGAGCTTTCTTTGGGGATGTTCCTTCTAGGGGAGAGGAAGGAGAGAAAGGGATTAGGCAACAAAAGGGAAGACAAATGGTTCTCAGGGATTAAGACAATGCAAGGAATCCTCAGATCCTGTGCTACCCTTCACCCTGTGTCCAGACCCACCAGTCCCAGAACAAAGACCCCAAAAATGCCTCCTGGCCTGCTTATTCCTCAAATCCAATGAGGCGGTAGAGATGTCTACTCTAACTTCTAAACGTCAAGTTTCAGTTATTGCTTACCTTCTCGGCCTGCAGGCGCATCTTGCTGTTCCCCGGACTGCTTCAACAGATTGGTCTCCTTGCCAGTGATTTTTTCTTCTAGGGTACCAAGACACCAACAGGCACCGTTTATGGAGCAACTACTACCTGGCAAACACTGTTAAAAGTCTGTGTGTAAAGGGTTGGGATGTAGCTCAGTTGTACAAGTCTCTCCTAGCATGCACGAGGCAGTGGATTCAATCCCCAGCACTGGAAATAAAGAGTCCAAAACCAGGCATAATATGTGTGCCTGTGAGACCAACACTGTGGGAGACTGAAGCAGGAGGATGCCAAGTTTAAACCCTGCCAGGGCAAATTAAACTAAAGAATAAAAAGTACTGGGAGGTGGTTCAGTACAAAAACCCTGAGTTCAAGTCCTAGTACCAGAAAAAGAAATTTGAATTAAAAAAAGAAGAAAGTGGGAGCTGGAGCTTTAGCTCAGCGGCATAAGCGCCTGCCTTGGAAGCAGGCAGTTGTGAGTTCAATCCCTGGTACTGATAAAAAGGAAAAAAAAAAAAAAAAAAAAAAAAAAAAAGAAATTTGCATTTTTTAAAATAGTATGTTGGATCAAACCCAGAGCCTGGCACACATTAGCCAAGTTCTCTACCTTTGAGCTACACCCTCAACCCTTATTTCTTACCTTTATAACAACCTTAGGAGTTGGCCATGTTGTTTTCCTTTTACTTAAGCAGAGGACTCTTAGGCATCAAGGGTGAAATAACCTGCCTGAGCTTGCACCATAGTAAAGGATTGATTTACCCAGAACTCCCTGGCTCTGAGCCCTTACAGTATCTCATTCTCATCTCTGCAGCCACGGTCATCTTTCTAATACACAAATGTTCCCTTGTTTTCCTCTTAGGGTCAAGCTCAGGCCCCAGCATGGCTAATGAAACTTTCTCCATAGCCTCCACTGTCTATGGTCCAGTCAACTATTGGCGCCTCTAAAGTGTTGCTAATCCTTCATGCTCTGGACATTGCATATTCTTCCCTTTATAGGTTACCATTCCTTTTGTTCTGTTTCTGAGATAGGGTCTCTCTATGTAATTCAGGCTGGCCTTGAACTCACTGTGCAGCCCAGGATGGCCTTGACCTTGTCTTGATCCTCCTGAGTCAGCCTCCTGAATGCTGGGATCACAAATGTGAGTCACCATGGTGGGCTAGGGATTAATCTTTCAGCTTCTTTATGTAGTCACCCTTTCTTCCAGAAAGCCTTGCTCAACTCCCCCTACACTGGCTTAGGTTCACTGTGTCTCCATTAAAATCCTGTATTTACTGAATCGAGCCAGAAAAGGCAGCAGGATCACAAGCTTGAGTCTCGCCTGGGGAATTTAGCAAAACTCAGGGGGCTGGGGATTTAGCTCAGCGGCATAAGTGCCTGCCTTGTAAGCAGATAGTCGTGAGTTCGATCCCCAGTACCGATAAAAAGCAAAAAGGCCAAAAAAAAAAAAAAAAATTAGCAAAAAATAAAAAACAGGGGCTAGACATGTAGCTTAGCACTATGAAAGTCCTGGGTTGAGTCCCCATGCGCATGCGCGTGCACACACACACACACACACACACACACACACACACACACACATATATATACACACACACACATACCACCACTCCTACCACTTTCCCCTTAGCCATAGTGGTAACCATCTCAGAAAAGATGGGTATAGGGCTGGAGATGAGGCTTAATGTGAACCCTGAGTACTGCAAAAAAGAAAAAGAAAAACAAAAACCGATTTTTCCCTTCTTTTGTGAGAGTTGCTGGTTAGTACTGCAGAGGACTGTCTGTCTTGTTCTTGGCTGCATATTCAAGTCTAGCTCCGTGTGCCTGGCACCAAATAAGTGCTCCCTGAACATTTGTGGAATGAAGGGATGTTGTAGTGGTCCATTCCATATCTCATAATCTTGTGCTTTCAAGAATAATCCAAACTGGGTGTGGGAGCACATACCTGTAATCCCTGCAGTTGGAGGCTAAAGCAGAGGATCAGCAGGGAATTCCAGGCTAGCCTGGCTATTGTAACAAGAACAATCAAGCAGGTCAAGAGACAACAGGAAAATGTGTTTATCTAGGATTTTAAAGGAGCATTCCCAGCTGGGTATAGTAGCACACACTGTAATCCCAGTATTCTGGAGGCTGAGATAGGATTGCTGTGAGTTTGAGGCCGGCCTGGGCAACACAGAGTTCAAGGCCAACTTGTACTATATAGTGAATGAGACCTGTCTCAAGAAAAAAAAAAAAGGTTATTCAGTCCCATTCCTATGGATAGATTGTATGTTCAGGACTGTGTCACCCTAAATTTTGTTTGTTTAAGAAAACTTCTTTTCTTTTCTTTTTTTTTTTTGGTCTTTTTTGTTTTTACTGGTACCAGGGATCAAACTCACAACTGCCTGCTTCCAAGGCAGGCGCTTATGCCGCTGAGCTAAATCCCCAGCCCCAAGGAAACTTATTTTCTAGGCTGGGGATTTAGCTCAGTAGCATCAGTTCCTGCCTGGCAAAGGCAAGGTCATGAGTTTGATCCCCAGTACCAAGACAAACGAACAAACAAACAAAAAACACTATTTCCTGTATCAGATTCCAGATTCTTTCTTTCTTTCTTTATGTGCTATGGGGGCTTAAACCCAGGACTTCATACAGAACTACATCCCTAGTTCCTTTTTATTGTTTTTTTCTTTTTTTTCCCCCAGTTCCTTTTAAAAAGTTTTAGAATCATCATCATCATTTTTTTTTGTCTTTTTCCTTTTTATCGGTACCAGGGATCGAACTACATTATCCTGTTGGTCCCTGCCATCCTTTCTCCCTCTCTTCTTCTTTTTTTGTACCAGGAATCAAACTCACAACCTCATACTTGCCAGTCAGGTACTGCTAAGCTATATCCCTAGCTTTCTCTCTCTTCTTTTTTTTTTTTTTTTTTTTCTTTTTTCATTTTTATCGGTACCAGGGATCAAACTCACGACCACCTGCTTGCAAGGCAGGTGCTTATGCCGCTGAGCTAAAACCCCAGCCCCCTCTCTTCTCTCTTCTTATAGCACCTTTTTTTCTGTATCTCTGTCTCTCTCTCTCAGACAGGGTCTCACTGTGTTGATCAGGCTGGCCTTGAACTTGCTTATATAGCCCAGGCTGGCCTTAAACTCATGGCAATCTTCCTTCCTCAGCCTTCCAAGAACTGGGACTGGGACTTACTCTTTTTTTTTTTTTTACACAGGGGCTCACTATGTAGTTCAGCCTGGCCTTGAGCTTTCCTCCTTACCTGTGTTACCGGCTTGCCTCCTAGATCCTAAGCTCATTGAGCCTAGCTTGTGAATGCTGGGTAGGGCCCAACAGTTTTTTAATCCTGGGCCACATTTTGTGGATCTTTGCTGGACCCACAACTCTCCCTGGTCACCAGCCCTTTGCTCTTGGAGGACCCTACCCAACAGCAGTTGTCCCGCAGGTCTCCTGTCTGTATCCCACCATCTCTACTTCCCCTTGTCTCTCTCCCCTTATCTTTCTGGATGCCTTCTTTTCCATCCTTTTTGTGTTCTCTGTCACTAGAGCCACCACAGGAGATGAGAGGGCTGGGCCTGAGTGCATATTGTGGGGGGGTAGTGGCCAGACCGGGCCCGGGACATGAGTGCAACTTTCCAAGCTTCTCTTCCAGGCCCCTGTGGTTGGGGAGCTCCACAGAGGGAGAGATGAGTCAGCAGGGTTGAGGGAGGGCATGGGGAGGTGGGTACGTGCCGGGGCTCCCCAGGGCCAAGGAGTTTGCTGGGGCCATTGAGGTCTCTGAACTCTGGTAGGAGTGAGGAGTAAAGGATCAAAGGTGCCCAAAGGTACACTAATGGCTCCTCAACTAGTAAGAGGTGCAGGCATCAGTGTTAGGACTGGAAGAAGCCCCCACATGACTTCATCTCCAGATTTTTGTAGGGAGAGGGGTTCTCAAATACCCCTCAAGAAATGTCCAGAGCTGTAAAGTTGTGATGATAGGCCTGCATGTATATTTGTGACATTTGCCATGTGTGGAGACGTATTAATATGAGTCTGTGTGAATTCCTAAGGGGAACTAGGAGACTACAAGTGCATCATATATGTATACTGGTGCATGCTTTTGGTTTTTTTGGGAAGGTTTATTAGTAATTGAGCCCAAGGTCTTCACGCTGTGTTACATCTGCAGTTCTTTTATTTTATTTTAAAGAAAATAAAACCAAACATAATAAAATAGTATAAAGCCAATCAAAACAAAATAGTGAAAGTGATACAGGACTTCAAAACAGGACAATAGAGGCTGAGGATTTAGCTCAGTGGCGTAAGTGCCTGCCTGGCAAGCACCAGGTCATGAATTCAATCCCTGGTACCAAAAAACAAACAAACAAAAAAACTCAGGACAATAGGAAATCAACAATCCAGCCCTTTTGTTTTTATTTATTTATTTATTAGCCCTTTTATTTTAAGAAAGGGTTTTAGTAAGCTAAATTTCACAGGCTGGGTTTGAGCTTCCAATCCTCCTGCTTCAGGCCTCCCAGAGTACTGGGATTACAAGTGTGTGAGTCACCACACCTGACGATGCATGCATTTTTATGATGGAGGTTAGGAGGTTCTGGGGTAAGCATCATGTGTACAAGACACATACGTGCCAGAGGTGTCTGCATAGGACGTATATGTGAATGAGTTATGTGTTGCAACATATGTGCAAGTATGTGTATCTGAATGTGTATCATTCCTTAGGGACATATTAGAGTGTGTGTACATCTCTATTTCAGGAGTTCTGTTTGCACTGGTGATTCTCTCTTGCATGACCAAATCTTCAGTAACACCATCCAGGGGAAGCCTTGAAGTCCTTGGGATTGGAGGCCTGAGGCTCAGAGGGAGCCCAGCCTAGCAGAGTGGATAGAGGGCAGTGGATATGGAAGGAGGTAGGTTCCCAAAGGAGCAGGAATAGAGGTCTCCCACTTGGCCCAGGTTTTTTTCTCACCACCACACACTCTGCTTTTCAGAAAGATCCAAAACAATTGGAGAGAACTGAGGCAGGTTCCAGATTCAGCTCCTCTAGCCTAGGAAGCCCCTCTAGCCTAGGAAGCCCATCCGGGGTTGTCCTAATGGAGGGAGGGAAGGGAGTGGTCCCTGCGGTTCAGCCCAGTCCTGGCATTGGGAGATCAGAAAGACACCACCCACTCCTTCCTTCAGGGACATCCATCTCATAGTGTAGTGTCTGGGTGGCCATGGGCGGAGGCTGAGGGGCCCCCAGGGTGGTGGTGGGGTGGATAGAAACCAGATGCCTAGGGGGTTTATACTGGAAGGACCAGAGCCCGCAGCCTCTACCCGCCCCTGCCACATGGCGCCTCTTGGTGGGGGGGGGGGGTGGCTGCCCCACCCCCTGGGAGGCAGGGTTGAAGGAGGCCAGAGAGGGTGGAGGTAGGTCCTTGCTAGGGATGCAGTTGCTGCCCCAGTTCCTGAGGGACCTGGGAAGGCGGGTGGGAGCAGGACCCAGGAATATCAGGTCTCAGCTGGGTTGAGGGCTGTCTTTAAAAAAAGGTATGGAAGAAGTCAGCATCTAGCACCACAGCTGGGCTGAGGGCTGAGCTGGAGGCCTTGCCTATGTCTCTGACAGGGACCCTCTATGTAGCTGTGGCTCTGCCTCTGTAGTTACTTGGCTGGGGTTGACACAGTAGGCATACTCTTTTTCCTGGGACCAGGTCCTCCTTTTTTCTGTTCCCTAGCACTCTGGGTTTGAATATTCCTCCTTTCCTTTCAGGTAGAATTAGGGATGAAACCCCAAGAGGGCGGTGAAGAAGGTTGACCCTTCTCCTCATGTCCTCACTCTAGCCCTGTCCCTCCTTTCATTTTGCATCCTCCTTTTTCTCCTCAATTTTTTTCTTCCCCAATCTAATTTGAATCCCAGTTCCCTTTTCTTTTCTTTTCTTTTCTTTTGTTTTCACCCTTATCTGCTGTCTTTTTTTTTTTTTTTTTTTTTTTTTTTTGTCTTTTTCATTTTTATAGGTACCGGAGATCGAACTCACGACTGCCTGCTTGCAAGGCAGATGCTTATGCTGCTGAGCTAAATCCCCAGCTCCTGCTGTCTTTCATAGTCTAGACTTTTTTACTCTGCCTCAGTTTCCTGCCTGATCTGACTGATCTCAAGCTCTTCTATTGTCAATACAGTGATAGTTTTTCTAAAACCCAACCTTCCTTTCTCTCTTCTTTCTCCCTCCCTCTTTTTCTCTCTCTCTTTCTTTTGACAAGGTCTCCCTATGCAGTCTAGGCTTTGAATTTATAATCTTCCTGTCTCAGCCTCCCAAGTTCTGGAACGGCAAGCATGAAGTATGTGACATCATGTTCAGCTTCTAAAGTTTGCTTTTCTTCCCAACTTCTGAGTTAGGGTCTCTAGAAATCCAAGCAGCACCTCAGGCTTAGACTGCCCCCCACCAGGGGGAGACTGCGAGGTCACGGGGACACCCCACCACGGGCACTTCCTCTTGGGCAGACGGGCGGGGTGGCCCTTGTAATTATGGGCTATTTATACTCCATCCCTGCCCCCCACCTGCTGGCTGCTTAACCCTCCACCTCCTCACTGACCTGGCCAAGCCTCTAGCTATTTTCTCTGTCCTTCTGAAGCCATTGTCCCTGTTCCAGTGGGCCTGTTTCTGCTCTTTTTTCGCTTTTTTCTTTCTGTTCTTTTTGGTTCTTCCCAAGCCATATATCTGGTCTTTTGTTTCCCTCTTCCTCTCTTTTACTTACAGCCTCTAATGGTTCCTGATTCCCTTGAACTCTTCTACTTTTTGCTCTCTGTGTCTTTTGGTCCTAACATGTTCTTTTCCTATGTCGGACAGTTACCTGTTCCATGACCCTTTCTCAAATATTGTGTTCACAGGGTTCTTGGGGGAAAATCAAATCCTAGAAGTGGCACCTAGAACTCCTGAGTCCTACCCTGAACTTTGTTCCTGCCTGCTGTTTAAACTGCTATGTAAAACAAAACAAAACAAAATTGCTTGTAACTCATCTCTCCTCTCCATTCCTTTCACCTCCCAGCTTTTTTTTTGTACCTGGAATAGAACTCGACCATGTACTTGCAAGGCAGATGCTTATGCCACTGAGCTAAATTCCTCCCCCCTTTTATTGACACAGGGTCCTGCTATATAGTTCAGACTGGCCTTAAATTCACTGTTTATGTAGCCCAAGCTGGCATGAAATTTTTTTTTTGTTTTGTCTTTTTCTTTTTTATCAGTACCAGGGACTGAACTCACGACTACACACTTGCAAGGCAGGCGCTTATGCTGCTGAGCTAAATCCCCAGCCCTGGAATGAAATTTGTGTTCTTCCTATATCAGCCTCCTTGAGCACAGGCATGCATCATTATACCTTCCTGGCTCTACCTCCCACTTTTCCTTTGGAAAGCCAGGAGAGTCAAAGAAGCTGAGGACTTGGGTGCTCAAGAAAGAAAATGAGGGCTCTTGAGGAGTAAGGAAGGAGAGGAAAGACAGGTAGGGCAGGGAGCAGACAGAGAAGTATTTAAGGGAATAATTTGCAAAACAACCTGGTGTCCATGGAACAGACTGTGGTCCTACCACCTGCCTGCTCAGTCCTTTCTCTCCCTGGCAATTGGTAGTGGACCTTGGGGGATTCCTTCTCCCAACTTGATTGACCTTCTTTCTTCTCTTTTCCATTTTGGTGGAAAGTCAAAGTTGGGAATTCCCATTAAGTTCTTTTTTTTTTTTTTTTTTTTTTTTTTGTCTTTTTCTTTTTTATCGGTACCGGGGATTGAACTCACGACTGCCTGCTTACAAGGCAGGTGCTTATGCCGCTGAGCTAAATCCCCAGCCCTCCCATTAAGTTCTAACTTCAGTTCTTTCTCCTGTGGAGGGAATTACTGCTTGGTAATAAGCAAGGGAACTAGGAGCCCCCACTAAGGGAAGTGTGGTCACTCATGGGAAGAACCATCTATCAAAGGTTGGAGATTAAATCCTCCAGCCAAGAGGGGCTTGGAATGGTACCTGGGTAACTGGTAAGGAATGATGGAGGCCAGGGCATTTGTTTTTTGAGGGATTAGCACAAAGGGGTTAAGTGCTGGCATGAATGAGCTGACCCAGTGACCTCTTGCCCCGACCCTCATCTTACTTTCCTTAATTTTCTGCCAGTGATATGGCTCAGTGATACAGCACTTGTCTAGGATGTGCAAGGCCCTAGTTTTGACCTCCAACATTGCAAGAGAAAAAGTTGCTTTCTCAAATTTTTTTGTCTTATATTTTTTCAGTTCAATTCCAATTCTGTCATACAAAACAAAGTAAGCTTAAATATTGTTTCCCAGCAGTGAAACTGAGGCACAGGGAAAAAAACGAAAGGACCCCACACTTGTGCTAAGTCCCGTGCCACTCTCCTCCCTTTCTTCCAGGCCTGGCTCTGCAACCTGCCTCAGTGACCCTAAAAGTTTGGGAGCAGGAGTCTCCACTACTGGATATACTTTTCCTCCCTGTCCTGAGTGGTATCACACACACACACACACACACACACACACACACACAGCTCTCTGTGTTGTGGGTGAATGAGGAGGCAGGCCTCTTCCATGGCCAGTGTGCATGTGGTGTGCACCCAGCATGTCACTGTGTCCCTCTGTGTGTGTTTGTGTTGTGACAGTGGCTGTACTACTGGGTAGTATAGCATGTGTGTACGTGTGCATGCATCATCCCCCGTGTCTGTCCATGAGTGTGTATGTCAGTGTGTTCCAGTCTGTCTGTGTGAGTGTCGTCCCCGATCCCCCATCCCCCCAACCCTGGATCTCTAATTAGTGGTTTGGGGTTTGTTCCTTTTCCCTCCTGTTCCTTCCCTCAGCAGCGGCGGGCGGGCAGCAGCAGCCTCGGCAGCAGCAGTAGCAACAGCAGCAGAAGCAGCCGCTGCCAGCATCGGTGAGGACACTGGAGCCAGAGTAAGATTGCAGGACCAGGATCGCAGCCCGTGTAGGAGCCAGAGTGCAGCTGGCCTGGGAAAGGAGTGGATCCTTCCCAGCACCCGTAAGCCACCGGTTGCCTGCTCTCTCCCTGCCAGACCTGCCGAGAGGAGAGCCTGGGACAGCCAGCCTCAGGTTCCCCAGGTACGGGTGCTGAGGAGCTCTGGGAGGGCGGCCCACACATGCCTAGGGGATTGTTGGGGGTGTGGACACCTGGACCCACCATCTCCTTAACCTTTCGCCAGACCCCTCCCAAGCCCTGACAACTTGCCCAAGCTCCTATGCCCCTTTATGCTTCCCATCTCTGCCCTGGGTGCCCCCTTTTCTCCTCTCCCTCCCAGATCCCTTCTTTGGGGAGCTCAGCAAATGGAGCAGGAAATTTGGACCCTCTGCCTCCCTCTCTCGCCCTCCTCATTGGATCCGAAGGCTTCTCCGCTGGGAAAGCTGTAATTAGAGGGTGGATCCCTACAGACAGAGAGCAGCCCCCCCACCCCCACCTCCCAGTCCCTTCTAACTTTAGATCTCTTCTCTCCCATTCTCCCATTTTCCCTCCCTCTCCCCTCTCCCTCTCTCTCCCCGACTCTGGCTCGACTCTCTCCATCTGCCTGGTTCCTTGGGACCCGGTCCCCAGCCTCAGGATGGCGTCCTCCCTGCTTGAGGTAATGGCTCCCTCCTCCCCCTAGAAACCAGTCACAATTTTAAGGTCCTAATCTCTGCCCATCCCACCCCTTCAACTCACATAGAGAGTAGCTGTGATGCTTGTCACTTCTAGGGTCCTTCTGAGGAGGAGAAGGTTAGGAAGAGGGATGAACAGAGGGTAGAAAGACAGGGAAAGAGAAGAAGGCCAGCAGGCAGGGCCTTCAAAGGATTAGGTCCAAAGAAGGCTCGGACCCCTAAGGTCAGCTGAGCCACTAACTGGGAGGAGTGGAGAAGCAGTAGAGAAAGGAGGGAGAAGACAGGGCCAATGGGAAGAGAAGGATGGAAAGAGAGAGATTCCACAGTAGCAAAAGGGCAGAAAAGACAGGGAGCCCACTAGTTGACTGGGCTCCCCGGGGGTCCTGAGCCTGGGACTCCTATCCTAAACTGGGTCTCCTCCATCTTTGTCAGGGAGGCCTGGCCTTAGAGCGGGTCTGTGAAGGAAAGGAGGTTGCCTGTGAGGGAGAGGAGGAGGGCAGCCTTGTGTGCAGTGTGGCCGGGCTGACCAGAGGAACTGAGCCCAGGCCTGAGAGGGAACCAAGGAGGAGGGACAGGGTCTGAGGCCTCCTGCCCAGCTCACAAATATTTAGCTTTCAGCCAAAGACAAACTCAGCTCTATTTTGGGAGTGGGAGGCTCCAGGGCGGACTGGGCCATTTCCCTTTCAGGCTGGGACCCTATCATCCCTTGCCTCTGGAGCAGGAGACAAGGGAATTAGGGTACTGTTGGGGTTTGTGGTCTTGAGAAATCACTGGCTCAACTAGGGTATCTGGAGGGCCAAGGCACAAAATTCAAAAGTGAGAGCCCATGATCACTCAGAACTGAGTTCTCTGTGGCTTTGAGTCTCTGATGCTGTTTCTGTCACCATCTCTGTCCTGCTTTCTGGGTCTCTGCAGGATTTGGGGGCTGGAGAGCCCTGTCTTAAAGGTCAACCTCCTGTTGTGGCTTTGAATCTTTCTTCTTCTCTGTTTCTAGTGACTAACTAGGTCTCAAGTCTCAGACTTCTTGTCCAAATAAGACAAATTTGCCAACCTTTGGAGAGGTGTGTGTGAGATGGAGCAGGGGCCTTTTGACACCTGTGTCCTCTGGCCTGCATGTGCTAGGCAATGGAGGATGCCTACATGTGGTAGAGTACAGATGTGTGTCTGGGTGCTAGACCATCTGACTGCTCTTAGTTCAAGTGAGGAATGGCATCTGTGTGAAGCTGTCAGGTAGTCAATTTATGGCTGAGTTTGAGAGAACAGCATACAAACCAAGGGATGGACATCATGCTTCTTGTCACGCTCTGTGTCCAGCCAGGAGTCCCCAAGTGATGTACACTACCCTCAGCCACAATAGGGGTACACTGTCATCCTGTCTCTTTCCTCATTAGATTCTATTGAGCCATCATTGAAACACTGGTCTTGAGGAAGCTGAAAGCATAAGGGATGTGGAAATCCTGGGTCCACCCAGGGCAGGGGCAGTTTCAGTGGGCATAGGCATCATGCCAGCTTGCCAGCGTGGCACTATGCTTGGAGGAGGGGTGGCCCAGAGGCCTGGTGGGAAGACATGGGATTGGGGAAACACTTGGGAAGAGGAGTGTGCTGTGGAAGCTAGTCTTAGAAGTCCCCTCACTCTCTGAGCTGGAAGTGCCTTTAACACAAAGGGAATCTAGTCCCTCCATTCCTTCTCTCTCCTTTCAACTACTTTTGGGTTCCTGAGCCCTCTTTCCTCTATCCAAGCTCTCAGGCAATGGGAAGAACATGGTGGATCAGAGAGGGATGTTTGACGGGAGGGTCACCTGGATTGAGCAAGACACAGGGATACAGAGAAGGGAAACAAATGGAGCAGGGGCTAGATGGAAATGGAGCCATGGGAAAGCCTGATGGGGATATAGCTTACTGGTAGAGCACTAGCCTAGCATGTGCGAGGCCTGGGTTCTATGTCTATACTCCATACCCAAAAACAAATAAAAGAGAAGTCAGGAGAATGAAGAAAGTTGGGGAGAAGGCTGAACTAGGGACTCTGGCACTCAGAACCAAGGTCAGCCAGCTGTCAGATGTGCAGCAGGGAGGTGTGGGGAGCACTGCACTGTGAACTCTGAAAGCGGGAATCCTCTTGCTGTCTCCACAGAGCTGGGACAGCTCCTGTCTTGTTCTTCCTCTGAAGACTCGCCCCTCCAGTACTGCATGTTTTGGTGGCTATTGCTTTTCTTTTTCTTTCTTTTTGTAAGGATGATGGGGTGGAGGTAGAGGATGGGAAACAACTAGAAGGTGGGAATTCTGGGTCCTGGCTGATAACACATTTCATCAGGTATGGGGACAGATGCTTAGACCCCTTTAAAGGGGACCCTCTCCCCTAGTTCTCAGGAAAGAGCAATCAGCCAGAGAAGGAAACTGAGGCAGTTGTGAAACTTAACCATATGCCCACCTCTTCCCCAGATCCAAGTCTGAGTAGGTTGGGTCTCTGGCTTCTCTTTCCCTGCCCTGGCGCCCCGTGGGCCTCTCCGTGCCCGGCTGGGGTCTCCTGTTGGCCTGAGGCTGGCTGCCTTCTTTCACCCCAACCTCCCTCTCCACTGCTGGGTGGGGTCTCTGGGCTTGGCTGAGGCCCCTGTGGCCACAGTGTGAGGGCTGGGCGGGGGGATGGCGTCGGCGTTTTTAAAAATAAACCGACCGCAGGGAAACCATCGGAGCCGGAGCTGGGCCGGGCTGGGCAGAGGAGGAGGGGGTGGTCAGGGGGAAGAAGGGGGGAGTAGCCTGGTCTGGGGGTTTTCTGAGGCCCAGCGCTAAGGTGGCTTTTCTCTTAGGGAGAAAGTTCGCCTTCTCCCCCGCGGCCTTTCTTTCCCTCATCTTTTCTCTGTTCTCCTTAGCTTTCCTAGCCTAGCTCTTCTCCACCACCTCTCCTTTGTTTATTTTGTTTTCCTCTGTCTCTCTTTCCCTTTTGTCTTTTTAACTTTCTCTCTTTTAGGTCCTTGCCCAGTTTTGCATCTTAATGCAGGTTTTCCTTTTCCTGGTCTCTCTTTCCCTGTCCCCATAGAGTTGTTATGGTAGCTACTCATCTACTGCAGGGTTATTTGCATCCCATGTTCCTGCCTCTCCTGCTGTGATTTGACTCCTGCCCACCAGTTTTGCTGCCTTAGTTCACATTCTGTTCAGAGAATCAGAGGAAACCCTGACTGGGAAACTCTGGGTAGAAAGCTGTCTGTGGCTGAAGTTTAGGAGCCTGCGGGGTCAACAGGACCTCAGGGATGGAGGTAACTAGGCAGGGGAGCAGCAGTCATGATTGCAGGTACCTGCCTCTAGGCAGGGGAGCAGCAGTCATGATTGCAGGTACCTGCCTCTCTTTGCAACCCTGAGAACCTAGACCCACTTCTAGGATTGGTGTCACACACACATAGCACAAACTAGGAGCTGCTTGGTGGGTCTGAGAACCCTGAATTCTTGGGTTCTTTTTTTTTTTTTTTTTTTTTTTTTTTTTTTTGTCTTTTTCATTTTTATCGGTACCGGGGATCAAACTCACGACCGCCTGCTTACAAGGCAGGTGCTTATGCCGCTAAGCTAAATCCCCAGCCCCTTGGGTTCTTTTTTTAGCTTTACTAGGAAGATACCAGCCACTTGACTTTTGAGGCTCCCAACCAAGGAACTATACAGAGACAGCTTCACATGTCCTTTTTTTTTTTTTTTTTTTTAAGATAGGGTCTTGCTATGCAGTTCAGGCTAGCTTTGAACTTACTTTGTAGCCCATGCTGTTCTCAAATTCCCAACAATCCTCCTGCCTCTACCTCTCAAGTGCTGTGATTACAGAGGCGTGCGCCACCACACACTTCAACAAGGCATTTTTAAATGGAATTCTTAGTAACAGATGTTGGAGGGCATCTCCTGGGAGCATCTAGGGCTGAATGAGGGAAGGGTGGATGTCATGAGCTCCTGAAGGGTGGTGGTCTTCACCTGGAATATGGGGTGAAGGCAAGAAAACCTGGAATGGGGGCAGATAAGATCTCTTAATAGTTCTTGTCCCTCTGCTGGTCCGGCTTGGTAGCAGCAGCATGATGGGACTGAGGAGATATCACTGCATTTCTGAGTCTCCCAGGCCTCATGTACACATCTTTCTTCCTTTGTTGCCCTTGAAGTGTGAAGCTACATAGCTACACATTTGGAGACACTGAGGCATGAAGGGTGTGACTGTGAGAGAGTATCCTAGCCACCCCAATTCATGCCTTGGAGGGGCTTGATGGTTTGGGCTCTTCCATTCACCCCAAGGGGTACCAGTTGGTACCACAGATCAGGAAGTGCCCACTGCCCGCTTGAAAGACATTTTTGCCTCAGCCACAGTCCTGGCTTGGCAGCAGCCCTGTTCCCTCTCAATGTCCCAGTGTCTCTGCCATTGCTTCTTTTTGCTCTCCAGCCCAGAAGTCCCTGCCAAGAGATTTCTTACCAGAGACAAGCAGACTGGATCTGAGGGAGACCAGGCCACTGCATTAGTCAGGAGCTGAAGCAGAGACAGGAAGTGGAATATGGGGCGAAGCCAAGAAAATCTGGAATGGGGACAGATAAGATCCCCTAAAATTTCTTGTTCTCCCTGTCCTGTTTTTGTCCCTGCCGCCCACTACTGGGGATTGAAATCAGGGCCTTCACCCTGAGTTCTTTCTTTTTTTTTTTCCATTTTTTATTTTAAGATAGTATTTCACTAAGTCATTAAGTTGCCCGGCCTGGGTTCAAACTTGTGACCTTCCTGCCTCAGCTTCCCAAACTTTTGGGACTACAGCCAGGCATCCCCACACCTGGCCCCAGACTGCCCTCTCTGCTCTTTGAGTGACATTTTTCCCCTTTGAGCCCCTGACTGTGGCTTCTATTTTCTCCAAACTCATTTTCCAGGGGTCAGGACCCTAACTGTCCCCTCACCTGGGTGCCTGGATGCAGCTGCTATCCCAGTTCTTCTCATAGCCCTTTAAGGCCCTCGAACACCTCTAGGAACTCCACAGTATGCTCGGATGTTGCTGGGTTGAGGGAGCAGGCCATAGTCTTGTGCTCTGCTCTTCTTCTAAGACCCTGTGTTAGATGTGCCCTTATGGCAGGCCTCACCAGCACAATCCGTTCTCTAATTCCCTGTCCTCTTCAATTCTTCCCTGACCAATCTGTTCTACTCTCCACATCTCCAAGTCTGTCCTAGAATTTTGCCCTTCATTTTCCCTCTCTTTCCCTCCCCCTAAGCAGTGGTTACTTCTTTTCACAGGAGGAAGCTCACTATGGCTCCAGTCCTTTGGCCATGCTGACAGCAGCGTGCAGCAAGTTCGGTGGCTCCAGCCCTCTGCGGGACTCAACAACGCTGGGCAAAACAGCCACAAAGAAGCCATACTCTGAACTTTCAGCTCCCAAAACCATGGGGGATGCCTACCCAGCCCCCTTTTCAAGCACCAATGGGCTCCTCTCACCTGCAGGCAGTCCTCCAGTGCCCACGTCCGGCTATGCCAATGACTATCCGCCCTTTTCCCACTCTTTCCCTGGGCCCACAAGCACCCAGGACCCTGGGCTACTAGTGCCCAAAGGGCATACCTCTTCTGACTGCCTGCCCAGTGTCTACACCTCTCTGGACATGGCACACCCGTATGGCTCATGGTACAAGGCAGGCATCCATGCAGGCATCTCACCAGGCCCTGGCAACACTCCTAGTCCTTGGTGGGATATGCACCCTGGTGGCAACTGGCTAGGTGGTGGACAGGGCCAGGGTGATGGGCTGCAAGGGACACTGCCAACAGGCCCTGCTCAGCCTCCACTGAACCCCCAGCTGTCTACCTACCCAACTGACTTTGCTCCCCTTAACCCAGCCCCCTACCCAGCCCCTCACCTCCTGCAGCCAGGACCCCAGCATGTTCTGCCCCAAGATGTCTATAAGCCCAAGGCAGTTGGCAATAGTGGGCAAATAGAGGGGAGTGGTGGGGCCAAAAACCCCCGAGGTGCAGGGACAGGAAGTAGTGGCAGCTATGCGGGTAGTGGGACAGGGCGCTCCTCCTGTGACTGCCCCAACTGCCAGGAGCTGGAGCGCCTGGGGGCAGCAGCAGCCGGGCTGAGGAAGAAGCCCATCCACAGCTGCCACATCCCTGGCTGTGGCAAGGTGTATGGCAAGGCCTCGCATCTGAAGGCCCACTTGCGTTGGCACACAGGCGAGAGGCCCTTTGTCTGCAACTGGCTGTTCTGCGGAAAGAGGTTCACCCGCTCTGACGAGCTGGAGCGGCATGTGCGCACTCACACCCGGGAGAAGAAGTTCACCTGCCTGCTCTGCTCCAAGCGCTTTACCAGAAGTGACCACCTGAGCAAACATCAGCGCACTCACGGAGAGCCAGGCCCAGGCCCCCCTGCCAGTGGCCCCAAGGAGCTGGGGGAGGGTCGCAGCGTGGGGGAAGAGGAGGCCAGTCAGACACCTCGAACTTCGGCCTCACCAGCACCTCCAGAAAAAGCCCCTGGAGGCAGCCCTGAGCAGAGCAACCTGCTGGAGATCTGAGCTGGGTGCAGGGTCTCCAGCCAGAGGCCTTTTGCCAGCCTCTCTGGCTCTGTGGACCACTGCTTGCCCTCATTCCCTTCCCTATGCATGCTGTCTTTTGGGGCTTTCTCTGCTTCTTCTCAGCATTCTGGCCTGGTGAGTCCTTGCATGTCTCTTCAGCTCACTTCCTCCATGTGCCAGGAGCCCAACTCACTTCAGGCCCTCATGTTGTATCTGATTCCTGACCTCTGGCTTCCTAAGTTTTTTCTTGGTCCCTGTTCACAGCTTCTGTCCCGGGTCTTGCTATACCAAACCACTTTTCTTCCATCTGGATTCCCAGCACTATTTCTCTCTTACACAAACTCCATTGCATCCTTTCTGCTTTCCAAGCTTATTTAGTGTTACCCCTCAGCTTCCAGCCCTTATCTTCCCAACTTCTTACTTCGCTCTCCACCCTCCAGAGCTTTTTTCCCTTTTCACAAACACAGCTGATAGTGATTATTTATTGCCCCCTGGTGGCCTCTTCATTAGGGACCAGTTTTAGGGGGATTGGGGTTAGTGACCTGGCTGGGAGCAAGGTGCCAAGAGGGGGGCAGACCAGTGGGGATCTGACCCCAAAAATGGGATGACCCCAGGGTCAGGGAGGCTGCCCCCAGGCCTGTACAGTTAACCCCTGTGCACCAGGAGTAATGAATAATAATAATAATAATAATAATTCTATTTATCTAAGTTATGATGACGGGTCAGGTAGAGTGAGCTGGGGAGGGAAGGGGATCCATTTCTGCTATGGAAATTCTAGCCAAATGCATCTCTGTATAGACAAAGTGATAGCAGAGGTCATCTTAATAGAATTTCTATCATCAGGGTTCAGTTAATGGGGTTTCTTTTTCAGTGAAGTTTTTACAAATTGGGTTGGTTAGCTAGATCTCTGTAAGAGAGTAGATGTGGGTATTTCTCAGTGAGGAGATCCCTAATATTCCCAGCCCCAGCCAGAAGCTGTGAAACCTCAAGTCCTATGTGGGGAGGACTGGAGTGTACTCCAGCTCCCTTGACCCCAGAGCAGGTCCTTCCACTGCCCACTTCAGACATCATGACCCTATCAGGGTAATACCCTGTTGCCATGGTTACAGACAGCTTGCAGCTGCCATCTTAAACAGGCTTTTTGGGGAAGCCCATCTAACAGGAGGACATTGGTTTGAAGGTGCCTCTCTTAAAGAATGGGTGGGGAAGACTCTCTGGGACCAGATTCAAATAAATCAAGTATTTATTGAGTGCCTACTTTCTACAAGGCACTGTATTAGGCCTGGTGCCTAGAAGCCATGAGAAAGAATTTTACAGAGCTAGGAGGACAGAGGTCCCCAAACAGATTTGGGGGTGTATCCACAGGCCCCCCCAACCTGGGACTTCTGACTCCACTTCCAATGACTTTTAAAGCCGCTTGTGCCTTTGAATGCTTTTCCTGAGACTTTGGATCCTCCTTTTCTATCCCCTGCTCCCTCAGAGCCCCAAGTTAAAGAGCAAAGCCGCTGGAACTTGGGGTGAGGGTAACATTGTGGAGGGGAAGAAATCATCCCCTCGTGGTCTTTTTTTTTTTTAATTTTTAATTTAATAAATAAAAGTTTGATTTGAAATTGTGTCCTGGTGAGAAAAGGAAAAGAGGAAGGGGCAGAAGATGGGCCACAAGATTTTTGAAATTCTATTGTGCACGTTTGCACTTCAGGCTTGCAGTGCACCTAAGTTCGTTGACCTCTCCAGGGGAGATAAGGTTTTTTTTTTGTCTTTTGTTTTTGGGAGATGAGTTTTGAACCTCCCCAGTCTGGTCCATAGAGGCAGGAAGTCGGAGTCGTTGCTCCCAAGGCCCTTTCTCAGACTGCACCACCGACCATGGCTGGTCCATTGCTGGGCACTGCCGTGGCCGCGTGCGCTAGTGCGTGACCCCAGCGCCGCGGAGATGCGGCACCCGGCGGGCGGGCTCCTCCTGGCAGGTCACCCGCCCGCTGGCCTGGGCCTGCAATCAGTTGTGCCCGCCGCAGAGTTAGCGGAGGAACAAAAGCCACTCTGTGGCGGCCCTTGCAAGGTCACAATAGTGCTTTGTGCGGCCCGCGCCCCCCAGGATTCCCCCGCTAGGCTAAGGGGGCCTGACCCCGGTGCGCGCTCCAGCTGTCCCGAGAGGAGCAGGAGCCGGCGGGAGGGGGTCGGCGGCCGGCGGTCCTGGAGCCGCTGCCCCACCGCTGCCCCTCCGGCGGCTGCCCAGGTGCGAAGCTCCAGCCCGCTGGTGGGCGGGCGCGCGGCTTCAAAGGCGCTTTGAAGAAATCGAATTCGGGCGACGTCTCTAGTGGCCGGGGGCAGCGGCGGAAGGCAGATCCAGGAGACAGGGCTGGGGCGCCTAGGAGCCGAGGGCCGGGGGGACCCTCCACCCCCACCCTCCCCGCCGAGGCAGCTCCCCAGACCCCCCAGGGTCTGGCCCTTTCGCCTCCCGGTCTCCGCCTGTCCGGTGCCAGCTCCAGCTCGCCGCAGCCTCGCGGTCCTCCCCTCCCCGGCCCCTCGGCTCCTTTCATCTTCCCTAGACTCCGCTTGGGGTTTTGCTGGTTTCTGGGAGATAAAAACCGCCTCAAATAGCGGCGGCGCGCTGCCAGGACAAACAGGGCCGGGCGGGCCATGTGCGCCTGGTTACCGGCCCCGGCCGGGGCGCCGGGGTTCGGCGGGCCGAGCTCCAGGGACCCAGGTTCCAGCTATGCCTCCCAAAGTGTGTGTGTGTGTGTGTGTGTGCGCGCGGGGGGGTCCCTTTTAGAAGTCTCTGGCAGCTGCCTCGGTTTCCCGCCCAGGTCCTAGGGAAGCGGCTGCTGGAGACCTCCCGCTAAGCTGTCTGAGACCTTGGAGCGGCGGGTCACAGTCGCTCTGTCACCGGGGCCGTGGCGCCCCCTGGTGAAGTTAGTGAGGATAAGTGCCTTTGGTTTTTTCCAGAACCCCCGCAGCTTATGAAAGCTACTCACTAGGTAAATAATAAGTATGAAAGAAGGGGCATTACTTGGGCCAGGCCAGAGTGGGAGCAGGCACCAGAATAGCCCTGTTCCTTCCACCCTGTTACAGGGTAAAGAGGCAGGCACTTAACCGATGATTATAACATACAGCCAGAGGCTGTGGAAGGCACAAGGAGGAGTGATTTCTAGTATATGTCTTGGGTCAGATGGCATTATGATAGAGGTACAAAGTCTTTGCCTGTGGGCCTCACTGCTGTCCACTAATCTATCAGGGTCCTCGAATTTCTTTCCTTTAAACTTCTTTCCCTTCAGAGGGTGCGCTTTCCACGACAGGTTCCCTCAACTGCCCTCTTTACACTTGCTGGGACATCCTCAGTGACAGTGAATTACTGTCATTTTTTAAAAAATTCTTTTTCATTTTTATCGGTACCAGGGATCGAACTCTTGACTGCCTGCTTGCAAGGCAGGTACTTATGCTGCTGAGCTAAATCCCCAACCCCTAGTGATAGTGAATTAAAGTAACGAGTTAACCTGGGTAGTTAAAGACTTAAAGCAAGAAAGAGTAAAAGCTTGGCTACTTAAAATGTGGTCTCTGCAGTATCGTAAGGATTCTCTGGAACTAAAACCTTTAGAGTCACCCCAGAATGTGAATTTTAAAAAGCCTCTAGGTTCCCAGGATGGTAGTCGAGGACTGAATTGTAAGTACTTTGGGAAGCTGAGGCCGAATACCCTTGATTTCTTTTCTTTTTTTCTTTTCCTTTTCTTTTTTTTTGAGACAGTCTCAGTATGTAGTCTAGGCTATCCTCAAACCTCACTGTGTAGCCCAGGCTAGCCTCAAATTCACAGTGAGATTCCTGTCTCAGCTTCCCAAGTTCTAGGATTATAGGCTTGTCCGCCATACGTGGCATTATTACCTCTATTTTAAAGTCAATTGGGTTGCAGTATGAGGAGGTTTTTTTTTGTTTTTTGTTTTAATCTGCTGCAGAATGAGCTCTGCAGTACAGCATCAGCCTGGCAAGTGTGAGACCCTGAATGTGAAGTCCTGAGTTCAATTCCCAATATCCCTCCCCACAAAAAAAAAGGGATACACACCAGTAGTCCCAGCACTGGGGAGGTTGAAGCAGGAGGATTGCAGGGAATATGAGGCCAGCCTGAACTATATAATAAGTTCAAGGCTAGTCTGAACTACATAGTGAGACTCTTTCTTTTTTTTTCTTTCTTTTTTTTTTTTTTGTGAGATCCTTTCTTTAAAAAAAAAAAAAAACCCAAGTAACTCCTATGTTTCTTTCTTTTTTTGGTACGGGGATTGAACTCATAACCTTGTGCCTGACAGGCAGGCGCTTATGCTGCTGAGCTAAATCCACAGCCCAACTCCTATGTTTCTTAACATTTTTTGTCTTCCTTTCATTTCATTCTCTCTTTCTCTCTTTCTTTTTAACACTTGAGTAGTATTAGGTTTGGGCAAACCATCTGTTTTCTTTTAGGTAAAATGCATTTTTAGGAGCCTTTAGTCCTTTGTTTTTTAGCCCAGGAATAACCTTTTTGGAAGGAACTTTTGGTAGAAAGAAGGGGCAGATACAGGATTTAAGAAGACAAGAACTAGAAAGTCTTCTAGATTTTTTTTTTTTTAATCGGTACTGGGGATGGAACTTACGACTGCCTGCTTGCAAGGCAGATGCTTATGCCGCTGAGCTAAATCCCCAGCACTCTTTTTTTTTTTTTTTTTTTAATTTTTTTGGTGGTACCGGGGATTGAACTCATAATCTCACTTACCAGGCAGGCGCTTAGGCCACTGGGCTAAATTCCTGGCCCCTCTTTTTTTAAAAAAATAATCATAATTCTTTTTTTCCCCTGATACCAGAGATTGAACTCACAACTTCACACCTGCTAGGCAGGCATTTATGCAGCTGAGCTAAATCTCTGGCCCTGGCCTTGGATTTTTCAATGAGCACTGGCAGCTTTTGGTATAGGGACTGTGTGCCTTAATATAACTTTGATTTTTTTCCACAAGGAGACTGAACTCAGGGCCCTTGATATAGCCCTGTTTTTTGTTGGTATTTTTTGTTCTTTTTGGGGGGGATTGTTACTGGGAATCACACTCAAGACCTCACACTTGCCAGGCAGGTACTACACCACTGAGCTAAATCCTCAGCCCTTGTTTGTGTTGTTTTTGCTTTCACAGATTTTTTTGTCTTTTTCATTTTTATCAGTACCAGGGATCGAACTCACGACTGCCTGCTTACAAGGCAGGCGCTTATGCCGCTGAGCTAAATCCCCAGCCCCTTTTCATAGATTTTTTTAAAGACACGATCTCCCTAGGTTGCTAAACTGCCCAGGTGGATTGGGTTCAAGTTGGAGATATTCCTGCCTCAGCTTCCCAAAGTGCTAGAATGATAGGCATCAATTACAGTGCTCAGCAAACTCTGACATTTGTATAGAACTTTACAGTTCATCAAACAGCTTCATTTCCATTATTCTGTATGGGAAACAACAATATATAACTAGGACAGTCTGTATTTAAGGAAAATGAGATTCAAATAATTCAAGGACTTTTCTAGTCACTCAGCTATGAAATGAGGAGTCCCCATTTTGCCCCAGACTCCAGATTTTGTTTTGTTTTGTTTTTGAGACTGGATCTCGCTATGCAGTTCAAACTGAATTTGATCTCACTATGTAGGGCAGGGTGACCTTGAACTCACTACAATCCTCCTACCTCAGCCTCCCAAATGTTGGGATTATGGGCATGCATCACTACATCTAGAGAGACTCCGATTTTAATACTATACCTTGGAATTAGAGTAAGATAAATTTGCCGTGGGGAATCAAACCCAGGGCCTAGCGTATGTATGCCAGGCAAATTCTCTGCCACTGAACTATACCGCCAGCCCCTTCCTTTTTGTTCTTTGGATCCAGGGTTAATTTTCCTGGGCCTCATTTTTCTGATGGTAGTATAACAGTGCAAGCACTTATGGTAAAGTGCTCAAAAAAATGCTACTGTTTTCCAGCTGTCCTCACCTTCTCTTCTGGGATGCCTGTGGGCCCTGGATTCTGGGCAGCACAGCATTATCCCTCCCAACAGCTTTCCTGAGCTGCCAGTCAGCACTACTAGTGACATGGTCTGGATTTTTCTCTGGGTAATGCACAGGGCTGAGAGGGGTTCATTAGGTCTAACATGTGAATTAGATAAAATACTGTAGGCAGTCAGACAGGGCTCAGCCCTCAAGTCAAGGCAAAGATGAAAACTCATTACAACTGTGGCTGGAGATGCATCTATTGAAGGCCAGGCCTCAAGATAAAGAATGACCAGGTCTGACATAAGTTGTAACACCTGATCTAATGAAGTCTAGGTAGACATCAGTCATCTCGATGGATGAGCAAGACCCTTTGACACATCATTTCCTAAAAAGTTCTTTATTCCTTCCATGTGCACTTGCTATGTGGCCTGCTTCCCTACTGGCAATACTAATAATCTTATTGGTTGATCATAGGTGTAACCTAGGTTTGTACACACCTGGTTATGCTCTGTAAAACTTCCCTTGAGAAGCAGAGTCCTTGGCAACCCACTTTCAGGTACCCTCCTGCCGTTCAGGAGTCATATCTGTCTCCCTCAATAAATATTTCCTACTACGAACCTCTGTTGTTCCTTAGAATTCATTTTTTCACTGTGGAGAACACGAACTCAGAATATGGGACATCTAGCAGGAAGTTATAATATTTACCTTTTATTTGCAAGTCCTGATATCACTTGCATATCAGTGCTTCCCTGAACATGGCTTATTTTAGGATTCCTCTGCTGAAAGAATGAGTGGGAGACGGTGTTGGGGAATTTAACGTTGGAAAATAGAATAGTCTGTCTCAGAAGAAACAGACCGCTCCGCTCTTAACCAAAGGTTGGCTTTGTGGACGTGTATGCGCTCCACAAAGCGCATACACGTCCGTTTGCTCGCCAGGAGGCGCGCGAGGAAGCTCCGGAAGTCTATTGCGGGACTGCGCGCCGCCGTCTCCGCGTGATCCTTCTCTCGCATCCGTTGGGCTTCGCGTAGCCGTTTGTCCTGCGCGGCTCCCCGTCCGCGTACGAATCTAGCCCGGGAACCAAGAGTCGGAGGAGCGTGTTCTGTGCGGTCGCTAGCTGGGAACTTGCGGACTCTAGACGTCGTTGGCATTGGCAAGATGTGCACGCTAGGATTGTTCCCCTCGCCGCCTCCTAGGGGTCAAGTCACTCTATATGAGCATAATAACGAGCTGGTGACAGGCAGTAGCTATGAGAGCCCGCCTCCCGACTTCCGGGGCCAGGTGGCCTGGGCGAGGAGGGAGGGGACCTGCTGGATGGGGATAGAGTCGGAGAATTTGAGGGACAGAGGCAGCGTGACGGGGATGAGGTCACAAAAATTGGTGGAGTAGAAACAGCTGTCTGGGCGGGAGACTAGAAGAATGGGAGTACATTTTAGGCCTGGTATTGACTTACAAAGGATGCTGCGGTGCTGTGGGGAAGTCCTAGGGGAGATGGAGAAAAATCACCGCGCAGTGTGAATCTATAACTGACGGTGCTGGAGCCTGATAAATTGAGAAGAATGTCCAGGAGAATAAGGAAGTCAGCCTGGGACTTTTTTTCTCCCTTGCAGAGTTCCTGAGAAGGAAAAGAAAATGAAGTTGACATTTACTGAACCTTTACTATGTAAAAAAGGGAGGCTCTAAGGCAGGTGTTTTCTCAAGTGACTCCTGTAAAAAATTATTCTAGAGCTAAGACTTGTTTACTTCTCTCACAGATGTTAACTTTGTGGAAATGGGAAACAGGTCTATGGAGTCCCTTAACGCTTAGCCCAACCAGGGGTTAGAGTTGAGATAATGGGTTCATGGAAGATTCGGGGAAAAGATTAACTCATTGACATACTCTTCACTTCTGGGCACTAGTGGATCAATCTTCCAGTACTACACCTGGCTAAGGATCCCCTAAAGACCCCTGGGAGGCTGGACCATGGCACGAGAGTTGCCTTTATCCATCACCGGGAGCAAGTGTGGAAGAGGTGCATCAATATTTGGTGAGGAAAAAAAAAAAAATACTTGGTGAGGCACGACAACGGGTTTCCTGGATCATGGTTTACAGATGCTGGAGAAAATGATTTTTTTTTAAATTTAATTTTTATTTTATTTTATTTTTTTGTCTTTTTCATTTTTATCGGTACCGGGGATCGAACTCACAACCGCCTGCTTGCAAGGCAGGTGCTTATGCCGCTGAGCTAAGTCCCCAGCCCCGAAAATGATGTTATTACTCCCTTACTTCGGGTTGCTTTTCAAAAAGCTGTTTCATTTGGGCTTTCTCCTCATGAGAATTGTATAATCACAAATTGTATCAGATTTTCAGTCCTCATTTTGGCCCTCAGGACGGTACACCAGTACTTCCATTTCTCACCTTGCTTTCTGGTTGGTTATATGAACCTCTTCTTTGCACCATTTAATGTCATTATTACTTCTGAACTTTTTTTTTTTTTTGCAGAACCGGGAATTGAACTCAGGACCTCGTGCTTGCCAGGCAGGCACTTATGCCACTGAGCTAAATCCCCAGCCTTACTTCTGAACTTTTATCTGAAGCTCAGCAAGGTTATCTGCTGTAAGGCTGAACTGGTTAACCTCATACGTAGGTCCTTCATTTTGCATATGTAGGAGAAGAGCCACACTAGCTGTGTTTAGGTTTTGGCTGTTGCCACATTTTAGCTGTGTGGCCTTGGGCAAAGTACTTAATTACTCTGTTCCTAAATTTTCTCATTTTATAAGATTACAGTAATGATTAATTGAGTTAATAGGAGTAAAACACTTAGAGAACAAGGTTGGTACATACTAATCTTTTAAAGAGTTAGTAATTTTCATCATCATTATTGCCATTATCATACCTCCCCCCCCCCTACTGGGGATTGAACTCACAACCTCATGCTTGCCAGGCAGGTGCTTATGCTGCTGAGCTATATCCCCCGTCCTGCCATTATCATCTGTAGGAAAAATTCCTAGATGTGTTTATTTTATGAATGGGCTAGGCATGGTGGCAAATGCCTGTAATCCCAGCACTTGGGAGGCTGAGGCAGGAGGATTGTGAGTTCAAGACCAGCGTGGGAAGGGGCTGGGGATTTAGCTCAGCGGCATAAGCGCCTGCCTTGCAAGCAGGCAGTCGTGAGTTCGATCCCTGGTACCGGTAAAAACGAAAAAGACAAAAAAAAAAAAAAAAAAAAAAAAAGACCAGCGTGGGCTACCAAGTGCCAGCCTGGGCTACCAAGGCCAGCTTGAACTGCATAGTGAGACTTTGTCCCAAAAAGACAAAAAAAAAAAAAAAAAAAAAAAAAAAAAAATATATATATATATATATATATATATATGGTGAATGTTATCAAATAGTCCTCTGTCAAAATTGTGCATATGTATGGTCCCACAGGCAGTAAATGTATGAGTGCCTGATTTCCAATATAAGGGTTTTATATTATTTATATATGTATATTTAATTTATATATTTATTTCAGTGCCTTGCTATATAGTCCAAGTTGACCTTGAAATTCCTACATAGCCTAGGCTGACCTCAAACTCTATTCTAAGCCTCTCAAGTGCTGGGATCACAGGCCTGTGCCACCCTTCCTAACCCTAACATAAGTGTGATCGAGTTTTGGTATTTGGAGGCCAGGCATGGTGGCACATCCTGTAATCCCAGCACTTGAGAGGCTGAAACAAGAGAGGATTGGTTCAAGTTTGAGGCTATTGTGGGCTACAAAGTGAGTTCAAGGCCAGCCTGAACTGCATAGTGAAACCCTGTTTCAAAGAGACAAAAAATATATATACCAAATTTTAATATTTGATGTTATAGAACAATTTAATTTGCTTTTTTGGGGGGTAGGTGTTTTTAGACAGGGTTTCACTATGCTGTTCAGACTGGCCTTGAACCCTTGTAGCTACTGTGGCCTTGAATTTGCAGTGATCTTCCTACCTCACCCCTACCTCACCTCCCTAGTGCTAGGATTATAGGCATGTGCCACCATGCCTGTTTTTTTCTTTCTATTTTGGTCTCCTCTCACCTCAGTCTAGACTTCTCTTTCTAATTTATCTTTTTTTTTTTTTTTTTCCTGGTGCTAGGGATCGCAAGACCTTGTGTTTGTCAAGCAGACACTTACACCCCTGAGCTATACCCTCAGCCCTTTTTTCTTTTTAATTAATTAATTTTATTTTTAAAAACTTAAATGCTATTGTGATTAACAAGTTCCAATTTTTGATTGGTTCAGAAGGCCCCTAAAGACTCCTGAGCCTTAGTCACCTCATCTATGATGGGCAGAATGAATTTTAAAAGATTAGTGTGATATATAACTATAAGATCAATACACAGTGTAAAGTGCTTGACCTGTAGTTGCCACTCATTAAATATGCATTTACTTATATGTTTATTGAATGAATGGATGAAACTTATAGAAGGGGACTGAGAGAATCAGAATACTATCTGATTCACAACTTCCTCTCCTTATCAGGCGTGATATGGGCCTTTTTGGGGTGCTGAATGAAATTGCAAACTCAGAGGAAGAGGGTAAGTGTTTTGCCTCCAGCCTTCTCTAGCTCCATGCTTGGTCTTTCCCCTTCATATTTTCAGGAACTCATCTGAAAATCTCTTAGTCTAGTCTCTTACCCTTTAACCCTGTTTTTTCCCATTGTCTTCTCTTTTCCTTTTACTTCCCCAAATTCCCAGAGTAGGTGTATACTTGTAGGTAGGTGCTGGGCAAAAGTATCTAGAGAGTACTTGTCCTCACCTAAGAGGTACTCAGTAAGAAACCTGTGAATGAATTACTCAGCGCTGTTTCCTCAACCCCACAGTGTTTGAGTGGGTAAAGACAGCATCCAGATGGGCCCTGGCACTTTGTCGATGGGCCTCCTCCCTCCATGGATCCCTCTTCCCCCACCTGTCTGTAAGTTTGGCTTCTTCCTAGCCCTCCCCGGGAATGTTTACCCCATCCTCACACCCTGCTTATCCTTTCCAGTCAGGTTGGGTGGGATGGTTGCAGAGGGATGGTCTCCTCTTTGTCCCTATGTCCCCATATCTTGTTCTCCTAGCTCCGGAGTGAAGATCTGATTGCTGAATTTGCTCAAGTCACAAACTGGTGAGTACATAAGCCCAGGGCCCTTGTGGAAGGGAAGTGCTGAAACTTGGAACTTTTGAGGGGAGAGGAAAGTCAAGGAAGAGACACCTTTCACACCTTTCCTGACTGCACATCACTTTTTCACTCCTACCTTCCACTCCTCCTGACAAAAGAGATAAAAGAAGCAGAGCAAAATACTTAATAAAGTATTACGCTCCTGTGCTGTGGTTGTCCTGTGTGGTTGTACACTCCTGTGATCTCAGCTATTCAGGAGACTCAGGCAGGAGGATTATAAGTCCAAGGCTGTCCTGCACCATGTAGTTAGACCTCATCACTTAGAGAGACAGACAGATAAGACCGAGTAGAGTGTAGCTTAATGCTACAGTGCCCCTGGCTTTGATCTCCAGTACTGAAAAAACCCAGACAAAACACACAAACCCAATTATATCCTTATGTGAAAGGGAATCTTAGCTTCTAAGGTGGGTATGGGAAGAGCAGGTTCCAACTCTGTACTTATGTCTGCCTCAGGTCCAGCTGCTGCTTGCGGGTCTTTGCCTGGCACCCTCATGCCAACAAGTTTGCCGTGGCACTGCTGGATGACTCCATCCGAGTGTATAATGCCAACAGGTATGTGGGTATAGGAGGCTGGCCTCAACCTATCAGTCTCTCCTTCCTTTCAGCCTTGGTTCCGAGGGAGTCCCAAGAGTGTCTGTAGGTCAGGAACCAGGTCCCGTGACTTCCTCCAATATGGGGTTAGAGGTGCTCCATAAACGGAGGGGTCTTTTTTTCTAACCTTTGTCCTGTCTGTCTGTCTGTCCCTCATTACCCCTAGGAAATGAGGGCCTTGGATGGGGTGGTTTTCTTCTTTGTGTCTTTCCCACTTTAAATGTGTCCAGGCTCAAAGGCTTAGCATTTTAACTCAGTGCCCTGCTTCTTCACCAGCACTATAGTCCCTTCTCTGAAGCACCGGCTACAACGAAATGTGGCAGCTCTGGCCTGGAAGCCTCTTAGTGCCTCTGTCTTGGCTGTGGCCTGCCAGAGCTGTATTCTTATCTGGACCCTGGATCCTACCTCCTTGTCTACCCGGTAAGTCCTGGCAGCTGTCTTGACTTGGCTTGAGGCTATGGCTATGCCAGGGTGGTGGGTGGTGAGGGGAAATTTTTGTCCTTGGCACTTCTGAGGACTGTGGGAAGAGATGAAGGTGAAGATGGGGTACTGGGATATTCTTAATCTAAAGAACAAAACAGAACCAGGGGCATCTGGATTGTGGGAAGTCACGGGAAGGAGAGTCTTTCAGAGGAATAGAGATATAGGTTTATTTGTTTTCTTTGATTTTTTTGGACACAATGCTCTGTTACATACTTCAGGCAGGTTTTGAACACAGGTTTAAAAAAAGAGGAAGGAATAAATACCCATGAGAGTAGAAGCCACCAAATTGGAGCTGGGCTGGTGGTGTACTCCCATAATTTCACACTGTGGGAAACTGAGGCAAGAGGATCAAATGTTCAAACCTTGACTGGACAATTTAGTGAGACCCTGTCTCAAAAAGGTGGTGGTGGCAGTAGAAAGAGGTAGGTGTAGCTCAGAGAAAGGCCCTGGGTTTAATCCCTGGTAGTGCAAAATAATACAATAAAATTTTAAAAGGGTGGGGATGTAGCTTAGCATTCTAGCTCAGAGCTTACAGAGTTCAGTCCACAATATATATATATATTTTGTATCAGGAATCGAATTCAGGACTTTGCACTTGCCAGGATGCACTTATGCCACTGAGCTTATATCTTCAGCCCCACAATATTTTGAAAATAACTAAGTAAAGCTTATACGAATAAATGCTCTTCAAACCAGGTGTGTTGGCACACACCTGTAATCCCAGCACTTGACAGGCTGAAGCAGGAGGGTTGTTGGGCAGTTTGAGACCAGCCTGAGCTACAAAGTGAGCTCAAGGCCAGCCTGAACTACATAGTGAGACCCTATCTCAAAAAGGAAGAAATAAATAAGTAAAATAAATGTTCTTCTCAAAAAGCAGACATTCCGGTTGAAAATAAAAATAAGAATATAAAGAAATGAGCTAAACATGAGTAGTTCCTCAAAATTAATAGTATAAAAGAATGAACTGCAAAATACTAAAGGTATTTCCAGGTAAAAGAAAAGCCAAGTGTGGTGGCACACACACTTAATCCCAACACTCGGGAAGATTGAGGCAGGAGAATCATGAAGTTTGAGCCCAGCTTGGGTAATTTAGTAGTTTAGTAAGAACTTTTCTCATAAAAAATAAGAAAGGGCTGGGAATGTATTTCCATGTGAAAGCCTGAGTTGAATTCCCAGTGCCACCAAAAGAAAAAAATTTTTGATTATATCCAGTACTAACAAAACTAAGAAAACTAGTACTGTTATGTCAGGTATTATTGGACAGTTGGTGAAAAAAATATATTGTAATACAACTTTTCCAAAAGATAATTTGTTGGCCCATTCACCCATCCATCCATCCCTCTTTTCATCTATCTAATTTCCATACTGGGGTTTGAGTTTAAGGCTTTCACATTGAGCTACATCTCTACTCCTCTTTCGAGACATTTCCTTAAGTTGCACAGGGTAGACTCAAACTTTCGATGGTCCTTTAACCTCTCAGGGTTCAGGGATTATAGGCATGTGTTCCCACACCCAGCTGTTCTTATTGTTACTTATTTATTTTTGATTTTCTTAGACAGGGTGTTACTATGTAGTTGAGGCTGGGTTTAAACTCACAGCAGTCTTCCTGCCTTAGCCTGCTAAGTGCTGAGATTACAGGTGTGGGCCACTGCCCCCAGCCACATCCGAATTTATCTTAAAAAAAGATGTAGTAATTTTTTACTGCATTGTTTACAGTAACAAAAAATTATAGCTGGATGTGGTGGCACATGCTTATAATCTCAGTTACTTAGGAGGCTGAACTGGGAGGATCAAAAATTCAAGGGATGGAGCTGGATATAGAGGCTAATGCAAGAGGAACTCAAAGCCAGCCTGGAATACATAGCAACATCCTGTCTCAAAACAAACAAAAAAAAAGTTTAAGGGTAGCCTGGGCAACTGAGACTCTGTCCCAAAATCAAAAAATGAAAAGAGGTGGGGAATATAGTTTGGTGGTGGAGTCTACCTGGGTTTGATCCTCAGTATTCCCAAAATACATAAATAAAAATAAAGGGGTAGAGGGCTGGGGATTTAGCTCAGTGGCGTAAGTGCCTGCCTGGCAAGCATGAGGTTGTGAGTTCGATCCCTGGCACAAAAATAAAATAAATGGGTAGAGATGAAACTTAGCACTAGTGCACTTGGCTAGCATGCACAAGATCCTGAGTGCCACAAAAAGGAAGATTTAAACATTGCAGGCAACCCCAGTGCCCACTTGGAGAAGCACAGCTGGATAGGATTTATATACCCAGCAGAGCCATTGAAAAGAATGAAATGACCTGACTTGGAAAGATAGCTGTGATTGGGGCTGGGGATTTAGCTCAGCGGCATAGGCGCCTTGCCTTGTAAGTGTGTGGTCATGAGTTCAATCCCTGGTACTAATAAAAAAGAAAAAGACCAAAAAAAAAAAAAAAGATAGCTGTGATTTGTTGTAAAGTTGAAAAGCACTGTGCATGTGACCAAAACCTCACCAGAACCAAAAGGAAGCATTAGGAGGAGAGGCTGTCAGTAACTCAGTAATCCAGGCCAAGTACATGGCTCTGGCAACAAGCGCTGAGACACAGCAAGTGCTCTCAGGTGGTCCCAGTCTAGGTTCTGTCCCCACCCTGCATGTTTGTGGAAATCAGAAAACAATATGGGAGCACAGAGGAGGAAGGTGCTGTGACACGAAAGGCAGAAGGGTAGTCATAGAGCGCACAGTGTTTTGGGAAGGGTAGGTAACTGGGAAGACGAGAGCTGGGAGTCTTGGTCCTAGTGATGTCAGCACAAGCTGCAAGGCCGGCTGGAACTGAACTGTGTTTCAGGATGCAGCAGGTTTACCAGTCAGGTGTTGCCTCTTGGAGACCGGAGTGCAAGCTTAGTCCTTTTCACCCTGACCTCAACATTGCACGTCATCTGCTTTTTTTCTGCAGCCCTCTTGGTGACTTCATTTCCTCCGACCCTTTCCCCTTTGTCTTCCATAATTATTCCTTCTCCCCTAAACTAGATTTGTTCTCAGAGGAGCCACAGGAAGTAGATTTTATTTATTATTTATTTTTGGTCTTTTTCATTTTTTATCGGTACCAGGATCGAACTCATGACTGCCTGCTTGCAAGGCAGGCGCTTATGCCGCTGAGCTATATCCCCAGCCTCAGGTTTTATTTTTTTGGTCTTGTTTGTTGTTTTTTTGTTTTTGAGATGGGGTCTCGCTATGCAGTTCAGGCTGGCCTTGAGCTCACTTTGTAGCCCTGGCTGGTCTTGAACTCACAATGATCCTCCTACCTCAACCTCCCAAGTGCTGGGATTACAGGCATGAGCCACTACAGCCCGGCTATTTTTTTGGTCTCTTTGAGGCAGGGTCTCACTATGCAGTTCAGGCTACCCTTGAACTTACTTTGTAGCCCAGGCTGGCCTCAAACTTGGAGCAATCCTGTGCCTCAGCCTCCCAAGTGCTGGGATTACAGGTGTGTGTCAGGGAAGTAGGTTTTAGAAATGAGAATGTGGAATCATAGGGCTTATTGCTATCCATTTTTTTTTCTTTTTTCAGACAGGGTTTTGCCATGTAGTTGAGGCTGGCTTTGAACTCATGGTGATGTTTCTGCCTTAGCTTCCCAAGTGCTTGGATTACAAGTGTGCACAACCACACCTGTGTTCTTGCCATCTTCTAACTCTACACCCTGTTACTCTTCTGCAGACCCTCTTCTGGCTGTGCTCAAGTGTTGTCTCACCCTGGGCACACACCTGTCACCAGCCTAGCCTGGGCCCCCAGTGGGGGGAGATTGCTCTCAGCCTCACCTGTGGATGCTGCTATTCTGGTGAGTGGTCCCTACCCCCTAGTCATTTCAGCCACACCTGTCTTGAGGCAGGAGAGGTCTTCACGTAATATTGGAAAATACCAAGTAGGATCACTGTCCTTTTCATTCTGCAGCTTACCTGGGGCATCCAGACTCCTCCTTAAATCTACAACTGTCCGTTGTCATTGTAAACGTAAACTCGTGTCCATGTGGTTCAGTCCCTTTCTTGCCTCTGCCCTGATTCTTTGTACGTGGAAGAGAGTAGCCCACTGTGAGCTTATAGGGTACTTGTGCTTCTTTCTCTCTCTCTTGCCCCCTCTCATAGGTATGGGATGTGTCAACAGAGATCTGTGTCCCTCTTCCGTGGTTTCGAGGAGGTGGAGTTACCAACCTGCTCTGGTCCCCAGATGGCAGCAAAGTCCTAGCCACCACTCCTTCAGCTGTCTTCCGGTGAGTGGGAGAAAGGTAGAGGTAAGACCTTCGAGAAAGCCACTTTGCTTCTGGAACCTCACTGTGGACTGCCAGAGGGAGGCCAGGGCAGGTTTTGGAGTTGTAGGCCCTAATCCCTTTGTTGCCCATGTCTCAGAGTCTGGGAGGCCCAGATGTGGACCTGTGAGAGATGGCCAACTCTCTCAGGGCGCTGTCAGGTAAGGGGGCTGTGATTCACAGAAGCTGGGAAGAGGTGATTCCAGTGGGCCCTATCCTCAAGCCTGGCTTCCCACCTCATCTACTTCCTGTGGCCTCCTTTCCCTAACCATAGACTGGCTGCTGGAGCCCAGATGGAAATCGACTGCTGTTCACTGTATTGGGGGAACCACTGATTTACTCCTTGTCATTCCCAAACCAATGTGGTAAGTTACAGCATCACTTCAGAAAGCAGAACATCTGGGGTGTTCAGAGCGAGGCAGCAACCCATACAATACCACTTTGAGGAGCCTTCAGACACACTGATGGTATAGTAGGGCTGACCAGACTGGCGGGAGGCCTGTTTCCTGCCCTGAGAACCTCTGCTTTCGCCCACAGCTGAGGGGAAGGGGCATGTTGGAGGTGCCAAGTCGGCAACAATTGTGGCAGATCTTTCTGAGACAATAATACAGACCCCAGATGGTGAGGAGAGGTGAGTTGAGTGTGGGAGGGGTGAAAGGTAGAGTGGGGTGGTCACAGTCCTCCTAATCTGTTCTGGCTTACAGGCTTGGGGGAGAGGCCCACTCCATGGTCTGGGACCCCAGTGGGGAGCGTCTGGCTGTGCTCATGAAAGGTAAGTGTTGAGGAGGAATGGCTTTGCTCAGGCCAAGGATGCCTGCCCTGAAAATGTGTGTCCTTGCTCTAGCCTGGGGTTTAGCTCTGCGCCTGCCATGTGACTGTCTCCAGATTTCCCCTACTTATAGGCTTTTTCTGTGTGTGTGATGCTGGGACTGAACCTAGGGCCTCATACATGCATCAAATGTTCTACCACTGAGCTATACTCCCAGCCCAAACCAATGTCTTCCTCCAGGAAACTCCCAGGTCCAGGATGGGAAACCAGTCATTCTCCTTTTTCGTACTAGAAACAGCCCTGTGTTTGAGCTACTTCCCTGGTAAGTGCTGGGTGGGCACCATGCCATCTTCTCACAGCACACCCTCCCCCCACCACTCCTGACACCTCCAGGTGCCTTTCACCTGTCCTTCTGCTTCTCCTAGTGGTATTATCCAGGGGGAGCCTGGAGCTCAGGCCCAGCTCATCTCTTTCCATCCTTCCTTCAACAAAGGGGCCCTGCTTAGCGTGGTAAGTAAGCCAGGCTATGGCGTTGGTAGGGAGTGAAATTTAGGTGCTTGGCTGCTGCAGACCTCTGCTTGGGCCCACAGCCTGATACTTTGCTTTTCCATTCTCTGCAGTGCTGGTCTACAGGCCGAATCTCCCACATCCCTCTGTACTTCGTCAATGCCCAGTTTCCACGTTTTAGCCCAGTACTTGGCCGTGCCCAAGAGCCCCCAGCTGGAGGTGTAGGCTGTATGCCTGACCTGCCACTGTTCACTGAGACAGCCTCAACCTCTGCCCCTTGGGATTCCCTCCCGGGGCTGTCACCTGCTCAGTCCCACTCCCCTCACATCTAATAATTAAAAAAATTGTTCTCCATTCAACTGTGTTTTCTGGAGAGCTATATTGGGGTATAGTCTGGAGAGAGGTAAGGCATAGATTTTAGGATAAGATTCCACCCTAGAGGCTGAGAATATAGCCCAGTGGCACAAGTGCCTGGCTGGCAAGGGAAGGCGATTCCCAGCGTCAAAAAAAAAAGATTCCACTTTTTTTTTCTTTTTTGAGACAGGGCCTCACCACATAGTTCAGGCTAGTCTTGAAATTGCCACAGTCCTCCTCTTTACCCTCTCTAGTCCTGGGATTATAGGTATGTACCACTATACTCAGCTCAGACTTTTTTTTTTTTTTAAATCGGTAGCAGGGATCGAACTCATAACCATGCGCTTGCAAGGTAGGCACTTATGCCGCTGAGCTAAATCCCCAGCCCCTGAGACTTTTTTTAAAAAGCCTTGTGAATTTGGCCAATGTATGTAATCCTAGGAACTGGATGACTTTTAAAAGATTCAGGAAGCAAAACTAAGAAGTTGGTGGTGAGGAACATACCTAGCATAGGGGTCTCATAATAGATGTTTCACTTTTGTCAGTTTGAATAAGTTGTCAGGATGGTATAAGGCAGTAATAGGTCAGAGACTGGTCATTAAGAGATAAGAGAAATTTTATTGGACTAGGGATTTGTGGCAGCGACTGAGTGTTGGGCCAGGGTGGCACGGGCCATGCTCAGTGCACCTTCTCGAGTGCGGTGCCCACCAATGAAGCCACTGGCATGAACAAAGATGCCTCCAGGGATCCCACTGACTTGGTCCAGGGCTTCATCCCGAAGGCCACGCCATGGCTCTGGCAGGGGCAAGCTACAAGTGAGCAGAAAGAGGGAACTGAGAAACCCACGGAGCAGAGGTCAAAGTTGGCAATTTGTTCATACTGGGCTGAAGCAGGCCTGAGAGTGTGCAGGGTGGTTCTGTGGGTCTTACCGGCTCTGAAAGGAGTGGAGCTCCTTGGGTACACACTGGACTCGCCACTGTCCAGCCTGGTCAGTGTAGATAACAAAAGCAATGGTCCCGGGTGGGGACAGCACAGATTCCAGGTGGTATAGATGTTCCTTCCATGGGCACCCACCTTTTGCCAGTTCTACTATCTTACCACTTGGATCCACCTGAAAGGGAAGTGTAGGGTGTGGCTATGTTTAGGGGAAAAGTGGGATCTCCCACTGACCACCTGTCCATCAGCTATCAAGTTTACCTGGAAGCGCTGGGCTAGGGCCTCTTCCACTAATGCCCGGGCTGGCAGCCAGCTGTGCTGGTAGAAGTCTAGTCTCTGCAGAAACTCCTCTTGAACCAGATCCATTGCACGCCTGAATCCTGCCTGGGGATGGTGGAACTCAGAACCATGGCTCTGGCCCAAACTTTACTTTGTTAGGGCTTAGGAGAAACCAGTTTTTCTGCTTCCTTCTCTAGGTTCTTATGTGTCTCAGGATCTCTTTCCTGGGGTTCCTCCTTACCTCAGTGTCCTGGTTGGGTTGGTTCCAGGTGGGATTAAGTCGAGCAACTCGGGCACTCAGATTAGTGGTCAGGGCATAACGAGGCTCCCCCTCCCACTGGGAGATCCCATTGTCCACTGCATCCACCTCCTCCACAAAGTTCTCGTATATCTAATGCAGCAGCAGAAAAAATGCTGTTGAGGACACCGACCATTTGTGCAGTTACCTAGGTTTGTTTTTGGTGGTGCTGGGGACTGAACCTAAGGCCTCGAACATGCTCTACCACTGAAATACACTGAAGCCCTTTGTCAAGCTTTCACTTAATTCTTACAATAGCCCCATGAGGATCCATGTAACCAGCTACTGGACAAAGTGAGGGAGAAGTGGGATGTTCGGTGGCTTGCTTAAGATCCAAGAACTAATAGTGCTGAGACTGGACTTCAGGGCTCATTCCACTGCACAAAGTTCAAGCCAAGCCCAGCATGTGTTTCAGGGGTGCTGCTGACTGAACTAGGAAACCTCAGTTCCCAGAGGCCCTCATTAGAGTGGATCCCTGTGGCTAAGGGCAGGTAGATCTCTAGGTGGGCTAAGTAGGCCATTCAGGGGCACACTTAATTAGGTGGGTCTGGCTAAACATACATTACATGGGAAAGAACTGATTTCTAGGGCAGACACTAAGAGCTGAGATGTGGAGTTTGGTTTCCAGGGCAAACTGTAATATGCCAGGTGACACTGGTAGCTGTGTTATCTTGTAAGCCTGAAGAAATGGTAGAATGATTCCTTGGGAGTGTTGCAGCAGAAATAATTGTGAATATTTTATGGAAAACCACCCTAAAAAAAAAGGCCTTCATGTAGTTATATGCTCAGTACTGACCATGGCCTGAGGATTTAGCTCAGTGCAGGCATAAGCACCTACATGGCAAGTGCTATGTCATGAGTTCGATCCCCAGTACCAAAAAAAAAAAAAAAAAAAGTACTACCCAGCACCTCTTGGATTAGACCCAAACCTATTAACCTTGGTTAACACTGGTTTAATTTAGTTAGCCTCTTAGAAAATCTTAAGTAGTGGAAATGAAAACTGTTCCATCTAAAATCTTGGTATCTTCAAAACTCTAGTGTTGAATGCCATGTTGTAGGGCAAGCCATGCCTGGACAATGAATTCAAAAGCCTACCTGCAAAACAGCTGATTAAATCTAAGATCTGTCTTGTGAACTTCAGAAGGTCAAGTAGGTGCCCTCAAGTATTACTTGACTTGCTATTTGAGAGCCAAGTTCTGTTCTTTCCCCAATAGGAAGCTGCTTGCAGGGGACATTGGTAGAATACCATGATTTCATAGCCAGTCCCTTCCCAACTGAGCTCCCAGCACCTGTGTGTTAGTGGTACCTAAGATATAGTCAATCTTTAAGGCAGCAAGAAACTCTAAGCTCAATGCTGTCACATAAGCACTATTCTGTTAACAAAAAGATACCAAATAATTGCTTAAATATATGTTAAGACTACAAAGTGCTTTATGGTTTCCAAACCCTATCTCAGAAAGGTGCAGTGGCACATGCCTGTAGTACCAGCACTCAAGAGGCTGATGCAAGAGAATCACTTGAGCTAGAAGCCTGAGCCCAGTCTAGAGAACAGAGCAAGATGATATCAAAACCAAACCAGACTGAAAGGACTTTCTCATATAGTATGTCATCTACTGCTCATACCCACCTAGGATGTAGGTGGAGAGATCACCATTCCTTGGCATAGGACCGTTGGGTCCCCTATTTACTAGGAACCCTGACCTGAGACCCTGTCCAGAGCTACATGTGAGAGCCAGGGATATAGCTCAGGGGCCTGCTTGGCAAGTGCAAGGTCCTGAGTTCAATTCCTGGTACAAAAAAATTAAAAAACAAAACAAAACAAAAAACCCCCAGAGCTTCATTAGAGTCATTCCCAGCTGACTTGCTGGAGGGTGTGTATGTGTTTGCAGGGGGGGCGTCTCTGTCCTCAGGTCCCCACCTTGTCATAGAGGGTGCCCACCATGCTGTCCTCTTCGTTAGTGCCCAGCAACTGGGCCAGCAGCTTGTGCCCGAAGTGCAGATAGATGAGTCCTGCACTGCTCAGCTTGGTCTGCCACGGCTTCCCAGGGGATAGGGAACTCATGGTCTCTGTGAAAGACCTGAGGAGCACAGAGAGGCAGGACTGAGGTAAAGGAGCGGGCCCAGTTAACCCAGAGAGAAAGAGGGAGAGAAGGAGGGAGGGAGAGAAAAAGGGAGGGAGGGAGACAGGGAGGGAGGGAGGGAGGGAGGGAGAGAGAGAGAAAGAAAAAGAAAGAAAGAAAGAAAGGAAGGAAGAAAGTGTGTGTGTGTGTGTGTGTGTGTGTGTGTGTGTATGTACATGTTGGGTAGGGGATAAGGAAGACTGCCAGAGTTGGGGTGGGAGAGCCAGAAGGGAAAGGCTTTGGTTTTTTCTCAGGAGTCAACATAGACTGTCACTTGGCATCTCTATTCATCCATTCACTTAATAATAGTTAAAGTTCAATGCCTGGTTACTGTATGTTCCATTTTGTGTTTAGAAGTTATGGAGGAAAAAACAAGACCCTCAGGCCAGGGATTTAGCTCAGTGGTACAAGCACCTGCCTGGCAAGTGCAAGGTCGTTGAGTTTGGTGAGTTTAATCCCCAGTACCAAAAAACCAAAAAACAAACAAAAGAAAAAACCAAGACCCTGTCCTTGCCTTTCTAATTCATCTGCTAGAGGCAGATAAAAAATAAGCAAGTACAGTCCAAATCTAGGAATGGGGTATTTGCATGCACAACCTTTTTATACTTAAACCGTCTCAATTACTTATAATGCTTAATATAGTGTAAGTGGTATACAAACAGTTGTTATACTACATACTATTTAGGGAATAATGCCAAAAAATGTCTATGTATGCAACACAGGCTCAGTTTAAAAACATTTTCTGATCTCTGATTGGTTGAGTCTACAGTGGTGGGATCCACTCTAGCCCTAAAATTCATAGAACTGTAAGAAAGGCAGCTTCTGGGGCTGAGGATGTAGCTTAATGGTACAGCACTCATTTGGCATGCATAAGGCCCTGGGTCTGATTACCAGAGATCTAAATGGCAAAAGATAAAGCTGTGAAGGGAAGGAAGGGGCCAACCTACGGAAGGCTTTGCATGCCATGTCCTGAAGTCTGGGCTCCATCTGTAGGTAGTGGGGAGTCTCGGGGGGATTACATAGACAGGTGCACAGTAGAAAGAACTGCACCAGCTAGCCTGGACAACAGAAGCAAGGAGACTGCCTTGCAGTGGTCCAGGTGAGTAAGGCAGAAATCTGAATTTGAATAGCGGTGACGTAGATAAGACTGGGAAAATGTTAGGATATTTTAGGAAAATAGACATTACAGCTCTGGTGTCTAATCAGGAAACAAATGTTTGGGGAGCCAGGGATTTAGCTCAGTGGCATAAGCGCCTGCCTGGCAAGCCCAAGGTCCTGAGTTCGATCCTTGGTATAAAAAAATGTTTTGGGGGTTAACAGTTAAGGATGGGATCCAGGGCCTTTTTTTTTTTGTCTTTTTCATTTTTATCGGTACCAGGGATCGAACTCACGACCCCCTGCTTGCAAGGCAGGTGCTTATGCCACTGAACTAAATCCCCAGCCCCAATCCAGGGTCTTTTTAAGTTAAGCTTGTGTTCTACCTGTGAACACAGCCCCTCTTCAGCTGTGACTTCCAAATACCAGTTCATCTCAGAATCACTTAACAAGTTCATTTTTAGTTTTATGACTTTCATTACTAAATACTGAGTAAATAAATACATTCACAAAACATTATACTCAAAAGGTATAAAGACAAACGATAAAAATAACCCGTTAGGCAAAGTTTCAAAAGAAACAAAATGAATACACTGTTGATGAAAATAGACCTGTACCCAACTATACATGAAAACAGAAGTATGAATTTATGTTTTCTGGCATTTTGGGTTTTTTTAAGGGCCTTGTTATATAGTAGCTCAGGCTAGCTTGAAACTTGCTTCTAAGTGCTGGGATTACAAATGAGTACTACATGCCCTACTAAAATTTTAGATATTAAATTTAGACTATTAACTGGGTATGGTGGTACATACTTATAATTCCAGCATTCAGCAGGCTGATGGCAGCAGAAGTGCCATAAATTTCAAAGGCCAGCCTGGACTCCAATAGCAAGACCTTCTCTCAAAAACCAAATATGCATGCCTGTAATCCCAGCAGCACTTGGAAGGCTGAAGTAGGAGGCTCGCCATGAGTTCAAGGCCAACCTGCACTACATAATGATAACCTGTCTCAAAAAAAAATTAGGATATTGCTTTATTTTGTGGAAAATGGGAATGGGATAGGTAAGAAGCACATAGGAATAGCGATTAAAGATAATGGTAATATTTTAGCTATTAGGTTGAGAGACTGGTTCATGGATATCCATCTTATGTTTGATATTCTGAAAAATTATATTTTCTGTATCAAGTACTTTATACGTGGCTGTAAACAAAGCTACCTGAAAAAATGAATTGGTCAGGACAAGGGACTTAGCTTAGCAGCATAAACACCTGCCTGGCAAACCCAAGGTCGTGAGTTTGATCCTTGGTAACAAAACAGAACAAACAAACAAACAAACAAAAAACCGAAAAGAAGAATTTGTCACTAATGCTAAGTACCACAAAGGGTCAACTCATGTAAAACCCTGTGCTGGCCCCTGGTTTGGTCCTGACATCCTTAGTACTCTTTCATCAGGCAATGCCAGTGAAGAGACTGGGATACAGTGTGCTAGAAGAGAACAGGTTGGAAGAAAAAGGTGGAACCAGGGACAGCTAGCTACTCTTTCTATATTTTGAGATATGGTCTCACTATGTACCCCAGGCTGGCCTTGAATTCATGGCACTCCTACCTCAGCCTTCTCAGGGCTGGGATCACAGGTATATATCACCACATGCAATTGCAGCCATTCTTTTGAATAGTAGTGTCAAACAAGGGTGAGAGACTAGGGATTCTTTATAACATAATTTATAGAAGTAAAGCTGGGTGTGGTGGCGCGTGCCTGTGAAAGCCTTGGGTTCAATCCCTGGTACAGGACAAAAAAAAAAAAAAAAAAATCTATTTCATTTCAAGGAGAAAAAGAAAAAAAAACCCCAAACTGCTCACATCTGAACTGTCATCAACTTGACATAATTAATATGACCCCCAGCAATCTAAGATGGGGCTGCATAATCCCACATGGGGTATTGGGGTGATGTTTGAGTTGGTGGAGAAAACCTGACATAAGCCATGGAAGCAGAGGTAGGAACCTAGGGGACCAACCCGGAGCCAAGGTAGGTCTGAGGCCATAGAGACAGTGAAGAGCAGATACTGCAGTTCGAAAGGCTGCAGTGGTCCCAAGAATTTGATTTCCTTCGCAGTTTCCTTTGCTGACTAGAACTTTAACAGCTGATGGCTGAATTGGATTACAAAACAAAGTCAAAGAAAAGTCACCTCTGGTGATGGTCATATCGGTGTCTCTGAGGGTCGTACTCGCCACCCACGTCCACTACGATGTCACATGAAGCCAATTTTTCTGGGTCTCGAGTCCGCACTATCTCAGCATCCTGCAAAGTACAGTCAGTCAAGAGGTTGCCAGGCAAGGGTCGCATGGGTATTGGATCAGTGTTGGGTTTCTAGGTAACCTGATGCGGAGCTCTGACGCTCCAGCTACCAAAGGGACCCAGGTAGGAACACAGGCTGTCCCAAGGTGCTAGTACCTGGTATTCCGGCAGGAGGCGAAGCAAGGCGCATGCCAGAGCCTCGTCGCAGTGGAAGGTGCCGTTGTGCGTCCCGATTCGGGGCGGTGCCATGAGATTGCTACGGGGCTTTTTCTGCGGCGGGACTGACTCCGGGCTGAGCATGCAGTGATGGGTTCGGAGCGGTGACGAAGGTAGCAGGAGCACCAAGAGACCTCGAAGGAAGCGCTGTCCCATGTGGCTCCCCCCACCCGTGAGGCGCGAGCACTGACCCGGAAGGGGAAGCTCCCGTGCTTGCTTCAACTTCCGCTTTCCTTGGTTCCCGTAGCAACCAGCAACCAAGCCCGCAACCATTTCAACTAGCTTCTAGCTTTTCACTGGAGGACTGGGGCCTCCACGGGCATAGGGTTTGTTCCTGCCTATCAGACTCTGAGCTGGGGCGCACCAGCCATCTCATCACCAGTCCGTTGCTTAATCCAAGAAAAGACCCATATTCTGCCCAGTAGGCACCTTTATTAGCATTAAACACAAGATGCTTCCTTCAGGACACCAGGAGGCCACAGTCACAAGGTTCCAGACCCGCAAAGTGCCCCTCTGCCCCATTTCTTCTTTTTTTATGGAAACGGTCTCACTGTATTGTTCAGGCTGGCCTTGAACTCAATTGTGGAGTCCAGACTGGCCTCGAACTCGTAGTGATCCTCTTGCCTCAGCCTTCCCAGTGCTGGGATTATAGGTGTAGGCTACCCTCTGCTTCATTTCTACAACATACTCTCAGGCCTTAGCAGTAGCCTGAGCTGCCCCCAGGGCTGTGAGTTGCTGAATCTTCTGGCTCATCATTTCCATGACAGCTGTGGAGAAACAGAATTACACCATGTGAGCTCGAGAGAGGACCTAGAGTTAAGAAAGAGTGGCAGGTGGATAACCAACTCTGATTATTGATTAAACTTTTTTTTTTTTTTTTTTTTTTGTCTTTTTCCTTTTTATCCGTACTGGGATCGAACTCACGACTGCCTGCTTGCAAGACAGGCACTTATGCCACTGAGCTAAATCTCCAGCCCCCTGATTAAACTTTTTTAAAAAAGTGATGCACTGTGGAAGATACACACTAACACATTTAGATTCTACAATGTATCAACTAGCCACTAGGAAATAAAAATGTATCTTACTAAATCAGTTTGAGAGTTCACTGAAAAGAAGGATTTGTGCTGATATTGTTTGTTTGAACAATTGAATGCAGATGTTTTGTGCTCTGTAATGATTTGGGGATGATAATGCTCAATATATATATCACTGTTGGCCCTGATTGATGTGTTTTGAAAAAAAAATTTTTTTTGGTACTGGGGATCAAACTCCCGACCTTATAGCAGATGCTTATGCCACTGAGCTAAATCCCCAGCCTGATTTTTTTCCCCTCTCTTTGAAATAAAATGAATTTGAAAAAATAAGTCAGTTAGAGATAACTGAAAAATAGTAATGTAGAGATTTCTAGAGGCTGGGGGTTTCAGCTCAGCAGCACAGCACCTGCCTAACAGTCACAAGGATTTGGGTTCTACTCCAACTGTCACCTTCAATTTTTTACTCCTCTATATAGTCTTCCATCTTGCATAATAATCACCAGGTGAATTTTTCACATTTGCAAAAATTTTTTTGTATCAGAGATTGAACTGACAACTTTGTGCTTGCCACGCAAGTGCTTATGCCACTGAGCTAAAACCCTGGATTTTTATTTTTTACTTTTGTTAATACTTTGAGACAGGAACTAAGTCATCCCGACTGGTTTTGAACTTGTGATCTTCCCATCTCAGTCTCCCAAGTAGTACCTTTATTAAAAAACAAACAAAAAATACACCCCAGGGATCACTCCCCATACCCCCACTTCCAAGTTGAATGGACCCAGTCTTTCCTTGGAAATTTCCTAAAGGATTCCAATGTGCAACCGGGGTTGAAATTTCTAGTACTTATTTAGTTAAGTTTAGGTTTCCTTCCTGTGTTTATGTATATCTCATATCCCATCCTATCCTTGTTAAATAAACAGAAGCTTCATAAAAGCAGTCATGACTTCTTTCCTCCAAAACGTCTGAAACACCCAAATCAGGAATCTACAAATCATGGGTATGTAACACAGAATCTAAGGAATAAGATAGCAAGATATCAAGATACCAAAGACAAACATGGTTTTAACAAGTTCATGATGGGAATATACTTCATGTCTGGCTGCCAGGTGGCTTACCCCACAAATGGTATGTACGTGACTATCCCATCAGGCAGCTTGTACCACTGGTGGTAGAAGCAGGACAGTCATGTGTACTCAATACTAGTGGATCAAGCCAGCAGGAATTTGTTAATCCAGCAAAGGGAACAACCTCAAGGTTTCTAATACAATCTACGTTCTTTATTATAGAGCTAGAAAGGATAAAGAGGTGCCCAGGCAGAACTTACCTTGTTTCATGGTGTGCTTCTCCTGTAGAGCTGGCTGGATTTTCTCCATCTGCTTTGTGAGGAAGTCTATTTTCCTCTTGAAGAAGTCCTTAGCATCCTCGGCTGTCTGCAAGATTGAATAAAGGGGTAAAAGGAGCCTGTCCTACCATGTAAATTGTCCTTAAACTTCCTTTCCCTACTGGAAGGGACATTCACATGCTTTCTCACACTCACCTTCTCCACATAGTAGCCAGTCCCCACATCGATGAGCACATGTTCCACATCATGTAGCTTCCCTGGGACATACATCTGAGAAGCAGCAATTAAGGGAAAAACTAGCCCGGCATGAGACATGAATCCCCGAGACATAAATCCCTGTCAGACAATCTGACAGCCTGCATAAGACCCTCTTTTGCTCAAAGGCACAAGATATGAGGACTAAATAATCTAGAAGCCTTAGAACTGTTAACTCCAAATGTTGAGAGACAGAGAAGTTGGTTCCTCATGCAGAAAATGATGTATGTTGAACGCTCTTGTCAGGATCCCACCTTTTATGTTCAAGCAGTTCTTGTAATTAGCCCATCCAGAAATGCCAGAAACAATGTTTCCTTACTGCTTTGGAACAGTGTAGGTGAAAAACCAGCCTCCTTTCCCCTCAACCATGAAGTTGTAAGTCTTTTTTTTTTTTTTTTGGTACTGGGGATTGAACTCACAACCTTGTGCTTGCAAAGCAGGCGCTTATGCCACTGATCCCCAGCCCGAAGTTGTAAGTCTTGAAAAATTTAATATTTAACCTTCTCCATTACACTGCCATTTCTGCACTATGCTACCATTTCTGTTTCTCTTTAGCCTCTCAGTTTTGGTTTGTTTTTGAAGTATTAGAGATTCAACCAACAGCCTTTCCACAACGCTATGTCCCCAAGCCCTTTTTAAATTTTTAGACAGGAGCTTGCTAAATTGTCCAGGAGGGACTTGAACTTCAGATCATCCTGCCTCAGACTCCCAAAGTGCTGGGATTACAAGTATGTGTCACCATGCCTAGCTAGCCTCTCAGCTCTTTTTTTTTTTTTGTCTTTTTATCGGTACCAGGGATTGAACTCTCGACTGCCTGCTTGCAAGGCAGGTGCTTATGCCACTGAGCTAAATCTCCAGCCCCAGCCTCTCAGTTCTTAAGGCTTAACTTGTTCCTTTAAGTAAAATGTTGCCATAACTTGTTCCTTTAAGTAAAATGTTCAACAGATGTACACAATCCAGGTTTCTTTGTGAAAGTAATCAGAAATGAGCCACAGTTAAGCTGAAATTCAGTATTTACTAAATAAAGTCAACTTTTCCATTTGTATATACTCCATTCTTCTATTGCTTGTCTTCTAAATTATTAGTACAAGTGTACATTCCAAGTTCACCTCCATACTAATTAATACCCTCAAGCAGCAAAGGGAAATATCGCACTTCAACTCTACACTCTTTAGTACTCATAATATGCAGAAAAGCGATGAAGCAGGGGCTGGGGATTTAGCTCCGCGGCATAGCTGAGCTATGCTGCCTTGCAAGCAGGCCGTCGTGAGTTCGATCCCTGGTACCGATAAAAATGAAAAAGACCAAAAAAAAAAAAAAAAAAAAAAAAAAAAAAAAGAAACGCGATTAAGAGTAAGAGTGTTCTCAAAATTACGGGGAGACTGACTCTAGAATAATCAGAGTGGGGGGTGAGGGAGAAAGCAGGGTAGTGGTTTCTGTGGAAAGGATACAGAACTCGTCAGTGGGACGAGTAATTCTTTCCCTGTGAAAGCAATTAACATAAACACCCGCGGAAGGCTGGTGGCAACCATGCCAAGACATTAAAGGGGGCTCCACCAGGGCACAGCGCCCACAATGTGATGAGAACTGAAACAAGTGACAGGAGCAGGGAAAGGTCCTGTACATTTCAACTCTCCATAGGCAACGTGCAAAGGCTGATGAAGCGGCACTCGACACGGAGGGGATTGCCCTCGCCTAGTCCTCCCCAGGCTGCCTTCAGCCCCTACCCCATACCCTCGTTGCTCTTGTTCAGCACGTTCAGACAGTCCTTGGCTTCCACGTACTTGGTCTGCACCACCTTGAGCTGGGCGATGGACGTGGACAAGAATTCCACTTCCTGCAAAGGTCAGGAAAGAGGGTCAGCGCGGGAGCCGGGGAGCAGAGGGTCACCGCGGGCAGGGGCGGGGTTGGGGGGGCGGGGGCGCGGGCTGGGGCCAGCGGGGGTCTCGCAAGGCAAAGGAGACCTCCCGAGCTGGGACGCAAGGGGGCGAAGGTGTAAGCTTGGGGAAGGGGTAAGTGAGGGGCGAGAAAGTTGCCTCTCGTGCCCGCCCCAACCTGGTCCAGCTGGTTCTTGAGCATTTCTAGTTGTGGCAGATTCAGCTCCGTGATGTTAATCGACTGCGCCATGTCGGTAAGGAGGACTGCTGAGGCGACTACCGAGGAGGAAGTCGGCTCAGCGATCAACATTCTAGCCGCCCTCGGCGCATCTCTATGGCTGCGTCGGGAGGTCGCGCTGCGCCACACGTCTCTATGACCTAGATCTTGGAGGGTGGGGCGGGGGTAGACCAGAGATTGAAGTGGATAATCGGAATCACAAAGTATCCTAAACCTAGGGGAGTAACAGTGTAGCTACCGTTACTTCCGCTCAGAGGAATTAAAATCTTTAAGTCCTTAGAATTTAACTACACTTTCTTTAGTTTTTTGAGACAGAGACTTGCTCTGTAATTCAGGCTGGCCTTGAACTCACTGTGTAACCCCGTGTGGCCTTGAACTCAGCGATCTTCTTGCCTCAGTCTCCCGAATGGTGAGATCATTGGTGTGTATCCCTACACCAGACTCAACTACCATATTGTAAAGCAATGTGTGCTGCTCCACCTGGGTGGTACTGTTGCCCGGACAGTTCTGGGGAAGTTGGCAAAAATGAGATTTAGGAAACCACCGGCCACCTCACCAGTAGAAGAGGACTGCAGGTTCATTTGTCGCAAAGAAAAGAATTTCAAGATGCGTCAGTAAGAGGCTCAAGAAGGGTTTATTAGGCAGAAAGCGGAAGTTTCGCAAAGAAATAGTGGGGTATGAGAGAGAAGGGCAAGAGAGAGAGAGGGATTAAGATCATTTCCTGGAACAGAGGATAGCTATGCTTCTCTTGAGGGGGTGGAAACCCTGAAAAAAGTGGCCTATCCCCTATTCTATTCTACATAGTTAAACCCAAGTCGGGTTTTATTAAAACAAGTAGTTCTGTCAATCTGTATCATAGGATAGGACCCTCAGCTCTTTCTCAATTAGGCCAGTTTATGGACTTTCAGTGCCGAGGAATTTCGAGTACGATGAATTTTCAGGGAAAGGAGCCTAAATTTAACCCAGGGAAAGTACGTATGGATCACCTTGGGTGACTTTAGAAATTTTATTTATTTATTTATTTATTTGTCTTTATCCTTTTTATCAGTACTGGGGATCAAATTTACGACTGCCCGCTTGCAAGGCAGGCGCTTACGCCTCTGAGCTAAATCCCCAGCCCAATTTATTTTTGTTTTTGGTGTTTTTTTTTTTGTTTGTTTTTGTTTTTGGCTTTTTCGTTTATCGGTACCAGGGATCGAACTCACGACTGCCTGCTTGCAAGGCAGGTGCTTATGCCGCTGAGCTAAATCCCCAGCCCCAATTTATCTTAAAAGCATAATTTTTGTGTTTCTTAGTTATGATTTCCGTGTTTCCTTTTTACCTTTTTTTTTTTTTGCTTTCCTCAGTCCAAGCCTAATGGCAAACGCCAGGCCTGTGAAGTTCTTTGAGCCATGAGAAGTGTGGAAACAGTACTTTGGGTAGATGAGGTGGAAAGAAAGGTAAGGAGTCACTACTGTCAGCCACCCAGCACCACGCTCGTGTACTAGGACCTTGTGCTAGATGTGGCAGCACCTGAGAGTGAAAGGGCCAAGCTTCCCTGGAGTTTAGGAGTTTAACGTTTGGTTGGAGACACACACCTGGCACCAGAACCCACAGAATGTGCTGCTCAGGGACTGGCCTTGAGGATCCAGCGGCTACAGAAGAGAACACTGCATGTAACCGGGCCTTTAGAATAAGGCTGAGCAACTGAGGCATGAAGATAACTTCAACAAAAGGTATTGTGAAATATGGGGAAAATGTTCAAATGGGGAGAACAAGGGAAAAGGGAGAGGGAAAGGAAAGAAGGGGAAAGTAAAAAGAACGAAAACATGGACTAAAAGGGGATTTAGTTCAGTGGCATAAGCGCCTGCCTGGCAAGCATGAGGTTGTGAGTTTGATCCTCCATACCAAAAAAAGAAAAGATAGAAAACATGGAAACAAAGCTTTTGAAAAATGGGGAAGGTAAGGGGTTGGACTAGAGAGGAGTGGAGAAAAAAGCTATATCATGCACAGGTACAAATTCTCTGATAAATGTGATAATTATGTGTATTTAAAATGTACCAATAAAGTCTAATTTAAAAAACCCTCAACACATACCACTGCCCTTTCTGGGACCTGTTTCCACTTCTACTTTTCTCCCTGATGTTGGAGATTGAACCTAGGCCTTTGAACTTACCTATATCATCAGCCCTTTTAAAAATTTTGTTTCATTAAGTCACTAAATTGCCCAGGCTGGGCTCAAATGTACAATCCTCCTGCCTCAGCCTCCCAGAGCGCTAGTACAGGCATGCGCCTCCATATGCAGCTATTTGGAGCATCTTGATGGCCCTCTCTCCTTCAGCTTGGTTTGCCAAGGTTCAGCCGGTTCAGCTTTATTCTGTGGCTTTCTGTTTCTTCCCAAGGTCTCAAACTTGAATCCTGCAAGCTGTTCCCATCTGCCTACAGTAACATGTGAGTGTCTTTGTGTGTGTCAGTCTTGTCTTTAGATGTTCTCAGGTTTACTACATAAACAAGAATTAAGTGATATAGGGCTGGGGATTTAGCTCAGCGGCAGGCAGGCAGTCATGAGTTCGATCCCTGGTACCAATAAAAACGAAAAAGACCAAAAAAAAAAAAAAAAAAAAAAAAAAAGAATTAAGTGATATATCTTTATTACATTCAGGTTAAATTGAAAGTAAATATTTCATATAAAACACAAGGGAAAATAACTTTACAATATTTATCCTGAGGGTAAAATTTAAGATTGGATGTAGAACAGTCACAATGATTCTACCAGCAATAAGATAGCTCAAAGTGTCACCGAAGGAAGACAGGTAAGCCATAGGCAACAGGTGCAGCTCCAATAAGAGACTTGAGTCGGGGAGCCTGGCGGGCCTGGCTGACATAGTGGAGCAGAGGGGCCCCTGGGCCTGCTGCAAGCCATCCCTGCAGGAGAGCTTCTGTGTAGCGGTCAATGTCACGGTCAGTCACATCCCAGAGATTTCCCAGAAACAGGGGGCTGGGAAAAAAGACACCCAAAGTGAGGGCCCTGGAACAAATGACCCCGGAAGAGAAGCAGTAGCAGCAGTGGGTGAGAGGGAGGACTGAACCAACAAGGAACTCCCTTAGCTCATGGTTCGAGAACAGAAGGGGATCAAGGGTACAGGGCCAGGAATGCTCAGGGAACCAGGATGGGAGGAAGGTGAGGCAATACAGGAAGGAGTCAAGGCTTGGAGCTGGGAAAGAACTGGGGTAGGTGCAGGGATTTTAATGTCCTAGGACAGGTCTCGCCCCTCGAGCCTCACCAGCCAGCCATGATGTACTTGAGCACAATGCCAGCCCCCTCCAGGTTTCCATGCACGGCCAGGGCTGCGCTGCTGCAGCCAAACAACAAGGCCACTGCCCGGCAGCTTAGCCGCAGTACTGCCTGCCCATCAAGGAAGCGGGCACCAGCCCCGTGACCTGCATAGCTAAGGCAGAAGGAAGTGAGATAAGCACTGATCTAGCAGAAGAAGCCTCAACCTGCAAGTCCAGAGGCTCAAGGTGCCAGAGCAATCCATAGTGACACCATCCTCCGGGCTGCCCCTCTCCTCAACCCACCCTACACACTCACATATATAAGTCGTTCTTTGTCAAGGCCATCTGCATCTGTTCTGGGCTTGGCACCTCCCCGACCACCCCTCTCCAGCCAGCTTCACTGCAAAGAAAAGGCAGGAGTAAGAGTACAACCTGTACAGCGGTGATCATGCGGCAAAGTAGGCAGAAGGTACAGCAGAATGAAGGCGCTGCAATGCCTGAGTCTGCACAGGCACAGTGTCCTAGCAGGCTGTCTATGCTTCACCACCCGCCTCTGTGCCCTCACCCCTCTGACCTGCTAAACTTGGCTCGAAATTGCTCCTCTGTGCTTGCCAGGTTATTGTGAGGGTTCAGGACGTAAAATGTGCTCCGAGGATCCACCCCCTGGCTCAGCACTGATGCAGCCCCAGCCTGAGGGGAGACACTGGTTATCAGGACCTGGTTTTGCTGCAGGTCAGACCTTCAGCAGGCTCCAAGCTGATTTCCATATCTCACTGCTCCTGAGAACTGCTGCTATCCCTCAGGTCTCTCCAAGTCTCTCTTCAGTTCCCCTCCAGTCACCAACTCTCCCCAGACTGACCCTGGCATCCTACCTCTTTGAGGATGAAATAGCTGAGCAGGAAGTGGAAGGAGGGCAGCCGGGTGACAGGCAGTGCTCGCAGGCAGGGTATGCTTTCCCATGGCAGCTTCTGCAGGTCCTGAGCAAAAAGTATTCCAAGGTTACTATCCTTAGCCAGGCCCCAAAGATAAGCTGGTGCCCACTATCCATTGCCTCCTCTTACCCTGTCCAGCACCAAGACAAGATGCTTATTGCTTGGTGCTGACTGCCCCTGTAGACGCCTGGCTGCCTCAGTCAGGAGTTCCTGGGCTCTGGCTGGCTGGGTCGGGCACAGCCCATAGGCCAGGGCCTGAATATCCTGGGTTGTGAGGGTGCTGGCACCACTGAGCAAGACCTATGGGGGAATGGGGTTAGCAGGTGCCGTGTCCAGCAGCTTCCCCTTCCCTGCTTCCTGAACTCACTTTTAACAGAGTCGGGTCGGGATACTGCCAGCCACAGTCCTGCAGCAACTCCTGCAGGCGGGTGGCCTCATGCTCAGGGCCAGGTTCTTCACTGGAGGGCAGCAGCAGCCCTCGCCAGCAGCCCAACACATGCTTCTCCAGGGAAGTGATGAGGTCCTGGGAGCAGGGGTGGAGCCCTCAGTCAGACAGAAAGCCAGACTCCCAATCCTCTTGGCTTAGCCTCCTGGAAAGTTACATTAAAGGCCTGCACCACTGTAACTGGCTCCTCTGTGAATCTTTTTATGTTCCACTGCCATAACTCCTTTGAAGTCTGGTGCTCTTATTATTTAAAATCTTCCCCAAATGAAGTTGTATTTCTTGAGGCCTACATTTCCAGAAGGGACTAGAAGTAGCTGAACACTGACCTGAGCCCTTTGCTGGGGAAGATGCTGGCACCCCAGGGTCACTTCTGGGGAAGCCCTGAGCACTACCCCCAGCACCCACCTCCATTCTGTGGTCCAGGGCCAGTCTGCCTGTCCACCAGGCTCGCTTGTCAGTGCAGCTGCTGTTCTCTTTCTGTTCCTTCTGGATAGCGTCAAATTCTCTCAGGGCTGAACTCAGAGGGAACTGTGGGAAATAGGGTTGTGAGCTATTGGCTTAGCTAGCAATCACCATCTCCATCCCTAACCATAGGATGTGAGTAGCCTGACCAAAGGCCACCATGGCCAACACTGCTTCTTGGTCCTGGGGCCCTACCTTATCCTGGGCAGTGGGGATCTGCACAGTGACTGGGGGGTTGTCCTTTTCCAGTCTTGTCAGTAGGAGAGTGTTGCCCACAGTTCCAGGCTGGAGGGTGGACACAGCCAACATGCAGACAGTCACCCCTGACACAGAGGACACACCCAGAATCATGTTAAGAGGAATTCCCGGCCATCCTTAGCAAGTCGTCCCTATCCATAACTCAGGACATCTCCAGCTGGGTTTAAGGAGCCTTTTGCTGCCCTTCTGGCTTTCTGAGGACAGGCAGCCCCCACTTCCTCACATCCCTCAACACAGCGAACAAGGGGCCCACGCAGAGTGAGGCACTGGGATCCTATGCCAACGGGCCTCATGGTAGTATAGGAAGACAGCAGACAGCTGAACAAGAACTGAATTTGCTGTTAACAACTTTGAGGGTAAGCAAAGCCTTGTTGACTCAGCATATGTCTATCAGGTGAGAAAAACATGGCTCACAGACACAAAGGTATAAACACAAGGGGCACAAATCTACACAAACAATCAGTATCTCAACTCTACCACCCAGTGAATTCAGAAAGATGCAATCAAGGATAGAAGAGCCAGCTAGAAGCTACCCCATACCCTTGGGGAGCAGCACCAAGAGCTCCTGGAAATGCTGCTTCTCGGGCTGGGGAAAGGCACCAGCTCCTGAAGCCCTGAAGGAAAAGAGGCGCTGGATGCGGGCCAGAGGGACATCATCAGGCATCTCCTGGAGGGTTAGCTGCTGCAGCTGCTCTGTCAGTCTGAGTGGTCCTTGATGCTTCTGGGCCTTGCTGGAGGCAACACGAACAGGGGTGAGTCCCATCTCTGAAGCTGGGGCCCTCCTCACAGCATCACTGACATGAGCCCCAGTAATGGCGAGCACTTACCTGAGCAGTCTGTGGAGGTGAGTGAGTAGCTGGTGGCGACAGGTAATAGAGATAGACTCGGCAACGAGGAAGGCAGTAGCATAGGGATCCCGGTGGCCCAGGCACAAGGCCAGGAGGCGGCAGAGGTGGGCATAGAGCCCACTAGCAGGGCAATGACTGACCCCACGGAAAGCAATGCTCAGAGAGTCGCGCATGGAATCCAGGGTAGAAGAACCTAGAGGAAGGTTAAGACCCTCACTAAAGGTCAGTCTCCTGTTTTCTTTCTTTTCTTTTCTTTTTTTTTTTTTTGTGGTACTGGGGATCAAACTTATGACCTCACGCTTGTCAGGCAGAGTCTCCTGTTTTCAGTGGACAGAAATTTCCAAGGAATCCCAATCTGTCTCCTCATGAAAAAGAAGCTACTCTTTATGAAGGGATGTACCAAGCAGAATGATATGCAACTAAAAGGCATCACCTCGCTCCATCTGCATCCCTTCTTTTTTATTATTACTATTGTTTTTTTGAGAGTCTTTTTCTTTTGAGACAGGGTCTCACTATGTAGCTCAGGCTGACCTCACACTCACAGTTATTCTCCTGCCTCAGCCTCCTGAGTGCTAGGATTACAGATATAAATCAGGGTTTTTTTTTTTTTGTTGTTGTTGTTGTTGGTTTTGTTTTGTTTAGACAGTGTCTCATTATGTAGTTCAGGCTGGCTTTAAATTCACTATGCTTATGGCATAGTGCCTCAGCCTCCTGAGTGCTGGGAATTATAAACCTGTTGGGAGCTGTTAAAGCTAAAAACTGACCACACATGCAAGGCTGCAGCATGACCATCCCCCAAAAAGAGCATCCTCCAGCAAGCCTTGTGAAGAAGCTGCTTCAGCCCAGAGAACACCTGGCCCCAAGACAATCTGAACAGTGGGTTTCTAGGACAACATGGTGTCTGTCATATGACAGTAAATTGCTAAAAGGTATAAAGAAAGGCCCCTACAGTGAAGGGGCAGTTCCTTTCCTCCCCTAAGGAGAATAAGGGCTCCACCTGTCCCCAGCTTTGTGTCTTTATTTTCTCATCCTCTTATGGTCCTTCACCTCAAGAACCTCAAGAGCTGCACTGGTTGCTACACAAACCCCATTCAACAGTGAAGGAAACAGAATCTCAGAGAGATTACATAACTGCACAGAGTGCTAAGATTTAACCATATTCTAGACTACTTGATCCATATGGAGTCTCAAAGCCAAAACCATACACAGACTACACAGACCCAAATAAATGGACGTCAGTAGCATACTCACCAATGGTTACGGGGGGTTGGAGCCAAGCACCGACGTCCCTGTTGCTTTCCTTGCCTGGTTCCAGGATGGGTAGCTCCTCCTTGCTGGAATCCCGTCTCAACACCTCACATTCACCTACGGGGGGATCAGCACCTGGAACCAGTGCCTTCCCACCTGAGCAAAGAACAGGACTTCCTCACACAGTTCTCCCCTGCCACCTGCTCTGGACCTTCTACACATCAGCTCTGCACAGCCAGCACTGGCTCTCTCCTGGACCCCCTTGGCACCAATTATCAGGGACGTCCCCACCATTCCTTTTCCCACTCACCCTTGTCACCCTACCTGAAGCTGAGTCTTCTCTGTCAGAGGCTCCAAGGGTCTCAAAGCTCATTTCCGTGCACTTGTCAGTCAGTTTCTCCTCAGGGATAGTCCTCATGAGCTCAGGGCCCAGCTTGTTCTGGCCACAAGGGGCTGTCTGGGGACCCTGCTCTTCACAGAGCCTTGATGCCACCTTCTTGGTTCTACGGTTCTTACCACTCATTGGGGTATTACCTGGAGCAGCCACTGTACCTATCGCCAAGCTTGGGCTCTTCCTAGCCCGGCCCCGGCCCCGGCCCCGGCCCGAGGAAGCAGTGCCCCGTCTCTTAGGTTCCTCAACAAGCGGTATCTCAGCAGAGACAGGGTCTTCCAAGTCACTGTCATCGCTGAAGTTCACCTGGGATCAGAGGAAGGCAGAAGGGCCTTTAGAGATGGCTTCTTCTGACAGCAGGTGGCGCTGTAGAGCCATGAAAGGAACCATCATAAGGGAAGACAAGAATTTCCCATTACATCAGCTTTTACTTATTTATTTTGTATGAGACAGGGTCTCACTATGCAGTCCAGCTGAACTCCTAGCGCTCCTCCTCAGCCATGAGAGCTGGGATTACAGGAGTGCACCACTACGCTTGGCAACACCAGCTACTTTCAGTTCCAGCGATGGGTCCAGTGCGAAAGGTGAAAGGAGGAAGAGAAAATAGGAAGAAGCACAAGCAAAGACACCAGAGTAAAGGGACATGTATAGTCCTTCAATAGCAGATCAAGGTTCCATTCAGCCCAGGGAGCTCTTGCCAAGACCACTGCTCTTCAGAGACTCTTCCACCCTTGTAACCAGCACCATCCAGCCACTGTCCCACCTCACCTTAAGGCGTGTCTGGACCCTCTGATGTACCCGGGGGGCCTGGGGAACCTCGGGCTTGTTCTTCGTAGGGCAGTCATCTTCAAACACAGTGAAGGGGACACGAGGGCCAGCCGGCCTCACTCGGCCTGCAGGCTTAGGTGTACAGGGTGGTCCACCACCTTCTGGGCTTCTGTGAGAGGCATTATGGAGGGGCAGGGGAGCAGAGGCTACTTGCTGGTGGCCTCGTCCACTATGTTTTTGGCTCTGGATCTTAGAGGACTCTGAGCCCGGGGGGCTTTTGATTAATGGTGGCTGCCAGCCCCAGGAGCTTGCAAAAAGTTGGGTAGTACAGGTGCTGAGGCCAGCCAGCTTTACGAGGGCCTGAATCAAGAGCAGGCTGGCTCGCCAGGGCTCCAGCTGTTGGATCCGCGCTGCTGTGAACTTCAGCCCTGACTCTAAGATCTTCTGCAGGCTCTTGTTTGATGGCTGCTTCAGGCCTGCCAGCGCCAGCTGTGTGTATGCCTGAGCCAGGAGCTCATCAAGAAGGCTTGGGTCAGGAGAGGCAGGGGCTCTGTGATTCAGGGAAGCCTGGAGAGTTTGGGTGAGGCGCTTGGTGGCTGCAGGGCAACCCTTTAGAACAACCTGCAGCAGCTCTAGACCCTGAGCCTGATGGCCTGTGGCCAGCCTCACGCCTGCTGTGACCAACACCCAGCGCAGACAGACTGCTGACAGGACAGGGCTGGCACAGATCGAGCAGTCACATGAAGCAGAGTGAGACAGGAAGCCGGGGCGGGGTTGGGGCTTGGTTTTCAGGATGGGGGAGGAGTTTGTCGAAGGTGCAATGGGCCCAGGTTCCTTGGCTACAGTGGCCACCAGCTCCAGAGCAGGACCTTTTAGGAAAGGCTCCTCCTCCAGGAGCTGCGGGGGCCAGGGGACCCTGGCCTGCTGCTTCCCCTTCTGTAGGTGGACCTTCTTTATAGTATCTGGGTGCTGGGTCACTCCGGCAAACTCTAGGGAGAAAGTAGAGTTAGAATAACAAAACCCTTGGTGTCAAGTCCTTCCTGAGCTATCCTAGGGTTCAGCTCCCTAATATATGTGTTATTTATCTACAAATTATTCACATGTATTATTGTATAAAACTCAAGTCATATCAGTGCAACTTACTAGCTTTTAAAGAAATTCTCTTAACATTTTCCTCCCATCCAACAAGGAATCAACAGCACACACGATCCACACCTGCAGCTCTGAGGACTATGGCTAGAAGAGCACACTGGCAGCACCAGGAGACCCATTATAATCCTGCCTTCACCCCTGACTGGCCCAAACCATTGAATTTCTCAATTTTTTTTTCTCTAAAAAAAATCTGAGGGCTGGGGATTTAGCTCAGTGGCATAAATGCCTGCCTTGCAAGCATGAGGTCATGAGTTGGATCCCTGGTACTGATTTAAAAAAAATCTGTGCGTCCACCTAACTACGTAAGAGTTTTATGGGGGCAGCAAATGAAGTAGAAGTTCAAATGGCTTAAGGTGGACATGGTGGTACACGCCTGTAATTCCAGCACTTAAGGAGGCTGAGGCAGAAGAATAGCACCTGAGTTTATTATGAGCAGAGTACTGAGACCATGTCTCAACATGCAAAAAGTTAAAATAAAGGGTTGGGCATATAGCTCAGTAGGAGAGAGCTCTTGGTTTGGACTCTAGTATAGAAAAAGAAAAAAATTGTTAAGAGAAAATGTACCACAAATATAATGTTTCAGTCTTAAGCCGCCCTAGAACACTATACTTGTCCTATCCTATATAGCAGAGCTACATATGCCACTGAGCATGTAAAATGTGACAAACATGACTGAGGACCTGAATTATAAATTTTATTATTATTATTTTATACCAGGGATCGAACTCATGACCTTGTGCTTGCCAGGCAGGCACTTGTGCCGCTAAGCTAAATGCTTGGCTATAGATTTTATTTAACCAAATTTAAATTTTAAAAGCCCAAATAAAGTGGGCAATGCTGAAGACAAGAATCAGGGAAGGTTGGTAAGGGGCAGGCCATGTGGAGGGGGGACACTGACAGTATACTGAGGACAAGAGGTGCTGCCTGGTAGACATGCATGTCACACCCTATTGCTTACCCGTACAAGACTCAAGCAGGAACAGAACCTGCTGCAGGTCCGACTGACAGAGGTCAAGGTCGCTGCGGGCCAGTTCCAGCTCACCTTTCAGCACCAGGAACAGGGCACACCTTTTTGGAAGAGGAGATGAGAAGCAGTCAGTGGAATACTGTTTTCCTGCCATCTCTCTCCTTGCCACTTTGACACACGGTCATCACCATCTTGTGTCCAAAAGGCCTTCCTCATTCCCTAACGTCTTACAGGCTCCCTGGGAAAAACCCTCTGTAATTCTCTCTCTCATCCCAACTCATCCCTGTGCATGACAGGATTTTCTAACTGCAATCCTAAAAAAACAAACAAACAAAAAAAAGAATCCTGTCAGCAAATAAACTTAGGAAAATGCAGTACTAGATATTTTAAGACGTATAATTCTATTAGCATTCTGAAAGACACGTGAAAATTCCACTGAAAATAAAAACCTCTAACCTTGATTAAACTTAGCATTCCATGGAGTGCCTTCCACCGACCCCCTAAACATAATGCTCCTTTCCAGGATGGTATGGGCATCTACGATCTAGAATGGGTGGCTGTCTAGGTCAGTCAGAATAGTGATCCTCTGGGGCTCTGCACTCACTGGCCCGGGAGCTGCAGCTTTGTCGTCAGTTTCAGGGCATCCAAGCAAAAGGCCTTGGCTTCACTCACACTCCCTAAGTGGCCAAGAGAGCAGACCAGCTTCTGTGAGCAGCTCAGAACCTCTGACAGAACCTGCCATTTTTGTACCAGATTTTCACCTGCAGCAAAGGAGAAAGAGGAGACCTTATCACTTAATGATAGCCCAGGCCACTGGAGACAAAACTGCCAGCCCCACCTTCACCATCTAGCCATCCATCCCTGGCAGGGCTCTACTGTCCTCCTCAGACTCACCACAATCCAGAAATGGTGTCTCCACAGCTGCTTTCTGTAGGGAGAGGACATCGCTGCCCATCAGCAGGAGGATGATGCTTCGAAGGAGCTTATGAGAATCTATGAGTGCTGTCTCAGGTGTCTGCCAGCCTGTGGGGAGTGAGGAGAAAAGAGGGTAGGTGATGTGGCCTGGCTCTCCACCAGCTACTAAGACAGCAGGTGCCGAGTCTGCTGGGGCTCTTCCTTTTGGACCTGAGGCAGACAGAGCAAGTCAGGCATAGAATTCTCCTCTGAGACCCCATGGGTTCTCAGAATTCTTTTCGGTCTGGTCTTCCAAGCAGTTAATGGTCAATCAAAGAGGTGGTGGGTGAGACCTGTTTGCTACCCCAGGCGTCTTCTGTGTAGCTCCTGGTTTTATGCTGCTCCACTGAGCTGGGCAGCCGTGGGGACGAGGGTGGGAAGAGCTCACAGCAGACAACACACCCATCCTCCAAGAAAGACATGTCCTCTCTTTCACCTTGAGCCCAAAGCTGCTCTCGCAGAGCATCTGAGAGGCTGTTTGATGAGAGGTTAAGGTAGATGGACAGTAGTTGCAGAGCCTGGACTCGAAGCAAATACCAAGCCTTGGATGACTTCTGGAGGGCAGGATCCCGAAGGACAGTCAGCAACAGAGAGACACCCTCAGTCACCTGAGAAACACAAAGAGTGGATGGGGAGCAGTCAGATAATGCAATTCAGAGCTTGAGATCCACCTGAAGTCATGGGGACCAACCCTGCTCTTTTGTTTTGAGACAGGATCTCTGCTATGTAGTTCAGGCCCAGGCTGACCTTCAACTCATGGTAATCCTCCAGTCTCAGCCTCCCAAGTGCTGATTACAGGTGTGTGCCACCATGCTCACGCTTTTAAAAAAATGAAAAAACTCTGAGAGAAGAACTACAGCCCGAGAGGGTATAAGAGCTGGCCTGCCTATAATCCCAACACTCAGGAGAATGACAAATTTGAGGCCACCCTGGGCTATCTCATGAGATCCTATCTCAAAAAACTTAAGATTTGGCCAAAACACACAGCTAAGCAAGGCATAATGGCACACACCTATAATCCCAGCACTCTAGGATACTAAGGCAGGAGGACAGCAAATTCAAATTCAGCCTAGGCAGCAGAATGATTTAGCAAGACCATATCTCAAAACAAAAAACAGCTAAGGATGTAGGTCAGTGCAAAAGCCTTGGATTCAGCTGGGTGTGGTGGCAACCCTGTGATCGCAACACTCAGGAGGCTGAGGCAGGAGGATCTCTGTGAGTTCAAGACCAGCCTGGGCTACAAAGTGAGCTCATGGCCAGCTGAACTGCATAGCAAGATCCTGTCTCAAAAAGACACACACACGGGCTGGGGATTTAGCTCAGCGGCATAAGCGCCTGCCTTGTAAAATAGGCAGTCGTGGGTTCCATCCCCGGTACTGATAAAAAGGAAAAAGACAAAGAAAAAAAAAAAAAAAAAAAAAAAAGGATAGTCTTTTGGAGCTGGGGATTTAGCTCAGCGGCATAAGAGCCTGCCTTGCAAGCAGGCAGTCGTGAGTTCAATCCCTTGTACCGATAAAAACGAAAAAGACAAAAAAAAAAAAAAAAAAAAAAAACATACACACACACACACAAAAAAAGCCTTGGGTTCAATGCTCATTACCACAAAAAAAAAAAAAAAAAAAAAAAAAAAAAAACAGAAAAACAAAAAAAACACTTCACTCAAAGCTAGTTTGAGAGAAAACTCAGGTCTTTTGGATCCTCCTAATTTTCTAGTCGAGGACTCTAGCATTTTCCCAGGATCACTGTCTTCCTGATTTCTGGTTTCCACTGCCCCTGTGGAAACTGGAAAAAATGAAAAGGATAATATCTCTACTAGAAGATGAGTGACACAGGGGCAAAGTCAGGAAATTTCCACCACTTCACAGGGTCAGGAATATTCTACTCCAAGGACAGATCAGAACCCAGACAAACACCCTGAAAATCCTAAAATCCTCCTGATGCACAGAACTTTAGAAAGTGAAAAAATAAACTGGGGACATAGCTCAGCAGCATAGGTGCCTGCCTGGCAAGCACAAGGTCCTGAGTTTGATTTCCACTACAAAAAACAAAATAAAAAGAGTGAGAAAATGAGATCTGGGGATATAACTCACAGACAGAGCACTTGTCCAGCATGTGTGAGGTCTTGAGTTTGATATTCAACATTAGAAAAGAGAGAGAGAGAGAGAGAGAGAGAGAGAGAAGGAAAGGAAGATTGAGACAAGGAAAGAAAGGAACAAAGGAAGCAAAGAAAGAAAGAAAATGGGAAATACCTTCTGTTGAGTCCAGCAGAGCTGACTTCGAAGGAGGTGACACGTCAGAGAAAGCAGCAGTCGTGTGTCCGTGGTCTCACTGAGATGCATCAGGGCGGATTCAGCCTCTTCCAGGTAAAACTAAGGAAGCAGTCAGCAGAGAGCGGGTGAGCACTTGGCAGCAGAAGCCAGATTTTTCACATTCAGATGGAGTTGACCATGTGCAAGTCAACTCCTGAACATGACCAATTAAATATTAAATTATTTCTAGTTTTATAATCTACATAAAAGTTATTACCATGATGTCCATTTAATACTTTCCGTTAACTATCATCTAGAAAAACAAAGCTAACTAAAGAGCAAACAAGCTGCTGTGTGACAGATGCCAAGGAGCAAGAACAACACGGGCACATCAACTGAACCAGACAACTGTGCCACGGCCACTGTCCTAGGGTAGGAGGATCCAGAAAGTAGCTGGTAAGGCCCTGAGGAAGCAGGTGTAAAAAGTGCTTCATGAAGGAGGCAACAACTGAGCCAAGGCCTTGAAAAGAGCATAGAGGTTTGCAGAATGAGAAAAGGGGAAGCAGGGAGAGGTGTTTCCAGTGGAGGGACTAAGCCAGAGACAGAAAGGTACATACAGGGAATAAAAAGTAATAGGTATGAATTGGCATAAAGTACATGGTAGCAAGTGGCAGAAAAGTTGAGTGTGGACAGCATGCTTCAGGTAAGGGAGAAGCAAACCACAGAAATCTTTCACATGGGAAAGAGGCAAGATGAGACCTGTGCCTCCAAGTGGTAGTTAGAAGACGAAATCAGAAAGTGAAAAACTGGAGCTGAGTGTGGTGGCACAGTCCTACAAGTCCAGCATTTGAGACACTGAGGCAGGAGGATCACCATGAATTCAAGGCCAACCTGGGCTACATAGTGAGTTTAAGCCCAGCCTGAACTGCATAGTGAGACTGTCTCAAAAAGAAAAAAAAAAAAAAAGGAAAAAGGGAGAACCTGGGACTAGTGATTATAGTGATTGTAAGTCAGTGGTAGAGCACTTGTCTAGAATGTGTGAGGCTCTGGGTTTTGATTCCCCCGTACCACAAAACAAATAAACAAAAAAGAAGAAAAGCAAGGAGACTAACTAGGAGACATTGTGACAGCTGCATAGAAACAGCTGGAAAATGCAGCATGGACAGCAGATTCCTGGAGCAGAACTGTAAGACCTTACACCGAGAAGGAGAAAGAAGCCTCCTCTTCCCATAGCTGCCTGCCACCACTCCACACCCTCCAGTCCTCTACCACTGTAGGGGCAGGAGGCAAAGAAGCTGCCCCTTCTATTTCCTATCTTGTCAGAGGGAAAGATGGAATTCTAAACCATATGTGAACCCAGGCTCCAGGTGCTGCTTGCTGCCACTCACCTGGGCATAGGTGGGACAGCCGAGGCTCAGGAGGACCTGGGTGAGGTGGCAAGAGGAGCTAGCTGCCTTTGCGTGATCCTTCAGTCTTTCAGAGATGGTCCGCAGGAGCAGGAGAGCCTCCAGGGCCTGCAGAGGCTGGCCGGCCAAAAGCAGTAAGTTGACTCTGCTCTTAAGCAAGCTTTCATTTCCATCCTTTGCCCCTTAGCCTGGATGGAGTGTGGCTACACACAGAGAGATCATCATCTGCAAAAGCAGCCTGCAGAGCACCTGCCCTTGTGTTTAAAAGTCTAAATGCCAACCATCAGCAGCAGCCAGGACTTACTGTGCCTATTATGTACCAAGCACTTCATCAAGAGGCTACGTGCAACCACTCTCATTTAATCTACAGAGAAACTCTAATTCCCATTTTTTTTTTTTTTTTTTTTTTTTTTTGGTGCTGGGGATCGAACTCACAACCTCAAGTTTGCCAAGCCGGTACTTATGCCGCTGAGCTAAACCAGCCCCTCTAATCCCAATCTTATAGCATAGGAAATAAGAACTCACACAGGTGCCAGGCGTGGTGGCTCATGCCCGTAATCCCAGCACTCGGGAGGCTTAGGCAGGAGGATCGTTGTGAGTTTGAGACCAGCCTAGGCTACAAAGTGAGCTCAAGGCCAGCCTGAACTGCACAGCGAGACCCTGTCTCAAAAAGAAAAAAAAAAAACTCACAGGTGAGGTTGCTAGTCTAAGCTTGTTTTTTCGTTTGTTTGTTTTACCAGTACCAGGGATCAAACTCACGACCACGTGCTTGCAAGGCAGGCACTTATGCCGCTGAGCTAAATCCCCAGCCCACTAGTCTAAGCTTACATATCAGGAATTTGGTAGAGCCAACATTCAAATCTAGGGCTGAGGTACCTTCCTAGTCTCCCTGTGCTAGCATATGGCCTAAAGACCACATACTCAAACCTTTATGTGAAACATTTTTTGTTTTTTGCTTTAAATTTCCTACTGCAGGGTCCAAGAAACAGCTCCACTGAGTCTATAAAGCTCCCTGAAATTGTAGGTAAAACTGTTCATTTTTCTAAGTACTTAGGCCAGAAGTTATCTCGTTATTAATAATTCCTGCTAACATTTGAGTCTTCCGTTTATACAAAACATCTTCCATGTATTACTGAACTGAATAACAATGCCCTGAGATAGTACCACTATTGCCCCTCTTTTTTTGGAGTAGGGCACCAAGAATCAAACTTAGGACTTGCCAGGCAGGCACTGTGCCACTGAGCTAAATCCCCTTATTGTCCCTCTTTTAAAGATAAGGAAATTTGGGCTTAGAGGGTTAAGCTACTGGCCTGAACCCATTTATTAATAAAGGATAAAGACTGGATTTAAAGTTGGGGAGCCTGGTGATGAAACCCAGCTCTGAATCAGAGGGTTACTGAACTTCTCAGCAGGTTCAGAGGCTGATGAAGGGGGAAAGAGCTCTGTTTCCAGGTAAGCCTTCGACACTGTCCATGTTACCTTGGCCACCAGCTGATAGAGGGCCACAAGGATCTGCAGTGAGGCTGCTGTCTGCTGGAGACATCGCACAGCTGGGAACTGCCCCTCTGTAAGGACCTCCTTCCACAGAGCCAGGGCTTGGTCCAGGGCTTTAGAGTGAGCTGTAGGCCAGAAGAAATGAGCAGTCTATCTTCATGGGCTATCTGGAGAGAACTTGGTTTCTCCATAACATCCCCTGCTCCTCCCAGCCTCTCCCACACCAGGGGGCTCTGCTCTGCTCTTAGGACACAGAGGAGACACCCAAGTCAGGCTCATTACTGCTCTTACCTGCATCTGCAGCCAGGTTAAAGGCAATGTTACTGTACAGGAAACAATCTTCCTGGAGTTTATCTTCATAGTTGAGATCATTAACTTCAAATTCCTCCAGGTTACTAGGAGCCTGGGCTCTCCGATCCCGCTCAATACCCTGCAAAGGTAAAATAAAGATTAAAAAACAAACAAACAAATAAAAAACAACTCAGCTGGTACCAGCTTTCAGGGATCTCCGGGAAAATTACTGCTACACTCAGTTCTGTTCAGCCAGACTCACTTCCCGCATTTTGGCCTCCAAAGTGCAGATGTAGAACCACAACAGTGCCTGTGCTTTATCGTCCAGAAGCCGATCCTTGGCCTGGGCCTCTGGCTTAACAGCCTCCAGAAGCTGCAGGGCTTCCTGGATAGCATCCAGGGCAGAGCTGTAGAGAGAAGGTGCATATAGCTGGACCCATTTCAGCTATCATGCCCTGGGAAAGGCCTGCTGCAAGACAGTAGGTAGCAATGAATGAACTTTCCTGGCCACAAGACAAATGGGGCACTCAGCAACATCGAGAGGGAAACTGATCTCCAAAAGGGTAAGAGGATGTGGAACAAGGAGCAAGAGTATCCTCCCCAGCTCCCCACTCACCAGTCTGTCTGCTGGGCAAAGTCGTGGTAGCAAAGCACCTGAGCCAGTTCCACCAGGTAGGTGGCTCGAGCCCAGGCCCCAGCTGGTGTCTCCTCAGGGCTCAGCTCCAGCAAGTCACAGATGACATTGAAACGTTCCTGCCCAGTGTCAGCCCGTACTGCCTTGTAGGCCTGCAGCTCCTCCCTTAGCAGGAGGGTCAGGGTCTCTGGGTTCCAGTCACTCAGGCTGTCTCGCAGAGTCCTGTGAGAAAGCAGGCTCAGCACTGGGGTACAGCCTCTGTTCCCATGTCTGGGAGCCCCAGCCCTAGCCTAGAGCTCATTGTGTCTAAGTCAGATTGCACCATTCTTCTGTTTAATACACTGAAATGGGCTGCCACTAGGAACTGCATCCAAACTCCTACTAGAGCAGCTAAAGTTGGATGTGGCCTGGGCCCCCGCCCACCTTACCTACCACAGTGTATCAGTTTCCAAGCCTGAGCCCTCATCTTTCCAACTTGCTGGCTTTCATAGCAGCCTCCAAGCACCTTTCCACCTTAGAGATTTTATGTTTATTATCTTCTATTTTCACTTTGAAGAATTCTCCCCAAGGTGTTTGTTTGTTTATTTATTTTTGGTACTAGAGATGGAACCCAGGGCTTTTGCACTGAGCTACATCCTCAGCCCTTTATTTTATCTTTATTTCACTAAGTTGAACAAGCTGGATTCAAACTTGTGATCTTCCTGCCTTAGCTTCTCAGAGTGCTAAGGTTACATGCATGTGCCACCATGATTTTCCAAACCCCAGTATCATTAAAAAACCCCAAACTAACCAAACAAAAAAACTGGGCTCTCTAAGTAACTCATATAAAGTTGCCCCTCTTCAGATCCCCTTGTCTTCATGAAGCATATATGAAATGTACTTAGAGGACTTGGAGATGGGGGAAGAGGAAAGGTAAGCAAAGGGGAAGTAAAAGTGATTATCATGCAGTATCTATCAACGTCAGTACCCTGAGATGGAATTACGTATCACAAGAATATACTAATTTTGGGGCTGGGGATTTAGCTCAGCGGCATAAGTACCTGCCTTGCAAGCAGGCGGTTGTGAGTTCGATTCCTGGTACCAATATAAAGAAAAAAAAAAGAATATACTAATTTTGAAAAAGAACAAAATTTAATTTTTATATCTCCCCAAGAAAAATATAAACATGCTGGATGCCGGGTATGCACCTGTATCCCAGCACTTGGCAAGCTGAGGCAGGAGGATCACCATAAGTTCGAGGCCAGCCTGGGCTACATAGTTAAGTTCAAAGGCAGCCTAAGCCTAAATTACAGTGAGACTATGTCTCAAAAAACCAAAAACCAAAACAACGCCTGTTACTGCTCTAGCCCCAGTACCTAGCACAGTGGCTGGTACACAGTAGGTACTCAATAAGTAACTAATGAAGGAAGGAAATCACTGCCTTTTCAGACCTAAGTATTGAAGAACATGACCATAAATACAACAGCCACCCTATCCACAGGGCAGGCATGATTGTCTTTCTGCCCACCAACTCACTTCAGCTGTAGCTCCTTGTTTCCAGCCCTGGTCGCATCCATCTTTACCCGAACCCAGAAAGAGACGGGCTCAGCCATGTGTTCAGGGTTGCAGGGCTGTAGAGCCGCCAGCCACAAGGTCACCATCTCACAGCCCTGTGCCTGTTTACCCAGTTTCTTCAAACTCTCTACGTGTAGCCGGAAGTACCTGTGCAACTGATCAGAGACAGGAGACAGACCAGGCTGGAGCGAGGAGCCAGAGTGTCCACGGCACACACACAGCACGTGATGAGAGGCTGACAGGAGGCCCCTTACCTCAGCCCAACACCTGGTCACTCAGCCTCCAAGGCTCCCACCTACTGGCCCAATAGCTATCATTCACATCCTCAGAGTGGCTTCTCTTCCTCTAATCCTTCCTCAGCAACAGGCACTGTTCTAACTCAGCACTGCAGGAACTTCCTAGCCTTTCTTCTCTCACCTCCTTCCCAGCCAGTTACTCACCAGGTTAAACCTTGACCTCCTGTGCTCACACACTTTTTTCTGTCCCTCAACAGCTGGTTCAGTTCAGCCCACCCTTTCCTGCCTGGGCAGCCACAGTGGCCTGATTACTCAGTCTCATTCCTTCATTCCACTCACCACAGTGCAATGCAAATGCCAGTCTGAGGTCACACCTCCAGTCAGTCCTTCAGGGCCTCACCAACTCACTGGATAAGAAACCCCAGAAGCCCCCCCCCCCGCCCACTCTTCTCTCTTGTCAATCCAGTCAGCCCATCATTTCACAGGGAAGCCTAGTTAGGACTCTGGTTCTCACTCTGGTTTTGCAAAGGCCCAATTTGAGGGGAATATTTATTTATGTTTCTAGTACTAGGGCTCAAACACAGGGCACTCTACTGCTGGTCTACATCTCCAGTTCCTTTTTAAAAACTTTGTAGGGGACCTCAGGATTCAAACTTCTGATCCTCCTGTCTTAGCCTCCCTCAGAGCTGGGATTGCAGGAATGCAACACTGCACGCAGCTGGGAACTTTTAAAATATATGGCTGCCCTGGGCTCCTGGACTGGAGATTTGAGATGCAACTAAGTTGAACCAGGAATTAGAACTTTTTAAAAAATTCACTCAGGTGACTCTAATGTGTAGCTAGGTCGCAAACCACTGACTTAGAGATAAGGCTAAGTATAAAAAAAAAAAACAAATCAATCTAAATAACAAGATGGGGGCTGGAGATTCAGCTCAAAGGCACAAGTGCCTGCTTGGCAAGCACAAAGTTGTGAGTTCAATCCCCAATACCTAAAAAATAAATAAAAAGAAAAAGAAAAATATAAAGAAAGAGATGAAGCAACAGTAAAGGTGAGGAAACCCTACCCTACATACTAGGATCAAAATGAAGTTCCTAATCCTCTACTGAAAAGTAGGGTCCTGCGAGAATCTTTTGCACTAATCCACCTCCCACGATCCAAGCTCCCCACCTCCCTTCTGATGCTCTCTTACCTTCTCAGAAGGCACCGCATGGTAAGTGCCTGGCTTAGCAGAGCCCAGGTGCTGACAGAGTGGCTCAGAGACGGCACAGGCCTCGGCGTACAGCTTGTGATTGTAGAAGCTATAGGCCAAGTTACTGGTGTAAGAGGCTGCAGAGAGAGAAATGTCAGTTGACTAGAGGAATGGTTCCTGCTACCCTCTCCTACAGGAAAGGTGGTAGACAGGGACACAACCTGGAGTCAGCCCAGCAGCTTGCACATCATCAGGTACTTGTCCCATCACCAGGAAATGAGGGAGGAGCCCTCCTTTTCCTGTTCAAGGCTAGCCTCAGCCTTCCTTCCCAATAAGGTGACCCTCACCAGCCCTCCCAATCTTGTTTTATAAGGACTAGGCACTCATTCCCACACAAGGTCCATCTCTCCTCAAAGCCCAATCTGTCTGCATTTTAGGGGACCCTGGCCTATCTCTCACCTTCTCTCTCCCTGTGGCCCCTAAAGCCACAGTGGTTTTTCCTCACTATTCCTCAGATACCAGACCTTCCTCTACCCCAGCACTGACCACTTCCTCTGCCTGGAATGTTCTTTCCCAGGCAGCTGTATGGCTGACTCCTTCAACATGCTCCAGGTCTTTACTCACATCACCAGAATGAGGCCTATCCTGATCAGGCTAGGAGGACAACTTGCTCCTCACTTAAGCTAAACTCCTAAATCCCTTTCTAATCTTGCTCTACTTTTCTCCCTTCCCCCTACATTTATCTCTTTCTAATATATTGTTAATTCACTTGAATTGTCATCTTTTCATCTTTTTCCCAAAACTAAAATGTAGCGCCATGAACCCAAAGATTTTTTTTGCGGTACTGGGAATTGAGCCCAGAGCCTTTCCACTGAGCTGCATCCCTGACCCTCAGGGTCTGAGTCACTAAGTTGTCCATGCTGGGCTAGAACTTGTGATCCTAGTACCACAACACCCCAGAGTGCTGGGATTAAAGCAGGCACCACCATGCCCAGCAGGACTTTTATTTTGTTCACTGAAATCCAAGTACTCAGAATAGTGCTTAGCACAGTTTTGTTGAATGAATAAATTCCATAAACTTGTTTATTGTAGCTTTTTGGCTATTAACAGAAATGGCTGGGAGAAAATAAAGTCAGTCTTCAGACTCCATGGGAGAATTTTCATAATTAACAATTTTTGGGAAGCTGGGTGCGGTGGCACATCTCTACAGTACCAGCTACTCAAGAAGCTGATACAAGATTAGCACTTAAAATCAAAATTTAAGACCAGGCCTGGGCAACACAGTGAGACCTGTTTCAAATAACATTTTTTTTTTTCTTTTTGGTTTTTTAAGACAGGGTCTGTGTAGTTCAAGCTAACCTTGAACTCACAGCAATCCCCTTGCCCCAGCCTCCAGAGTGCTGGAGTACAGGAATCTACAACCATACCCAGCTCAATTGTTAATGATACTTTCATTCCTATGAGTAGTGTCAAAACTGAGAATATGAAAAGTCCCAAGCTGGGCATGGTGGCACACACCTATAATCCCAGCACTCAGGCGGCTTGAGGCAGGAAGACAGTCGTGGATTTGAGCCCAATCTGAGCAACAAGGGAATTACAGAGAGACCCTGAATTAGAGAAAAACCCGATCTCAAAAAAAAAGTAGTATCCAGAACTGTCTCTTAACTAAACTCCTTGGCATTGTGTAATTTAAAGTGGAAAGGCCATGCTTTTTTAAAATGAAGAGGAAACCAAGTGTGGTGGTGTACTCCTGCAATCCTAGCACTTGGGGGGCAAGGCAGGAAGATCATTTGAGATCAGCCTGGGCTACAAAGTGAGCCCAAGGCCAGCCCAAATTGTATAGTGAAATCTTGTCTCAAAAAGACATTAAATAAATAATACAATAAAATGAGGAAAATAAATAAAATAAAACCAGGGGTTGGGGATTTACCTCAGTGGCACAAGTGCTTGCCTGGCAAGTGCAAGGTCATGAGTTCAATCCCTGATTCCCACCACCACCAAAAAAAAAAAAAAAAAAAAAAAAAGAGGAGGAAATGTGTTATGAAGTACTAAGTTAGGCAATGCTGTAACAGTGGTTGCTGTTGAGGTTGGAGACTGGGAGGGGACACAAGAAAGGTGTTTTTCTGGATCTAACTCATGGTGTTACTTGACCTAGATGTTGGTTACAAATGTGTTTGCCTCATTGCAATCCCCTGGGCTGTATACTTACAATCTATGCACTTTTCTATACGTGTATATCAATAAAACAGGTGGAGAAAAGTATACGTATGTATTAGTTTACATACACACAGAATATCTCCAGAAGGAAATATAAGAAATTGTAATTAGTAGCCTGTGCAGGGGGAAACTTGGGGGATTAAGAGTAGGAATTTTTACTCTATGTCCTTTTTTACAATTTTAATTTTGAAACATGTGAATATTTTACTCAGTTTAAAAATATTTACATCATATATATCTTTTAAAATATAAACACAGGGTTGACTTTAGCTCAAGTAGTTACTTCCTCACACCAAACTATCCAACTGTCTAAAATTTAAACATAATAGGAAGGGATGGGAAGGGACAGAAAAAGAATTAAAATGTTAGGAATATGTACCAACTATGTACCACAGTAATTACTACTGCAAACATGTACTAACAAAAACAAAAATGTTAAACAATTTCAACATAAATTGGTATGATCAGTTAACATGTTTGGCTGTTAATTAAAAGGTTGAGGGGCTAAGGGACATAGCTCAGTAGCATAAGCATATGCCTGGTAAGCATAAGGTTGTTTGATCCCCAGTACTTAAAAAAAAAAAAAAAAAAAAAGAAAGGTTGGTGGTTTGAGGCACTCAGGGATAGGTGTATCTACTGACAGGCACCAGTTATACATGCCTGTGATCCCAGCAACAGGAAGATTACCCTACAAGGTCAGCCTGGGGCAGAGTTCAAAATCAGCCTAAAGTGTATAAGACACTATCTCAAATAAACAAACAAGTAAACAAGAAAATAAAAGCTAGGCATGGTGCTGTACACTCGTAATCCTAACTACCAGGAGGCTAAGGTTGCAAGATTGCAAATTCAAACCCAACTGGAAATGTAGGAAGCCCTGTCTCAAAAAATAAAACAGGGCTGGGATGTAGTACACTGTGAGGCTCTGGGTTCAATCTTTAGTATCACTAAATTAAATAAATATATTGAGGTCATAAAGTTGCATCTCAGGCACAAACTTTTTTTTTTGGTACCAGGAATCGAACTCATGACCACACACTTGCCAGGCAGTCACTGTGCCGCCGAGCTATGTCATTGGCTAGAAGCAAACATTTTTGGGAAATACTTATCAAATTGAATTTCAAAGTCAACGAGGAAAAACTTAGTGCAGGTTGCTAAGTTAATCCAGTTACTTCTCTACTTAAGTGTTATAGTTCGGCTGATTCTATAAACATCTATTTCACTGCCTCCCTAAACCACAAGGAGCCCCTAAGCATGAGAGCATCACCCAGCAAGGACTATTCTTCTAATGAGTCATGACCTCCAAAGAACCTCATTATCTGATCCCCAAGAAACTAACCAGTCATGGCCATGTAGTCAGTCAGCTCCAGGCCTGACAGGCCTTCCAAGGCTTCCAGCATCCAAACAGCAGTAGATCTGCAACTGTCCACTAGTTGAGCCAGGTCAGCCAAATCAGCTACCTACAGAGACAAGACATTGACAGTGAAAGGCATCACGCTAGGTCCACAGCCCACCCCACGTCAAAAGCCAAAGCAATTCCACAATTCCTCCAAGGAGCAGCCCCAGGCTCTTGGGCCCAACACAGCTCTCTGGGATTCCTAGGTAATACCTGACAGCGCTGGGCAAAGTCATAAACCATCATAGTGTAGAGGTGAAGACCCTGAAAGTGCGTCTGCACCAAAGACTGCTGCTGTTTGGGAGAGTGCACACAGGCCTGAGGAAGAAAGCAGGAGGTTGGGTTGAGGGGCAGAATCAGAGTAAGCCCGAAGACTGCCCATATCCTAGAAAGCTGACACAGCCAAGGGAAGATGAAGGAGGACACTGGGAGGGGTCACTGGCTTCTCAGGCTAGACTAGACTGATTGCCAGGCACAGTGCAGGAGCAGCTTACCAAAGGAGAGCCAGGGTTTCCAAGGCTTGCAGAAGACTCTAGAACTACACCCCACCTTATTTCTAGGTCCTTAACTCACACCATCATTCCGTAGCTGCTGGATAATTAAGCAGTATCCTCCAAGAAAAGTGAAGAGGCTCCCAATAGCATCAGGTCCAGAGTGTCTTTTGATGCCTCGTTCCAGGCCTGAAAGGAGGAACTGGGAGGTCTCAAACAATGCCCGAAGTGGAGGTGATGGGGCCTTCAAACTGTTATTCAAGACAGCTGATGCCTTGATGAGAAGCTGGGCCACTGCCTGGGATCCTTCCACCCCAACATGTAGCAGCTCAACCCCCAACTGGCATAGCTGGAGGCTGGAGGCTACACTGGTGTCCCTTAGGTAACCACGAGCCTTCTCAACTGCACTGGTGGCCTTGTCATAGTGGTGGCTAAAGCAGAGGCGACGGCAGTGTTCTAAGGTGAGCTCCAAGAGGCAGAGGGCCCTTTGGGAAGAAAGAGGACTGGGAGAGCCACTTTCCTCACCCACCAAGGTTCTGATCACATTTTTGGAGAGCAAATCATATAAGAAATCAGCATCTGCTTTGTTTATACCACAACCACTGCGATCAAACAGCTGATAGGCAGCTACTGCTCGACAGGCTGTTGGAGAAGCAAAGTGAGGAATCTCACACGGGGTACTTTCATCCTCCAGGAGGACAAGGAAGCTCAAGGCCTTCATCCGCGCTGAGAAGGCATCTCTCTGCTCCAACAGTGCTTCTGCTCCCTTCCAAAGCAGAGAAAAGCTGCCCCAAGCCACAGCCTCATAGTCCTGTGAGGCAGCTTGGCGAGAGCACTGAACGAAGCAGGCATGGAGAGGCTGGGCAAGGTGGAGCATGGCCATGGGGCTTCCCTGAGCAGCAACATTCCGTAGTAAAATGAAAAGAATGCGTTCCAGGTAGAGTGGAGGGCGCTGGGGAGTGGACATCACATAGCCATCACAGGCCAGCTCTGCCAGCTCCAGCAGGCTCCCCAGGTGTTGAGGGCAAGACAGCTTGGCCGTCAGCTGTTGGTTGCAAGCCCTCAGGATGGCATCACAAGTTTGTCTCCTCTCAGAGTCAGATCGGCTACTGGGAAAACCTGCTGGAGGCTTGGACAAGAACTCCTAGGAAAGAAAGATAAATGGAGTTAACTAAGACAGAGATAGGGAGCACAACTAGAAAGTTGCTCAGAGAAGGGTCTCCTTTCCCATTTCTTCAAAATAAGACAGAACTCAAAACAGCTGTGCTCAGAAAGGCAGGTGTGTCCTGACCAGAGAGGACCCTCACCTTCAAGTCAGACAGCAACTCTTCAGCATCCTTCTGGCTTCTAAGCAGAGTTCCAAAGTTGACTCCTTTGAAGTTCCTCATAGCACAGAAAACTAGGGAAAACCAGACGGATCAGAGAGAGCAGGGAATATCTGCTAATTGGAGAATCTGCTAATGCAGTAAACTAGAAGGAGGTAGAAGGGCGTCAGGGGTGTGGAAGGTGGCAAAGAATCTCATCAGAAATCCTATCTGGCCGAGTGTAGAGGCACATGCCTGTAATTATAGTACTCAAGAGGCTGAGGCTGGGGTTGGGGGTTTAGCTCAGCGGCATAAGCGCCTGCCTTGCAAGCAGGCATTCGTGAATTCGATCCCTGGTACCGATAAAAAGGAAAAAAGACAAAAAAAAAAAAAAAAAAAAAAAAAAAAAAAAAAGAAGAAGAAGAAAAAAAAGGCTGAGGCAGGAGGATCATTGCGAGTTCGAGGCCAGACTAGGCTACATAGTGAGTTCAGGCCAGCCTGAATTACAAAGTGAAAACAAAACAAACAAATCCTATTTGAAAAATACTCATACCAGGATGCAGGGCTCTGGCTCCTGTTATAAACTGACGCTTCTGCTCTCCTTTCCTCCAGGCGATTCCTGCGCTACTCCACCACCCCACATCCCAACTCTGGAGGCCTCTCAACCCTTTTTGGAGCTCCCACGAAACTTCTCCACATCCTCTCTCGCCGAGCCGTCCCGTCTACCCGCAAATCAGCGCTAGGAACCCCACTCACCCGGGCGTAAACACGGACTCGCGAGAATATCCGAAAACCTGCTTCTTTGCCAGGTCTAGGACTTACTCCAGGATACTCCAAAAGGGTGATCGTTTTTCCGCGCCAGCCCCTCCTTTCAAATGTCGCTAGCGGCCAATCAGTGAGAGTGCGTACCGCCGGCGGGCCGCGTGGCACGCTGGGAACTGTAATTTATAGGCCGCTCTTCACCACGTGACGCTAACGAGGGCGGACCAGCTCTCTAACACGAAGGCCTCTAGGAGGCGCGAGTAGGCCCCTTTTCCCAGCCAAGACTGTGTTCCTCGGTCGCCAGTCACCGCTACTGAGAAAACCAATATCCTGTCTCCTGTACACTTTTTATTTCTGAGCTCAGACAGGAGTTTAAATTTCAAGAGAAGAGAACTGGACTGGACACATGGAACAATTTACTGCATTCGGAAACTCGTGCTCTTTGAGTTACGAGAGTAAGAGGGTGTAACCTTCTATGAAATTAAGACAGTTATTTGGAGACACCGAAATAAGTAAAATGACAGCATCCAGCCCATTTAGGCGCTACTCTCTCTATGCTTTCCAGTCCTACTCCTTCGATTGACTGTGGATTAAAATAGGATCTAGAGGGCTGGCTTTAGCCCAGCGGTTCCTTCGAGTCTGGCTTCCCAACCGCCCGGGCCAATTGGTCCGGTGGTTCGAGACCCGCGAGCGCTCTCCAGTCCTTTTGAAAAAAAAAAAAAAAAAAAATAGGATCTAGAGCTGGGCATGTTGGCACACTCCTGTAATCCCAGCACTTGGGAGGCTGTGACAGCAGGATCGTTGCAAATTCGACACTGGCTACAAAGTGAGTTTAGAACTGAACTGCATAGTAAGACCTTGTCTAAAAAAGACAAAAAAAAAAGGGGGGGGGGTCTAGCACTCTAGTGCTCTTTGGTGAAGGATAAAGGGTAGAGTTGAGTGGAGACTGATAGAGAACTAGGAAAATTTATTCAGTGATATCTTTTAGTCATGTGTCACCACCGTCATCCCACTCCCTGCACTGGGGTTTGAACCCTGGCCTTTCACACTGAGCTATGTCCCCGGACTTTTTTTATTTTGAAACAGGGTCTTGGTCATGCTAAATTGTCTACGCTGAATTTGAATTTGTAATTCTCTTGTCTCAGCCTCGCATAGTACTAGGATTACAGGAGAGCTCCACCATGCCTGGTTTTACATAGTCCTTAACAGTAAGTACTAATCACTTCCCCAAACACATAGATTGTTGGCTCTGCTTTTTTCCTTCCTCCTTCAAAGAATTCAGCTCAAAACTGTAGTCTTCCAGTTAGCTTTTCCCTGATCAACTCTACCAGATAACTTCTCTGCTCTTTTAGAGGCTGAGAATCTGGCAGGGAAGACTACTCATGAAGAACAAAAGGGGAGGGGGAGCAGCCAGAAATTGGTGGCACATGCCTGTAATTCTAGCACTCCGGAAGGCTTAGGCAAGAGAATCAATCTGAAGCCAGCCTGGGCAATTTAGCGATTTAAGGAGGCGGTCTTAAAATAAAAAATAAAAAAAAGGTTGAAGTTGTAGCCCAGTGGAAAGGCCCTGTGTTCCATCTCCAAGTACAGGAGTGGTGCACATGATAATGATATCACTAATGAATCTCAGCACTGGAATAATAAATTTTGGTCTTTTTTTTTTTTTTTTTTTTGTCTTTTTCGTTTTTCCCGGTACCGGGGATCGAATTCACGACTGCCTGCTTGCAAGGCGGGCACTTATGCCCCTGAGCTAAATCCCCAGTCCCATGATTTTCTTTTGGTCTTTTTTTTTTTTTTTTTGGTCTGGAATAATTAATGTAGCCAAATGTGTGTCACAGACATTTCATGTTTTTATCTTGTTAGGGAAAGGGACACAGGACACAGAAAATGCCCATAAAATTTTTTAAACCAATAATTACCAATTTTTTAAACCAATAATCAATTCTCTCAGTACTCATTTCCCTTTCTTTACATTTTAACATCATGTGCTTTTACATTTTTTAAATTCAGTGTTCAAGGCTTTTTTATTGTTGCTGTTGTTGGTACTGGGAATCAAAATCACACATGGTAGGCAAGTGTTCTGTCACTAAGCTGCACCCTTACCCTTTATTGATTTTTTTAAAGTTAATTAAAACAGAATCTCACCCAGGTACCTGGTTTTGAACTGACAAGCCTTCTATCTCAATCTCCCAAGTATCTGGGATTACAAGTGTATAACATCACTCCTGTCTATTTGTTCTTTCTCTAGGAAAGGACAGCATAGGTTGAATATTCCCTGTCCAAATGCTTGGGACCAAAGCTGGGGATTTAGCTCAGTGGCATAACTGCCTGCTTGGCAAGTGCAAGGTCATGAATTTGATCCCTCATACCACACACACACAAACAAACACACACACACACACACACACACACACACACACACGCAGTGCTCGGGACCAGAAGTGTTTTGTATTCTGGTACTTTGGAATATTTGCTTGCATGCAAGCAAATATATATGGAGAGAGACAGAGGCAGAGCAACTGAAAGAATCAATTTTACGGGTAGTGCCCAAGTCTAAACACTGATTTTCTTTCTTTCTATTTTTTTTTTTTTTTTTTTTAGCTAGACTTGGTTTTGTAAACATTGATCTGATTTATTTTCAATGCTTGGAATTAAACCCAGGACTCATGCATGCTATACCAGTGCTTTATCATTGAACTGCATTAAAAATATTATCTAGGGGCTGGGGATTTAGCTCAGTGGCATAAGCGCCTGCCTAGCAAGCAGGCAGTCATGAGTTCGATCCCTGATACCAATAAAAAGGAAAAAGACAAAAAAAAATATCATCTAAAATTACTTTTAGGCTATGTGTATAAGAAACAACATGTGAGGGGCTGGGGATTTAGCTCAGTAGCATAAGCGCCTGCCTTGCAGGCAGGAAGTCATGAGTTCGATCCCCGGTACCGATAAAAATGAGAAAGACAAAAAAAAGAAAAAGAAACAACATGTGAAGCCTGGGATGGTGGTGCACACCTATAAGGCCAGCACTTGGGAGGCTGAGGCAAGGAGGATCTCCATAAATTTGAGGCCAGACTGGGTTATACAGTTCAAGGCCAGCCTGAACTACAGTGCCAGGCCCTGTCTCAAAACAACCAATAAATAAATAAAGAGATGAGGGCTGGGACAAATGTGTGTATGTGTACTGAAGAGTGAACCCAGGGCCGATTGAACTACATTCCCAGTCCTTTTTTATTTTTTGTATTTTGAGACAAGACCTCACTAAACTACTAAATTTCCCAGGCTGGGCTTGAACTTGTGACCCTCCTGCCTCAGCCTCCCAGAATACTGGGATTACAGGCATGCACTACCATGCCTGGCTGAGACTTTATAACTTTATTGTAAAAATAGAACATCAAACTAAATATATTTTTACACTTTTTTTTTTCTTTTTTCTTTTTACCGTAACCAGGGATCGAACTCACAAACCGCCTGCTTGCAAGGCAGGTGCTTATGCCACTGAGCTAAATCCCCAGCCCCACTAAATATATTTTTGAGGGGCTGGGGGTTTAGCTCAGCGGCATAAGCACCTGACTTGCAAGCAGGCGGTCGTGAGTTCGATCCCCGGTACCGATAAAAATGAAAAAGACAAAAATAAATAAATAAATAAATATATTTTTGATAGTATCAGTTCTGATTCTAATCATGACCATTTTCTTTGCTTTATATTTCCAGTCTGTTGTTCTGTGGGATGATGGTGGTGGAAAATAACCAAAGGGCCTGGCATCATAGCTCAGTGCTTGCCTAGCATGTGGGTCCAGGGATAGAGCCCTAGCACCACACAAAAGGAAGGAAGGGAGAGAGAAAACTGGCATGCAGTGCACCTGTGTAGTCCTAGCACTCTGGGAGGCTAAGACAGGAGGAGCAGAAGTCTAAGCCCAGCCTCAACAACTTAGCAACTTGGTGAGACCTTGCCTCAAAATAAAAAGGTCTGAGGATGTAGCTCAGTGTGAAGGCCCTCGATTCAGTCCTCTGTACTGGGGTGTGTGTTAGCAGGGACAGCAATGAGGTTAGAGAAATGCAGTGCAGAATGGGACCCACACCTAGCTGATCACCAGCTGGCAACAGCGCTCTCCCCTCACACAGCAAAGACTGAATTTCCAAGAAGTCGCAGGGGCAAGGTGGCGCATACCAGTACTCAGGAGGCTAAAGCAGGAGGATCACTGTGAGTTCAAGGACATTTTCGGCTACATATTGAGACCTTGTCTCAAAAACAAAAGACAACAAAAAACAGCAAGAGGTTGTTCTGTAAACCACATAACCAGCACTGTCTCAAGCCCCAGTCCTGCTTCCTTATCCAGTGGCTCCTGGTTCCATGGGATGGATGTTTCTTTTCTGTCCTCAGATCACTTAAAAGCTACAGTTGGGAAGCAGTAAAAGTGATCTAGATAGCTTTTTTTTTTAATGGCTTTTTGAGACAAGGTCTAACTATGCAGTTCAACATGATCTTGAGCTCACTTTGTAGTCCAGGCTAATCTCAAACTCACAATGATCCTCCTGCCTCAGCTTCCCAAGTGCTGGGATTACAAGTATGTGCCACCACATCTGGAAAAAATGATTTAGATGTGGTATGCGTATCTATCAAACCCCAAAACTGAATGTAATCACTCTGTATTTTAAACATATACTAATAAAAATGTTTTCTGGTTTGTTGAGACTGTCTCACTATGTAGCTCAGGCTGGTCTTGAACTATGGGCCCAAACTGGCCTTAAACTCACAGTAATCCTCTGGTCTCAGCCTAAATACTGGTATTATAGGCGTGGTTCACCAAGCCTAGCTAAAAATTTTTTTCTTTCAACTGCAGATCAAATAATCATGTGTTTAGCTGGATGGAAATTGAAAAAATCAGGAGCTTCTTAGTGAAAGATGATATATAACAAGTCTGACCCCAAAATGACTTTCCCACTTGAGGAAGAGGAAATAAGTTCAAGTGGAACATACTGACACCCAACTCAGCTGCTCACATACACCCAAAGCAGAGGTCCCTCGGACAGCCTGACACTTCCATCTGGGCCAGTGCCAAGATAAACACTGCCGGGAATCCCCCTGCCATGGAGACATGTTGGAAGGTTCTGCACCCCATCTGCAGCCACATCCACTCACTTTTGCATCCAAATCCAGACAGACTTGGCTAGATTGGTTAGTGAAAATACAAAAGCAAAAACCAACCACAAGGCTGGGGCTCAGTACTAGAGTACACACTTAGGAGTGTAGTATGCTTGATGCCCTGGATCTAATCTTCACCACCACCATCAGAAACAAGAAAAACACTTCTATCATGTTTATTCTGTGGCCCCAAGTACTGTCCTAAGCCCTTCACTATAGTAATACATTGGATCCTCCGGAGAGCCCTGTGTATTATAGGGCAGAAGCTGTACCATCTTCCATTTTTTTAGATAAGGAAACTGAAAGATGGAGAAAGATGGAGTCAGATTTAAACCAGATAGTTGAGGCTGGATCTGTGCTTATTATTGTTGTTTTGCCCCTTTAGTGCTGTGGATCAAACTCAGGCTACATCATACAGAGCATGCAAATGCTCTATCTTTGAGGCACACCCCAGGGGTGAATCCCTGCTCTGAGCCAGCTCCTTATGCCGTCTCAAGCAAGCATCATAAGGAGTGCTTCATAAGCAGTGTGCAGGGCATAACTGGTGAGCCTGGCAACCTTGGCTTCCTTTTTTTTTTTTTTTTTTTTTTGCAGGGTTGAGGGCCAGTGTCTTACTATGTAGTTCAGGCTCATTTTGATTTCACTGTGTAACCCAGACTGGCCTTTTGGCAACTTCAGCCTCCTGAGTGTTGGGATTATAGGCATGGGCTACCATCCCTGGCTCTTTTGAACCATAAAGATATTTGAAAATGGGCCGAATGCCCAAAGCTAAATGCTCCCACCCTCTTGCCTATCTCTAGGGACAGGATTTGGGGGTTGGGCAAGGCTTGAGACTAAAAATTCAGATAGGACACAGGCAGTATGTCAGACAAGGGGCCTTGGTCTGGCAGCAAGTGGTAAGGTTCAGTTTGTGTTGCTATTCACTTGCTACAAGCCCTTGGGCAAGTTTTTCTTAAAGTGGATTTTCCTTTAAAATAGGGGCTCCTATGTAGCCCAGGCTGGACTTGAACTCCTGGTAACCCTTCTGCCGCAGCCTCCTGAGTGCTGGGATTATAGGTATGTACCACCATACCTGGATCTTTTGGGTTAAAAAAAATTCACCAGTATCTAATAATATAATGCATGGCATATAGTATGCAGTCAATCAAAAAAATTCTTTAATTTTGAAGAGAGATCCTTAAACTGTCTTCTAGCTCTCAACACACTGAATCTGATAGGAAAGAACCCACTCTGCTACCAGTCCCTTTGTATACTCCACAGGGACAAAACTAAAAAAACTTCATCAGTCTGTCTCTCCTGCCCTCTATTTACTTATCAGTTAGGAATGTGAGGTCCCTGCATGGCTCCAACAGTAATTACTGTCATCCCAAACAATAAATCATTAAGTAGGTCATAGATTCTAGTCTAATAGACTTCCACAAGGGTGGCTCTGTCTCCCCTCCAGACATATACTAAGCTCAGCCACAGGCAGAGCACCCCCTTTTGCATACACATATACAGTATATGGATGAGAAAGTTTAGTTTGCTCCCTTTCTCAAGAAGATAATAGTATCGGGGCTGGAGGTTTAGCTCAGCGGCATAAGCGCCTGCCTTGCAAGCAGGCAGTTGTGAGTTCGGCAGTTGTGAGTTCGATCCCCAGTACCGATAAAAAGGAAAAAGACAAAAAAAAAAAAAAAAAGATAATAGTATGATACGATGACAGGAATGTCTACAAATAACCATAAAATATACCTTGGCCAGGGCCGAGGATTTAGCTCAGTGGCATAAGTGCCTGCCTGGCAAGTACTGTCATGAGTTTGATCCCCGGTATATATATATATATATATGCCCAGCTCAACAAGGCAGAAAAATGAAGTGAAGTTGCTGCAACTGACTGTCTAGCCTTAAAGCAACAGGGGAGAAAGAGACCTGTTTTCTGTACTTCAAGTGGGAGGGAGAACACAAATTTTCTGTCCTGAGTACGAACGTGAGACCACTGTAATTCACCAGCCTTCCCCTACAAGAGTCCTTCTACTGCGCCTTCCTCCTGCACCAGCTGATGCTATCTCTCTATACAGGCTGATACCTGCAGGGCTTAGGACATCCACAATCTTCCTGTCCCGGAGTAGTGTGAGGCCAAGTAAAGGTTCTCAATCCCTTTGCAGAACAGGTGGATCCCCCAAACTGTCTCAAGCACATTCCAGGACACTCCCTTGAGCTACAACCCCACCCTTCCTAAAGCTGGCTCTGCTTTGTTTGAGAAGTCCAAGTTTTGGTGGGAGGAGGAAAAGCAGATAGAATCAGAGGTGAGGCAGGGAGGGGCCCACTTAACTAGTGTTCCCACTGGTAGCATTTCCTGCCCCTTGGCTCCCTTGCTGTCACTCAGACTGGGTGGGGGAAAGTCAGGTACAGAAACGACATTCTGGTTGCTCAGCCTTTCACTTAGGCTTTATGCAGGGACACAGGACCTGGTGGGCCCAGATAATGCTGGACAAATGGTGCACTTACAGCCACAGGGGAAGCACATATGTGCTGAGCTGCAAACTTATTCCTGCAGGAACTGCCTGGAGTTTGCCTTAAGGTGTAGTCACAGCAGCAGCCAAAGCATCTGGAATTTGTGTTCAGAGACCTGGCACACTGGGAATTTACCCTGTGCTTTCTGGAGATCTTCTCATCCTAGGTGTGGAGGAAGTGTTTTGCTTAATAACTCAGGAGAACAAGAGATGAGCTTCAGGCTCTTTTACCCACTTCTTCTGAGGGGCAACCCCACAGTTCTCAGCTTGAGCTACAGACTTGAAGAAATCAGAAATCCAAGCCTTTTGCTGGTAATCCAATGTGTATCTCAAAATCTCCAGCTGCCCACTCACCAGAACTACTCACGTGGGTACGGGTGAGGCTGAGTAAATCAAATCAAGGTCTGTTAAAAAAGTGTTTATTTAAATGGTGAGGGAGAAGGGATGACAGGATCAACTTTTGGCACATTCTTTCCAGTCCATCACCCTTCAGTCCTTCCCAACACAAAGCACTGGCAGGAAGAGGTGCTGCGAACAGTCACAAAGTGAGTCACAAAGAGATCTGTAAACCCTGGAAGGTGGGATTCAAGAGTCCATGCCAAGTCAGGCATGTTGGTGCACTCCTGTGATCCCAGCACTCTGGAAGGCTGAGGCAGGAAGGTTGCTTGGCAACATAGCAAGACCCTGTCTCAAAACTAAAATTTAAAAAAAAAAGGTCTGGGGATATAGCTCAGTGTGAAGGCCCTGGATTCAATCCTTAGTACCAAAAAAAAAAAAAAAAAAAAAAAAGTCCATCTCAGAGCCTATGTCCTAGAACAAGCCTAGAGCTCAGGGGCATAGGGTTCCCCAGTAGGTGAGGGTACCCGAAGCTCAGCATCATGCCTTACCACGGTGAAAAGTCCCACCACAGCCAATAAAGCCATCACCATGACGGCAGAGCAGATGCTGAACATATTCCGAGTGCCTGTCTTTCTGTCACTGTCATGGAGGACAAGGAGGCCTAGGCAGGCCAGTAAATGCAGGGGCACCCGGAACCAGTTTAGTACACCAGCTTGCTCTGTCTCAGGGATCACTTTTCTCCGCAAGAAACTCATGCTGGGAAAGTACAGCCCACAGGCCAACTCAATAAGAAGAAAGGCAATGAAGGACTCCGCTGGACTCTCCTGGCCTGGGCTGGTGGAGAAAGTCAACATGAAGAGAGAGAAGACAACGATGAGGACAGCAAGGGAGAGCAGGTGCATGGGCTGAAGGTGGTACCTCTTGGAGGTAGCGAAGCGGTACAGGGAAGAGCCCAACAGACTAGCTGCCATGAAGCTGGAGAAGACAATGCCCAGTGGGGCTCCATGTGGGTCCAACACAGGTGTCCAGAGGAAGACAAAGATGAAGATGACACTCTCAAACAAGGCCTGTATGGTACCCAGCAGCAGCACACGGCGGTCTGATAGGAGGCAGCGCAGGCCTCCAGCGCAGGTCCTCGAGAAGGCACGCTGCCGGTCATAGTTCTCTCCCCAGTTTCGAAGGATCAAGGCCCCAGCCAGAGCCAGGAGAGGAATGGCAGCCACAAAGGGTGCTACAGGCCCCAGTCCAATCCAGCTAGCCACAGCCTCAGCTGCCACACCTGCTACCACAGCCAGCACATGGTTCCAGAAGGCGGCTCGGGCAAAAGTAGCTGGGATCCACTCAGCAGGGAAGTCATGCCGTTCCACATGTTCATGGATGTACCAGGCCTCAAAAGCTGAGAAGAGGAGGGCAGTGGACAGCCCACCAAGTGCTCGGCCCACCAGCAGCACAAAGTAGTCCTGAGAGAGTTTGGTTAAGCAGCACAGAGAGTAAGTGAGGGAGAAGAGAACACAAGACTTCTTTCGACCCAGCCAATCCACAAGGGAGGATGCTACCAGGCCAAAAAGGACTGTAGAGGCAAGGCCACAGACGTACAGGATGGCAATCTGACCCTCCAGGAAGTGGTAATGCTGATAGAGTTTATACAGGTAGGGAGCCTGGAGCCAGTCAGCTGCCAGGGCCAGGAAGTAGACCTGATAGAAGTCCAGTTGAAACTGAAGGAAGGAGGGATTGCTGCAGGCCCTTCCAGGGGGTTTAGCACGGCATCTTGATAGCTCCAGCCCCAGGCAGAAGGCCAGGAGGCCCACAAAAGCCAGGTAGGCAGTCACCAGCATGGTGGGCGGGGGCCTGGGGAAAGATAGGGGTCAGAGTCACATCCAATGACTAGATAGCAGAGTCAAGGGGTTGAGTGTCTAAGCAGAAGGCAGCTCCACCCAGCCCTCCTTGCCAACTTCACCCTCCCAGAGCTAAAACTCGAGGGACCAGTTGGGTGGGTGGGAGGAGTGGCCCCACCTGAGCGGTCTCCTAGGACACTGCGGGGCAGGGAGGGGTAAGAACGAGAGGGGAGAGACCTGAACATTCGTCCCACGCTTGCCTGCCATAGCAAGGAGGGAGTCCCTTCAAAATCCTGGTCCTGCGAGTTCTAAAGGGGCTGCTGCCCTCTTCCACAACAGCTTCTGCACGCTTCCTTCTGTTACCTTCCATCCTCGCCAAGGATTTGCCCTCAACAGTGTCTCGACATCTATCCTAGGCATCCTCCCCCTCCCCCGCGCGCGAGCCTCTCCAATGGCTTCACGATCACGCGCGTGCATCTCAGATTCCCCTCCTTCAGGTCATCCCTATGCCCTGGGCCTCCTATCCCTCACCCAGCACCTCGCTCAGTCCGCGTCTCACCTGCTGCCCCGGTCTGCGGGGACACCCCGGACAGGTCCGGCTCCAGGCCGCCGGGCAGCCCTCCCAACTCTGGCTACGGCTCAGCTCAGGTTCCAGCAACGCGCCCGCCCATCACAGCCCGCTTCCGGGAACCCGCCAGGCCTCCGGCCGCCGCCATTGCCAGGCGCGTCACGTGACGCGGGCGCCCCTCCGAGACCCCGCCCTCGCCCCGCCTTCCCGCCGGAGCCCGGCACCTTCCTGCGGGAGAGTGGCGTAGGGTACTACAGAGTGGCGTAGGGTCGGGAAGGGGCGAGAGGGCGCGGCAGCTGCTGCCGGTGCTGGTGACGTCTTTCCTCCTGCCTTCTGGTGACTCTTAGATGCCTGCGAAATAAAAGCCCGTATTCTGTTTTCCTCTGTGTGTTGTCTGGGAAAGATGCCTGGGATGGGCTTCTTAAAGAACTCCGCTGCCCTGTGCCAAGATGGTTTGCCTCTGCCACCACGGTGACCTCCAGGCAAGAAGGCAGTATTGTCCAGACACCCTGAAGGAGGCAGTGTAGTGTAAAGAATTTGGACTGCGGACAGACCAAGGCTCCAGTCCGACCTACTAGTCAGCTGTGTGGCCTTAGGCAAGCCACATAATTTCTCAGCGACCCAGATTCTTTTTATGAAGTCAGAAGAGAGCGGTGCCCAAATAAAGAAGGTTAAAGTTCACTGGCAGCACAGGGTTAAGAATTTAAGCTCTAGGAAAAAAAAAAAAAATTTAAGCCCTGGAGCTGAACTCCCACTTTCTGCCACTTGGGTGCTGTCCTACCTTGGAAAAGTTACTTAGCCTCCCTCTAGCCTCAGTAGGTCCCTGCTCATAAGGGTGGAAGCCAAAATCTTAACGATAGTCCACGGAACCCAGTCGTCTGGCCCTGTTATTTCTCTATGGCATCTCTACCACTCTTCTTCCTACTCCATCTACACTACTAGCTATCTGCTTTGACACACCCACATGGTTCCCTCCTTCACTCTCTCCAGTTTTCTGTTCAAATGTCACCTTATCAAAGGCCTTCCAGGGCCATCTTTTTAAAAACAACATGACCACCTCCAAAACCTGCTTTCCTTCCAACTTTATTTGCTTTTGCTATTTTTGTCTCAATAGTGTTGAATATCATCTGGCACACTGTGTTGTTACTTATTTACTGTTTCTTCCCCCTGCAGATATTTATGTTTTCTTCACCACTATATCCAGTATTTATTTAAAAGTCATTGGTGGGCTGGGGATTTAGCTCAGCGGCATAAGTGCCTGCCTTGCAAGCCGGCAGTCGTGAGTTCGATCCCCGGTACCGATAAAAAGGAAAAAGACAAAAAAAAAAAAAAAAAAAAAAAATTAAAAAAAAAAATTTAAAAGTCATTGGTATATAATAATTCATAAATATTCTACAAATAAATGAATAAATTAATCCATATAAATTACTATAGAAAGTATTGGCCCATGTAATTACTAAGATTTGTCAAACAATTGGTCTGCCAATGGACCGGGGTTATAGTTTAGCAGCACAAGAGCCTGACTGGCAAGTGTGAGTCAGGCAGGCACTTACACCACTGAGCTAAATCCCTAGCCCCCTGGATCAACTTTTTTTATAGATAATATATCTCTATCTCTAACAACCTTTGGGCTGGGGATTTAGCCCAGTGGCATAAGCACCTGCCTGACAAGCATGAGGTTGTGAGTTCAATCCCCAGTACTACAAAAAACAAAATAACCCCCCCCCCCACAACCTTAAGGTAATGAGTACTATTTTTAGCCCCCAGAGTTGGACCGGCTAGGTAACATGTCCAGAGTCCCATGGTAAGTGGTAGAACATGAATGGGGATCCAGTTGCATTTCCATACTCATATGGTTTCTGAGTTTAAATGAGTTTGGTCATCTGTATAGGAATTAGTAAATCTGATTTTGTTTATACTAAAACATGGAGAGTATAGGATAGGAGGATCTGGGATTACATCTGAAAGAAATATATTCTTTTTTTTTTTTTTGAGACAGAGTCTCACTATGTAGTTTAGATTGGCCTTGAACTCACTAATGTAATCTGGCCTAGAACTCACAGTGATCCTGCCCCAGCCTCCTAAATGCTGGGATTGCAGGCATGTGCCACCATGCCCACCAGCTTCTGAACACAGGACATTAAATTGTTGGTGGATTTGAAATGATCTTTATCATAGTACCTATTTAAAATATGTACACTAAGGATTTTAGCTTAGCAGCATAAGCACCTACCTCAAAAGCACAAGGTCCTGAGTTTGATCCCAGGTACCCAAAAATAAATAAATAAATAAAATATGTACACACTCTTTTTTTTTTTTTTTTTTTTGAGGGGGCAGTACAGGGAATCAAACTCAGGATCCTTGAATTTGTGGCAATATTGTAAAAAAAAAAACAAAAAACAAAAAAACTCAGCATCTTGTGCTTGCCAGACAAGCACTGTGCCACTAAATTGTATTGCTGGCCCCCTTTTTCACTTTGTTTTATTTTGTTTTGGAACCAAGGATTGAACTCACAACCTCATGCTTGTCAGGCAGGTGCTTATTGCTGCTGAGCTAAACCCCCTGTTTTGTTTTAAGCTAGGGTTTTGCTATGTAATTCATGCTGGCCTCAAACTTGCAATGATCCTCCTTGGCTCAGCTTCCTGAGGGCTAATACTACAGATGTGCACCACCATTGCCCGCCAAAAAAAATATGTGTACTCAAGGTTGCCCTGGCCTCTTGGAAGGGGGAAGCACAGGTGGGAGAGATCCTGATGGGTCATTTGTCAACAGAGAATTGGAAGGAATAGAGTACCCTGTGAGCACATCCATTCTGGGACCTGCTTTTGGTGGCAAGCAGGGCAGCTGTGATCTGCATGAGATGAGCCATGGAGAAGTCTTGACTTGTAGCACAGATGGGGAGAACACTCTAGGAGATACTAGAACCCATTCATATCAGAGGAGCTTCATTTAAAACTTTTATTACAAAAACGTTCGAGGGGGCTGGGGATTTAGCTCAGCGGCATAAGCGCCTACCTTGCAAGCAGGCAGTCGTGAGTTAGATCCCAGGTACAGATAAAAAGGAAAAAGACAAAAAAAAAAAAAATGTTCAAACATACACAAAGGTACCATAGTTCTATGAAACCACCACTTAATTTAACAATTATGGAATTTGTGACATTTGGTCCTTGTGGTCTTTTTTGTTTGTTTGTTTCCTCTGCTGAAATTAAATAGGTAACTTTGCTCCATAGTTGAACCTACATCTCTAAAAAATGAAGACTTTCCATTGCATAACCTCAGGGCCATTTTTACATCTAACAAAATTAACACTGCTTCCTTGGCATCATAAACACCCAGTCCACAATTAAATGTCTCCAACTGTCTGAAAATGTGTTTTTACAAGTGGGTTCTCCAGTCCCAAACCAAAGGAAGTCTACATGTTGCAAGTAATCATATTTTTTTGTCCCCCAAACCTAGAAATTAAAAAAAAAACAAAAAACTGGAGATTGAACCCAGGGCCTTGCACATGCTGTGTAAGTGTTCTACTGGGCTTATCTCACCACTCTCCCAGTAGTTGTTTTTATAAGTCCTTTCTCATTTTGCTTGCCTGTTGACTACTTGAGGAGATTATGTAGGATTTCCTCAGGATGTCCCACATTTTGGATACGTCTTCTTATTTCTTCATGTCATTCACTTCATGTGTTCCTCCATCTGCCAGATTCCCATTAAATAGAAATGAGCACTAGAGGTTTGAGTAGATTCATGTTCAGTTCCTTGGTTGTTTCTTTCTCTAGCAACAATCCTTCCTCAGTTGTGCTGAATGCTTCAGATTTCATTATATCCAGAGCTACATGATGTCTATGAGTATCCTTTTTTTAGGGATCCTGAGATACATCAATGGGCTTAAGTGGCAGCAGCTTGGTTTGTCCATAAGGTTCTCTATCAACCATCCTCCTTGATTCATCCATGTGTGATTCTTGATTCGATTATTTCACTAAGAATTGTAAAATGCTGGTTTTTCTCACTCTATAATCCTTTCACATTACCTGGAATTCTTCTTTAAATGTGAAATTGTCTCCACCAGTTAGAACCATCTGGTTATCCTGAAATATAGTTTATATAAGAACAAGTAGCATAAATGTTTACTTATTTTTAAATACCAAATTTCATATCAAGAAGTTGAGAGAAAAAAATTTTCGTATCAGGAATTGAACTCAGGACTTTGTGCTTGCCAGATGGGTGCTGTACCACTGAGTTGTATCCCCAGCTCAAGAAATTTTATTCATTTATTTTGCATTAGTTTTGTTTTTTATTTATTTATTTTTTAACTTTTTATCAGTACCAGGGATCGAACTTATGACCGCCTGCTTGCAAGGCAGGTGTTTATGCCACTGAGCTAAATCCCCAACCCCATTTAGTTTTATTTTTTTTGGAGGGGGTTGGACCCAAGGATTTTTCACTGAGCTACATCCCTTTACCTTCCATGCCTTATTATTATTATTATTATTATTATTATTAGGTACTGGGGATTGAACTCACAACCTTGAGCTTGCCAGGCAAGTGCTTATACCACCGAGCTAAATCTTTGGCTGTTGTCTTGCTAAATTATTAAATTACCTAAACTGTAATTAAAATTGCAATCTTTCTGTCTCTGCCTCCCAGAGTGGTAGGTTTACAATCATGTACCATCATGCCTAGCTGGAAGTATCTTTCTTTTTCCTTTTTTGTTTTTTATACAGGGTGTTGCTATGCAGCTTCAATTAGCCTTGAACTCACTATGTAGCTAAGGTTGGCTTTGAACTTGAAGTGATCAGCTTGCCTTAGTCTCCTGAGTGATGGAGATGTGTGCCACCATCCCTGGCAGAAGTACCACTTTTTTTTAAAGTTGTGGGCTTATAGTTAAACAGAAAGGGATGACATGGAGAGTAGGGGAAGGAAGGGATACACTGACAGCTGTGCCTACTCCTAGCTCACACAGGCTGTGGACTACATACAAGACTGACAAACACTGAACTGTGTCCTGGACCTTGGCTAGCAAGAGATACATTTCTTTCGTAACCTGGTGTGCTGACAGCTACAAAACCTAAGAGATTCATAGGGACACAGAGAGAGAGGGAAGGAAATGACAGAGAGAGGAAGAGCACACCAGATATGGGGAGACAGAGAGGCATCAAGTGAAAAAACATCTGGACGGGCCAGGGATTTAGCTCAGTGGCATAAGCATCTGCCTGGCAAGCTTGTAGTCATGAGTTCAATCCCTGGTACAAAAAAAAAAAAAAAAAAAAAATCTAGACACAGAAGACAGGAAAAGAGACAAAGACAGAAAAGGAGATAAGGGGGTGGGGGTTTTAGCTCAGTGGCATAAGCACCTGCCTTGCAAGCAGGCAGTCGTGAGTTCGATCCCCGGTACCGATAAAAAGGAAAAAGACAGGAAAAAAAAAAAAAAAAAAGAAAAGGAGATAAAAATGAAAGAGAATATTCTGGAAACAGAATAGATCAAAACAGAGAGATAAGAGGTGAATCAAAAGACCAAGGGAAAAAATAATCATGAAGACATGGCTTAAAACAGGGAAAGGGGAAGACAGGCATGGTGGCACATGCCTGTAGTCCCAGGACTTTGGAGATTGAGGCAGGAGGATCATTGCAAGTTCAAGACCAGCCTGAGTTACAAAATGAGCTCAAACTCAGTCTGACCTGCATAATGAGACCCTGTCTTAAAAAGACAGCTGAAAAAAAAAAAAAAACTGACAATGACAACAAAAAACAAGTAAAGGGAAAGAAAAAGCAAAAGCCGGGGCTGGGGATTTAACTCAGAGGCATAAGCGCCTGCCTTGCAAGCAGACAGTCGTGAGTTTGATCCCTGGTACCAATAAAAAGGAAAAAGAAAAAAAAAAGCCATATATATGTTTAAATTAGGACAGGGGTTGGGTTGTGACTCAGTGGTAGAATGCTTGTTTGCTTGCTTAGCTTGTGTGAGGCCATCGGCTCAGTCCCCAGAAATGATAAATCAATCAATAAATACATAACAAAAATTTTTTTAAAATACATAACAAAAATTGAGAGAGGATAGAGAGTGGAGAAAACATATGTAGTGATGAGTTAGGTAAAGGCAAAAGCTCCCAGTGGTAGAGAAGAGAGGCTTGCAGAGAATGAAAGATAGGAAGGAAAAGAAAGAATAAGAACAAAAGTTCCTAAATAAGAAAACTGAAACAAGAGGCAGAAAACTTTAGAAATGTGGAGTGGGCTTAAGGACATGGTCCTAGGAGACAGCTCACTTCCAGCTACCTGTTGTGGTTTTTCCCATTTCCTGGTCCCACCTCCAGAAATAGGGCCTTCCACACGGGATTACTGGGAACTCAAGTCAGGGGTTCCTAGCTTCTTTATACCCATGCCAGATGAGCATGGATGTCACACATGGGATTACTGCTACAAGATTGAGGTCAAGAGGCCTAGAGAGCGCTCAGAGATTTGAAGACAAGACATTTCGGCAGTGTTCCTGGCTAGAAGCAAAGTACCACAAAGACTGTCAAAGCTATCCAAGTGGAGGGAGCAGCCAGAAGCCCTCTGCTTAGCCACATCTTCTGGTCCAAGAGCCACTGACCTTTTCCTGACTTAAGATGAGAGGTCAGGGGTCCAGAGATTCCCGGGGCAACCAAGGATATGGACGAGTAGGTCCAAGGGGCCCAAAGTGCCCTCTGGATAAAGGCTTCTCCACCTCCTCTAGAGGAGGAATCCACCTTATTCATGCAAAGTGCAGAGGGGTCTCCATGAGGGGCTAAGTAGAATGAAGGAAAAGGCCAACTTGCTCACCTTCAGAAGTTACGAGGGCGACTCTGAGAAGAACACTTTCCATTCTAGAAGTTGCAGATGAGGAGGTTCTGGAGCCAGCAGGAATAAGACCAGAAACTAACTTCAGAGAAGATGCCCTCTGTCCCCAGTAGGACTTGTAGGAAGGTGCTCTGTGTAGCTGCCTCTCCTTCCTGGGGACAGGGTCCAGCTGATCCCTCTCCCCCTCCACTGAAGTGACCTCCTGAGAAAGGTTCTGGAAGTGCTCCAGGAGGCTGGCAGTTTCTCAGGGAACAGCAGTCTGCCTAGACTATCATACAGCACCTCTGAGAAGTGCGCTGTCCCCTGAAGCAGAAGTTGCAGCAGCCAGTGGAGCCTTGAGATACCCAAGCAGCCCCTCGACTACAGCTACAGCGGTCACTACAGCCCAAGTAGGGGCTCCGACAGGCAGCTTGGCCCTCGGAACAAGGGTAAATGGGGCAAGGTGACAGGTGGCAGCAGGTCGGGTGTGGACCAGAGCAGCTGACACAGTAGGTATGGGGACAAGTCAAGGGAGGACAGGCAGGGCAAGGAGAAGAGCAGGTCCAGGGTGGGCCGGGGAGGATGGGACAGAATGGGCAGGTGGCTCTATAATAGGGACAGCCAGTGCAAGGGCAGGGGGGAGGGGGACAGCCAGGGCAGGGACTGGCACAAACAGAGAGCGGACAGGGGAGGCAAGGAGAGGGAGCTGCCAGTGGGCCATGCCCAGAGGGTGTAGGGGGCTGTTGGTGGGCAGCTTTCGTGTTCCGAGGCCCTAGGCGTAGGCCCAAAGAGAAGTCCATTCAGCTGCAGGAGCAGGCAGGCTGGGGGCTGGGTGCAGGGGAGGGCTGGGCAGGAGGGGGCTGTGGGACAGGATTAAACCAGAGACACGCTGAGCCTTGCTGATCCTGCAGGGAGCTCAGACCTCCTTCTCCACCCTTCCCCCTCAAGATCTGCCAGGCAAAGCTCCTCTACCACCCAAACGTCTACCTGTCCCAGACCAGAACATGTCTTTGAAGAGGACGTGCACTTTCATGCCTCCATTCCTTTGTTCACACTGTTCCTTCTGTTTGGAATGTCCTTTCTCATTTCACCTGGCCAGGCCCTGTCATTTTGGAAGTCTTCCCTCTATGTAATCACAAAGCATTCTTGCACTGTAAGTCCTGACACCTGCCCAGGTCCCTCCAACCTTAGCGGTCAAGGCTATAGCTGCCAGCTGCCAGCTCCCAGAAGGGGTCAGGTAGGCAAACCACAGCAGCAGAAGCTGCAGGGGAATGGGGACTGAGGCTCCCTGGGTTCTGGGAGTTTCCAGAAAGGAGTCCAGGGGGGGGTGGGGGTGTCTGGCTGTCCGGGAAACTGACAGCCAGCCTGGGCAACTATTATTTGTGGACATTCAGACACATGCCCATGGTAGTGACAAGTGGGCTGAGTTTTCTTTCTTAGGGAGCTCCATAAAAGTGAGGGGTGGAGAGCTGGGGACTTAGCTCAGCGGCATGAGTGCCTCCGTGGCAAGCACTCAGGAATGGCTACTGTGATTATCACAGGTGATTTGATAAAAGGTGACTGGTGTGGAGCTGGGGATTTAGCTTAGCGGCATAAGCGCCTGCATTGCAAGTGTGTGGTCCTGAGTTCAAATCCTGGTACCAATAAAAACCAAAAAGACAAAAAAAAAAAAAAAAAAAAAAAAAAAAAAAAAGGTGACTGGTGTGAATCAGTTGGAGGGTCAGATAGACAACCCCAAGCAGTGAAGTGCTACAGCCCCCAGGATTTGGAGGGGATGCACACACTTGCTTAGGACTGGGAGCTGCCTGGGGCTGAATGGAACCCAGACGACTGGGTTAGGGACAAAAATAAAGCTGAGAAAAGGACAGCAAGACTCCAGTTGTGGTCCCCAGTATAAAATAAAACAAAAGAGAAAGAGAGAGAAACAGAGAGAGAAAGAGGAAGGGGAAGGGAAGAAGCAAGCTGTAGTCTCAGATTCAGTGGTCAGGGAAAGACCCGAGAGAAGGGAGGGAGCAAAGTATGAAGTGTCCTTTGGAAGAACATTCAGCAGCTTGCAAAGGGGAGGTTCCTAACTGCACCAGTCAGGGAGTAAGGCCGAGCTCCCATCATGCCTGCTGGCTTTGTGAGCCAAGGTAGGGACCTGGATCTCATTCCAAGTAAAAGGGAAAATTACTGATGGTTTTAAACCAGAATGTGGGTGGGTCTTCTTGCTCCAGTCCCTCCTTAGAATGTTTCTTTCTTGCTTGCATTTTTTTTTTTCCAGACAGGGTCTCAGTATATAGTTCAAGCTGTCCTTGAACTCACCATGTAATCCAGACTCCCCTTGAATTTATCGCAGTCCTCCTGCTTCAGCTTCCCGAGTGCAGAGATTATAGGCACTGAGATTGCAGATATGCTAGAATGTTCTGCTTCCAATGTAACATGGTCATTTTGGAAAACACTGTGGTAGAAAGAAAGAAAGAGAAAGAAAGAGAGAAAGAAAGAAAGAAAGAAAGAAAGAAAGAAAGAAAGAAAGAAAGAGAAAGAGAAAGAGAAAGAGAAAGAGAAAGAGAAAGAAAGAAAGAAAAAAGAAAGAAATCCCAGGAAACAAATTCTTGCATGTTTGTACTGGGAAAATGTTGTACAAGAATGTTCATAGCCATATTGTTTATGACAACTTCAATTGAAACAATTTAGAATTCTACCAACAGTAGAATAAAAAAACAAATCCTGGTGTTTTCAGCAATGAACACTACGCAACAAGAAAAACAGCTCTGTGCAGCAACTTGGATGTATCTCACAAACAAGAAGGTGAGCAACATAAAACAGAAGAGTCATACAGTATCATTTCATTTATATGAAGTTCAAAAACAAGCATAGCCAAGTGTGGTGGTACAGGACTGCCATCCTAGCACTCAGGAGGCCAAAGCAGGAGGGTCCCTGGAAATTCCAAGTTAGCCTGGATTGCACAGTGAGTATAAGTCCAGCCTGAGCCTACCTGAGCAGTTTTTTAGGGATGCAGACACAAGTGCTAAGACTTTTTAAAAATCAAGGGGCCAGGAATATAGCTCAGAGGCACAGCACCTGCCCGACAAGCATAAGATCCTGAGTTTGATTCCTAATGCCAATAAAATAAAATAAAGGTAGAGTCTGCAATCCCAGAACTTGGAAGTTGAGGCAGGAGGCTTACTGTGAGTTTGAGGCCAGCCTGGGCTACACAGTAAATTCTAGGCCAGCCTGAACTGTAAAACCCTGTAAGTAAATAGGTGTATACCAAGGGAGTTTCTTGTTTACAATTATTACCAAATTTTATTATTTATTTAGGGGAGAGAGGGAAAAGTAGAGAACTTCAGAGTACAGGAGAATTTCCATTTCTTAACAGGATGATGATTAAATATGTTTTCTTTTTTCCAGATCATTTTTTTGTTTGTTTCAGACAGAATCTTGTTGTGTGGCTCAAGCTGGCCTTGAACTTAGAGCAATCCTCCTGCCTCAGCCTCCCATGTACTGGAATTATAAGCATGTACCACCATGTCCAGCTTTTCCAGATCATTCTATACACTGTTCACAATATATTTATGTATTCCATAAAGGAAGAGAAAACTGTGCTCACTTCAGCAGCACATGTACTAAAATTGGAACAATACAGAGGATATTAGCATGGCCCCTGTGTAAGGATGACATGCAAATTCGTGAAGCGTTCCATATTTTTTTTTAAAAAAAAGGAAGAGAAAATTAAAATACCTCTTTTCTATGCTCCATGTCACTTTGATCCAATCATGCTAAGATTTGACACTTTCTAGTTCATACACTCATCTTTCTTACCAGACTTTCTCTTTATTTCTGGTACCTATCAGTGTCTGGCATATACCAAATCCTTAATAAATGTTTTCTTAATTGTACTGAATTAAATTTCCCAAGTCTCTCATCCCCAAGAGAGGTGGACAGTTACAGGACAAAAGTAGGAAGCCTGCTATGGTGAAGAGAGCTCAGGATCAAGACCTGAGTTTCTGTCTTATCTCTGCCACCTCCTAGCCATGTGATGCTGGCTGGGTCACTGATCTCTTGTGAAGCAGGGAAGGAATTACTGTTAGTCTTAGCTGCCTTTTCTGTGGATTAAATGGGAAAATGTATATGCCTAAAAGTAGGTTCTCAACAAAAGACAGCTTCCTCCAAGCCTCCTCCCTCAGAGCCATAGCTTTTCTTCAAAAGAGTTCATCAAAAGGGGCAGCCAGACATCAAAGGTGGTCCCAAAAAGTGGGCCTACATTCTCAGGGCTCCTTAGTGCCAACACAAAAATATAGTTTGGCAGAGGGCTGGCAGACAAGGAGATGTGGTTGAAACTAAACTGAACCCAGGCAGCTGGTGGGAGCTGGCAGAGCAGGCAGGCAGAACGCCGGGTCCTGGGAGTTTCCACGCAGGGGAAGTCCCAGCTGCAGGTGCAGGGGTGCCAAGCTGGCCCCACCCAATACCCTGGCCTCAGGGGATGTGGGCACAGGGAGGAAAGTGGGTCAGAGCAGGCCTGGAACTTAACATAGGTCTCCTGACCTCTCAGCCAGCTCCAAAGGAGACACAGCCAAAGAAGCCTGTTCCCTTCTCTTTCAAAGGGTCACCAATTCTTTTTCTTCAGAAAGGAAGAACCTAGGGAGTTGGGGATGTAGCTCAGTGTTAGAGGACTTACCTGGCATGTGCAAGGTCCTGGGCTTACCTCCCAGCACTAGAAAAGAAAAAAAAAAAAAAAAAAAAAGAGAAAGAAAGAAAGAAGAACCTTAGAATTTTGGTGCCTGGGCAGGAAGAATTGGAAAGCTCCCCAGTGGATAGAAGAGAGAATAGGGAACCCACTACCCCCTCCCTAGTAGTTCTGTACAAAAACAGACAACTACACCCACCCACATGCAGGCTGGCAGACACCAGGAGCATTCACCTCACACACACTCTAAGCAACCGTGGAGGCAGACATGCTAGCTCCTGGGAGTGGGACAGGTCTGGGCTGGATCTATAAAAGGGGGAGGGTGCAGGGAGGAGAAACTGCAGCTGGGTAAATGTAAGACTCTGCACCCTGGTGGATTTGCCAATATGGAGCCTTGATTTCTGTAGTATAATCTCAGGCCTAAACCTGTAATTCTTATTCCCACTCTGTGTGTCAGTTTCTGTTTTTGGAGCAGCAGATGCAGGAATGAATAGAATCATTCTAGGACAAAATCACCAGGAGGCCCAGGGCCTTGCTTTGGCCATGAGAGATTGCTTACTGTCAAGATCCAGGTGGACCACAGGTGTGGAGTGTCTTTTTCTTTCTTTCTTTTTTTTTTTTTTTTTTTTTTTGTCTTTGAGACAAAGTCTTTCACTACACAGTTCAGGCTGGCCTTGAGCTCACTTCATAGACCAAGCTGGTCTTGAATTTGCTACAATTCTCCTGCCTTGTCCTCCTGAGTGCTGGGATTACAGGTGTGTGACACTTCACCTGGTGCAAGGAGCTCTATTTCAGGACCTTTGCACACACTGGTTTATTATCCTCCTCTTCACTGTCCTCCATTTCTTCTCAGAAGACTCTTGAGCTGGGGCAGTGGTGCTTGGGAGGGAATCCTAAACTCCATCTTCATGGCACCTCAAGCCTTTCCATATTGGTTGTCCTGGTTGCCATTTTGTGGACTCTTGGATCATTCCCTGGGCCTAGCAGAGTGCTTAACACATAGAGGATATTTAACACAGATTTACTCAGTTAATGAATGGTGCATGTTCAGGAAAAGAATTCCTAGAGCTGTGTAGGCTACTCCTAAAATCCTGTGTTCAAAATCAAGGTTTTATTCTACATGGAGATCTGGATAGGGCTGGGGTTAGATATACCTTCCACACACAAACTTTTTCACCAGGAGGGCTAACAAGCTGGTAAACAGCAGAATGGAGTTGGCACAAGGGGTAGAACTGAGCAAGCACTAGGAGAAGGGCTGGCATCGGATTTGGCACAGAGCAGGCCTAGGGGAAGGCAATGGGGGAGGAGGGACAAGGGAGGACACGTGTTGTACAAAACATGTTTTCATCATGCTCTCCCTGGATGCCCTGGTCTCCAAGCCCCCATGGCACTTCTGTGTCTTAATGATGTCCTTGGGGGCTGTAACAGAGCTCCCCCATCCCCCACACACATCTGCCAGCTATCTCTAAACATGGCATGGGACATCCAGCAGAAGCAGACTGAGTATGGGGAAATGACCTATTCTATGTCCTGATGCTGGTGGGGAGGAGGCAAAGGTGCAAAATAGGGATGGGTAATAAGGCAAATCGAGGCAGCAGGACAGATTCCTATATCCTTTCCCTCTCAGTAAGTTCTTTTGCTCTTTGCTTTGTGTTGAGGGGAGCAAAGGAAGCCTGGTCCTAGGGTACCCAAGATATCATTTCTCCAATTTGTCAGGGTGGTGCAGCCACAGAGCAAAGCTCAGAAATAGCCAGTTTGGGTCAAGGATTTAGCTCAGTGTCATAAGCATCTGCCTGGCAATCATGAGGTTGTGAGTTCGATCCCCGGTACCACAAAAGAAATAGACAGCTCTATAGCTGGGCATGGTGGCATGTGTCTGTAATCCCAGGTCTTAGGAGGCTGAGGCAGGTGGATTGCTTTGAGTTGGAGGCCAGCCTGGGCTACAAAATGACTTTAAGGCCAGCCTTAACTGCACAAACAAACATATATATATATATATATATATATATATATATATATTCAGCTCTGAGCAAGTACTTTATTTTATTTAATTAATTAATTAATTGTTGGTACTGGGGATCAAACTTGTGACCTTGCACTTGTCAGGCAAGTGCTGTGCCACTCAGCTATATCCTCATCCCTGAGCAACTATGTTAAAGATAACAACATGAAATGTATTATCTATAGGGTTGGGGATTTAGCTCAGCGGCATAAGCGCCTGCCTTGTAAGCAGGCAGTCGTGAGTTCAATTTCTGGTACCAATAAGAAAAAGAAATGTATTATCTATTGTTATTCTTCTATTATTTTGTTATGAAATTTTGTTTTAGCCTTTTTCCATGGGGGGGGGAAGGAAAGAAAGAAATAGCCAGGTGTAGTGGTACACACCTATAATCCCAGCATTCAGGAGGCTGAGGCAGGAGGATCACCACGGACTCGAGGCCAGCCTGAACTACATAGCAAAACCCTGTCTCAGAAAAATAAATAAATAAACCTAGAAATAGGCACAATCTCAGGCAAAAGAATACAGGGCATGGGGCTGGGGATTTAGCTCAGTGGCATAAGTATCTGCCTTGAAAGCAGGTGGTCGTAAGTTCAATCCCTGGTACCCATAAAAAGAAAAAAAAAAAAAAATAAGAATAGAGGGCAGCTCCTTCTACCATTTTGCAAATGGGAAGTCATCTTTCCAAAACTTCCTCCTAGATTCCCTGAACAGAAACCTAGCTGTAGTGGAAGACTAGAGGTGGAGAGAGGGGAGAGGATTCTGAACTTGTCTTGTTTGTTCCCTAATCTGCTCTGTTTAGGTTGACTGCCACACTGTTGCAGTGTACAGAAGGGAGTCCCTGGGTAGGACAGCAGAGGGAATGGGGTGGAGGTGGTGGCAGCCCAAGGGGAGGGGACTGCAGAGGGTGGGTCTTCCTGGCTGCTGTCCTTGGTTGGGGATCAAGAAGGAGCTACAGGGGGCTGGAGATTTAGCTCAGCGGCATAAGCGCCTGCCTTGCAAGCAGGCAGCCGTGAGTTCGATCCCCGGTACCGATAAAAAGGAAAAAGACAAAAAAAAAAAAAAAAAAAAAAAAAAAAAAAAAAAAAAAGAAGGAGCTACAGTTACTCCAGACAGATGGATGGACAAATGCCCACTAGAGACAAAGACAGAGCAGACTGGACAAACCAAGACAAAAAGGAAGGCAGTCACATGGAATTCTAGACACTCTCTCCCAACTGTTTTGTTTTCTGTTTTAGCTTCTCTGTCCCCATCTGCTGCCACAGCCTCACAATCTCAGAGCTCCAGTTCTTGATCTCTGGGACCAGCCCCTGACCTCCTCTAAAGGAGAAATGAGCTGAGAGAGGTGATGCCCATCCAGGACAGCATTATGGGGTGGTGTTTGGGTCTGTGTCAGAATGCCCAGCCAGGGAGGGAGTGGTGCCCTTGCCTGGTTCTTGAGGACAGGAGTCTCATTCACTGTAAACCAAGTACAGATGTGCTGGAAGGAGGAGGGGAGATTAAGGCCACATTCCCAAACCGCAACTGGGCCTGCCCTGCTTCTGCCAACCACCACCAGGGAAGGCCAGGAGGGGTTAACTTTGTAGCCTTCTGGTAGGATCCCTGCCACACAGGCAGGGTGCCATCCCACCCCAGCCTGGACATCATGGTCCAACTCCCTGACACTGCCCCTCCCACATTGCTAGGAGTTGCTCCCAGGGCAACCAGCAAAGTCAACAGCAGCCAGGCCACCTGGGGACAGGGCCCTGGAGTACCTATTCCCAGATCTTTCCAGCCCTGGAGTGAAAGAGGGGGCTTATGTGTACCCCATTGACATCTCTGGTCTCCTGAGATAGCCACAAGATCCTTCTTCTTTCACCCTCATCTTCACTTAACTCTGGCCACCAAAGGTAGCCTTTCCCTCAGAGAAGGACACTGGGTCTGAGTGAGGCCAGAGGAGAGTAATGAGATGTGAGGACAGAGCAGAGTAGTTCCAGGATGGAAAATGTGAGGTGGCCCAGGAGTCCATGCCCCAGATGCTGGCCACCCTGGGAGCACTGGTGGAAAGGTCCCTCGGGTTCCAGCTTACAACTCCTATAATGTCCCCTTTTCTTCTCTTCTTCACTCCCAACCACAGTCTCTGTGGGAGTGGTTGGGGGTCCAGGAACAGACTTTGGACTTTAGACACTTTTCTTTGGCTCTCAGCTCATCAGAAAGGGCTGAAAGTGCCGGGTTCCCATTCTAGGGTCAAGTCTGTCTCTGTTGGTCAACTGAAGTCAAAGAATATCCCATCAGACACAGACGCTTGGCACATGGAGCACAGAACCTGGCAAGCCACTCTGGATGAAGCAGACACACACCCTTGCCTGGGCTTTCTCCCGGCACCCAGCCTAAGGCTCCTCCCACTCCCAGCCACAGCTCCTCCTGCCCTCTTCTCAGCCTCTCCCTCTCCAAACCCAAGCGTGAAGGTGGGGACCATACTGGCAGCCAGGGTGCCAGTCGCCCTGATTTTTGAAGCTTGCTGCAGGCAGGTGAGAGGGAGGAGATCTATGAACCCACGTCTCAGCACCCCCACAACTCCACTAGTTAAACCAGTTTGCTCCTGGGGCAAAGGACTGGGGCGGCAGGGAAAAGGGAAAGACTACTTCGACCTGCAGGTGGAGGCTCAGTGAAGGAGAAAACAGTGACATCTTTGACTCCTGCCCCATCACTCCACCCTTGGGAGGTTTAGGACACAGCCCCCCTGCCTACCCTGTGGCCATGTGGAACACAGCCTGGTTAGACACAACTCAACTAGGTTCCCCAAATGGCAGAAAGGTGAAGGGCGCCAGAGTGGAAGGGTTGGCATCACAGGGCGAGGACACTGACCTCCTCTGCCAGCCTAGCCCGGCCTCCCCGGGGATGGAGCCACGAAAGCCAAGCAAAAAAGGAGGGGCAGAGACCTAGGCGTCCCGGGCCGCCCCGCCCAGCCCCCCACCCATCTCCCGCCCCCCCAGCCCCAGGGCACCAAGGAGGGACCGGGCAGGGGCAGGCGGCAAGGAAGGGAGGAGCGAGGGCGGGAGGGGGAGGAGGGAGCCGGGCAGGGAGGGAGGTGGGGGGGTAGGGAGGGAGAAAAAGAAAGAAAATATTTTCCGTGTCCCCGCCTGCAGAGTCAGTGTGCGGTTTGGGAGAAAATGTGTCGGATATTTTGGGGCGGTCACGTGGGCGGGCGTGCTCCGAGAGGCCCCGGGACAGTCCCAGCCTAGAGCCGTGCCCCCCTGGAGCCCCCATTCCCGCAAGCCCCGGACGCGGCGACGCTGCGTCCCGAGACCGCCCGCGCCCGGATCTCGGGGCTCCGCGGCCTCCCTTCCCCGCCCCCCTCCAGGTGAGTCAGGCGGGGAAGCCGGCTCACCCGCCAGGTTGGCCGCGGACGCCCGGGTCGCCGCCAAGGTGGGCTGGGGGCCTGGCCGGCGCCTGTCCCCCCGGGGCTGCTCGGGCTGCCGTAGTACTCGAGGGGGCGCTTCCCCACCTCGGACTTGGGATCAACCTAATGTGAGACGGGAATGGGAAGAAGGTAGTCAGACTGAGGATGGGTTGCCTGCCCTTGGTGTTGGTGAGTAATGGGGAAGGGCATTTGGGGGAGAGGCTGCAGGCGTGGGGACATCTGTCCTCTCGGGCTTGGAATGTGAGGCGAGACCCTGTTCCCCCTGTGTGGAGAAGCGGCTGAGCTCTTCCCTTGGGGGCTCTGCTGGATGGATGTGACGGGCCAAGCTGGTCCAAGTTCCGCCTTCCACAGTGGGATAGCAAGCCTGGACGTCAGAAGGGCAAGAAAGAGATCCTGTAGCAAGTGACCCTGGCTGTCTGGGCCCAGGAGTGGTGAGGGACAAGTGAATAGGAGCCGGGTCTGTGAAGTTCCCTTAATCTACCCCTTCGGGATTCCCTCGACACAGACACATCCAGACACATCCCCAACCACTTTGTAAGTTGACGTCTCCAGCCAACTTGGGAGGGGGAACTCTCCAGTATTTTGAAGGGGAGCTGGAGTGGAACAAAGGAAGAGCTGGAGGACTGGGACAGGGACCCAGGAGTGCTCATCCTGGAGTGCCATTGACGGCTGCTTCTCTGTCTTCAGCAGTTACTGCCTAGTGCCCCCAGCCTGACCCAGCATGTAGGAGGGAATCTCTGCAGGTGGCTAGAGGGTAAGAATATGAATGGCTGCTGTTGGTGGTGGTGGGGGTGAGTGGGCAGGGGCACCTGAGGAGGGGTCTGTAGGGCAAGAAGCTGGAATTCTGTCGTTGTTTCCCTTTAGGGCTTGTGTCTGGGCAGCTGGAATCCTGGTCCTCAACTCTGAAGCTCCAGTCATTACAGTCACCTCCCATGCTGAGGAGTGGGGTGGAGGAACACAGCCTATATCCTTGAGGCAAGTGGAGAGAAAATAGGGTTGAGGGGAGTCTGTACGACTTGGAGCTTGAGTATCTCAATTAGATGTCACACACACACACACACACACACACACACACACACACACACAGAGTAGCTTAGAGCCTGGAAGGCAGCAGCAACACGGGGCACGCCCCCCCTTCAACCCCAGCACACCCCTGGCTCAGAAAGCCACCTAACTGGCACCTCCAGTTCCCCCCTTTGCCCCACCCTGCCCGTGCCCTCCGATGCCCACACACATTCCACTGGCATTGCCTGCCTGCCTCCTGGGTACTGCCCCTCCCTGGGGCGAGTGGGGTAGAGGAGGGAGGGCACCTAGGGATGAGAGGTGGAGACTCAAGGGTCTGTACTCCCCCCAGGGTGGCACAGGGCCAGGGAAACCAGGCCCATGACTGCCTCCTGGGGAGCAGGCTGGGGGCCCAGGCTGGAGTAGAGGGTGCCTGGGTTCTCTGCCCAGGCCGGCGATGGGGTCATGGAAAAAGGTGGTCGTGTTTATACAGAGGGGAGGGGGGCAGCCGGTGGAGAGCAGCTGACAAGAGCAGCTTTGTTTCAGGCTTCGGAGTGGGCAGGGCAGCAGGGAGACGCCCCCCTTCATCCAGCAGCCCCCTTCATCCATGCCTTCCCCTCAACTCCACCTTAAGAGAAGCAGCTTTGTAAGAGCCCCTCTTCCTTAGCCCCGCATCCCACCTCATCACCCGAGTTGGCATCTTGGGAAGAGTGAAGAGTTCTTCCCCTTCCACAAGTCTCCCCAAGAACCAAGACATCAAGGACTTTCGTTTAGGATTTCCTCTGACTTCTTACCATCTTCATTTTTCTTGTTCTCTTCCTTTCCCCCCCCGAATTGAATCCTCTCCCTTTCCTTCCCAGCCATAGCAGCAGACAAGGCTCAGGAAGGGGAGGCATCTTTGCCCCCTTCCTCACTGACTCATAGGTCCCCTCTCCAGGTCCCTTCTCCCAGCAATATAGGCAGAGGGCCAGGGAGAGTTGGCTTGTCCTCTGCTCATTTACAGTCTCCTTTTTAGAGGAGTCTGAGCATCTCTTTCTGGGACCTCTGCTGAAGATCTACTCTCAAGGTCTCCTTTCCAACTGCAGAGAGACAAGAAGCCCTGGAGCAGAGGACTGTTCCCAGGCTAAGCAGAGTCTAGGGAAGGTGTGTGTGGGGTGAGGAGGCTCTACTAGCTTCTCACCCTTGGCATTGGAGGGGTTAATCCACCTGGAATGTGGCCCAGCCTGTTGAGCTATGGCCCAGGGGCCTCAGGGGCCCGAACTCCTGGCTCTACCTGGGTTTAACCAGGATAAGCACTTCACTGGAATAAGGGAAGGAAAGAAGGTGGGACCTTGGGAGCTTGGAGTTCAGACTTTTAGGGCTGGGGAGACACTGTGTTAGAGTTGGGGGGGGTGTCCTAGGGGCATGGGTAGCACCTGGTGAAGGGCAGGGGCTAGTTCATGCATGAGTCTGAGTGAAGGCTAATGGTATTGGGGTATGAATTCCTGTAACCTCCATAATAATTTACATGAAGTCCAAGGTAAACAAGAGAAAAGAAAAAAAGGTAGGAGTAGGGGAAGCAGAGGTACAAATAAATAGAGATGTTGGTTTGATCCTAGAAGCAAGTAATGATGGAAAAGTTCAGAAATGCTCATCACCTGGGGCTCCCCACCCTACTGGGTCTCTGTGCTTAACTCTTGTGGTTGGTTCTTTTCTGCTCTTCTTCATGTTGGTCATGAGTCATAATTCTGACTAGAGGAGGGATCTAGGCCAGGGTGACCACCCCCATCCCCAGCCCATTGGCTTCTTAGAGGAGTAGGTGGTTTTCAGGCTCTTGGGAAGGCCAACCTTCTCCTTGTCAGAGCTTCAAGAAAGGACCACCTGCTAGTTCTGGGATTCCCATACATCTCTTTCCCTCCTCTTCCTGCATTTAGGTTAAAAATCTTGGAGTGTGTTTGTGTGTGTGTATGTAGGGACTGGCTCAGTGGTAGAGCACTTGCCTAGATGTACAAAACCCTGGGTTCTATGGGGGTGGTGGTGGAACATACCCTGGGGGTGGGGAAATCTGAAGGAGAGAGGATGCAAAAAGAGCTTTCCAGAGACAGGCAGCCAACAACAACAACAAAAATGAGCTGGAGAAGCAAAGTAAACTGAGGGCAAAAAGAGGAGTTTTCTGGGGTCACAGTTGTCTAGTTCTATCAATGTCCCTGATTTGAGGGAGAGATTAGGGAGTGAGGGATGATTGGTGACAGAGACAGAATTGGGAAGGAAGATGAAGACGTGTTGAGGAAGACTGAGAGAAGGAAATACTAATTAAAAGATGTGTGAAGAAAGAGAAGGTAAAAGACAAATAGTATGAGACATCTACCTAGCGTTCATAATGGGCTCTATATTACTCTAAACAGAAGTACCTGTCTCCAGGTGGAGACAACAAATACTTCTTTGTTGTAACTTTGGGACCATGCACAGCATATATGTTATAGAGTGTGTGTGTGTGTGTGTGTGTGTGTGTGTGTGTGTGTGTGCGAGTGTGTGCATACTGGAGATGAGACCCAAGGCCCATATATGCCAAGCAAGTGATCCACTCTGAGCTATATATACCTTCTAGCCTGAGAGTTTGAAGTTGCCTTCATCACTTATAGCCATGTGACTTTAAGTTAGTCAACCTCAGTTTCCTCAAAAAAGGAGTCACAATTTGCAATTCACAGGACTAATGTCTATCCCAGTTCTTGCGGTGCTTATGATCACTTCTATAGAATTCCTTCCCATTAGAAGTCCTCATATCACCTTTCCCTAGAACTAATCTGGAGAGTTTCTGAGAGTCTGAAAGACTGCCTACTCTGCCCTCTGGGCCATACTGCTAAGGCAGTATAGACTCATCTGGGGAGGGTCATGAGGTTTGGAACATCAGAGTGACCATTCTGTCATCTTCTTTTCTTCTCTTTCTCCCTAGGACCCTTGGAGTCCCAGTGGGCCAGCCAGGCAAGGCGGGCACGGAGCCTCCCAGGCTGGGGCAGTGGGCATGGGCAGGGGCTGTGGTTGAAGACCAGCCCCGCCCACTGCAGACCCCAGGGAACTCCCACACTGCAGCTACCATGGCCACCAATAAGGAGCGACTTTTTGCAGCTGGTGCCCTTGGGCCTGGATCTGGCTACCCAGGAGCAGGCTTCCCTTTTGCCTTCCCAGGGGCACTCAGGGGGTCACCACCATTTGAGATGCTGAGCCCTAGCTTCCGAGGCCTGGGCCAGCCTGACCTCCCCAAGGAGATGGCTTCTTTGTGTGAGTCTCAGGGATCTTGGGGGATGACGGCGAATGGAAACAGGAGGGGATTGGGAGAGTGGTTGATATGGGAAATTGGTGTACCAGTTAAGAAGGTGGGCAGGGGGTGGCATTTGTTCTAACCAGTAGTGGTGAATAGTGGGCTGAGGAGGGGTTTTGAATGTGGACTAAAGAGGAGTGTTTGCAAATGAGAGTTCTGCTCAAACAGGATGAGCAAGTAGCAAACCTAAAATTGGGAGGTCTAAAACTGTCTCCTAAAGTCAGTCAAGTAGCAGAGGGGAACACCTTTGTTGGGTGGTCAAGGGTGGCCCTGGTACAGTCTGAGGCTGCAAGTAGAAACCAGTCAGCTGATTCTGTGATCAAGAGGTGATTGTTCTGAAGCTGCAAAAAGAGGAAGACATGTAGTGCCAGGTGCCCAAAGATGCGTGGGCTCCAGAGGTGCGCCTGCTTGGTTCTGGGGAGGATGGAAATAGCCACAAAGAAGGTAATCCTTAAGTAATCCAGAGAGGTGGAGGGGGTGTTGCAGAAGCGTGGTTGTGGACTCTTCCCCTCCCTCCAGGCTTGGCAGAGTACCACATGCCATGCAGATCCCTACTTGTCCCCCAGGCTTGCCCTCTGTGGGTTAAGCCTTTGAGTGTCGACAGCAGGCACCCTTCTCTACCCATTTGGTTGTTGTCACTCCTGGCCAGGCTGTTCCAGATGGGGATGCCCCTGAGCAGGATCCTGGGGAGGGGGCTCTGTAGGGTAAAGATCAGCGCATAAACTGGTGAAGGGAAGGCCTCAGCTGGAGAAAAAGGAAGCTGAGTAAAAACAGAGAAAGGGAGAGACACAGAGGCGAGAAGGGACAGAGGAAAAGATAAAGACATCCTTTATAGGACTAAAAACTCAGAAACAAAAATGGAAAAGAGGAGGCCCTGCCTTTAGGAAGGGGCACTCAGGGTTATGTGTAAGGAAGGGGTTACTGGATTGGTAGCTCCACTGGAAAGAGTATGCTCATCTGGAGAAGTGGTGTGTGTATGTACATATACATGTGTGTATGTCCAGACTATAAGGAGCTCTGTGTGCATAGCATCACTAGAATATATAGAATTCCAATGTGTGCAACAAAGAGTCAGTGTGAAAAATGAGGGGTATTTAGTAGGGGGGCTGACGATGTGTCTGGTGTTTAGTGAGCCCTTGTGAGGTCGGGAGCCCAACAGGCGTTACTGAGTACATGCAGGTGAATGAGGAAACACAAAGCTCCCTTTTTGGAAATTTCAGCTAGGCATCCCCCTACCTCATTTCTATGCCATGAGTCTGTCTTAAGAAGGAATCACTCACTCCTCGGGAAGGAACTCCTTGCAGAGAACCATACCACTTAGTTTTGGGATTTGATTTTGCCAGGTACTCAGAGAAGCAACTTCAGGAACTGCAGTAAAGAGGGAGAGAAGAGAGAGGGTAGTAGTAGGGAGAATGTGGAGAACCAGTGGCCAGTCCTCAGTGAAGTTCTCCTTGTGCCTGTGCATGCTGGACATATAGGAGATCAAGGTCAGGGTTCAAAGTGAGGTCAAGGTCAGAGACTGGGGCAGGCTGGGTTCCACCTTCAGAGGCTGCTCAGAAGGAGGGAGGCTGAAAGGAGAAATCCCAGGGAGGAGCCAGAACCAGGGCAGGTAGCTGGGGAGGGTGCGGCTAGCATGGAGGGACAGGCCTGGGCAGAGAGGTGGCAGGTAGGGTGGGGAGGAGGGGAAGACTTGGATCCAGACAGCTTGCTTGGGGGTGGGGCAGGCAGCACCTAGTGGTCGAGTAAGGGAGAGGAAGAACCCTGGAGTCTGGGAAACCTCCTGGAATGGGGCAGTAGTTGAAGGGTGAGAGTGCCATCTCCCATTTCCCTAACCTGCTGTCTCTTTTTGGATGGAACCTTCTAATGGTAAGGGACTAGAGACTAGAGGCTTAAATTTGATGCCAAAGTCATCCTCACCTTGAGTCTGTGTGTCTCTCATGACTCTTATTCTCACATCCCATACGAGGGTGAGCTGGGCCTTGGCACACACCTGGAACTCCAGCACTCAGGAGGCCGAGGCAGGAGGATTGCTAGGAGTTCAAGGTTAGCCTGAACTACATAGCACAGTGAGACCCTGTCTCAAAAAAGAAAGAAAAAGAAAAAAGAAAAAGAAAGAAAGAAAGAAAAAGAAAAAAGAAAAAGAAAGAAAGAAAGAAAAAGAAAAAGAGTTGATGAAGAACTCTGGAATTTCTTCCAGGATCTTGGATCTTGGCATTTAATGCAGAGTCTCTGGCACCTTAGGGACATCTTACTTGAGAAAGGAGGTCTTGCTCCACCTCAGTGGGTGAGGCAGGCATCTCAGAACCTCGTGGTGGTGGAGGGGAGAGGTGAGGGGAGCATGTGCTGCCAAGGCAAGCATGGGCCTGTGTGTATGGAAAATAGGTGTGTACGTGCATTCGCCTGTGTGCACACCATACATGCATGTACATGAAAGCCCTGTTGCCTATGTCCCTGTGTATCCCTTGTGTATCAGCTTTACTATGTTATACATTTGTTTTATCAAGGCTACAAGGGACAGACTGTGCTGGGAGGGAGGGGAAGCTTTGCCTTTCTTCCTCTCTTTTTAAAATTAAGTTTATTGGTACATTTTCGATATATATAGTGATCACATTCATCATAGGGAATTTGTACCTGTACATGATATATCTTGCTTCCTTTTCCCCATTTACTTCCTCTCCCTTCAACCCCGATTCCCTTCTTTATTTACAAAAGGTTTGTTTCCATTTATCCTTTTTCTTTTTTCCTTCTTTCGGTACTCTCTCCCCTGACCCTACGCTCTTCCTGTCTTGAAGAGATAGCTGTAGTTCTTAGTATCTGGCCCAATTTGTCCTCTGGCCTTGGGGACAACTGTCCTGGCCATGGGGCTAGAATTGGGAGCCCAGATTTCACCACAGTCAACTCCAGGGGAAACTGGGAGCAGGCTGGCAGAAGGAGAAAGAGTCTTATTTGGAAGAAACTGAGACAGAGAGACTCCTAGACCTAGAGATGAGGGTCCAGACACAGAGAGCCCAAACACTGGAAGGAAGAAACATGGAGAGCAGGCAGTGGGTAAGGGTGTGAACAGACAGCAGCAAGGCCTCCTCCAGGAAAAAACCCAGTGACTGCCTCCTACCCCTCCCTTCCCAGTCTGTCCTCCTCCGGCTCCAGCTCAGGCTCCAGCTCCGGGCGGGCGGACACAAACGGGGCTTTGATTGCAACAGGAAACCTCTCTGGTGTGTGTGGGGGTGCAGGCGGGCAAGCACCGCTGCTGGGGCCCAGGCTGTACCCCCCTCTTCTGGCCCCCTACCCAGTCCCAGCCCCCATCTTGCCCAGCACTCTCACATCCTCCCTTTGGGCCCCATCCCATATTCACACCTCCATATTCCCCCTTCCTCTGCACCCCCTCAAAGACCCTTCCCAGTGCCCTTCAGGTGGGACTCAGGATTTACCCCTCTGGGTGGGGCCTGTTTCACTTTGAAATGCTGCTTCAGCTTTGTGAGGCAGAGTTTTGGAAGAAAAGGAGAATTTAGCATGAGGAATTCTGAGCCAGTTATCCTCAGCTCTCATCCAGAAGGTGGCAGGAGGAGGGAGAGGAGGAGGAACGTATAAGGAATTAGCTATCCTGGCTACCCCTAATCCTGGCCAAAACTCATCCTTGCCAGGGTGGTAGGGTTCTGACTCTGAGGGTTGACTGCTCTGGTCTGTGGCAGTTGTCTTGGGGGATGGGGTACACTCCTCTTGCCTTTGAGAGTGTTCCTTCGTGGGGCTCTAACTAGGAGGGGTGTGCCCTGGTGATGGGGATCCTAGGGAAGGGGGTGAGTCAGGCAGCAGCACCCCCCACTCCCACCAGGCTGGCGGAGAACATCTGGTTCCCATGAAATGCTAGAAGGCTAATGGGTCTAATTGCTGCAATAAGGGCTAGGGGGACTTTGGGGAAAAGAGGGGGCACTAGATCCCCCCATCTTCTACCCAAGGCTGTACTAAATCTGTCTAGAATGGAGGGTTGTCATTGATGGGCAGGGTGGGCATGACACCTTAATGCCTGGTCCTAAGGCTCCCCTCCTTGCAGTGGTTGGGAAGCACACACAGATAGGGTGATGAAGAGTGGGGTGCATCTGGTAAAGAGAAAGGGGGGGCTATTGAAGACTCATGGCTTTCTGGAGCCCTCCCCCCATTCCTCCTGTGCCCTTCTCCCAGCCCCCTCCCTGTGGCCTGGCCACTTCTGGTTCTAATTACCAACCAGGCAGGCCTGACTTAATTGGGACCTTTCAGATTTTGGAGGAGGAAGGGGGGGGGAATGACAGCCTGAAGTTGACTAATCAGGGTTCTTTCCCCCTTTTTGGGGGGTGCTCCCCATTTTGTACTTTTCTTGGTTACTGGCCAGATTCTAATTCAGAAACCTATCTCCTTGTTTTTCTTTTTTTCTTTTTTGGAGGAGGAGCAGCAGTTTTCACAAATTGGGTATTGAGGTTGGAGCGTGAGGGGTACGTAGCTCACATTGGGTTGGAAGAGCCCTGCATTCCCTCTCTGTTCCCAGTCAATCCTGCCATCCCAGCCCCCCACCCTGCAATTCAGGCCCTACTTCCCAGCCCTGCCCCCCACCCCCAGTCCCTGGCAGCCACCCGGGCTCCTCCTCTGCTCCCGCCTTCCCTGCCTACTCTGGCACCCCTTCCAGCTCTTTATTCTTCAAACAGGCGCCCCACTCCTGCAGCACCCTAGTGCGCCCCCCCACCCGGTACAACAGATTCTTAGAAAAGCGCGCCCCACCCTGGCCCAACCACAGCCGCCAGGAGGGGGAAGGGGTCGGGCCGGGCGCCGCTGCTGCTCCCCCGGCGCTACCCGTGTGAGGGGCGCTGACAGAGCCGGCTGGGCCGGGCGGCCGGGTGGCCTGCGGGCGGGGCGCGGGGGAGGGGGTGGTTTCCGGGAGGCGCCGCCGCCGCTGGCGCTGTCCCGGGGCCAGGGTCCCGGACTCGGCTCGGCCTGGCAAGGGCAAACTTCTGACGTGGCCGGCCCCCCTCTTCATCCCCTTCGCGGGCGAGGGCGCCCAGTGTGCCGAAAGGCCAGAGGGGCACTCAGTGTGGCACTAGAGAGGGGAGGGGGGCAGTTACTGCCTACGATGGGGGTATAAACGACCCTGGGAACGGTTAACGACTAGCAGCAGCGAGGTTTATGGCCCAGAGGACTAGTTGGCACGGCAGAAACTCCAAGGGAAAGGAGTTGGCATTTAGGGTCAGATTCATCGGAGGTGCAATCGGCACTGCAAGGACCATTTGGGGGGTAGTTTTGTGTTTTAAAAGTGAGGGTAGGTTTGAGGGGATGGCAACGAGAGAGGCAGTCGAGGCGCTCGGGGAGTGTCAGTCGCGGGATGGGGATTCAGGGACTTGGAGGGAGGCGGCCCCGGACGCGGCGGAGGACGGACAGCTCGGGCTAGAAGGGGTAGCCTCTCGGCAGCGCTGAAGGGGGCGGGAGACTCCGCTGCGGCGCTGGCGACGGCCTGGGCGGGGTGGGGCGGGGCCGGGTCAGGAGGAGGTGAGCGCGCCCGGCCACCCGCCCCGAGGGGGGTTCCCGGAGAGTTCACGGCGGGAGCGCGCTCCGGCCCTTGGACCGGGGGTGGAGAGAACGGGAAGGAAGGAGGAGGCTGCGCGGCCCGAGCCACAGGAATGTACTGTTCGGCTCTGAAGCGCGCGCGCGCGCAGGGTGAGGGAGGAGCCAGGCCTGGGAATGAGGGGGGTGGAGTACCTCAGCGGAGCCGCAGCTCGCCGGCACCTCAGCGTTCCCCTCTTCCAGTCTTCTTTAACACCCCGGCTTGTGTTGACTTGTGTGAAAAAGGAAGGGTCTAGGGGAGGAGGAAAATGCGTGTTTTAGGTTCCTCAGCTCCTTCCTCCAAACCGGGACCTGGGCACGCGCCTAAGTGCAAGTGCGTGCAAAGCCTCCGTGCTGTGGAGAAAGAATGCTTGCAGGCATTTTCCCGAGCCAGGTGTGTTTGCACGGACATGTGTGCACAATGAATTTATGCGTGGAGACATGCATGTGCACTGTTGCATATTTACAAATGCTTGCTGCCAGGACAAATGCATGCACGAATGTATGTCTAAACAAGCTCGCGCGCCGTGCAGCGAGCATATGTATGTTTTTGTATGTGCTTTCCATTCCCAGCTCTGTTCTTGGTGACCGGCCCCCTTCGCGCTCCAAGCCCCACCCCCACCCCTTCAGGCTCCGCTTTTACAAAAGGTTTCCCCGTTGCTAGCTGCCGAAGCGCCCAGAGTTAGCCTGACCAAAGCCGGAGCTGCAGCCCCGGCTTAGCGCCCCGCCCAGTCCCTTTCCTTTGCTGGGGATCCCCTTCCCCGCCCACCCCTTACCCCCCATGCAGCCCAGCGCCCTATGCTAGCCCTCCCCCTCCCCCTCCAAGAGCGGGGCGCCGCCGGGGGAGGAGGGGGAATCGGCAGCGGGTCCTTGGTGTTCTAGCACCCAGCTTCCCTCCAAGTCGGGTCGCAATGTACGACTGCATGGAATCGTTTGCCCCGGGTCCGCGACGGCTGTATGGAGCGGTCGGGCCCGGAGCCGGCTTACTGCGCAGAGCCACCGGCAGCTCCTGTTTCGCAGGACTTGAGACTTTTGCCTGGCCGCAACCCGCCAGTCTGCAATGTAGGTACTGGAGCTTCGGGGTGAGGTGAAATGTAGGAGAGGGTGGATTTATAATTTCTGTGTGTATATAGCGAGCGAAGATTCTAGTCTTTTCTTTGTAAGGTACTGGCCCTTTAAATACGGGGGCTTCACCATCCCCTTGCGTGTGTGCGGTAGTATTTGAAGTGTGTGGTTTTTTTGGTGGGCGTTTAGTTAGGGGTTGTGGTTGGTGCCATGCCAGAGTTCTGAGGACTGGGTGAGATCGAAGTGTGAGGGTAGTTGATGCCCTCCGGTGCCTGGCCTCAGAGGGATATGGCACCCAAAACTGCTGGTGGCGTTTATGAAGTTCATGTGGGAAGTTGCGAGCGTAGAAAATATTATTTGCAGAGCATGTGGATTCCTGGCAAGCGCAGCACCCTATCTAGGTGGTGTGGGAGGGGGAGTAGAGGTCTTACGCGCTGTCTCCCTCCAACAGCGTGGGCGGCTCCGCGTGGGCCTGCGTGGGGATGTTTGTGGCGTCAGGCCGGGAGGGCGTGTGCCCCTGTGTGGCTGCGGGGGCGGCTCTGGAAAGTGCTGCGTCCCGGAGTGCATCCTGTGTGCTCTGCGTGTGGAGACGAGGACTCCTGCGCGTGAGAGGAGGTCGGGCTCTGCCCTCTCCCGCAGGGGAAAGAAATGTTTGGGAATCTGTAATAGACGGGTTGTATTCGAGGGATGACTTTTTTCTCTCTATGGCTTCAGCACAACTTTAGCAAGAGGCAAAAAAGTTTAAAGCAAAGTCTGTGTGGTGGTGGTGAGATGGCCGTGAGGTGACAGTGGCAGGGGAAGTACGACTACGGTGTCCCCAAATCTCCATCTTTTCCCTCTATGAAATGGGAGATGCCAGGCCTGGGGCCCTGGAACCCCTTTGCAAAGCAGTAATAAAAAGCTGGGGACTGAGAGGCTGTAAAAATGAAGTCCAGATGAGACGCGGCTTTGAAGCCTTGGGCTGCAGTGCTCCGGGGGTGGGGTGTGGGGAGGGGCCAGGAGGGGGAACCTAGAACACCCCCCAAATTTACCAGAGACTGAGATTGCACTCCCAGCCCGGGTGCGGACTGCTGGGGACCCGGGGCTCGGGGGCTCGCTGGGAGGGAGCGGGGGGGGGGGGCGGGCGTCGGGCGGTGTGGCAGGCGCTGGGGGAGTGCGCACGCCGGTCACCGAGCCCCCGCCGACGCGCCTCGCTCCTTGGCACTCGGCAGCGCTGTTTACAAGTTGGGATTTTTTTTTTTTTCCTGGTCTTTTGGTTTCAGGGCAGAGCTGCTCAGATTTAACAACTCAGAGACTGGAAGAGGGAGGTGGCAAACAGGAGACCATACTTTGGGATGGGGTGGGGCAAGAAGTAAAGTGTGCTATTTTAGGGGTGGAGAAAGCATGGAACTATTGCTTTGCACCAAATCCCTGTAGGATGGGGAATTGGTTTGGTTTAGGTTAGTTTGGTTTTTTAAAAATTTTATATATAAGAGGGAGCGGAGTGTTCCAAAATGGAGAGATTTTCCAGGAGGGATTTGGAGCACTGAGGGGGTGGGGTGTTGGTCAGGAACCATGTCCTTATTCAGGCCCATGCAAACCCCTTGGGCTTGACTGGCAGGATATTTTTCTGCGCAGTAATTTGGACCAATGATTTTGGCTTCTAGAACCCTGCTGGAAGCACAGAGTCAACTTCAGGCCTGTCTCCACGAGACAGAGAAAATGGTTTAGAGAGGAGGGCAAGATGGTGTGTTGGTGTGTGCTTGGGGGCTTTGGTGTCCTGGTGCTGTGCTGGCAGGCTGTGTTGTTCGATGCTGGAGCTATTCGCTTGTAAAGGGGTAGCTGAGTGCTGGGTGTTGTGTGTCTGCTTTGTGACTTGACCTCTAGCTCTAGTGTGGCTGGAGTAAAGGTGCCTGGATGCCTGCTCCTGAGTCCTGTGCCAGGACAGCATCAGGGTTAGCAGAGTGCTCCTGTGCCCTGTGCATGTTGGCCTGTGGGGGTGTGTGTGTCCTACGAGGTGTGTGCTAGATTGAGTCTTGAGTCCAGGCTGCTCAGGTCTGGGCCTCGCAGCTGGGAGCGTTTACAGCCGGTTATAAAGAGTTTGTTTGAAGCTCCGCTCAGCCTGGCCAGGAATTTCCTCAATTTCAGCAATTTGGGCTTTAAAAGGAGAAAACCCCAGAGCTCACCCTCCTCCTGCCCAGCAGGGTCCCTTGCCTAGCCCAGGAACAGCATCTCAATGATGGGGTCTTTGCCCAGGGCTGAAGAGGGTATCGGGTCTGGGGTCAGAATTGACAGCTTCCAACACCCCCACCCCTGCTAGCCTTACAGCATCTTCCACCCAGAGATTGACCTGAGTCACTGCCCAGCACTGCACTGCAGGGTCAGGTTGCTGGGGTGTGCCACAGAGGTGTTGAGAGTGGGTGACAGTACAACTTTAGATGGGAAATGCTGCCCCTAGGCCTGTCTCCTTGGGGCCCCCAGTCTTTAGTTGGCTGGCACTGCCCCATGCCAGTCTGACCGCACCCAGGTCTTGCACAAGAGAGGAAATGAAGCAGCGCTCTGCGGGCAGGGAGGGAGGGTATCAGTGCTGCAGAAAGCACCGCCCCACACATTGGTCTGTAGGCTGGACACAGATGCCCCAGAGGACAACAGGGTGGGCCTAAGAATCAAGGAGAGGTCCTGAAAGGCATTCCAGCCCTCCCCACATCTCTCAGGGCTAGCTCTGCTGGAGTCCCCCACCTCCTGTCTTCAATAGAATCCCAGCACCCTTTTCCTCAGCCCTCCTTTCAAGAGGAATCTTTCTCCAGCAGGATTCTTATGCTAATTGAGCAAGTGTGTGCTAGGGCCAGAGAGGGCTCCCCTCCCGTGGGGTGGGTGGAGCTGTCTTAGAACCCCCCATCTCTGGGCAGTCCTTGGCTCTTTTGACTTTACCTTAGAGTGGGCTTGTAACCAGGTGGGCTGCAGAGGATAAGGGAGGAGGTGTCCATGAGGTAAGTTTATGGAAGGTCTCTTAGGGAGGGCCTTAGAAATTTCTTTTTTCTTTTCTTTTTTTTTTTGAAATTTCTTGAAATAATTTGGGCTCAAGAGGCATGGTGGCGCACACCTATAATCCAGTGCTTGTCAACTGAGGCAGGAGGATGGTTGCAAATTCGAGACCAGCCTGGGCTACAAAATGAGCACATGGCCAGGCTTAACTGCATAAAACTCAAAAAGACAAAGACAAACAAACAACAACAACAGGAAAAACAATTTGGGCTCTCCACGTTTGAGCAGGTCCTACAATTTAAATAATGTATGCAGCGTAAATAATAATGTATGAAAGCTCTGAGTATCAGTCCCACACTTACATAGGATTGACTTAGCAACATTCTGTATGAGGCCCATTGTGTGTGTGTGTGTGTGTGTGTGTGTGTGTGTGTGTGTGTGAGTGTCCTGCCTACCTGAGACACCTGTGCACCATAGTGAGGCATTTCTGAGGCAGTTCAGGAGTGAAGTCAGCCTCTGAGAGGATCTGGAGCTTGGTCCCCTCCCCCACTGTCACTTGACTTTCCAGTTTACCACCTTCAAACAGCTTCTAGACCTGAGAGTCTGAGCAGCTACCTCAGTCTCCCTCTTCCTCAGCCTTTTTCTCTCACAGCCACAGAGATCTGGTCACAGGACCTGAGGGCCTTGGCTGCACCATCATTTGGCAGTGTGGCACTGAGCCTGGCATGGCCTTGTCAGACTTGGCCTCAGTTCCTGCTAGTGTGAAATTGGGCTGATGCCTGTCCTCTAATTTCTTTTTTGTTACCTGTGCCCCATGCTTTGCAGTCTTTGAAGCTTCTGAAGAGAAAGATTTGGGTGGGGGGGGGGCTGGTTTGAAGGAAAAGGTGGAGGATTATATTATATCTCCTGTACCACTTCAGAGAAGGGAGGTCCTGTTCTGCCTAGTGAGTATCCCAGTATTTCATTTAGCCAGATGCAAGCTGCAGGTGGTCTGCAATTGCCCTATCTACTCATGTTTTACCCTTCTGAAGAAGAAGGGTGCTGGTCGACTGACTGCCTGACAAACATCTGCCACCGGGAGGATTCATAGGTGCAGGACCCTAACCTTTCCACCACACTCACTTTATAGTTAGGGAAACTGAGGCCCCAAGGAATTAACTCGGAGAATGACCTGGTCTGGAGACATGAACGGTGTCGTGCAGAGCTAGGGCTGGTGTTACTGTGGGAAGTTGGCCAGGCCATGGGAGGTGCTAGGGTCCTGAGTAGTTGCAGTGACAGTGGCTGCCTGGGCCTTTCTGGCATTGTCCACTGAGGGCTGATGTACTATGAGGCTTTCACTAGTGGGCCACAGGGAGCAGTGGGGGTATGTGTTAAGGGGTCTATGAGGGGCTTTCCCCACCCTCACACCACTGCTTCCCCTGCAGCGGTGGAGACACAGAGCACGAGCTCAGAGGAGATGGTTCCCAGCTCACCCTCGCCCCCACCGCCTCCTCGGGTCTACAAGCCGTGCTTCGTGTGCAATGACAAGTCCTCTGGTTACCACTATGGGGTCAGCTCATGTGAAGGCTGCAAGGTGTGTAATGGTGAGGTGGGGTGGATTGGTTACCTGGGAAAGATCAGAGATCAACACAGGTGCTGTGTGTGAGTGGGTGTGCGTGGAGCTGGAGGGGGTCCCTGGCACACAGGCAGTGAATAGATGGGGTCAGGTCTGAGGTCACCCGTGTGGCCTATGAGAGGTTGCTCTTCCCAGTATCCTGCTGCATGACATTCCACCTACCCCCCAACTCCAGGGCTTCTTCCGACGTAGCATCCAGAAGAATATGGTGTACACATGTCATCGGGACAAAAACTGTATCATCAACAAGGTGACCAGGAATCGCTGCCAGTACTGCCGGTTACAAAAGTGCTTTGAAGTAGGCATGTCCAAGGAAGGTAGGCTTCTATAGCTGGTCTGAGCAGAAGCACTCATGGTCCTACTCTGTGGTTTCCTGTCTTCCCTATAGCCACCCCATTTCCTTGACTTCTGACACCTAGCCTGCCTGGGGTGCTGTGTCCTCCCAAACCAGTCCAATTTGATTAGCTCCTTTCAACCAGGAGGCTCCACCCTTTCCCATTGTCCCACTCCTTAACTCTTCTTCTGAAGGAGTGAATGGAAGTTAGGGTTTCACATTCCCATGTTTCAAGGGGCAGAAGGGTGGGCTTGCCAGTTCCCTTCCCTCCCCTGTTCCCAGGGCCAGCCTGAGATGGATCTAGGGTGGCCTCTCCTTTCCATCCCCCCTCATTGTGCTGCCAAGGCTATAAGTGGATATCCTGTCCCTGCATATCCTGCCCCCCTCTCCCCAGCTCCTGCAGGGTGACAGGAAGGGCAGGATGGAGCCGAATGGCCTGGGGAGGGAGCAGGGGCTGCAAGACCTGGGTGGGGTTGAAGAGAGCCAGCCTGGGAATAGGAGTTAATGAAGGAGATGGAGAAACTGAGGCACTGTGCCCTGAGGGCTGGAGTACACTGGTGTCAGGAAATAGATAGTCATGACAAACACCAAGCACATTAAGCTAGGGTGAGAGAGGACATCGAAAGGGAGGTTCTGAGGGTCTTGACCTTCTCCTTGTGCCTTTATCCCCAAGCTGTGCGGAATGACAGGAACAAGAAGAAGAAAGAAGTGAAGGAGGAAGGGTCACCTGACAGCTATGAGCTGAGCCCCCAGTTAGAAGAGCTCATCACCAAGGTCAGCAAAGCCCATCAAGAGACCTTCCCCTCGCTCTGCCAGCTGGGCAAGTACACCACGGTGAGGAATAAGCAGAGCCCCATTGAGGACTGCCTTTCGGGACTGGGTAGGGGCTGTGTTGGAGGTTGTGCTCTGATGCTGGGAACAAGGAAGGCATCAGCATGGAGAGGAGAGCCTGGGGTATTGGCAAAGAGGGGAGCCCCAGGGTGGCCTTCCTTTGTAGTCTAACCTCTGTGTCTTCTTCCCTGCAGAACTCTAGTGCAGACCACCGGGTGCAGCTAGACCTGGGGCTGTGGGACAAATTCAGTGAGCTGGCCACTAAGTGCATCATCAAGATTGTGGAGTTTGCTAAGCGGTTACCTGGCTTTACAGGGCTCAGCATTGCTGACCAGATCACTCTGCTTAAGGCTGCCTGCCTAGATATCCTGGTAAGTTAGGCCCAATGGGCTGTGCCACAGCCTGGTCTGCATAGGTGACTCCTTCCTCAAAATCCTTCAACCATCTGAGACTCCACATGATTTATCCAAGGTTTTTTACCATTTTCCCCCAGATCCTGATCTGAGACTGTGTATGTGTGTTTCAGGCTTTGAACCAAGGGGTTTTGCAATGGGATACATCCTCAAATCCTTTATTATTATTATTATTTTTTATTTTTGAGACAGGGTCTCAATAAGTGGCTAAATTGCCCAGGCTGGGCTTGAAATTTTGGTACTCTTGCCTCAGCTCCATAGAGTGCTGGGTTTACAAGTATGCAGCATCACAGCTGGCTTAATCCTAGACTTCCAAAACCCTTGCTGTATCCTGATTTCTGCCTCCACCCCCAAACCTTCGGTCTCACTGTCTTCCACTCCATGTCTACTTCACGTTGCATTTATTGCGCTCTATCTTCATCACTAGTCTTTCATTTTCTTTTTCTCCCTCTCCTTATGAGCTCCTCACCAGAGGCAGCACTAACCTTCCTTCTTCTCCATCTCCAGATGCTGCGAATCTGCACGAGGTACACCCCAGAGCAAGATACCATGACCTTCTCTGATGGACTGACCCTGAACCGGACCCAGATGCACAATGCTGGCTTCGGGCCCCTCACAGACCTTGTCTTTGCCTTTGCTGGGCAACTCTTGCCACTGGAGATGGATGACACAGAGACAGGGCTGCTCAGTGCCATCTGCCTCATCTGTGGAGGTGCGAGGGCGCCCCCTGGTGTCTGCTTGGGCTCCTTTCCCACCACATTCCACATGTGATCTCTGACCAAGTAGGGGACTTTGGTCTCTTCTCCTGGGATTGTTTCACCTGGCCCCAGCCACAGACTTCTCAAATCTGTACAGGCAGCCGGGCATGGTGGTCCACACCTGTAATCCTAGCACTCAGGAGACTAAGGCAGGAGGATCACTGTGAGTTTGAGGGTAGCCTGGGCTACATAGTGAGTTCAAGGCCAGTCTGAACTACGTAATGAGACCCTGTCTAAACAAAACAATCACACCATATGGGCTTCCCAGAAACCTAGAACATAGGACTGAAAAAGGGGAGCAGAGCTGGGGTGGTTGAGCCACTAGGTACTGGTGCTGAGATAAGAGTAGTTTACCAGAGAAACGCCCTTGCTGAATGGGAGAAGGTAGAACTTACGGTCCTGGATGAATCCTAGTGGGGCTTAGGGACAATAAAGAAGGGACTGACGGGAGAAGAAAAGTGGAGTCTGAGCCGAGCATGGTGGTTCACGCCTGTAATCCCAGCGCTTGAGAGGCTGAGGTGGGAGAATTGTTGCAAATTTGAGACCAGCCTGGGCTACAAAATGAACCTGAACTGCATGGTGAGACCCAGTCTCAAAAAAGACAAAAAAAAAAAAAGAAAAGTGGAGTCCCGAGGCTTATAGCACAGGGACCATTGAGGATCAGCCACCTGTCACCGTCTTGCTCCTCTCATACCAATATGTTTCTGCCCATAGACCGCATGGACCTTGAAGAACCTGAAAAAGTAGACAAGCTTCAGGAGCCACTGCTGGAAGCCCTGAGGCTCTATGCCCGGCGCCGGCGGCCTAGCCAGCCCTACATGTTCCCGAGGATGCTCATGAAGATCACTGACCTCCGTGGCATCAGCACCAAGGGTTAGTCACGAGTGAGCCTTCCTTCTCTGTTTTCTCAGGGCTGCAGGTCTTCTGGGCCACACATGTGGACAAGCAGAGACAGGAACAGTGTGACTGAGAACCAGGTGACCTACAATGGAGATCTAGTTTGGCTCATCCTAGTGGGGAGAAATTGGGCAATTTCTTTTAGGGATTGAACTCAGGACTTCGTGTGTGCTCAGCAACTCCTTTACTTTTTTAGTGTGTCTTGTTTTCCTGTTTGTAAACTAGGTTCTAGTTATTCCTATCACATACACTGATAGGACTAAATGAGTCCATACACAGTATGCTTAGGAATGTGAATTAGTTTGGTGGTGTATATTTGTAATCCCACCATTCTGAGAGACTAGGGGATCAAAAGTTTCAAGCCCGGCCTGGGGAATTTAGCAAGACCCTGGCATGGTGGCACATACCTGTAATCCCAGCACTTGGGAGGCTGAGGCAAGGGAATCGTTGCAAGTTTGAGACCAGCCCAAGGCCAGCCTGAACTGCATAGTGAGACCCTATCTCAAAAAGATACACCCCCCAAAAAAAGGGGAGGAGGGGAGAGAGAGAAAGAGAGGGAGAGAAGAACTGAAGATTTATTTTTTAAATGTCTATGAAGTCTTCGTTTAATTTTTTTTTTTTTTTTTTTTTTGGTCTTCTACAGTTGTCATAGTTTTAGATTTTATGTTTTGTTTTGATAGGAATTGAACTCAGGACCTTGTGCTTGTCAGCAGGCATTGAGCAGCTGAGCTATATTCTTTATCCTTTTTTTGGTCTTTTTGAGACAGGGTCTCACTGTGAAGTTAGTTCAGGCTGGCCTTGAGCTCACTTTGTAGCCTCCAGTTGGCTCAAATTTGCAACAATACTCCTGGTTCAGCCTCCCAAGTACTGGGATTACAGGAGTGTGCCATCACGCCTAGCTGAGGACCTATTTTAATGTGAAGATCCTGGGTTTAATCCTTACTACTACAAAATAAGAAAGGGGAGAAGAAATGTGAATTAAAGCCATGTGTTGTGTGTACCTATAATCCCAGCTACTTGAGATGCTGAGGTAGGAGGATTGATAATACAAGGTCAACCTGGACAATTTAGCAAGACCTTATCTCAAAAAAAAAAAGGGAAAAAAGAGCAGAGATGGTAGTGCATTCCTACTATAATCCTAGTACTCTAAAAGTTTGAGGCAGGAGAACTGAAAGTTCAAGCCCAACCTTGGCAATTCATTGACTTAGTGAGACCCTGTCTCAAAAAATAAAAGGGGCTGGAGTTGTAGCTCAGTGGCAGAGTATTTGCCTTGCATATGTAAGGCCCTGAGTTAAATCCCTAGGACTACAGGGTGGTGGGGAGGGTGGTGTTAAAAAATTATTAAAAATTCAGCCAAGTGTAGTGATGCATACCTGTAATCCCAGCAGTCAAGAGGCTGAGGTAGCAGGATCATTTATGCAACTTGGAGACCAGCCTGGCCTACGTAGTGAGACCCCATCTCAAACAAACAAACAAATAAAAGGTCTGGGAATGTAATTCAGTGTGAAAGCTGGGTTAAAAAAAGAGGCGGGGAGGGGGGTGCTGGTTCAAGGGCCATGTGCTTCTGCCCTTCTGAGATTCTTTGCCTGTTTGTTGTAGGTGCAGAAAGGGCCATTACCCTGAAGATGGAGATTCCAGGCCCGATGCCCCCACTGATCCGAGAAATGCTGGAGAACCCCGAAATGTTTGAGGACGACTCCTCACAGCCTGGTCCCCACCCCAAGGCCTCCAGTGAGGATGAGGCCCCTAGGGGCCAGAGCAAAGGGAGCCGGAGTCCCCAGCCTGACTAGGGCCCCTGAACTCCTCCACTGTGGGGTTGGGCTCCAGGCAGCAGACTGACCATCTCCCAGACACCACCAGTGACTGGGAGAGGACCTGCTCTGCCCTCTCCCCACCCTTCAATGAGCTCCTTGTTTTGCCAAAGTTTCCAGGGGTGCCTCTGAGTTCATCCCTTTCTGTTCTGATGGCACCCCTCCAGTCCTGGGAGCCTGCCCTGCTCCCAGCAGGAGAGAGGGTAGAGGGGTGAGCCTGGGTCTGGATTGTAAAATTGCAGCACTGCCCCTCAGATCCCAGGGACCCTGGCTCCCCAGGGTAGGAGGAAGGCCCTGTTATCCCACAGCCCCTTCCTCTGCTCTGTGCTTGGGCCTCTTCGAGCAAACAGGAATTATACAGAGAGCACAAGGGGGCCAGGTGGGCTGAGCCCATCCTCTTGCCCTGCCCTTGGTGTCTAACGCTGTGTGATGCACGCTGCCCTTGTGCCCAGTCTTCATGCCAGGTTGGAAGGCTGGGGGCAGGCTGGGCCCTGCATTTCTGGAGTGACACTTGAGGATGAAAGGGCCAGATGCAGGTCCATTCTGCACCTCTTTTCTGGGGTGCAGTGTTTACCCATGGCCTCCGTTACAAACCCCTCTCCCAGCCTTGTCAAGTGCCTTGGGCTCTTCCTGACCCCCATCTCAGCCATTGGGCAGGGACCCTCTACACTACAGAAGGGCCAGGGATCCCTCTCCTCCTAGTGCCTTCCATCTTACACCCCCAAAGCAGCTTGGCCCAGGAGGGGAGTTGCTGTTTAGCTGATCCCACCCGGACCCAAGAAAGCCTCTTATTTATTTATTAGCTTTTGTTTACACCCTGGAAAAACCCCTTCCTCTAGGGGTCTTGGGAGGGGGACTCCAGGACCTCTGACTTCTTCCTTCTTCCTCTAATCCCCAGTTTGTATTTAGCTGCCAAATAAGATTCCCGCTGGCTCCCCTTTTTCTCTGGGGGGTCAGGGTGCTGTTCCCCACCCCTCTGTTTACATCTCCCCTTCATCCCTCTGTATCGCGTCTGCATATTGCTGAGTTTTCTATTTTTGCAAAATAAAGTGATAGAAACTCATTGGATGTGGCTCCCTCTAGGTGCAGTAGGCTAAGTGGTAGTAAGGGAAGTGGCCAGTTGAGCTGGGGAGGGACCTAGATGGGAGAGAGTGAGTTCCTAATCTGCTAGACTTTGTAGTTTTAGAGGAGTAAGGAAATAGGATGAGGAGGGAAGGAAGGGAGCCCCAGGGCCAGACATGAGTGCCTGGCCTTCCCCTGGCCCCCAAGGGTGTTGCTAGGCTCTGATGGGCCTTGTGCTATGTGTATGTGCATATCTGCCCTCTCTGGAGAGTGTCCACTCAAGTTTCATTTGATGTGCGTGGTTGTCACTGGCCTCAGAAGAGACAAACCACAGCCTGAGTTTAAGCTACAGTTTAAGTTTCTGTGTGAGTTCACCCTCAGTGAGCTTTCCTATTCTTTGTGACCACCTAGGACCCTACTACTTGCTGCCTCTACCCAACATCTCCACTCACTCCCAAGGACACACAGTGACTTTCTAGCATCTCTCCCTTTTCATCTCTGCAGCACCCTTTTTAAAGGCCCTGCGTATTGTATTGCTTTTCACTTGCCCTCTGGGATTTCCTCTGCTGCTGCTCCCACTTTGGGATGGTGCCTTGTATTGTAATTCCAAATACTGTGTACAGTCATGCAAGTATGATAATCCTTTTTCTAGTTTTCCTCACAATCCAAAAGGTTATATTTGTAATCCCAGTGAGATGTTATTGGATTTTTTTTTTTGTCTTTTTCCTTTTTATTGGTACCGGGGATCGATCTCACGACTGCCTGCTTGCAAGGCAGGCGCTTATTGCCGCTGAGCTAAATCCCCAGCCCCAATGAGATGTTATTGGAATCCCAGTAAATTAATTTTAATCTACCACCACCAACGCATCCCATGGCAAGAGTATAGATACCAACGCATATTCCAAGTGAAGGGCAGCCAAAGGGTCCTAAATCCAATCCCTGTGAGGGTATAGGGACAAAGGCCCTGATCCTAGGCCTCTCCCAGAATTTATTATCTTGTGAAGAAATGGGTGGCTCAGCAGGGGTGGCTCAGGGATGAGTGACAGTGAGGATGGTGGGAGTAACTTGAGCTGGCTATCCAGGTAGGGAGAAAAGCATCCTGCAAAATGGAGAGATAGGGCTGGGGATTTAGCTCAGCGCATAAGCGCCTGCCTTGCAAGTGTGAATTTGATCCCCCTTATGATAAAAAAAAATGCAGAGATAAGGATATGCAGAAGGATCAATTTGCATAATTCAATTAAGGTAGCAACTGGATTGTTTTAGGAGGCTGTTGCTTCAGTTTCTGATATGTAAATTTTTGTGCCCTGGGGAGTCATAGCCTCTTTACCTTGAAGCTCCTACCCAGTTGACATTCTGGGAGCTGTTGGCTCTAACATCCCGATGTGCTCATATCCTTTACAGAGGGCACTAAGGGAGGAAACAGGACTGTCTGTTGGCTATAGAGATTGCATGTTAGCACCTCTGTGAGCCTTATTTGCAATGCTTAGAGCCAATTGAAGAGAGAAGGAAATACCATAGCCAGCTCTGTACATATTAGTATAAGGAAATAAGTCTCCAAATAATCAAAGTTGCAGCAATTGTTCTCATTTAAGGGGAAATACTGGAGTTGTCTCCCACACGTTGCCTACTTTGTCCCTGGCTTGCTTGCCTTTTTTTTTTTTTTTTTTTTTTCTTTTATTGAGAAAAGGTCCCTGTAGCTCAGGCTGGCCTCGAACTCACTGTGTAGTTCAGGCTGACCTCAAACTCCCGGCAGTCTTCCTGCCTCAGCCTTCTGAGTGCTGGGCTCCCAGGTGTACTTCTGTCATCCTTGGTTTTCTTCACTGGTGAGCTGTGTATATGGGACAGAGCTGAGAATGTAGGATAGGAGAGGAGTGAAGGAAAGCAGAAGAGGAAAGTGAAAGAAGATTAAGAGGAAACCAAGGCCTGTGGGGGAAGAGGGTCATTGCTATGGTAACAACCTCCAGTTGTGGGGGAAGGGTAAAGGTCTTAGGTGTCCAAAAAGCCTAGGGACACCCAGAGAAGGGCCCTCCCGGCAATTCCACTTCCAGAATCCTTGCTGCATACTAAACATCTTCTGTGAGACTGGCACTTTGCTAAGTGCTGTGGCTACAGCTGCCAGCCTCACGGCCCCTTCTTGCCCCTGGTAGTGCTCCTGGTAGGGGAGAGAGCTCTGTGAACACAGACTTCTGTCCAGGAACCTCTTAAGCTCCCTGTGGCCGCGCATGCTTGTGACAAATCCCATACATATCTTCTGCAATCAGTTCCTCCTGCTCCTGCCTCAGCTTCAGTAACTTCTTGCATGCTGCTCCTTTCTCCTCCACCTTCCTCAGGTGCTACTACCCTTGTTCCTTGGCCCCATATCATATTCCCCAAGCCTGGCCCTGTGCCCCTCTTCAACTTTCCAGGTGTCTGGACCACAGGTTTCCCAAGCCTTGCCCTTTTTCAACCCTCTTGCTTCTCATTCCTGCTAATTCTCTTACAGAGACACCAGTATATGCCAAGTACCCTTGTGTAATGGATATGCATTATCTCATTTAATTCTCACCACAGCAGCCACAAGAGAGGTTAAGAAACTTGGCTAAGGGCTTTACTAACTTGTAAAAGAGAACTGGGATAGAGCTTCGGCATTTTGGCTCCAGAGCCTGTGCAATAAAGCACATGGATACAATCAGTGGCCCTTGCATTTTAAAAATGCATAGTAATCTCTAACTTCCCCTCTTTGCAGTACTTGTTGCCTCCATATTGCTTCCTATTTTGGTCTTTCCTACCATATGAGGAAGTGGGAGATCATCAGTGTTGGAGAGAGGCAGACTTGCTTGCAAATCCAAGACCAGCCACTTGCTAGATGCTTGACCCTGGGCAAAGTTCTTTACTCCTTGCATCCAAATCCTCAATCTCTGCATTTATAAATTGGCGTTGGGGAGAGGGACTGACCTCTGTCTACTGAGGTTGTTAGGTCCACTAACTGCAACATGACACTGCTCACACAGCAAAGCCTCACTAGCTGAAGAGCCTGCTTCTAGATCCCTGTATCATCCACTCTTGGTGATCTAGCCTCTCCCCTATCTGCTCCACTTTCTCTTAGATCAGTCACCCAGGGTTCCCCCACCCCAGGGTGTGTCACTTCCTCCTCTGCAGCCTTCCGATCAGTGCACAAAGGCTGTGGCTGCCACCAGAGGAAGGGCTGCTCTGCACACACCTGTGAGTACTAGGGCCCTGGGCCCTCCTGTCTCCTCTCCTTTCAATCCCAGCCACCTGGTCCCAACCCCACGGAGAGAAGGCTGTAATCTGGATATCAGGATGCTGCCTGTCTTGAGAAGGGCTCTGACCTTTCTGCATTTCTAAGATTCCTGCTCCCTCCTCTTAATTTCACAGATCGCTTCTTTGGTTGGTTTCCCAAGAGAGAGGCTGCAGGGAAGGGAGAAGATGAGAATGTGTGGTGCTATCCTTGGTGCCTGCTATGTGCCAGGGTTATGCAAAAGTAGGTTCCTCCCACATTCCCCCAGCTGCCATCCCTGCTGCCAAAGCTTTGTTCTTAGCTCAAGTTGTTAGTCAGTGCCTTGGCTGCAGACCTCACACTCCCAGGGGTCAGTTCTGTTCCCACTTTGTGACTCTGAGTGGGTTCTATTTGGTGTGGGAGATGTGGATGGCTTGGGGAAAGCCCTGTTTCCCTGTATCTGAGGCATATTACAGTGGCTCATCCAGGCTGGCCTGGTTCCCCAGTAGTGAGTAACGGTTTTACTTCAAGGGTTATGTTTCTTCCAAGAAGGACAAGTGCTTTTATCCTTTAATCAAAGAACAATCCAAGTGAGACAAAGAGTTCCTGAGTGAACTGGTTTATTGCAATGTATAGAAAAGTGGGGTAAGCGAAAATTGCTAAAGGTGGTATATGAAAATATAGGCAAAAGTAGATTTTAAAAAAAGTAGATAGAAAATTACTGTGGTGCAGTGTTAGTAACAAACCAAACACTTTGCATCTATGGAGGAAATTGTCCAAATGGTCTAGGCGGCACTTTTACCATCTTGAGTGCCATCCAGCCAACAACAATGAAGTTAAAGCACCCTGCTCTCAGGCAAGGTCTCCAGTGGCCACCACCTCTTCCGAGTGTGTATCTGTAAAGAGTAGGGTTACCGCAAGATATGCTTCAAGTAGCTGTCTGAAGACACTGGTATTAATAGTTCCAGAGGATGTGTTAGCTCAGCTTCCAGATGTCAATTTTTGGAGGGGAAGGTCCTGAACACCACTTGCTTATTTACGTACTGGCACACAGTTGTCAATGTAGCTATAGGTCAGCCAGAGGACTGTCAGCCAACCACTAGGTCTGTTACAGCTTGTGTTACAAGAGAAAGCTCAAAACGGACTTAGTGTTATCAAAGGATATTTGTATTAATCATTAAAGTGTCAATTTATGAACTGGGGATGTAACTTAGTGGTAGAACAATGGCTTAGTATGCATGAGGCCCTTGGGTTCAATGCCTGGCACCAGAAAACAATTTTACTTTGATTCAGGAGTCATAGCAAAGCAAAACATGTGTCATAACAGGGGGCAATGAGGTATATACTGGAAGCAGAATTGAGTCCCGGGAGAGAAGGAAACACTGATGACCCCCAAGAAAGAGAAATGGATTAGGTGGAGCCCACTGAGGTGAGTGAGTAGATGACACCCTAGGATGGTGATGGTGCTGGGGTTCGAGAGGAGCAAAGCAGCAGATGTATACAAAGGCCCGACTTGTTTCAATCCCTGATCTATTTCCTGTTCACTGTGCGACCTTGGTTTGCACTTGGGGACTTAGGTTTCTTTCTGAAAAAGGAGGAGGTTGAAGCAGAAGATTCTGCCATTCTACAGTTAGGATCAGACAGGAAAAGGAAGTAAAATAAAGAACTGTGAAGAAGCAGAGAAGAGAAAAGCCACAGAGAGATGTAATGGATTATATTTTTATTTTTTGAGACAGGGTCTCCCTATGTAGTTCAGGCTCGCTTTGAACTAATTAGCTTAGGCTGGCCTCGCCTCAAACTCGTGGAGATTCTCTTTCTGAGCTGCCCGAGTGCTAGAAGTACAGGCATGTACCACCACACCCAGCTAGAAGTTTTGAATGAATAGGAGAAAGAAGAAAGAGGGAAGAAGAATCGAGAGGAGAGGGCTAAGGAAGAGCAGTCTACAAGTCCAGGGCCCCTTTCAGGGACATGGGCAGGCTTGAGATCTCTGGGTTTGCCCTCTCCCAGCAACCCCTGAGGCAGTGGGGCCCCACCTGTGAGATGAGTCAAAGCTGGGCTTTGTGCGGCAGCATCTCCAGCCTCCCTGACCACAACAGGCGAGGCTAACAGGGTTGAGGTTACACTGGGCTGGCTTCTCTCCGTGGGCGGAGCTCCGTTTTGTATCTAACCTTCTTGAGGTCGGGGGCAGCAGGGAACAGGATGGGGGTGTTCAACGACTCAACTTGACACCCCACCCTCTCCCCACACTCCAGGCATAGAGTCAGTGTCTCTTCTCAGGATAGAGGAGATGCCTGCCTATTGACCCCACAACTCTTTCTCCTCTGGGGATTTATCTCACAGAGTCACTTCCACGCATGTAAACTGATAAGCACGCTATTTTTCCTTGCAGCATTATTTGTAATAGGGAACAATTATAAACAATTTAGTTGATTACTTAGTTAAGATTTTTTGGGTGCTGGGGATGGGACCCAGGGCTTTGCACTCTACTAGCTACATTCCCAGCCCCAAAACAATTTAAATGCTCTTCATTAACTACAACACGATGTGCCCATGCAATGGAAATCTGTACGGGTGTGAAGGTAAAAAAGTGGACAGATCTTTAAGAAAAGTAGTAAAAGTATAATACACAAAAGGCAAAATTGTGTATGTTCTATCATTTGTAGAATTCTATCACTTGATCATTTGAAAAGTATAGATATTAATATCTGTAAAAAAATTTCTAGAAAGCAAAGAGAATAAGCTAGAGTAGGTGTAAAAATGGGTTGAATGGGTCATGAAACTTAACTTTTTAATTTTTAATGGTAAAATATACACTGAAATTTATCATTTTATTTTATTTTTTTGTCTTTTTATCGGTACCAGGGATCGAACTCAGAACTGCCTGCTTCCAAGGCAGGAAGCTTATGCCGCTGAGCTATACCTCCAGCCCTGAAATTTATCATTTTAATTATTGTAAATTCATAACCCTTTAAACCATTCCTAAAAGAAACTGCTCTTAGCTGACAATGGTGGCACACATCTGTAACCCCAGCATTCTGGGAGGCTGAGGCAAAAGAATGACAAATTCAAACTCAGCTTGGACAATTTAGCAATTCAATGAGGCCCAGTCTCAAAATATAAAACTAAAAATGGGAACTCGGTGTGGTGGTGCATACCTGTAATCCCAGCACTCACTGAGTTTGAGGCCAGCTCGTCCTATACATAGTAAGTTCAAGGTCAGCCTGAACTACACCAGTAATACCTGTCTCAAAAAAAAAAAAAAAAAAAAAAAAAAAAAAAAAAAAAAAGAATGAGTTGAGTAGCCAGGCACAGTGGCTCATGTCTGTAATCCCAGCATTTGGGAGGCTGAGGCAGGAGGGCTGTTGTGAGTTCGAGACCAGCCAAACTGCACAATGTACTCAAGACTAACCTGAACTTCACAGTAAGACCCTGTCTCAAAAAGAAAAAAAAAGAGAAGGAATGAGTTGAGGATGTAGCTCAGTGTGAAGGTTCTGAGTTCAGTGCTCAGTATTGCCAAAGGAAAAAATAGAAGATATTAATCAGTCACGCTGCATTCCCCACTCCTCCATGTGGTTCCTTGGTAATCACTAATCTATAGAGTTTCTTAGGTTGGATGTTTTCATACAAATGGGATAATAGAAAATGGAGTCCTTGGGGCTGGGGGTTTAGCTCAGCGGCATAAGCGCCTGCCTTACAAGCTGGCAGTCGTGAGTTCGATCCCTGGCACCGATAAAAAGACAAAAAAAAAAAAAAAAAAATGGAGTCCTTGGCTGGGAGTTTAGCTCAGTGCATAAGTGCCTGCCTTGTAAGCCTGTGGTCGTGAGTTCAGTCCCCAGTACCAAAAAAACAAAGAAAAAAGGAAAATGGAGTCCTTTATGACTGGCTTCATTGCACTTAACATACTATTTTCAATATTCATCTATTTTTTAAAATATTCATCAATTTTGCCAGGGACTTAGCTCAGTGGTGTGAGCACCTGTCTGGCAAGCATAAGATCATTAGTTCCATCCCTGGTACAAAAAAAAAAATCATCAAATTTTTTTCTTTTTTCTTGGTACCGGGGATAGAAATCATGACTGCCTGCTTGCAAGGCAGGTACTTATGCCGCTGAGCTAAATCCCCAGCCCCCCAAAATCATTAATTTTGTAGCACACATCAACAACTTTTTGTTTCTTGTGGTCTAATAATATTATAATAGATATACAATACCTCTTGTTTACCCATACACCAACTAATGGATAACTGGGTTGTTTTCCATCAGATAGCTGTTTTGAATAGTGTGGCCATGAACATTCAAGTACACATTTTTGTCTGAACACTTGTTTTTTCTTTTTTTGAAAGAGGGTCTCACTATGCAGTTCAGACTGGCCTTGAACTAACTGTGTAGTTTAGGTTGGCCTTGACTCACAGTGATCCTCCCACCTCTGCACCCCCAAATGCTAGGATTTACAGGTGTGGGCTGCCATGCCTGACTAAACACTTTATTTTGTTTTTTTTTTGTACCAAGAATCGAACTCAGGGCTCATGCTTGCTACATAGGTGCTGCTTGAACACCTGTTTTCAATTATTTTTCCTTTTCATCTTTTGCTTCACAAATGACATATATTCAAAGAAGGAAAAATTTGACAAGATGTCCATTCCATGGCTCCTTTTCCTCCTCCTTCCTGTTGCTCCTCAGCTCCCCAAAATTGAATTGTGATTGAGGGTATTTCAGTTCTTTTCTGCTTTTTTTTCCTGGAGATTGAATCCAGGAGCTGATGATGCATGCTGGAAGTGCTATACCTGGAACTCACAAGTGAACCTCCTGCCTCCTGGTGCTGGGATTACAGATGTGCGTCATCAGGCTTGGCCTTTTCTAAGAGTTCACAGTTTTAGCAGTTATACTTAAATTTTGACAAAAATGATTTTTAGTTAAGTTTTGTATGCTATAGAGTTCTAACTTCACTCTTTCATATATGCCTATCCAGTTATCCCAGCACCTTTTAATGAAGACTATTATAGTCTCATTGAGGTTTTTGTCCACTTTGTTGAAAATTGGTCATAGGTGAATAAGCTTCCTTTTAGGAATCAGACTCTATTCCATTGAGTTCTGTGGTCTGTCCTTATGCCAGTACAACATTGTTTTGATCAATATGGCTTTATAATAAGCTTTGAAATTGGGAAATGTGAGTACTCAATTTATTTTTTTCAAGATTTTTTTTAGGGGCTGGGGATTTAGCTCAGTGGCATAAGCACCTGCCTTGCAAGCAGGCAGCCATGAGTTCGATCCCCGGTACCAATAAAGACAAAAAAAAAGATTTTTTAAAAAAAGGGCCGAGAGTATAGCTCTGTGGCGTAAGAGTCTGCTTGGCAAATATGAGGTTGTGAATTTTATCTCCAGCACCAAAAATAAATAAAATAAAATAATTAAGTTTATTGGTACATTTTATATATACATAATGATCACATTCCTTATAAGAAATTCAGACCAGTACATGATGTACTTTGATTATATTTTTCCTATTTCCCTCCCCTCCCTTCAACCCCTTTCCCCTCCTTATGACTACTTGGGATTCTGTGTACTTCCATTTGAATTTTAGGGTCAGCTTTTCTGTTTCTCTCTTTTTTCTTTTTTTTGTTGTACCAGGGATCAAACTCATGACCTGTGCTTGCCAGGCAGGAGCTTATTCCATTGAGCTAAATCCCTGGCAGTTTTTCTATTTCTGAAAAAAAACAAAGACCCAGTCGGATTTAACATTTTGATTTTTGAAGCATGGTAATGAACTATCTAGTCAAGTGGGATTTTTTTGTTGTTGTTTGTTTGCTTTTTTGGTACCAGAGAATCAAACTCAGGACCTCGTGCTAGCAAGGCAGACACTTAATGCTGCTGAGCTAAATCCCCAGCCTATTGTTGTTTTAGAGACAGGAGCTCACTATATAACCAGGCTGGCCTAAAACCAAGAATACTCCTGCCTTAGCCTCCAGAGTGCCTAGCTTTTGTCATTTTGTGGTGTTGGAGATTTGACACAAGGCCTTGTGTGTGATAATCATTCTTTCTACCACTGAGCTACAATCCCAGCCCTTTAATTATTTTTTTATTTGTCTTACTCTGTAATTCAGGTTGACCTTAAACTCATTATATAGCCCAGGCTGGCTTCAAATTCAGTGATCCTCCTGTCTTAGTCTTCTTTTTTTTTTTTTTTTTTTGGTGCTAGTGATCGAGCTCATGACTTCGAGTTTGCCAAGCAAGCACTTACGCTGCTGAGCTAAAGCCCCAGCTCCTCCTTCTTTTTTTCTTCACCATAATATTTCTTGTTTTCTTCCAAATAGTTGTCCATGTCTTCATATATGATAATATCAAACATAACAAAATAGTATAAAGCCAATCAAAAGAATGAAAGCATTATAGGACTTCAAAATCAGATAACAGGAAATGAAAAGTGGTTACTTGTTTTCTTCAAAGAAGTTGTCCATACCATAACACATAATAAAATCAAATAAAACACAACAGAATAAAACCAATCAAAACAAAAGAATAAAAGTATTATAGGACTTCAAAATAAGACGATAGGAAATCAGCAATGGCTACCATAATGAGTCCCAGCCTTCTGTGTGCTGGGATTACAGGTGTGTGCCACCATGTTTGGCTCTAATTAGGTCTTTTTTTTCTGATTATTTTTTTAAAAAGTTTTTTTTTTTTTTTTTTTTTATCGGTACCAGGGATGGAACTCATGACTACCTGCTTGCAAGGCAGGTGCTTATGCCACTGAGCTAAATTCCCAGCCCCTCTGTTTATGTTTTTAAAAATCAGGAACTGCATGGTTTTCCTAGAGGTCTTCCCAGGAATTACCCCATGTCCAGGTTTTTTGTAACCTAGAGTTCATTTGTGCAAAGTACAGAAATGAGGAAATTTTACCAACCTTGGTATTCTTCCCTTGTCTGGGACCTTTAGGAAGTTCTTCACCAGGCATGGTGGCATATTCTGGGAGACTGAGGCAGGAGGACTGAAAGTTCAAGCCCAGTGTGGGCAACTTAAGTGACTTGATGAGACCCTGTCTAAAAGTAAAAAGGGATGGGGATGTGCTCAGGTGTGAAGGCTGTGGGCTGCCAAATAAGCAAAAATGGAAGTTTTCCTGATCTAATCTTCTTTCCTCACCAACAAATAGAACAACGATTGCCTGACTCTCACACAGTCCATCTGCTCCAGCCTTTTTTCTTTGCCTTTCTACATAGCGACGTGCTTTCTTATTTAGAATCCAAGACTGTGCAAGCAGTGAGGCTGTCAGCTTAGATTGTTTACACAGCTCCCTCACTTTACAGATGCAGACGCTGAGGTCCAGAGAGAAAGCCTGAAGTGCCATACATCCAGTGAGTACGTGGGCTGGGACAGCAGGACAGATCTAGTGTTCCAGTGCTCCCTGCGGTTCAGTTCTACTTCTACTGTGGTGTGGAGTCTTGATGGGGAGACTCAGGTGGGGTCCTGGGTGCCTCCAGCCCAGCCCTCAGATCCTTTGGGGTCTGTGTCTGTGAAGTCTGCACACAGGAAGGACTGGTCTTCTTGAAGGCTGCTATCCTGGCCTGGTTCAACCCCTTCCTGTCATTTTGAAGAAACTGCTGAATCCACAGGAGAATGTAAAACTGAGGAGAAATAAACTTTTGGGAGTGGAAACACAGTGCAGTTTAGAGGACTGAGAGCTTAGTAATCCTGAGGATCCATGTGCCCCCTTTCTATCCTTGTACAGGCCATGGTGGTTTGGTCAGTGTCTCTTGTTTTCCTGCTGGTGCTGGGCAAAGGTGAGAGTGAGCTGGATGACAAGATCTCCCCCCGAGGGAAGGCTACAGAATGGGGGGATCCTGACCTGTCCTTGCCAGAGTCCTGCCAGCCAGCCCCTTCCTGCAAAGAGTGTATCCTCTCACACCCGAGTTGCGCATGGTGCAAACAACTGGTAAAAATGGGCCTGCAGCCTTTGAGTCATGTGTCTGTGTGTGCATTGCCTAGATGTACATATGTGGCTGTGTGGGCATACATGTGTTTTTTCTGGGTACACTGCAGTCTCAGGTATAATTGAGTGTGTGCACACAGGACTGCTATATGGGACTGTGTGAATTTGCTTTCACATGCTTACAAGTTTCCTGTGCATGCATGATTAGATTTATATGTTTATTGTGTATGTGTGTGTGAAGAGCTTATGATTCTGACTATAGAAGGGCACATGTCTGTGCGAATTCATGCTTGTATATAGATAGAATGGCCTGCTGTGCCTGTATACATGTGAAAAAGTATGTTGGCTATTTCAGGGTGCCATAGCAAGATACCACAGATTAGGTGGCTTAAATCATATAACCCAGGTTGGCCTTGAAGTCATGGCAGTCTTCTTGCCTCAGCCTCCAGCATGCTGAGAATTCAGGCATGTATTACCATGCCAGACAAGAAATATTTCTTTCTTTTTTCTTGGTACCAGGGATTGAACTAATGATGTTGTGGTTGTTAGGCAAGCACTTATGCCACTGAGTTAAAGCCCTGGCCTTTTTATTTACAATCTTTTTTTTTTTTTTCTTTTTGCTTTTTATCGGTACGGAGTTTATTTACAATCTTGAAAGACTGAGAAGGCCAAGATCAAAGTGCTGGCTGATTTAGTTCTCTGGTGAAGACCCCTCCGCCTAGCTTGTTGTATCATTATATAGCAGAGAGAGACAGGCCCAGGTTCTCTGGTGTGTCTAAGGACACTAATCCCATCACAAGGGGCTCACACTCATAAGTTGATCTAAATCTAATTACTTCCCTAAACCCCATCTCCATGAACATAGGAATTTGGAGGAGAGTACAGTCTAGTCTGTAGCAGAAAGTGCCTGGGTTCCTCAGTCTCAGTTCCTGGATGTATTCCTGAATGTGAGCAGGAGGAAGGGAAGGCCCCCACAGCTCTGTGTGCTTGTGGTGGAGTGTGCAGGAAACCTCGAGCTCAGTGGCTAGCAGGCTGCAGAATAAAATCTCCTTGATTATTGTTGCACAAGGATGTTCTTTGTGGATACAGTAAAGAGGCATGGTTCACAGTAGAGCCCTCCCGGCTACTAAGCTGGTGGTGGTGGTGGTGGTGGTGGTGGTGGGGGACAGGACCACTATCTCTGTCACAGAAAGATGAGTTAGATCAGTGTAGGCTCCTGCTATGGGGGAGAGGGGCTGGCAGATTCAGAGGGCCATCAGATGGGTCCAGGAGAAAGGCAGGTAGTGTATCTGGGAGAACAGGGAGAATAGACACAAATTCAGGTCTGCAGGAGGCAGGGAACCAGAGGTGCCAGGCTGCGGTTGGGAAGATGAGCCTCAGGACAACCAGGTCTGCGTCTGCCTTTGCCAATCCCAGACCAGAGGCTGGCACCCGGGCCAGCTGAGAAGCCACTCTAACCATTTCCTTCCCCTGTGGCTTGCCAGTCAGTGCAGGGGGACCAGGCACACTGGGGAAAGGCGGCTCCTCTTTGACCCTGTCTGCCTCTCCAAGAACCCTGGGTCTTACTTAGCCTGACCCCTTCTCATTCTGATCTGAACATGCAAGGGACTCTTTCTGTGGTAGTGAGGTCAGAGATCTCAACAGGAAGTTTGTGCTCTAGGGAGAGGGGAAGGATGGGTGGCTGGGGGAAGGGGGAGGTAAGGGGAGACGGGGAAGGACTGGTCTAGGAAATGGGGTCTCTGAAAAGGAAAAAAAAGGCCAGAGTTCAAGGTCAACTGTAGAAGAGGGAGGAGGGAACCAGACGGGCTCTGGGAGTTGACTAATAGCTGAGAAACAGGCGACTGGGGAGACCAGGTTCTCAGGGTGGTTCTGAGGGCAGGCAGGGGCCGACCACACTGGGTCCCGACACGAACCTCCTCGCCGCCCAGAATTTCACCGCCTCCGGAGAGGCGGAGTCGCGGCGCTGCGCGCCGCGCAAAGACCTGCTGGCTCGGGGCTGCCCAGCACAGGAGCTGGAGGAGCCCCGGGGCTGGCAGGAGGTGCTGCAGGACGAGCCGCTCAGTCACGGCTACCGCGGCGAGGGGGCCACGCAGCTGGCGCCACAGCGGGTCCGAATCACTCTGCGGCCAGGTGAGTACCAGGCGGAACGGCCGAGGGAAGGTCCGGGCTGGGGACCGAGTGTGTTGGCTGATTCGCGTGCACCCGCCAGGAGAGCCCCATCAGCTCAGGGTCCGTTTCCTCCGCGCGGCGGGATACCCGGTGGACTTGTACTACCTTATGGACCTGAGCTACTCCATGAAGGACGACCTGGAACGCGTGCGCCAGCTGGGTCACGCCCTGCTAGTCCAGCTCCAGAAGGTCACCCACTCTGTGCGCATCGGTGAGCGCGCGGGCCATCCTAATCCTTGCCTCTGCTGCTACCTTCCGCCGTTGCCTGAGCTTTGCCAAATCCTAGAATCACAACTCCACCCCCCTGCTCTCTCCCAGTGTTTAACAGACTTGCCAGGCCACGGGATTCTCACTTCTTTCCATAGAAACACCATCTTTTAGGTCATTCATAGCTGGAGAGGTCATAGACTGTCCAGTAGGACCCCTCACTTTACAGGAGGGCTGAAGCCCAGTGTTGGAGCAACAGTGTTCACACAGCTGCCCAGCATCATACAGCTGCCCTGGACCTAACAAATTGGACAGTCCTCTGATGCTACCGTCTCAGCCCGGACTCCTGGCAAGGCCTTCCTGACACTGTCCCTACTTTCCATTCTGTGTGCACCTCTCCTGCATTCCAGAACCTCTGCTTTGCCTCCAGCGACTTCTGTGTCCTACATTCTGGGTTACCTCAGCCTTTTGGAAGCCCCTATTTGCCAGTTGTGTCCTCTTTTTAATTCCCCTGCGCCATTGCCAGCCCGGGGGGTCTCACTCTTTCCTGGATACTGGGTCCCTGATTTCTAGGTGCACTGCCCATTGCTTCTCTAGGACCAACCTTTCCCTTTCCATGGACTTTTCCTTCTGAGTCACCTGTGATTCCTGGCACAGCCTTTTTGCCCATCCCCAGGTTTTGGCTCCTTTGTGGACAAAACAGTGCTGCCCTTTGTGAGCACAGTGCCCTCCAAACTGCGCCACCCTTGCCCTAGCCGGCTGGAGCCCTGCCAGTCACCTTTCAGCTTTCGCCATGTGCTGTCTCTCACGGGGGACGCTCAGGCCTTTGAGCGAGAGGTGGGGCGCCAGAATGTATCTGGCAACCTGGACTCACCTGAAGGCGGCTTTGATGCCATTCTACAGGCTGCTCTCTGCCAGGTGAGGAGGCGGGCTGGGAGAAGAGTCTGAATGACTATCATCAGTAGTACTGCCCCGGTGGTTGTGTGGTGCCTGATTCTCTGGAGGTGCCATTCATATCATCTTCACTGTACTTTGTGTATTTATTTTAATAACTACTTGGTGGATTGGAGTGAAACATGGTACCCTGAAGAAGAGGCTCCTTTTTCTATTTCCCTCCTTTAATAGTAGCAGCCCTGTTTTGGGAGTGGGGAGGGCAGAAGAAGCAGGGAGATGGAGGTAGAGAGATGGACAACTGAGATATCTGTGGCTCCCAGGGCTGGCTGAAGTGGTTCTAGGACTGTGCACAGGTCCACAGCCCAGTGCCCCCTTACCACAGGAGCAGATTGGCTGGAGAAACGTGTCCCGGCTGCTGGTGTTCACTTCAGATGACACATTTCACACAGCTGGGGATGGGAAGTTGGGTGGCATTTTCATGCCCAGTGATGGGCGCTGCCACCTGGACAGCAATGGCCTCTACAGTAGCAGCTCAGAGTTCGTGAGTGCCTCCTCACTCCAGCCCTCTTCATTTGAGCCCCTTTGGCCCCTACTTCCCACCCCTTGGCCTCCCATCCTCATTGTCAACCATCCTATAGACATCCTCCTGCCATCTTCCCTTGTAGATCTCGATCCTAGGGCAGGAAGCCTGTGTCTCACACTCCTTACCTCTTTTCTCTTTACTAAGCCTCCAGGACTCCTCCAGCTGGTGGAACCCTGGGTCCTGGGTTTCCTGAGCTGAGGGCGCCTGGCACATTGTGGGGAGACCCATGGCACTCATCTTGTCCCCACTCCTTGCCTCAGGACTACCCCTCTGTGAGTCAAGTAGCCCAGGCCCTCTCTGCAGCAAACATCCAGCCTATCTTTGCTGTCACCAGTGCCACACTGCCCATCTACCAGGTGAGAGCTGAGTGCAGACTTTCCCTGTCCGCAGCCTCCTCATTTCTTCTACACCAATCTCTACCCTGCCATGTGCTTCCTTTCTGGGCCACTGGTTCTGTCCATTCCCAACTTATCCTAACTTAGGAGCTGAGCCAGCTGATTCCCAAGTCTGCAGTGGGGGAGCTGAGTGAAGACTCCAGCAATGTGGTGCAGCTCATCATGGATGCTTACCACGTGAGAGCCAGTCGGTGGGGGTGGGGTGGCGAGAGTAGGCACAGGGGTGAGGTGGAAAGGAAGCCTCAGCTGAGGTGATAGAACCAAGAGCCAAGAGCATTCTTTTTTTTTTCTTTTTCGTTTTTATCGGTACCAGGGATCCAACTCACGATTGCCTGCTTGCAAGGCAGGTGCTTATGTCGCTGAGCTAAATCCCCAGCCCCACCAAGAGCATTCTTGATAGATGTGTTTTGAAATTTTGTTTTCTTCCTCTTTGTCTTCTTCCTCCTCCTCTTCTTTTTTCTTTTTATTCTTGAAATAAAATGGATTTGAAATATGAAAAAAATAAAAAATCAAGGGCATGGCTACTTTTTGATTCTACCATTCCACAGCTGCTCCTGCAGTTTGCATGTGACTGTCATGGGTAGATCACTGTAACATTCATAAATTTTGTTTTTGTTTGTTTTTGGTTTTTTTTGAGACAAGTCCTCACACGTAGTTCAGGCTGTCCTTAAACTCATGGTGTGCTTGCCTGTAATCCCAGTACTCAGGAGACTGAGGCATAAGGATCACTGTGAATTTGAGGCCAGCCTGGGTTGTGTGATGCCTGAGTCTCTGGAGGTGCCATTCATATTATCTTCACTGTACTTTGTGTATTTATTTTAATAACTACTTGGTGGATTGGAGTGAAACATGGTACCCTGAAGAAGAGGCTCCTTTTTCTATTTCCCTCCTTTAATAGTAGCAGCCCTGTTTTGGGAGTGGGGAGGGCATAAAATGAGTTCAAGACCTGCCTGAACTGCAGAGCAAGACCCTGCCTAAAAAAGAAAAAAAAAAAAGTAAAATAAAAATAAACCCATAATTATCCTTCTGCCTCAGCCTCCCAATTGCTGAGATTGCAAGTGTGCACCACTGTGTGGTCAGAACCAGAGACTTTTGTAAGTGGAATAAAAAGTCCAAAGTATTCTTTAGACCTCGGTTGTATTTTTGCATCTAGATCGTAGGATTCTTTTTTTTTTGTACTGGGAATCAGGATCTTGCACCTGCCAGGTAGGCATTGTGCCACTGAGCTATATCCCTCACCCTAGGTTTATAGGGTTCTTGACAGGGGCCACATCCTAAACAATGGTGAGAGAATTTCTGAGACAGCATTAGATTTCCCAAGGCAAACTCCATGTAATGAATCTGCCTTTAGACCACATATGCTGTGCACACAGATTACATGTCCTGACCTGGGGTTGACAAATAGCCACTATATATTTATGGTGCTTGACAACCTGTGGCCCTTGCTGGCAGCTGGGCTGCCATGCTGTAGGAGAGGTTCCCAGAGACCCAGAATTCCTCATTTCTCTCAAGGTCCTCCTCTAGAATTGTCTCTTCATTGGGCAGGAATGGAAGGAGCTGCTGGTGGCAGGAGGCAGATTCAGACAGAACTGAGAATCACTATCGAGGATGGGGGGTATGGTCAGGAGTTCTGCTCTTACATGGCTCCTTCCTCTCACCTTGCAGAGCCTGTCATCCACCGTGATCCTTGAACACTCTTCACTGCCCCCTGGGGTCAACATCTCTTATGAATCCTACTGTGGGGGTACTGAGACGAAGGTTGAGGCTGGGGTCCGGGGACAGTGCAACCACGTTCGCGTCAACCAGACGGTGAGCACCAGCCAGCGGTCGCCAGGATGGAGGTGGGGAGTGGGACACTGACGCAGGTGGTGAAAGATGGGGGCAGGCACAGAGCACGTGCAGGGTGGTCTTCCACTGGACCTTTCTGAGGGGCTGTAATGCATGGGTTTCTTCAACTATGTATCTGGGAGATGGGCGTTAGCATGATTGTGTATGTTAACATTTACTGTGAGGTGGTATCTTGCACCATCAGGGGCTTGGGCTCATGTGTGCATGTATCACTTAGTCTTGCTCCTGCCTGCCCTGTTCTCAGGTGGATTTTTGGGTTACGCTCCAAGCTAAGAGTTGCCTCCAAGAGCCCCATTACCTGAGGCTTCGAGCTCGGGGCTTCTCGGAGGAGCTGACTGTAGAGCTGCATACTCTGTGTGATTGTAACTGCAGTGACACCCAGCTCCAGGATCTGCACATGCACTGCAGCGGCGGCCAGGGGCAGCTTCAGTGCGGGATGTGTAGGTGAGGGCCTCCTTGTTCTTTCACCCAGCTGATTTGCATAGTGACCTCCCTTCATGTTCCTTCAGTTCTCACTCTACCACTGGGGTACCCTAGACCCGTAGGACTCCTGACTACTGCGCCCGTTTCCCTGATATGCCCAAAGACCTGCTTGGAGCAGAACTCCTTCACTCTTCCCTGTGTCCACCCTTGATGCTCCATTGGGTTCTGGCACTTCAGCCACTTGTCTTTTTCCAGCACTTTCAAAAACCTAGACTTAGCCAGGCTTGGATTATAGCACATGCCTATAATCCCAGCATTCAGAAGGCTGAGGCAGGAGGATCTCCATGAGTTTAAGGCCAGCTTGCACTACATAGGGAGACCTTGTCTCAAGAAAAAAAAAAATCCGGATTTACAGGAAACCTTGGACACAGGTCTCTCCTGCCTTCTCTTTCCAGTTGTCTCCCTGGCCGCTTGGGTCGGCTCTGTGAGTGCTCTGAAGCTGACTTGTCCTCCCCAGACCTGGAGTCTGGCTGCCGGGGCCCCAATGGGACAGGGCCTTTGTGCAGTGGGAAGGGACGATGCCAATGTGGGCGCTGCAGCTGCAGTGGTCAGAGCTCTGGGCGTCTGTGTGAATGTGATGATGCTGGCTGTGAGCGACACGAGGGCAAACTCTGTGGAGGTACCTAGATCCTTTGGGAGGAAGGCAGGGTTAGGGGGTCTTCCTGAGGGCACTTGACTCTGGGAATCTCAGGCACTGGGGGCCTCAGAGATTATGGTGTGTAAGTTGGAGGATGTGCCTGGCATACTTGAGAGGAATTTGGTGCATGGTCTTCACCCTGTGGATGGTTCCACCCCAGGCTTTGGCCACTGCCGATGTGGAGTGTGTCACTGTGAAGCCAACCGCACAGGCAGAGCATGTGAGTGCAGTGGGGATATGGACAAGTGTATTAGCCCTGTAGGCGGCCTCTGCAGTGGACATGGACATTGCAAATGCAACCGTTGCCAGTGCTTGGATGGCTACTATGGTGCTGTATGTGACCAGTGCCCGGGCTGCAAGACACCATGTGAGAAACATAGGTGAGGGCTCAGGTCTTGTCTTGGGAGCAGATCAGTATGGCTTGCTGAGTACCCTGTACCCCACCTGTTCTCCCTCCTGCACGGGATGTGAGGGCTAAGGGGTAATAACTTCCCAGTTAGTAACTTACTGGCATCCACTGGACAGGGACTGTGCAGAATGTGGGGCCTTTGGGACTGGTCCCCTGGCTGCCAATTGCAGCATGGCTTGTGCCCATGCCAACGTGACTCTGGCGCTAGGACCCATTTTGGATGACGGCTGGTGCAAAGAGAAGACACAGGACAATCAGCTGTTCTTCTTCCTGATAGAGGACGAGGCTGGTGGTCGAGTTGTGCTGACAGTAAGACCTCAAGAGAGTAAGTGAAGAAAGGTGCCTGGGACATCTGTAACAGAGCCTTCGAAGTTTAATGGCAGGGCCTTGGAAGTGGGAATGGGGCTGTAAGAAGTGAAAGCAGAGCTGTGACTCCTGGACAGAGGCAGAGATGATGCAGTTAAGGCTCTGGGCTAGAGATGGCAGACCCTTTAGAACTTCCAGTGGTAACAAATGGTCCGCTACAGCATGTGCACCATAGGTCGGCCACCACTGGGAGGACCCTACTGGTTTTCCTCTGAGTTCGAAGCTGGAGATGCTGTAGGCAAATGCTGACATGTCTGGGCCGCCAGCAGTTCAAGTTGTTTCTTCCTCACAGAGAGAGAAGACCACACCCAGGCCATTGTGCTGGGCTGCGTAGGGGGCATTGTGGCAGTGGGACTGGGACTGGTCCTGGCTTACCGGCTCTTGGTAGAAATCTATGACCGCCGGGAATACAGTCGTTTTGAGAAGGAGCAGCTGCAACTCAACTGGAAGCAGGTGAGGAGGCCCCCTCCTATCCCACTGGGCGGGTCCCTTCCTTGCTGCTTTCCCACCCCATACTTGGCCCTGACTCTGCTCTTAGGATCCCGCAAGATCCAGGCTCTTAAAGACTAGACAAAGAGGAGGAATCCTGAGATTTGCTCTCATCATTTACCCCTTTTTCCCACAGGACAGCAACCCTCTCTACAAAAGTGCCATTACAACCACCATCAACCCCCAGTTTCAAAGAGCAGAGAGTCCTGTTCTCTGAGGGGGAATTTACCCAAGCTCTGCCCTCTGGAATGACAGAATGGAGGTGGGACCTAGGAGGCAGCAGCCTGGCTGGGGACTAATCTGCCATCCTACTTCGGTTTTAGTGACAAAGAGCAGCTTCCTCCTGCTGCAACCCTGTTCTTCCATGCCTTGTTCTTCCATCCAAGTATTCAATAAAGTGTCTTACTCCAAACCATAGCTGTCTTCTCTACCCCATCAATGCTTTCAGTCTGGACTTCAGGAAAGGTCAGGTCCACTTCTTTGGGCATCTCACAGCATGAGATCCAACTCTCCAGGTTTGCAGTGTGCTGTACTCTCACATGAACAGACTGCACCAACAGATAAGCCTTGACTGGTATCTTTCCTCAGAACTAATGCCCTGTGTTTGCTTCTACTTTGTTGCTCCTTGGTGGAGAAGAGGGAATTTTATTTTATTTTATTTATTTATTATTTACTTGGTGGTACTGGGGATTGAACTCATGACCTCAGGCTTGCCAGGCAGGTGCTTAGGCCACTGAGCTAAATTCCCAGGCCCCGAGAAGGGGGAATTTTAATAGGGTGCTGGAAATTGAGGGATCAGTCATATTAGGGAGAGGAAATGAAAACCATTAAAACCACTCCGGCCCCTAGTGAAAAAGCTTCACCAAAGGATAGTCTTCTCAAAAAGCAGATGGAATGTAGAAAAGCCCCCCTCTTTTTATTTAAATATCCTAAATATATCACGAAGGAACGTACACTGCACTTTAATAGTAAAAAGATACAAGTTTATAACATCTTATAAAAACTACCATTTAAAAGTGATCCTGTTCATTTAACAGTCCCTTCCCCCATAGCAAAATAAGTATATTAAAAAAAGAAAAAGGTGGAGAGGGAGGGTAAAGGGGAATTCTTGAAGACAAAAGCTCCAGGGCCACAGCAGAGGCAAAGAGCATCTGGGAGAGTTAAAAGTTGTGGTGGGCTCCACTCATTTAACCTCTCCAATACCAAGCCATGGGGCACATCAGTAGCTAAGTGATGACAAGAGGCTGCTGCAGACAAAAGAAAAGAAAAGAAAAGAAAAAAGATAGTGTGCTGGGAAGGGCACAGCTGGTTGGGCCTGGTACAGGAATCCACCCAGAAATGGGCACTATCTTTCCCAGGCCCCCCAGCTGCATGTCCTGCTCTCAGAGGCTGCCCTGGCTTCACTTCTCTGCACTCCAAACACCCGCTAAGGCATCTTTCCAGCTAAGGAAGGGTGGTCCTGGTCTGTGGGTTCTCTGGGGTAGAAGTGGGAGCTCCTGGGTCTCCTCACACACCCATTGCCCCAGAACATCAGCACCTGAACTGGACTAATCATCTGCTCCTGAGCCTTGGCAGGGCCAGCACTGGTACAGCCATTTACACGCATGCTCAGAAGCTCTACCCATCCACCAAGGCAGGAAGTTGACGTCCTCGGGAGCACACTCGGACTCAGCACATTCATATACTTAGGGGTACAAGTCACTCATGATTCTCTTCACACACCCACCATCCCAGAAAGATCAGTTCTAAGTGGCAGGGACAGGGCTTCTACTTTCTTTCTTTTTTTTTAATTGGTACTGGGGATCGAACTCACGACTGCCTGCTTGCAAGGCAGGTGCTTATGCTGCTGAGCTAAATCCCCAGCCCTAAGGGCTCCTACTTTCAAAAGCACTTTTGGGAGAATAACTTTCTCAGTTATCCTCCTTCCCAGAGTTGAACGACAGAACCATAGCCTTAGCAGAGCCCTCTAATAGGAAGGGGGCTGGCTCACTTGCAGACATATGCCCCTGCTTACAAGGACCACAAGCGGATCCAAGAACCAGGGTGTAGATTGTGGACATTAAATAGGAGTGTCAACATAAAGCTAGAACACATGGCAGCAAACATTCCTCAGCGTCTCCTCCAAAGGAGCTCAGATACCATCAGAGACAAGCTATAAAGGATACCACATCTCCTCCACTCTTCTCTGAAATATTTCTCCCTCAGAGGAATGATCTCTTCTCTACCCTTACGAATCCCTAGAATGGTAGAGCCAGGAGTTCACTGCTGTTGCCTATTCCCTACATTTTCTAGGCGATGAATCATACTTCCTGGTGCCATTTCAGATACCATCAAGAGTTTGGGGCTCAGGTTTAACCAGTCTCCATGATTACTCTTAGGACAGTCCCCCACATCACCTGTGAGGGTAAGCCATAGGGGGAGGTCAACCAAACACTGGAACCTGTTATAAGGATCCTTTTTTTTTTTTTTTTTTAGTAGGAAGAAAGAGGGTCTTTTATTTCATCTTAGAAAACTCACACACGCAAGTTCTGGTTTGGGTCATAAACACCCACCCAACTAGCCTGATGTACTGATCTGAAAAAAGCCTTATTGAACAAAGCTCTTCTGCTCCCTAAATGAATTCTTCAGCTCCTGCTGGCACCTCAAGCTCCTTTCAGGTGTGGGTGGGAGGCAGCTGTTTAATGTTCATCTCCCTTAGGCCAAGGGCCAGAGAAGGGTCTGGTTCCTTTTGTATCTCCAAGCATACAGATAAGAACACTCATGTTCCATACAAACACCTGATCACTTTTCTTGGGGGGACATGGTGGTGGTTTTGGAGCAGAGAGGAACAAAGAATATGATTAAGAATAAAACCCACATTAGGTTTTCCCCTCTGGTCCTTTCTCTGCAACACTCTTCATGCCCCATTCTTTGCTGGGTGCGACAGCTGCTAAAGAGGTGGCCAAGTTCTTGTTTTTTGAGGCCAAAGGCCACATCCCTACCTCCTTTACCTGAATACAGTGATAGGACTTGGCAGGAAGAACTGTACCTACTGCTCAGCAGATGGTCAAGGGCTGCCAAATTTGTTTCCTAAATAGCTGTAAGCCAACTTGGGACTAGTCCTGGGTTGTCTCTAAGACGGTACAAGGAGAGAACTCCTTTGAAAATGACTCCTTGCTCAACATCTCTGTCTGGCTTTAGGAGTCAATGACAGTGAGGTAGCCACAAACCACATCCAAGACCAATGGCCCAGAGAGAAGGAAAGGGCTTTGTCGATCCCTCTCACCCAAGTTTCCTCCAAAAGGCACTTGAGCTGACCTTATCGGGTACCAGTGTGGCACAGGCCATTACAACACCCATGGGCACAACTCTTGCTCTTCTGAGGAGGTAAGAGGTACTGCCCACTCTTCTTGGATCCAGCCCTTGTCTGCTCTTCCCAGTTTTCCTTTTGTTTCTACAGTGTATATGAAGGCCAACTTAAGTTCGGCTGCCATCCCTGATCCTATTCTCCCTCAAAAAGGAGATGAGATGCAGGTCTGTGGAATACTGAGATCTACTGCAACTAAAAACTCAATTTGGGGAGAGGGCAACTATAGTCCCTACTTTGGACCAGGACTTTATGCCTCCAGATTACCTGCATCTACAGTTTACCTGCTGAACCTAAAGAGGCTTTTGGATAAACAAAACAAAACAAAAAGAAGACAACAAACTCCTTTCCCCAATTTTTTCCACTTCAGCTGCCAGCTGGAGTCCAATGTTGTGGGAGCCACACTTTAGTCTTGGTCCTACACCATTAAGTCCCCATCTATGACCTCAGCCAAGGGTCCAGGGACTAGCTCCCTTACACCCAGGAATGCCGTAGGAACTTGCCGAGATACTCATAGTCTCAGATTATTTACAGAGCACAGGCTCTGGAGTCACTGTCCCCCGAAGCATTCTTCTGGCCTCCTGGGTCCACTCTGCCAGGAGGGGGACAGGTCAGATGAGGTGGTGGTGGGACCATCAGACCAGAGAGGGTGCATTCTTCAGTAGGTTCTTCTGATCACTCCCACCACCCAGGGCCCCTTTGCACCTATAGAGAAAACTGCCCGTCGGAAGTCTTGGACTGACACCCTTGGCACATCCGTTTGTGTCTGAGTAATCGATCTGTCCGAGAAAAACACTGAGAAGAAAGGACAATAAGTGCCTGAGAGAAGAAACAGCTGTCTGTTAATCAGCTTATACCTCACCCATGCAAAGCACATGTGTAACATTCTACGTTCCCTTAGGATGTGCATAGATGCATGAGCACAAAGTGGTTAAGAATGTAGGTATAGGGCTGGGGATTCAGCTTAGCGGCATAAATGCCTGCTTTGCAAATGCATGGTCGTGAGTTTGATCCCTGGTACCGATTTAAAAAAAAAAAAAAAAAAAAAAGAATGTAGGTATAGCAGCTGGGTATGTTGGTGCACACCTGTAATTTTAGCCCCCAGGGGGATTACTGCGAGTTTGAGGCTAGCCTGGGCTATATAGTGAGTTCAAGTCTAGCCTGAACAATTAAGACTTTGTCTCAGAAAACCAAAAACAAAACCAACCAACCAATAAGACACTGGAGCTAGCATGCCTGCTTCTATCATTTAAGAGTGATCCTAAGTAAGTTAAAGGTCCTTACTCTGTATGATCACCTGTAACATTAATCCCTACTCACAGCAGAGCTGCTTTTTCAATGAATACTGAGTATCTATCTCAAGCAGATATAGTTCTTGGAACTGAGGACTGAGTGGAGACCAACAGACACAAAGCTTTTCTCAAGGGAGTTTCACTCTAATGCTCTGAAGATTCAGTAGGAGTGTGAAACAAAGCTTAAAACCTAGAAAAGCAACCAGAAAGTATCAGCTACTATTATTTCTTATTTCTTATCTTTCATTCTTATCTTATTTTGATCATAACACCATTTTCTAATCAGATCAGGCACTGACCCTGAGGGCAAAGATTCTATCTCCTCTTCCAAACTACATGAGTTCCAATGTTGGATTGAATTCTGACTCTGGGTCTGCAGAGTCCCTAAGAAGCTTAACTTTTCTGAATTCCAATTTCCCCATATGTCAAATGAAGGCAATACAATCACCTTATGGAGCCAATATGAACTTTAAAAAAAAAAAAAAAATCTGTGAGGCTGAAGATACAGCTCAGCTGTGTAAGAGTCTGCTTGGCAAACACAAGGTCCTGAGCTCAATTTCTGGTGCCAAAAAACAAAACAAAATAAAACAAAACTCAACACTGATTTGCTAAAAAAAAAAAAAAAAAAAAAAAAAAAAAAATCTGTGCAAAGCACGTTCTCACAAAGCCTTCCTCAAAGGAGTTGCACTCTAATCTTGTGAAGATTCAGTGTAAGAGTGTGAAATAAAGCTTAAAACCTACATAAGCTTAGCAGTGTTTAAGAAATGCTATTATTATAATAGTCCCATGACCCTATTTCTATGATCTGTTGCACACAGTCAGAAATGCATTTCACATTGAGATATAAATCTACTATGCCAGGTGGCCCCTTCAGACAGCAACAGGGATGGAAGTTTATGTGTGGTGCTATAGTGGAGATGGCTGATGTGTAAGCTTTACCTGATGACATCGTTCACACTGGTAAGGCTTTTCACCACTGTGTACACGCTTGTGGCGTTCCAGGTGGTACTTCTGGATGAAGCGCATATCACAAATATCACACTCAAATGGTTTTTCACCTGGCCCAGGTGGAGAAAGAAATGTCAGGAGGTATATATGACAGGGATTGCATCCCAGTTATCTTCCCATATACCTAGCCTATCATATATGTGGAAGAGTCCCCAAAGCTGCTATCTTGAGATAGTGGCACACAGTCATGCATTTTATTTCCTTTGCTTATCCTCTTCCTCCACTTCTAATATTTCCCCTGGAAAATAAATCCAACTAGGCAGTAACATATCCACATGAAATACAAGCTACAGATTATCTGCCCCTTTGAATACAAGCTAGAGTCTTACCAGTGTGAATAAGGATGTGCCTCTTCAGGTGATAACTGCTCCTAAAGGCTCCAAAGCAGTGCTCACAAATAAAATTTTTTGGAATCTTTACTTGGAAAGAACCATTTTGTTCCACTACCACCACCTGGGGGCAATAATCAGGCATGTTATGTCATGTTGGTGTCTTCCTAGAGACCACTGTACTATGGGTTGACTTTAAGCTGCCAGATGAAGACTCACTCTGATGTGATCCAAAGGGGCTACCATCACTCATCTTCCTTAGAGTTAAAAGCTCTTCCGGGGAAGGAGGTGGAGTAGGTAACCTGCCTTCATCTTCACAGCCAACACGCTGAGTGTGACCTCAGCTTGTGCTGGCATACTCTTGCCATAGGGCCACAGTGCAGACACAATCCTAATCTGTAACCTGTACCAAGAATGTTTCAGCAAGGGTAGGTATCAACTACCGAAGTGGTCTCTGGCTGAAATCGAGGGATACACTCACTGGCTATGAGGGACCAAAGTGTTCAGAGAAAGTTCCAGGGTGAGTCAGTAGGAAGATTACCCCAGCCCAATTGGCAAAGTACCCCATTACCTGCCTTTTTAACAGTCTTTTTTGAATGAGAGGCCTCAGCCAAGCTGTCATCATCTTTGCGGCTCCGGGACTTATCACTGTCTTTTCGGTGGCCCTTCAAAGACAAATTAAATCTAAACTCACAGTCCATTTTAGAAAAACAAACCAAATGCTTCTTTTGCTCTTCTCCTTTTGTTCTTGTTGCTTTTGCTGTCTTCCACTGCTATGAACTGTTGCCTCTCTGCCATGTGCCACCCTGCCTTGTAGTCAGCTGATTATGGACTGAAACCTCTACAAACTGTGTTTGAATTGTAGGAGGTCCAAAATAGTGATATCCTGGATGATGAAGTGTCTGTGCCAAATGCTCTACTCCTGTCTATAGACTGCAGGTCCAGAAAACGAGGGAGTATTTAACCCACCTCCTCTCAGCTGGGCAGCCCCACTCCTTTGCATAGGTAATTCTTTAACTGTGATCCATTGGGAAGGTATGGGGCTTAGTGTTCCAGAAAGATACCCTGCACTTCTCTGAACTGCTGGGCTTGTCTATGGCCATACCACCCTGAACGCGTCCGATCTCATCTGAACTGCTGGGCTCAATGAGTCCTTTAATAACAGCTGGAACAACACAGGCTAAGAATTGTATTCTCAAGTGTATAGTCTATTATGTCTTCTTTCTTTCTAATACAAATATTAAAGTATTCTGAAACTTCATGAAATAAAAATCTTACAAATATCTAATGAGATACAAATATTTAATGAAATGAATATTCATTAAAGAAACTGTCTACTTCCTCTTTCTCTAAGGAAGTGTATCGAATCTGCAAGCACTGATTAGCAAGTTCTCATCTATCACACTAGTTCTTTTCTCTTAGAAGAATGGAAAACATACACTATATCATGGAACCAAAATATAAGTAAGTTATATCATTGATTGTTTTTAAGTATTTTCAGCCAAGTCATACTCAAGTATCAATTTTCAAAAAAAATCATCAAAGCATTAAGCTTAGATTTGTAACTGTACTTTGAAATTCATTGTTTGCTGTAAGTCTGAAAAATCTAAAATTCTATATTCAATATATATGTACACGTGTGTGTTATATATATACATATATATTTTTTTCCCTCAAAGCACTGAAATTGAATGTTTATTTTTTATTTATTTTTTTTGGTACCAGATCAAACTTGTGACTTTACGCTTGCCAAGCAGGTGCTTACACCACTGAGCTAAATCCTTGGCCCTGAATGTTTTTTTATTTTTTTATTTTTATCAGTACCAGGGATTGAACTCATGACCGCACACTTGTAAAGCAAGCGTTTATGCCCCTAAGCTAAATCCCAAGCCCCTTCAATGTTTTTTTAAAAAGTGACTTTTTTCTCCCTTTTTTTATACTGTTCCATATTCAAATGAAAGATTCAATATGGTACAAAGAAAAAGAAACCAAATGTTACTGACAATTTATAAATGAAAACAAAGCAGGAGGCCTAAAGATGAAGAGCAAGTACTCATTCACCTCCGTTCTGTGTGCCCTAGCTGCATGTAGGGGCTGGGGATTTAGCTCAGCGGCATAAGCGCCTGCCTTGCAAGCAGGCAAGTCGTGAGTTGGATCCCCGGTACTGATAAAAAGGAAAAAGACAAAAAAAAAAGAGCTGCATGTGGAGAGATCTTCCTTCACTCTCTAAAATGCCATTTACTTGCTAGCTGGCTACCATATGGGACTCAAGTGCTGTACCTGGCTTGAGCACCTCAACACATCAGGGCTGCCTGCCCGCTCGCCATTCTCAGTTTGCTTGTTGGCGATTGGGCTGAGCATCATCTTCTTGCTGGCTGCAGTAGGGACCAAACTCACTCCTGCCAGGCCTTCACAAGCCAGCAGACTTGCCTGTGTGAAAGAAGATGAATATAGGTCAGGGTCCTGGCGGGGCGGGGTAAGACCAATTTCACACCCAGCATCTCTCCAGGAAATGTCCCTCCTCACCAGCTAACCTTGCACTCTGGAGGAGTTATCCCTACTTCATCTCACCAGGATTCAGGGTTCCTTTCTGTTGTAATGACCACTGAGCAGTTTGAGTTGATAATCAAGGGGTATGGGTATTATCTACCACTGGTACTGTGACAGTACAGTGTCTGGCTACACATTCTTCTGAAGGCGTTTCTACATTTCACCTGTAAGTGGGTACAGGGTCTGTCCAGCTGACCCACTGAAACGGGAGACTCCTCAGGGATTCTCCTCCTCTTTCTTATAGTCCTCACCTTTGAAATGCACTTCTGACTGGTGGACCTTGTTGGACTGGTGGACATGTATCTGTATTTCTCACCCACCTTCAGATTTTAAATTCCTTAAGTTCTTCTGATTACAGCTGATATAAATTTAAATTATCTGGAATGACTTTGGAGTTAACACACAATTTCTTTTGACCTCTTTAGGTTATTACTATGTGCATGTATGCCTACATTTTTTCCCTTGCCCTACCTAAAACTAAAAATATTACTTAAGGGTTTGAGACAGGGTAGCCTTGAGCTTATTATTTAGCCCAGCCTGGCCTTGAACTCAGTCATCCTACTGCCTCAGCCTCCGAGTACTGGGACTGCAGGCCAATGCCACCATGCCTGGCTACTTAAGGGATATTTAAACAAATAATATAACCCCTTTTTACTACTACTGTCTTCAGACTTGTTTAACTATCTCAAAAGCAAGCAAACAAAAAAACCAAAAAACCAAAACACAAACATGTTAGTAAAAAAAATGTTTTTTTGGTACTGGGGATGGAACCTAGGGTTCTGCACTGAGTTACACCCCCATCACTTTTTAATTGTATGTGTGTGTATTTTTTTCCATTTTGAGACGAGGTCTCACTATGCAGTTCAGGCTGGCCTTGAGCTCACTTTGTAGCCCAGGCTGGTCTCGAACTCGCAAGGATCCTCCCACCTCAGCCTTCTGAGTGTTGAGATTACAGGCGTGAGCCACCACGCCTGGCTATGTGTGTGTATTTTTGAGACAGGGTCTCTTTATACAGTTCAGGCTGACCTTGAACTCACTTTGTAGCCCAGGCTGGTCTTGAACTTGCAATGATCTTTCTGCCTCAGCCTCCCAAGTGCTGGGATTACAGGAGTACATCACCATACCTGGCTTTAGAGTTGGGGTCCTGTTATGTAGCCCAGGATGGCTTTGAACTTCTGGCAATATGTCTGCCTCAGCCTCCCAAGTGCTGGGAATTACAAGCATGTGCCACCATGCCTGGCTTCCCCAAGGGTTTTTACAAAGCTTAATTTTTAGCCAGGTATGGTTTCTCAAACCTATAATCCTAATGCTCAGGAAGCTGAGACAGGAGCACCCTGAACTATAAATTTAGATTTTTATTTTTTTGAGACAGGGCTGGCCTTGAACTCACAACTATCCTCCTCCCTTAGTTTCACAAATGCTGGGATTACAGGCATGCATCACCATGCCCTGCTCAAATTTAGGTTTTTTTTTGGTACCGGGGATTGAACTCATGACTGCACGTGATTGCAAGGCAGGCACTTATGCTGCTGAGCTAAATTCCCAGCTCTCAGATTTATATTCTGAGACAGGGCCTTATTAAATTGCTCAGGCTGGACATGAATTTGTAATCTTCTTCAGCCTCCTGTGATGCTGGGACTATAGGGATGATCATAATCAGCTGAAGAAAAACTTTAAAATGTATTTTTTCTTTTTTTGATACCAAGTATCACACTCAGGGCCTCACTCTTGCCAGGTGGGTGCTGCACCAGCCCAGGAGTTGAAAATCTTAATTTTGTAATCTTGGATGGATTATTCCATCTTTTACGCTTCAGTTCGCCTAAATCAAAGATGCCTGTCATAGTGCCCATCCTCACAGGGTTGATAAGAATTGAACTGAAGATGTAAAATGCTTAGCAGTGCTTAGCACAAGGCTAGTGCTTGATGAAAGGCAGCCTTTTCAGAGCAAGGTCCAATGGAGTTGGCTGCACACAGACAAAGGAAAAAGCCAAAGGGTTGCTACGTGTGTGGAGAGGAGGAAGCTGTATATGCAGAAGCAGCTGGAAGAAAGCCAATTACATGATAATCAGGCTGCCATCTTGGTGAGGCTGGTAGGGACATTCCTTGGAAGAAAGCTAGAAGCAGCTCTGGGGATATGTACCTAGCAGCTTTTCTGCCCAGAGGACTATAATAGCCTGTGTGTCACCTTGGATCACCAACTCAGTTCTCTCCACAACTGATCGCAAACTGAACTGGACCAGAACTCAATCAAATTTCTCCATGAAGTCATCAACAGTGAATGTGATGCAGTTCTCACTCAACTCAGTTTGTGACCAGAATTGTGGAGAATCAAGTTTCTGAACTGAAGCACCACTGTATTTTGTTACCTTGTCCTCTAATCCACCTTCCACCTCCATGACAATACTTTCTTTTTTTTTAATGGCAGAGATTAAATGGATTTTTTTATGCAGAGATTAAACAGAGTCTTATACACGCCAGGAAAGCACTCTGCCACCGTGCTATACCTTTAGCCCTTTTTGAGATGGCGTCTCATTATGTTGTCTAGCATAGCCTCACACTTTTGATGCTTTTCCCTGTCTTAAGAAATGAAAACTGCAAGTGTGCAGTCACTCACAATTACCTTCTAAATACAAAGATTTGATATTCTGTTGCTTAACATTCTTTGCAGAGCTTCTTTTTTTGTCTTTTTCTTTTTTATCAGTACCAGAGGTCAAACGCAGGACCACACACTTTAAAATCCCCAGCCCCTGCAGAGTTTCTATCTCCTACAAAACCTAATTTCTTAGCAAGGTATAAAAGGCCTCTGAATTACACTCTGCCTTCTCTCACCAAGAAACAACTCTCTTGCCCATTATCACAACTGCCATTACATATTCCATTGAACTACCTCCAGTACCGTAAAGCTCAGTGCATCCTCCTATACCTCTAAGCCTCTGCTCACAGTTTCCCTTGGGTGAATGACCTTCTCTGCTTGTTTAGAAAAGTCCTATGCATCCTTCAAACAACTTCTCATTCTTCCATCTAGGCAGAAGTGCCATTCTGTAGTATATATAACTCTACTCTTACACATTCCTTCAATCAACACTATGCAAGGCCTTGTGAATATAAAAATAAGTACATTATCTTTCCACTTCTCAACTCAGCTAGCCTGGAAGCTTATTGGGAATTAGGACAATCTTACTCATCTTTGTAGCCTCACAATGTCTTGCATGTAACAGTTCAATAAATTCTTGTTAAAAAACAAAAAACAAGGGGCTGGGGATTTAGCTCAGCGGCATAAATACCTGCTTTGCAAGCAGGCAGTCATGAGTTCGATCCCCGGTACCGATAAAAATGAAAAAAAGACAAAACAAAACAAAAAATGAAACGTATACCCAACTATCCACCACTCCCTTATTCCCAACATTTAATATACCAAATGGACACTGAGTACATGTTGCTTTGCCAATGTCCCCCCAGTGCCTGTGATGCAGTATGGCCTACCTCCTTCATTTGACTGGAAGCTCCCTGAAGGCAGGGGCTGTGGCCTGTCTCCTTTCCTTCCTCTAGATTTCCCCCTGGTGCTTAATACAGAGCTTGGCTCACTGGGGTTGGTCAATATTGTTGACTAAGGCAGCATTCAAGAGTGAATCTGCAAACAGGCTTCCCAGTGATCTTGAAGGAGGACTCTAGAGCTTTTTACCTGAGCCATGCTGATTTTTCACTTAATGGAACCCAAAAGTTCAGGAGTTCCTTGAACCAGCTTTCCTTAAGACTCTGCTGTTTGAAGAACTGTCACCAAATCACGGTAATAGCTCCATGTCCTTTCAGTCCTGCTGCCATATTGACCTGCGTTTGTCTTCCAAAAGAACTTAAGTGTCCTCTGAAGGGAAAACAGGTGTTTCAAGAATCCCTAGTTTCTGTCTGGTTTCTGCCTATTGTTTGAAGAAAGCAAAGACTGTCTTGGTTTTCCAGTTAAATTCTCTTGATGAAGCTCCTGATGTGTTCCAGAAACCTGAAATCAGAAAGGGAGACAGGTCCCTGAAATGCAACATCCTCAGGTCAAAAGCCCTGTAACTTGCTTTTTTTTTTCTGGCTAAGCACTCTGTGATGTTCAGAAAGAGGACTAGTTAGGAAGTTTCCTTTCTAGGTCAGGAGGTCTCCTGGGCAAGGAGACTCTAACAGAAGCAAAAGTAAGTGGGTCTTCCTATGGAAGAACTCTGCCAACAGGCCAGCTGCTTGGATTTACCATCTTAGGACTTGAAGAAAGGGGCGGAGGCCCTTCAGCGTTTTTGTGCCAAGTGGGCAGGTCTGCAAAGCTGGTACTCCCGAGAGGCGGGCAGAGCCGGGGTGGAGGAAGGTTCGGGGGCCATTGCTGGGTGCCGAGGCGGTGGGCAGACAGCGGACTAGCAGTGCCCCCAGGTGAGCGTTCTCCAAGTTCACCTGAAGGTACGAAAATTCGCTGCAGAGGTGGAGGGCGGGCAGCTGAAGCCGAGAGCTGCGCGGCACGTCCCTCCCTCCTGCCAGCTAGGCAGCCGCAGGACGGGCCACGCCGATCCGAGAGCCAGAAAACGCAGAGCACCACGCGAGGTGCGTGCTCGCGCCCGCGTCCCCTCCAAGCGAGCCCCCCTTTCCTGGGCCGGGGACGCGGCGGCACGCGCGGGCGGGCGGGCGAGAGGCGGTGCGCGCGCGAGGCTCCCTCCCTTAGCCACGCGCCCTTCCTCTCTTCCCCTCCCCTCCCCCTTGCCGCTCCGTGTCCACGGCCAGCGAGCAGCTGAAGCGCTGCCGTCCGCCCGGAGGACGCTGCGCTTCCCGAGGCTTGCGCCTACCTGCCAGGCGCGGCCTCTCGCTGTCTTCCCCGCTGCGCGGCGCCTCCTCCAAACCCCAGCATACAGTGCCAACCCCGCCGCCGTCGCTGCCCCCGCCGGGACCGAGGCAAGTTTACAAACACCAACCCGGGGCCCGTTTCCCCGGAAGCACTTCCCCCTCCCCTTCGTCCTCTCCGCCGAGCGGCAACATCCACTTCCGGGCTCAGGAGCCTGGACAGGCTGGGGCAGGCAAAAAGGAGGTGAGGTTGGGGACACGCAGAGCGCTGCAGCTGGCGAGTGGGTGGGGCGGCGCACGGGAAGATGGGAGGGGGCGTGCTGAAGAATTGGCGCTTGCGCAGTGAGGCGGACGAGCTCTGACCGCCATTTTGAATGAGGGCAATAATTAAGGCCCGGAAATCTCTGGGCACCAGAGGCTGTTCAGTGTGGCTTAAAGGTTGGGGAGCTAGTGGAAACTCCTGAAGAAGCTCTATTTCTCAGCCTTCAATCACGGGGCCAGACGCCCCAAGTAGAAGCCAGCATAGTTTGTACTCTCGATTTTTTCACTTAAATCTGCAGGGTTGTCATCATTCTCTAAGCTTGCCATTGGAATTATCTTCTAGATGTTGAGGTCTGCTAGTGCTTTTTTTTTTTCAAAGCCCTGCCCATTGCGCTCAACCACAACCTGAAAATGAGTGCTTTCTCAAGGGCTGTTCTTCAGTTTTCCGAGGCTGCCCAGTTTGTGTCCCCACAAAAGCTAGAAGCCTCCTACATTTACACCTTTATTTCAGGCTGTCTGGTTGTGGTCTCCTCACTGCAGCCCTCCTGCCTGCGGGACTCCCCGCAATAGCAGGCTACTCTTGTTGGAGACTGCCCTGCAGGTTGGACTGTGCCAGCTTGCACTGGGATAAGGGAAAATTGAGCCTATCTCACCTGTAGGCCTTAGGAGGGGCCCTCTTAGAGATGGAAGTGTCGATTTAAGTTCCAACTTCTGCTGTAGATGGTATCATGTTGTGAGTTTAGCAGAACTAATGGTAATATTGAAAGAAAAGTAATTTTAGCCGGGCGTAGCGGCTCGTGCCTGTAATCCGAGCACTTAGGAGGCTGAGGCAGGAGAATCGTTGCGAGTTCGAGACCAGCCTGGGCTACAAAGTGAGCTCAAGGCCAGCCTGAACTGCATAGAGACCTTGTCTCAAAAAGACCAAAAAAAAAAAAAAAAAAAAAAAAAAAAAAAAGGAAGAAAGGAAAAGTAATTTTATAATGAAAAAAGACAAGGATTTCCAACAATATTTTGTACCCAAATTTTGTTTTCCTAAGCCCTGTACACTGGTAAACAGTGAAAGGAATTTTCTTGTGCTCTTAGGATCATCCTAAAGTTGAGACAAAATGAAAAGAGAAAGAAAAGTCACCACAATTTTTTTTTAAAAGATGGTCTTGCTATGTAGTTCTTGTTGCAACTTGAACTCACTGTGTTGTCCAGCTGGGACAACTTGCTGCGATTTCTCCTCAGCCTCCCAAGTGCTGGGATAACAGGTGTGAGTCATCACACCTGGCTAGAAATTAATTGAAGAAAAAGTTTATACGTTTACCAGTCCAGTAAAAAAATATAAAAGCTAAAAATGTTTATAATCTCCCTATTATTCTATGCTTCTGATAATCTTGTTAGCTTGATATACTCTATACCAGACTTCTGCTTATATAAAAACATTTTTTCCTCAGGGATATTTGTTGAGTACCTATAATATGCCAGTGTATTTTTAAATTTTTTTTTTTTTTTACTTTTGGGAGGGGTTCTGGGAGTCAAACTGAGGACCTTGCACTCACTAGGTAAGTGTTTATGCCACTGAGCTATATCTCTAGCCCTGTGCCAGTGGTATTTTAAACATGTATACCAGTTCTTTCCACTCCCAACCTTTTGTGGTATTGGAGAGGAACCCAAGGCCTCTCTTGTCTGCACATGGTGCTAGGACTGTAGTCCATCAGTTCACTGTTTCTTTTTCTTTTTTCCCCACCTGTGCTGGGAATGGAATGGTAGGAATCAATCCCAAGCTTTGCTGATGTTAGACAAGAGGTCTGCCACTGAACTATATCCCCAGCCCCATGCATAATTTTTAAAAATTATTTCATAGGGGCTGGGGATTTAGCTCAGCGGCATAAGTGCCTGCCTTGCAAGCAGGCAGTCGTGAGTTCGATCCCTGGTACCGATAAAAAGGAAAAAGACAAAAAAAAATTATTTCATAACAAGAACTGAGCAAAGCTGGGACCGGTTGAGGCAGGAGGGTTTTTGAACCAATGAATATGGGCAATATAGTGAGACTGTCTCAAAAAAGACAAAAAATCTGTAAAATTGTACAGAATTGGCTAGATTAGGGTAGTGCACACATGTAATTCCAGCACTCAGAAAACTAAGGCAGAAGGATCTCTGTGAGTTCTAGGCCAACCTGGTCTTCAGGTAAGTTCAAGGAAAACTTGAGCTACATAGTGAGACCCTGTTTCAGAAAGTCAAAAACAAAAAGAATTGCACACATTTCCAATTTATGTTTATTTTATTTATATAGTTTCATCTAATGAACTTCTAGGTTCTTGTTTTTTTCTTTTAAACAATGCTATAATGAACTTCCATGTATAGTTTTTAATTTTTTTGTATTTGTAGATATTGCCTTTAAAATTTTAAGAGTCTGAAATTGAATTTCAAAAGTTTGTAGCAAAACTGAATGTACACATTCATTTAGGACCATGTGTGAATGTCCCTAATTCTACTAGGTTGGCAATATTGGATGTTGTGCTTTGTGTAGACAGTTACTAATTTGATAAGTGAAAATACTATTTTATTGTTTTAATTTCCATATATTTAATAGTGAAGTTAGCCATCTCTTTTCCTACCTGCCCCCCAATCAAACCCAGGACTGTTTGCCATATAGCTACATCCCCAGCCCTTTTAAAAAAAAATTTTTTTTTTTTTGTGGTACCAGGGATTGAATTTATAACCTTGCACTTGCCAGGAAGGCGTTTATGCTACTGAGCTAAATCCCCACCCCCTCCTCTTTTAAAATTTTGAGATGGAGTCTTGCTGAGTTGCTTAGGCTATAGCCTTCAACTTGTGATCCTGCCTCAGTCTCCTGAGTAGCTGCTCATTTTAATTGTTTTTATAAACTGCCTGTTTATATTCTTTGCCCATAAAAAAAAAGAGTAGACTCTGTGTTACTGATTGACAAAAATCCTCTTTATCTTGTACCTATTACTCTTTTTATCTGTCTTTCAACTTCTTTTATTTATTTATTTTTCTTTCAACTTCTTTTGAGAGCAGAATAGGTGGGGTGGGGCTGTGCTTTGGGCTTTGAATATGCTAAGCAAGTGCTCTACTACTGTGTAATCCCCAGCCTTTTTTTGTTTTTTCATTTTGAGACAGGGTTTTGCTAAGTTGTCCAGGCTGGCTGGCCCCATGCTTGTCATCCTTGTGTCTCTGCTTACTGAGTAGCTGGAATTACAGGCTCCTGGTATTTGTTTTTTGCAGTACTGGGGATTAAACTCAGGGATGCATGCTTACTGGGCAAGTACTATACCACTGAGCCACATCCCCAACCCTTAAACTGGTTTTTAAAATTTATATTGGAAAGGATTGCAAGGAGAGCAAAGACCATCTTTGTGTGTGTGTGTGTGTGTGTGTGTGTGTGTGTGTGTGTGAGAACTCACTATGGAGTCCAGGCTGGCCTTGAATTTGTGATGATCCTCCTGCCTCAGCCTCCCAAGTGCTGAGATTACAGATGTGTACTACCAAATACTGCAACCTGCACCTCACCTTTTTTTGGTCTTTCTGAGACAAAGTTTGGCTGTACAGTTCAGGCTGACCTTAAACTCCCAGTAATCCTCCTGCTTTAGCCTCCCAAGTGTACCACCATGCCCAGATCTGTAAAGACCATTTTGAGAACCACTGGGTAAAATGAGTGAGAAATATAAAACTGAGAGTTATCTTCAACCATTTTAATGCTGTCTATCCTTAACACAGAAATTTAAAAGTTTTATGTTGCTAAATCAGCCTGTGGCTTTTTAGTTTTTTTATTAAAACATTTCTCTGTACTTCCTTCTGATAGTTGTAGATTTTCAGTGTACATCTTCACTTGATCATAGCAAAAGGCTGAGAAGCAACTCAGTGTACATCTTTGTCATAACCATAATTTATTTTTGTACATGTGAAGTAGTGAGAAATGTCATATTTATTTATTTACTTATTTTAATATAACAAAAGATATTTTATTTGGGGAAAAAGATGAGAAAAGAAATTGAGCTTCAGAGCTGAAAGCCCCGAAATGTCAGCTTTAAAAGTGACCAATACTATAGAGATCTGAGCCTAGAAGTGAGAAAATCTGTGACCTAGGGTTGCTCCATGCCACTTTGTAATCTTGGACAAATTAGTTCATTCTTTCTAGCCAAGAGGCAGATAGGAATGAATAAATAAATATTTATTCTAGCTATCTCTAGGAATTTTTTTTTTTTTTTTTTTTTTTTTTTTTTTTTTGTGGTACTAGAGTTTGAATCCAAAGACTTCACTTTAAGCTATATCCCGGCCCTTTTATTTTTTGAGATAGGACCTTGCTTAGTTGCTAAAGGCCCAAGTTGGGCCTCCTGCTGCATTAAATGTACACCACCACACCTGGCTTCTAATGCTTTGTGAGGATTAAATGAGGTAATGGATGAGAATAGGTTTTTTTTAAAGAGAAAAAAAAAAAAACAAAAATCAAGGAATGAACAGTTAAAAAAAAAAAAAGCAAAATGACAACAACAAAACGATGGCAATATAGGATTTCACAATGCAGAGTACTAACCACTATATGATCATGGCAGCAATATAGGATTTCAAAACAAGATGATCGATGATCGGAATTTAACAATGGTTGTTATATTGTATATTGTTCTCAGAGTAATTGCTCAGGCTGAGAAGAGTTTAAATAGGAAAAAAAATCCTTCTCAAATCTAAGTTACTGTTAGTAGAGATTCTTGGTTTATTTAAATCAAATTTAAGCAGAATGGAACATTATTTTCAGTTTGCCTAAGTATGTTCAGCAAATGTTTATAAACTACCTTCGTGCAAGACCCTGAGGGTAGGTTGTATGCACTAGGAGGCTGAGATAGGAGGATCACTGCAAGTTAGAGACCAATCTAGACTACATAATTCAAGGCCAGCCTGAACTACATAACGAGACCAAAAA